GACCATGCGAAGTATCATCAGCTGGGTTAAATTTTGATTCAACTTAATGCCATTGCTCCTGAGACCTATGATCTCTTAATTGCAGAACACCATTTGCAACATAAACATGAAAACGTCTGGCTTCGTTGTTGACATTTTCTAGCACAACTCTGCTATCCGTTCAGTAAATTTTGGTGACATTGCCGAAACAGTTCAATTTTTTTACCGCTCCAAATCCATCAGGTTTGAAACATCTTTTCACCTGCAAATTAACAAAGGAGGGAACATCATTTCGCCATCTTTCCCATTCTGCTTTTAAAACTTCTGGCAAAAGATCTTCCCAATCTATGTTCTCCTTACAAATAGCTTGCATGACTCTTTTACCGTTTAGTAATACTGAGGCTACAAAACCCATAAAAGAGGATCATAAACTGAACATATGGTTGCCAATACACCACGTCTTGTACAAGGTCTATCTTTCCGTGTTGTGCAAAATTGGAAAGAATCGTTTGCAATGCACCTTTCAATACCTAGCACTCGTTTGACGTGCAGGTTATCAACATAGGTCGAGTTCCTTTACATTTACAATTGTGTTGCATGGCATCTGTAGCATTAATCTCACCTTGCAATTGTTCTTGTTCCAATTGCCATTCCAGTTATATTTGGCGTTGCTTCAACTCCTCTTGTTGTCTTTCTAACTCATGTTTCTTCTTAAGAATGAGCAACTCTTCTTTTAATGCAGCAGCGTTTGCAGTTATCCTTTTAGAAGACAGTGATGATACCCTTGAAGATACGGATGAAGAGCTCTTGCCTGAGCTTCGGGAACGATGGGATCTGTGTAACGCATTTCTATACGTTCCTGTGTTAGGTCGTTAATTCTTGTTTTAGCGTCAACGGAACACTCGCGAAAGCTCTCTCTAATATCATTAAAGTAGCTACTTATAATGAGCAGACAGACCACTAACTATCGTTGCGTCTATTAATTCCTCGAGAAAACGTTTGAGATCATCCATTTCCATCACTAAGCCATCTTTGTTAGCCATTAATTTAACAATATCGGTACATTGTTCTCTAAGTAAGTTGTCTAGTATTCCAATCCTTCTTCTCACCGCTGTTCCAACGAAGCGAGTTTTTGTACGCACATGTTTCTTGCTTTGCGCGCTATTCTGTGGTGACTTTGGCGCTACTCCATCGTCTATTTTCGGTTGATTTATTCTTCAATAACTCGCTCATTCTCTTCAGCAATTTCGTCCGACACATTATTAATATCATTGTTCTCGTTAGATTTACTTATTTCTACCAAATTATTCTCTTTGTTCGAAGGTTCTGACATATCCGTGTCGTTATTCATTATGTATTCCAATTACTCGCTGTATTCGCCTGATATTTACCGATTTTCTTCGTAAATTTGTGATCCCGTCGCTCTTTGTGTCAAGTTTTTACTATAAGTGTTTTCAAATTCTTTATTCATCTTTCATTTGGCAGATAAACCACTGTACGAGATGCTATCGCATCTTACATCGTTTGTTCAAGAACATTCATCATATAACATATAACATATAACATATAAAACAACTATTGAGTCAATACGAAAACGTTTCGAAGCTCTCCGAGCTGCCATGCTTCGGCACTTACAGTTTACTTTTTATCCATAACATCGCGATTCTAATTTTAAACTTGAGTTGAGAATATTCTATTTTTTCCCAAGAATCACATCTGACCGACGTAAGAAGGGGGAAAAAGGCGTGTTGGAATTAAATAATTCACAATTTTTGAAGAGCATAGATACAAAGTACAACTGGGGTATCTTTGCAGCGTTTGTAATCAAACAGTATCTTTGCATAATTTTAGCTGCTGTTTTTTTAACCATAAATGCCTTAGAAGCTAGTACTCACAGAACCTTTAGATTGCTTCTACACCACTGCCTTTGCAAGTATAATGTGTGGTGCACTCCAAATGCCAATTTTACATGTGAGCATGCATTGCTTTCGACATTTGCATAGAAAAAACCCAGCCACCTACAGAGATTAGTGATAATACCCTACAAATGTTGGAGCAGTATGCCGTAGTACTCTACCTCCGTACAAGTACACAAACCTTCGTTAATGACATACGCAAAAAGATTTTTACCCAGAAAGCAAGGACTCTTAATGAAATTCTTCCAACTGAAGGTGCAATTCAAGAGAACGTTAAACGTGCAGTCTACCTAGAGGGGTATTTTGCTGGGGTCAGTCAATTGTTCCTACAATGGGAATGATGGGATTGCCTTCTTTAAAGTGGTTCTATGACGAAAACTTAACGTTAAAAAATCATCGATTTTAGCATTCAATAGTTTAAACACATATCAATTATTGCTTTCGTAAAATGTAAGCAAAAATAATAGTATAACGAGGGAGTTATGAACATTTGAAATGTCTAATTTTCATGTCCGCCATTAAAATCGGCCATTTTGAATATTGGCAATCAGCAAAGTCTGTGACGTCATAGTCTTAACACGGCAAGAAGCGCACATTGGAAAGTATACAAAGTAATACATAAATAGAGCAAAAAAATGTCAAATTCATCGAGATCTAGCTCGCTCTCTGAGTCTTCGATCGAGACAAACGCATCGATTTCTTCATCGGAATTTGTGACGGCAAATTCGAACGAATCTAATTCGGAAATTTTGCCATTTGTTGATAATATTGAACCGCTTGCTTCGCCCGATGAAATTGCTGAGTACGAAGCTACAGTCGCAGAAGAACGGCGGGTTGAAGACATGCTGCAAGATCGTTTTGATGCCCGTGTTGATGTTACTTCATGGTAAGATGTCATTCTTAGTGTGTTACTTTGATCTGAATCGTCTGCCGTTAGCTATGATAACTTTATGGAAACATACAATTTGGCCAATATTAAAGGTGTGAATGTGGCCATTGTTCGTTGGATCTTGTTGTCAACCCTCAAGAGTGCCGATGCTGCATGGAAATAGAGCAATGCCGTGGTAAAATGTATCAGTTCGAAATCGATGAAAGGAAATGCATTTTGGATCACCCTGGCTTTAACGAAGTTTGCCTGAACGAATTTGTTCTTCAAGCAGCTTCGTTAGCTTTAAAGACCAAAGGTCATCGCATGATACAGACACTTCATTTTGTATTTCCTTTAAAACCTTAGTATAAATGTATATTATATATTGAAAGTTTGCCTGGATGTATTATTGGTTCTCTCAAATTGTGAAAATTTATCATCTGCAATATGTGTAAGTATATAATAATTGCGCGCTTCGTCTGAACAAATTTAACCCAAATTCTTCTCAAAGACTCGTCGTTTGGGCTTTTATGTAATGAAATGCCTGTACTTCTATCAGACTTATTACTGCAATCTTGCACGACACAGCGTGTTGAAGGCATGTTAAAAAAATTGAGTTATACAACCTTTTAAATCTCTATTTGTATATAGTGTTATATTGTAAACAGCCGCGAGTTAAGACTATGACGTCACAAGCACCTTCTTGAAAATTCAAATATGGCGCATTTTAATGGCGGCTCTTAAAGTTCAAGTTTTATCGCTACGTAACTCGAGCAGCATTAAATACATTGCGCTAAAATTTCGCCAGAAGAGATTTTTTTACATACACTATTAATCTATGAAAAAAAAACGAGAGGCAAAATTTTCTTCATAGTACCACTTTAAGTGTTTAAGTAAGGGAGGAATTGCTAGAAGGACTGACACCATTCTGCTCGACACTCATTGACATTTCCAACTTATCAGTTCAGCTTTAATCAAATGTGGGTGCCAGCAAGGATGTCGAAAGCGATGCTCGTGTTTATAATCAACATTGGGAGTGCATGTCACTTTGCGCATAAGGAGACATTTTTCTAGATAACTAGGCAACCTAAACGTATTTTTTGAACATAGTATAACGTTAAAATAAAAAAAACATGTAGAAAGACGGCAAATATATGTAGTTAGCGTCGTTATGGTGCAAACGCTATTGGATACAGGTTTCACTGTCTTTGAATTGTAACACGTAATTAAGTGCAAGTATTCAAAGTGCAAAACTGCTTTTCTATTTACAAAAATCAAACAAAGTAAAAATCAAACATTGCTTATTTATTCTATATTGAAAAATTGCTTGCAAATTTTTACCTCCAACCCCTCTAACATTCAACCACACTTATTCAAAGAGTGCGCGCGTAAAAGTGTGATTTGGTATGCCTCTATTTCGAATTCTTAAAAGTACTCTTTATGCTCTTTGCCAAATTTTGTACTTTCTTCCCAAAAACTAACAATTTTTTCACATTCACCTGAAGATTTTTATCGTTCGACCCAATTTTGCACTTAAAGTTCAAAGTCCTACACCATTCATAATTAATTGCCAGTATAGCTTGTCTTTGATAAATCGCTTACACGTGCCATCACGTCATTACGACCTTGGATGACATCCAGCATACATGTGCATACATTACGAATTAAATCGTACGACATACTGATTAACATAAAGTCATGGACACTGTCACAATATCATTTATCTATTCTTCGCTTTATGAACTAAAATTTTCGTTACTTGTCATCATTATTCAAAATTGACACCAAAAACTGAACGAAAAATCTACTTCTGGAAGCAAAAAGTAATTACGAAACCATCTGCTTGTCTGCAGAAATACAAAGGTCGTGATAAGGGCGTGCATCGTGTATGACGTATATAGTGCATAAAAAAAGTTTGTTGACAAAGTCTCTGTTTATGTATAACTGTGCCAATGTGCTGTGCACGTTATAGTGGGAGATTCATAGTCATTTCGTTGAAAAGAACAAAAATTATGGCAAAAGAGTCTAATAAATGGCCTATTGCAATGTTTTACTTACGCTTTAGTTTCTACAATTTTTAGAGAAGCGTTTATTGCATGAGAGTCAAAATTCGACGGATGACGTCAGAGAGTTCTTGGGCTAACAAAGAATACATGTAGTAACGTCTAACACATATCTCCGCTTCCAAATAGAAAGTTTTTGTATTGTCATAATTGACATTGCCGTATATTGTCATGCATTTCGCATCAATCGCATGCTGTATAAAGACGGCATGTTTCACGTGTAAGTCACGGCATCACATACCTCATGAATGGTGTAAGATTTCACGTGAACAATGCTTTATAATTTAGATTAGTGTGACAATATTGCGCTAGTCACTTCTTTTATCACTTGCGCTAGTCGCGGTGTCGTCTTTCATTTTACATGTATCTGAGCTTGTTTTAGTGTCGTATTGCACGTTCGGTTAATTAGTGGAGGAATAACAGAAGTCTTGTCCAAGACATACATCGACTGTGATTCTGGGTTTTTCCAACCTCAACAATATGCAAGTTCTGGAGGTAAGCGCAATTTTGAGAATGCAAAATAGGCAGTTGTAATTTTAAATAACACATTCAGAGCTTCGTTCGATTTCAAATTTTCGATTGCTTCATGTCATAAAAATTCAATAGTCAAAAGACTGAAATGACGCGTGTTTATTTGTGTTACTAACAAATACTGTTAATAGTTAATAGCATCGATTTGTTGAAAGGTTCGCTATTTCTATGAATATTAATCAATATCACTGCATTGCAGCATAATGTATATAATCAATGTATAGATCACCAACCTGGTACAAAAGTATCTGATGTTCGTATTGCAATGATCTCAGTTTTGGGGACGCATAAACGCATGAACTTTGATTAAAGAGGCAGAAAAGTATTGTAAGATTAACTGACTTTAATTACGCTTACGAAGTTTGCCAACTATTGCTTCTAAGACTTCTTCGTATGAAATTTGGACTTCGTTATCAGTGTTGCCAGATTAAATTTTCGTGAAAATTAACCGAAAATTGTTCACAACTTTGAAACATATTCATTAAATGTTCACAAAACGAACGTTGTAGACGGTTGGTCATTCAATGAATGACGGTTTTAGTGCAGTGTTTTCTTTATATTTGGTTGGAGATTGGTTGTACAAAGAGTGTAATCCGCCATGTTAGAAAAGAAAGTTGTAAATAGCTTCGTCGTGAAAGTATTTTACTAATTTTAGTGCAAATTTGTGGTGTAACTAATTTTCCTTGTGTATTACATGAAATATGTAAAAACATGAGTAGATTTCATTTCTAAAGGCAGGCTTTTTAATCAAGAGCCAAAAATGTTTTTAATATTTTAAATTATTGCTCACATTACATAATATGGAAAAGTAGGATTTGCAAACTCACACAATTTAAATAGCAAAATGAAATAATTATGATATGTTGTTGGTTGATCCCATAATCAAAATTCTCATAACTGTCATTACATGCTTCATTGCTACAATTAATGTATCCCGAAAAGTTAAATCTTTCAATTTCTTTTAAATGGTGTGAACTGTTGAGAATCAACCTTAGATTTCCTCATAATTACTTCAGTCAAAGCTGGGCATAATTTTGTTGTTACTAGATTTGACTCTGAACATTTATGAGTAATGTACAAAAAATGGTGACGTCTTATAGGATATGAAGAGATGCACATATTTTCTTTCAAAGAATCTTTCTTAGTCCAGCTATTAATGGGATAGAGTTGGAGTAGTTCATTGTTTTTTTGAAATTGTGTTTTTGCTTGGAGCATAGCTACAGTGACAAGTGCAGAGGGATTTATGCTATATTCTGCAAAAACAATCGATTTTTTACAGAAATTAGTATCAAAGATAGAGCAAGGCTGTGAAGCACATGTTTGATTGTTGGGCTATAAACTGTGTGCAAGTATGCAATCCAGGGAAAAGTTTCAAAAATCCAAGATAAAGCAAAATAAGGGGGGAGGCTATAGCCCTCCTATCTCATGGTTATTGTCAAGAACATGCTTAACACACAGGGATTCAATCACGGAATAGCACAAACTTGATAATTTGGGGTGGGAGGGGCACATTTTCATGCATATTTTTCATCCATAGAAAACAATTAATTTTCAAAGGAACAGAACATATATAGCAAAGCATGTATTTATGAATGTGCTCCACCCCAGAAAAAAAAATTATGGAGTTTGCTAAGATATGTCGATTCAAATACCAAGCTCACCGCACCACTGTTGTTTCTTTTGCAATCAAATGCCATCATATTTCTTATGTTTTTGTAATCTTGGTACTTTCAAATTTGTGTTGGTTGGATGAAGAATATGTAATAGATGACAAACTTACTGGCTAATATGCTATGTGTTGCAGGAGCAGATGGGGGCCTGGGGGGAGGGAAATGATTTTGCCTCCATTTTTGAAAAATTCTCCAACTTGTAGCAAGTTTCAGCTGCTTTTGAAGTCCTTGGTGTTTTCATATACCATTTTCACAATCTTACATCGGGCACTTAATGCAACTGAGTATCATAATTTATAGCAATTTGGTAACTAACCCATCTATTGTTTCATTATTACAGGATTATTTGTAACAGTTTCTGTCTCTAATCGATTATCTTTGTCCTAAGTATATGTCCTACCTATGAAGGGTACTTGAACTTTGTCATACTTTTGCAGGAGAATGACTCATGTCTAGTAGACATCACATCCCCAAAGAATTCTTTCAGCAACTGTGACTCTATCAAATATTCATCTGCTTTATCAATCTGTGACAGTGAGTTATTGTGCCGTATTTGTCGAGACAATGACAACAATCAAGATTTATTGTCACACTGTCAATGTAAAGGTTCCATTGGCTTTGTTCATACAAGCTGTCTTTTAACATGGATAAAAAAATCAGGATTGGACACTTGTGAGTTATGCCATGAGAAGTATGTTACGATTTCACGAATGAACAAACGATTTTGGCAGGTATGACATACCTTTGTTTCATTATTGACATCATACATAATATAAATCCTAACACGGTTTTTACATGCACATGAAAAACATGTGACTTGGACGAAATTTGAACTCTAGATATTAAACATTATTGACATCTGGATATATGTTGAACCGTCGTTAAAGCACCTTGGTAGTGCATCATTTCATCAATGCATCTCTCAAAACTGATGTAACTGTAATTTTTGTATCATTGTTAACTTTCATCTTTTCAAGGTGTTGATTGAACTGTGTTGTAGAATTCTCTTGAGTAGAGTTAAGAGTAAAGTCTTGTTTGATGATGCAGCAATTCCTAGTTACAGATTCTAGCTTGAAATAGGGGAAAAATTTATGGAATTAAAGTTTGCCATTTTGATTTAAACATCATTAATTGCATAGCACCCTAGGCACAGTATTTCACGAGAATTCAGATACTCGAAAAAATTCGAAATTTCTCTCTTTTGTTCCCAGGCTCCAGCAGAGAAAGAGAGGACTCCACTGCACCCATAGATTGTGATTTTATAAATCAAAATTTCCTTACTATTAATTATAAGCCACTTCCTAACTCTAGCTAAATGGTTTTAGTAGTGTGTTTTAACTTCATAACATAACGTGCAGCAAAACATTTATTGTTGAAAAATTTCTCCCCTAAAAAAGCTAATCTATTTCTGAAACTTCAATTCTTCAAATCTCAAAAAAATCCCGCGATTTACTTTTTAAAATAGACTTCCAAAAGGAATCTCAATAAAATCATAGGCAGCCCATGACTAAGGGTTTTTCGTAATAAATCTGAAGCAATTAACCTTTCTTACTCCTGAGGAACATGATGTCTTATCAGTTTAATATTATGTTATTGTCGATTTCAGTTAACTTTTCAAATGGCGGTTGCCAAGTACTTTCTAATGTTGCCAGTTACATTTCCAAATATGGAATATTCGATATGAACTTGTCAACTTCAGTTGACAAGTTATGTACTTGAGTACTGAAGTTGTGTACTTGAGTTAATGAAGTTGTGTACTTGAGTTAATGAAGTTGTGTACTTGAGTTAATGAAGTTGTGAACTAAAGTTGCGAAGTACTGGCAAACGCGTAAGGTCTTAGTACCCTGTAGACATTTGGCAATGAATTCGTTCAGTGTTGCCTAGCTAAGTCTTGACTGAGTTCAAAGTTTGTATTTTTTATTAAATTTTGAGTTAACTTTGCTTGGACACTGAGTACAGACCAATGGTACAGACTGATGCTGGTTGGTGTCTTATCAATATAACAGAATGACATTCAGGAAGTTTTATAAATGCATGTTAAAAAATATCTTGAACTTGTTTCTTGTTTATAAGAAAGAACAATGTAAATTTCAAAATACTGTGATATTATTAAAATACATACATTGCTGTGGTTGCTTTTGAATAATTTGAACCAGATATCATAATACAACAGCACTGTAAACTATTCTGCACAACTGTGAACCAACTGCTAAACAGAACTACATTCATTTTTATTGAAATTACAACTCTAGGATTAAATTGCATTGGTTATTCTGACATACCATTTTTTGTGGCTTGTATAAGAGAAAAAAAGTTTTAATAGTAGTACTATGTCACTCACAATACTTAATAAGTTTTATGATTATAATTGAACATTACATGAAATATTTTGACATTGTGTTGAGAATCAAGTTTGGATAGAATAATTTGTTTTAAAGAAACAAAAAATTACAAATAGACTTTTGCAGAGCCACTTGCTTGCACAGATTTATATTCATTCTCCTTTAACATGTGTTTGCTAAAGCTGTTTAATGTCAGACTGTACAGCAAAACCGTCATCTTAACAATAAGAATTTTAGCCAAAAAATCAAGCTTCAAAACACAGATTTTCTCGGCTTGGCTTCTGCTACAAAAATATCTGAGAAGAAGCACAAATCTCTTATGCCTTCACCATTTCCTTAATTAAACGTTTAACAACTACAGTGATGCGCCTTTGATACAAGTTTCTGAGTTTGATTTTCATAGATATAAATATATCATGCTACATTTCATGTAATATTAGAAACAAATCAACAATGAAATAAACTCAATGGCATGCAAATAGAATTTAAACAAACAAGGGATCATAACCGTCATAACCACTCGCAAAATACAGTTTGCATACGGATGTTAACCTGTGGAAACTTGCGTTTTGTTTTAGTTTTTTTCGTACCAGAATTTTCCGATAAACCTTTTATTGTCCGAAACTGATGCTATTTTATATTTTGCAGTGGCATTTACCAAGAATTGGCGTAAAAGGAAGCTTCAAACTTCTCTTATTTACTGGTTTTTTATCTATGTTTGTTGCATTCACTACGTGGATTCTTTGGTCACGGATAAGCTCTTCAAAGGCAGCCAAACAAGAGCGAGCAAAAAGTGAAATCAAATACAGCTACATTGTTTATGGTGTTTTGGTTTTTGTCGCTATGGTTGGCATGTACGCTTTAAACTTTCGTTCATTTACGAGTTACTTCAGAAAGTTCATTGTCATAAATCAAGAAATCACCGTCATTCCGAATGGAGAGATATGTACAGAGGAAACTGCAAATGATTCTTTAAGGCAACAATGTGAATTGAAACTACCACGGACGAAAAAATATCCCCGCAAGCATGACCTACAAGTACTAAATAAGACTCGTGTTCAAGTGCAAGTTGTTCATAGTACATTATATGGTTCTAAATTACCTAGTGCGGAAGTCAAAGTAGTTTGATTGCCATATTATCAGTGTGTAAATGCTATCAATTGGTTATCAAATGTGAGGCTTTTTATACGCGTCAAAAAAATCGATATTTGAGCAGTGTTGGAAAGTAGTTGTTCATGTTTGTAACGAAGAATATTGTTTATCACACGTTCTGTAATTCTTATTTCTATAAAATTCAATATACTTCACTCTTCAGTCGATTAGAAAAAATGATACGTCCAGTGCAGAATACTCCATAGAAAATTATTTCTATCTTGCACTTATCTCCTTAACAAAACATTTGATTAGCAGCCTGATTTAACCCTCCCCCGGCCTCCCCCTTTTTTAAACATCGTCATTATTCTTAAATATATATTTATGCATGTCTATGAAAAACTTTGCAATTAAGTTAGACAATGGATTTCTTGGATAGCCAAGGAATCACGGCGGATTGGTTTACCTATGTATTATAAATGCATTCTGTTAAGAATAAAATTCATTAATGATATTAATATTCTGAATGTAAGTTACATACCTAGGTAAATATTATAAAAGCAAAATGTTGGACATTTATTTCATATTGGCATGTTAAAAGTTAGTCGTTATAAGTTTATAACCATATCTTGAAACATTTACTTCGTAAAAATTGAATTAAATGATATGTTTTCTCGTATCTGTTTTTTTGTGGTAGCTGATAAATAGTAATGCTTGAGTAAAAAAATTATTACGAGCAATTTGCGAATATTAAACTCGTGTAAACAGAGCACGCTGTTTACCACGATGTCGGTCAATAAGTTTAATTATCACATGTAATTCATGTGAACTCATACAATGCTAAGGGAGAGTTTTCTTGATTGGTGTGCTTACGCCTGTCGAAAACAACATCAGTAAACGCATTCGGAGTCATACCCCCTCGAAATTTTTTGGTTGTTATATACTTAATGGTCGACAACAGAATGACAACGTAGCTATACTTAATGGTAGAGAACAATATGACAACGTAGTTATACTTAATAGTAGAGAACAATATGACAACGTAGTTATATATGATAGTAGAGAACAATATGACAACGTAGTTATACTTAATAGTAGAGAACAATATGACAACGTAGTTATACTTAATAGTAGAGAACAATATGACAACGTAGTTATACTTAATAGTAGAGAACAATATGCCAACGTAGTTATACTTAATAGTAGAGAACAATATGACAACGTAGTTATACTTAATAGTAGAGAACAATATGACAACGTAGTTATATATGATAGTAGAGAACAATATGACAACGTAGTTATAGTTAATAGTAGAGAACAATATGACAACGTAGTTATACTTAATAGTAGAGAACAATATGACAACGTAGTTATACTTAATAGTAGAGAACAATATGACAACGTATGTTATACTTAATAGTAGAGTACAATATTAATAGTAGAGAACAATATGACAACGTAGTATACTTAATAGTAACAATATGACAACAATAGTTATACTTAATAGTAGAGAACAATATGACAACGTAGTTATACTTAATAGTAGAGAACAATATGACAACGTAGTTATACTTAATAGTAGAGAACAATATGACAACGTAGTTATACTTAATAGTAGAGAACAATATGACAACGTAGTTATACTTAATAGTAGAGAACAATATGACAACGTAGTTATACTTAATAGTAGAGAACAATATGACAACGTAGTTATACTTAATGGTAGAGAACAATATGACAACGTAGTTATACTTAATGGTAGAGAACAATATGACAACGTAGTTATACTTAATGGTAGAGAACAATATGACAACGTAGTTGTACTTTATGGTAGAGAACAATATGACAACGTAGTTATACATAATAGTAGAGAACAATATGACAACGTAGTTATACTTTATGGTAGAGAACAATATGACAACGTAGTTGTACTTTATGGTAGAGAACAATATGACAACGTAGTTATACATAATGGTAGAGAACAATATGACAACGTAGTTATACTTAATAGTAGAGAACAATATGACAACGTAGTTATACTTAATAGTAGAGAACAATATGACAACGTAGTTATACATAATAGTAGAGAACAATAATGACAACGTAGTTATACTTAATGGTAGAGAACAATATGACAACGTAGTTATACTTAATAGTAGAGAACAATATGACAACGTAGTTATGCTTAATGGTAGAGAACAATATGACAACGTAGTTATACTTAATAGTAGAGAACAGTATGACAACGTAGTTATACTTGATGATGATGACAATTGATAGGATCTACACTATATTGTCACCGTGTACGTTTGTAAATCTTTGATACTCTCAAAAGATAATTATTTAATTTAAATTTGCAATTAAGTGAGAATTAGTAACTTTACTGTGGATAAAATTGTTGCCACAGTGGGATTTTTCGATAGCAAATTTAGCTTTACAATTTAAATATTGGATAAAATAAATTGAAATTTATGAGACCATATGACGCTGAGAATATCAAGTAGTTATGTTGCATTAACGTGAAAACGACTGTACTGCATTTAAACATTAATTCATTCTACTTTAAAGCTATTCAATGTAATTTTTGAGTGTTGATCCTTCTCTTATAAAAGATTGCTACATGTGTTGATGAGCTGACTCTGAAGATGAATACCACTATGAAGTTGTCAAAACGCCAATCAACAACATGAACAGACCTTCTCAGGACTTTAGCTACTAACCTGGAAGATCTACGTCTCGATAATCCCTTGTTCAAACCATTCACTCACTCAAACATAGTTACCTGCAATCTTGCAAATATTTTTGAATTGCACGTCGTGATTCAATATTGATTCGATATTAAATCACTCTACAAAAAAAAACTTACTTAAAGTCACACTCAACAGATACGAAACAGAAAATGCGCGCCCGCACAAATCAAAAACAAATTCATTGCTTATAATCACTGACCAGATTTATTTTAAGATATTTCAAAATTGAGCAATCAGTGGGATATCGTCTTTGAATAGTAGAAAAGCAGCGTGAGGTTTTATAATTATGTCATAATAATTCAAGACTGAGAGTGTAGTGTTAAGTAGCTAGATTACACTCATTACAGGCATTAATAAAGAACGATCATACAGAGAACTAATTTTTCAAAAGGTCAAAACATGATGCTTTTTATCAAGCATTAGGCAAGCAATGCACTCATATAAAAAGCTGATTTGAGAAGTCTTGTGTACCTAACGTCGACTTCTGGTCAACTATACATGGGAAAAACATGTTTTTGAGATTTTAAAAATGTGTAAAGACAAAAGCTGTTTATGTGACTATATTTTATTTTCGAGCATGGAATACGAACAATTGCAATTTCATTGAGTATAAAATATGAATAAACTAGTTTTAAAGTAGGTAGAGCAAGTATATTCCAAAACACTAAAAGAAACTAACACATAATATACTGCTGAACGCAACCGTTTGATATTTGTATGAGCCAATAATCTAATATACATAATTTAAATTTTTTTAGAGGTGTGCTAAGTGAGAAAGTTGACTTCTATCAATATTTAATTTTTCTTTAATCTACAAAAGTCAATAGAATAGTGTTTATTCATTGTGGGTCTAGCTGAAGATAGCTCGACATGCTTTTGTAATAAGTAGCGATATCTTAGACACGTCTCCAGCTCTTTGCATGTATAATTTTATGTTTTTCAATTGACATGGCGGCGTCACAATTGTCACGATGTTACCACGTCTCACAAATTATTGTGGTGTGTTATACGAATTATATCTTTCGAAAGATAATTTGGGAGATGTTTTAAATTAACCTTGTTTTTATAATTAATAATATAAATTATTCCTTTTGAGGTTATATTTAATTGTTTTTCATGAAACAATGATAATTGTGTTAAAGACTCTTATAAGTTCATCATTTTATTTTTGTAACAAGGGAGAATTATAGAAACTGATATAAAATCGTTGCAATAATCCGACACACTAGCTAAAATTTCAAATCTGGAATATTCTTTCGGGATTTACCAAACAATAAAAATCATCCAAGCTGGAGTATAAAATATTCTTTTGTATTAGACCTCCAACATAACTGACGTGAAAAACATCATCAAATAAATTTGTTTTCATCTGTTCATAAGTGTATTAACTGCTTGAAGTGTATCAAAACTAATCTAAATTTATGTTGATGACACGTAATACTATATAAAATCGAGCAAAATTTATTCACCACACAATTCATTGTACACTTTCAGGCTCCCAGAAAAAAAGTTGAAGTTGAAGTAGTAATTGTTAAGTTAAGTTTCGCAGTTAAAATTAGTAGAAACATATTATAAGTCCGATGTATGTCTCATGCTCACAAGGATATAGCTATATGAGGAAAACAAATTTTAATGCAACATAACTTTTACACATTACCCAAGCAACAGTATAGAAAACAAACAGTTGTCTCACTCTTAGTCTATTGAAAAACTTGTTATGCACATATCTTGCCCAGCACCACTAGCACATTGCCAGGTTGGTAGCAGATTGCATTTTGTGATCAGTGAAAACGCTAAGATGAGCTACAAGTGGGCATTGCTTTACCCTCAAGCGATACGTGAACTTCTCCTTATAGCCTGACGCACACTTGAGTTCTATATATTTGTCATTGGTAGCAGCGGAAGCTCTAGTGTGCGGTGAACGCTAGCGAGTTTCTTGTCATTCGTGACTTTTTGATAAAACATTTGTGTGTGCGCTGAAATGTGATCTGTGTGTGCGCTGGAAGTGAAGGAGCAAGCTTAACCACAACAACTCAACAAAACTTATGCGTCGGAACAAACGAAAACAAAATAGCGAAAATGTCTTTGACTCTTTGCATTCTAAAGAGGAATGTAAATTAGGAATTAGAGTAATGTAGAAAGGAATTATTGCATTTAATGTTGCTTACGCAACGACGTTGCCGACGTTTATGAGCTGCACATCGTACGCATTTTCAAAGTAATAGATTTTGGGAAGAGAAACATGAGGAGTTCATGTAAATCTCAAAACATTTTCTCCCAAGTCACTGTTTTTAAAATTAAGTGATATCACATCGTAATAACGCGGATAGTTTAGGTTATTGGCCTTTGTCAATCTTGTTCTCAAAATTACATCGCTCAGTAATTCACTTTACCCGTCATGTTTTTTACAGTACAGCTTCCTGGCCTTTCTGCTTACTCACGCTGTCACGAATGTTATTTTGCTGAGCAGAAAGCTTAAATTTTTACCGGATTATGACTTTATTCTGAAGACAATTCTTACTGTTACAAACTGCACGTACGCAGTAAGCAAATTATGTCACGTACAATAAGTTTTTTAATCTAAAAAAAGTTATGAAGATAAGCCATCAGTTCTATGTTCGTAAATACATCAGTGTTACTGAGCAAAATCCCCATCACTAATTTTTTTACTTTGGCTTAGGTTTCCCAACGAAAGCTTTCATAACTCTAGCTGGTGCCAAATTTGTTGATCGTGAATCATTAAAGGTGAGAGTGATAGATGAACGAAATGTCGTAATTTACAACGTTTGCCTGATTTCTGTTGGCTCCTCCAGCGTGCGATTCTTTGTTAAATTTCCACCACCTTTCAAGCCTTTTAAACTGCAATTGCACGAAAAAACAAAAAAAGAACATCATTTGTTCGAGACGCTCCATTAAAAGATCAACTAGTGGCAGTTCAGTTGAAGTTATCATACAGAAAAAATTTTTAATTTCTACGAAGATGTCAAACAAGCAATGTCTGGGTGAAAATTATGCGAGGAAATTCAGGTCCTAGACGAGAATCTTACACATTGAGTTCACCTACCAAGTGATTATAAGAATGGTGTGTCTACTCGAGTACTTGGATGTGTTTATCGTGGCAGAAATGGTTATGGAATCATTATGTTAACTATTCTATCAAGCACACCTTTAGGAAAAGTAGAAAATGTTAAAGTTTCTTTTAAAAAGAATGGTGGACAAAAGTGTCGTTGCTACTTTATTGCTTTCGTTTGTCATTGCTTAATTTTTTCATGTCTTTTTGCAGACAATTCAACTCAAAATCTTGTCGTACTATTAAGTCAGTATTCTGTAACCGTTTTGAATTACATACAAGCCGTTGTGGTATTCTAACGCTTAGTATATTTGTCTGTCTTTCTGTCTGTTGGTATATAATTTTGCATGGTGGGAAAATTAATACAAAATGAAGGGAGCGCACTTGTTTTGGGCTTAAATTGTTCAATTTTTTCCCATGTATATTAGGTACGGACAGCAACTTATTGATAACAAATGGGACTTTTTTCGTCTCTTATTGCAATAGAAACTGATTCAAACTTCATTTATTAGGCATAGGAAGAAAAATCAGTTTCGAAAATCAGTATTTATATTTTCTTGATTTAAGAATAAATTCTTCTCTTATTGTTGACCACAATGCATTAGGAATATTTGTTGAAAATTATGTGCTTCCCACAAACACAAATTGTCTGTTCCATAGAAGCATAGAAGAAAAAACTTCTCTTATAACTGTTTAACGCTATTTAATGCAATATCAACGATTTTCAGAAAAAATTGATACTACTAACACATATCTGAGTCAATAATACAGAAGCAATAAGTAGTATATAGGCAACATGAATTATAAACTTTCATATAAAAATTTTTGTGCCAAACATTTAATTGGTTTACAGAAAAATTCCTAATTTTTGCAGTTATTTTTTTAGAATTCTAATGAAATATTTACAAAATTTTTAAATTGATTATTTTGTCAGGGCTTAGTGCTAGATCTGTATACCCCATCGATAAATGGAGTCTTTTCCATGCATCAACCTTGTTAGTACATTTGGATCCTATGGCTAATACTAAACTAACAAACTCCATTAATCATCCATTCCATAATAAGTATAGTACCATGTTTTCCAGCATAGACATACATTAATTTTATCAACTTTTTCAACGTTCAAAAAATGGTCTTGATTGCAATGCAAAAGTTCACTTAGCTATTAAATATCCAAATTTTCTCCAACATTTTTTGCTGTTTTGGAGTGCTATGATTGGATGAATTCTTATCCACAAATACAGACAGCGTTAAAACATTCCCAGGCGAGTCGTCTTCATTTGATAAAGAATGCTTAAATATTTTGCTTGTCTCTGAAGCTGAGTAATAACTGCTTACATTCATGGAGCTCGTGCTCGTTGAAATTTGTATTTGTCGTCTTATGTTGGATTCAAGGTCTGCACTTTGGTTGTGACAGTCATTGATGCTGTAGTAACGAGGACTTGAAAGGATCTGTGATCCATTTATTTGAGAAGAATCAAGGTGGGCAGTGGTTTTGTGAGATAATTCAACTTCTTGGGCTCCGTTATAGGGAAGGACAACCATTTCTTTGTTAACAAAACACCATCGAGTGATGTAAGAACGACATTGTCTGTAGCTATCTACGTACAAACCAATAACTGCAATAGCGATAAAGCCAGCATTAACAGCATACGCATATCCTGATTCTTTACTCACTCTTTCCATTTTTGCTTCATACGAGTTGCTAAGTCTCGACCACAAAATCCATGTCAGTGACGTTGTCATTATAAGAAACAATGAAAAAAAGAGCATGATGTGAAGCCAGCCTTTGAAACTTGGTTTTGGAAATTTGATCTAAACAATTTAAATAAAAAGTTAATCCATTGGAGATTTCACTGGTAGCAGTTAGAAGTTTTATTCAAATTTTCTATTTAATGCAAAATTAATGATTAAAGGTGCGTTTCGTGTTCTGTAATAACTGCTAAAATATTATGTTAGCAGAATTGAGCTTTATTAAAAGCAAACGAAACGAGCGATAAAAAAAACAATAGTAAGTACTGAAAAATCATTATAGTGCATTTCGAATGAAAATAAGAAAAATACGAATGCCATTTGAATAACATATCATTTTCAACTTAGCATGAGAGGTACGTTTTTTGAATTTAAAGTCTTCTTCTCGTGTATTTGCACGTAGCAGCTGTTCAGTCAGGCTCAGATAAACATAATCATATATAGCTACTGTTAATCAGGCGGGATGTTATCTCTGGCTTGGCATCGTGGTACATATGTCTGCATGAATGGAAACCACTCTGAACATTTATCGACAGATACTCTCCTTGAATTCCTCACGGCTGCATTGTTCGAAACACCCTGTTGTTCTAGCAGAAGAATTTGAGAAAATTTTGGTAGAAATTTTCTCATTCTTTTGACTTGCCCTTTCCAAATATGCATCATCAACTTATTATCAATTGAAAATTATTTGTAATATGTTGTTCAAATGACATTCGTACTTTTCTGATTGTCGTTGGTATCGCGCTAATAATTGTTAGATACGCTCTATTGTTGTTTGTATCGCGTATCGCTCATTTCAAAATGAATAAATGGCATAAATTAAATCTTATCTTTGTTGAACATTTTCTATGCTCAATTGACATTTGATTATTACTAATTAAATTAGAAACGCGCCATTAAATAAAAAATATTATTGACTACCGTTTGCTCGTAATGAAGGGCAAATGCTGTATGCATTGTACAACACATTTCATGACATCCCACAAAATATAGTGTATATGCTGCAAATATTTGTCCAATTGAGACGAGATCATCGTTTCAATGAATGTCACGTAAAGTAAGTATGATTTCTACGTGTGAGATCGGATTGTCGTGAATTTTGTTACGATAGTTGGAAACTATTATTCTTGACTTGCAACCGTTCTCTTGACATTTACCAAACAATGTTGCTCGCCTACGTCGGCTGGTGCCAGCAACAACACTGGTAAAATATTCTTTTGTATCCCACCACCAACATGGCTGAATTGCAAGTTAAGAATAACTCACAAATATAACTAAACACTGTTGCAAAGTAACCGAAGTTAACGTGATTGGCGTCTTGTTGTTGTTAAAAAGTACTATACACTTTCATTATTTGAATGTTTCGTTTTTTGGATAGTTTTGTCTTCACTCTCCATTTTACTATACCAAACAATTTGTTTACAATAGCTTGAGTAGTTTAAAAATCATCTACTTTTTTGTAAATCCTGTGTAGAGAATTGACTTCTTTGTGGAACAGAAACAGAAGCTCCATTTTATACCTTGCAAATATTTTTAATGCTTCTTGTCTCGGTCTTGAAGATATAATGACATAACTCGCAAGAAGTAGTTCCAGATCCCATAATCCACTTGAGAATGCATGATTGATGAGCAAAACCCACAGAGCCACTGCACCGGCAAGCTTGCATTAAGACTTCATCCTCTTCACTGCAGTGACATATACGACAAATTGGTTGACTCGTAGACAAACTAACATCGTAGAAATGGCCATCGCTATTTTGTGATATCGATGGGAAATGTTCATTAGAATTGAAGGAACAACCTTCTAGGCTGCAATTCCTAAACAATTATTGCAACATATAATAATAATAATCATTATATGTGAAAACTTTGTCTTAATTTTTATTTTTGTATAATAGGGTAGCATGAATATGAACAGCTACTTTTACAATGTTTAATATGTGCGATACATAAACTTTTGTAAATCTGCATCCAATAAGCAGTAGGCTCTGGCAATTAGCACTCTAGAATTTTTTGCTAAGCTGGTGATCTGAGATCAGCAAGTCATTACATCACAAAATCACAACAAAGAACTCATCTTAACAATAGAGGCATAAAGTGTCGATTGTGTTATGATAACCAGATGTTCATGAAACTTTGAAAGAAATTTAGTTTGCATCGTTAGCAACTAATTTTTTATAAACAATTAAAATTCACCTACCACAATGATGAGAAAAAATCATATTTCTTAATGCGAAGACAAATCCACTCACCTTGCTGATGCAAAATTCGCCATTGTGTTGTAACTTCTCTCAAGTTTTTTTCAGCTGCAGTTAAGTAATTTCCACGGTGATGTCACCATTTATAAGTCAATGCACATTTCTAGAGGCGAAAAAAACTTCCGAACAAACAGTGAAAAACACCACGAGTTTCTCTCAAAAGGCCAGAGAATGAGGATGTTATTTTATCTTTCAAAAATCATTATCTGATATTATGTATGTAGATAAACATGTCAAAACAAAAGTGTCCTATAGCTGTCTTCTCTATAAAATTCTCTCTGCTTGCAAACCAAGCTCACTATATGAAATCAACACATTCAAATCCCTGCTGATTAACTAACCTCGTATCTCGTTACTATAAATACCATTCCAAATCATGAAAAGTACTCACCTATATTTCTAGACAAACTGAACAATTTGAAAATGATTGTTAGGTATTTTCGTGGCTCTATTAAAGTCCATTAGATTTTTTATGAAAAATTTCACACTTTTTTAACTATCAAAAGAATGATCTTAGCATTTTTTAATTCAAGCCAACCTCAAAAGGTAAAAAGTAACTTTAAAGGAGCTATTTGTCTTGGGAAAACTCAGTAACATTTGTTTGTTTGTATATCTCAGCAGTTTTCCTCATATATAAGCAGATTTTCATTTATATAAACAATACACAATTTTTCTGACAAAACACCTTCATCACATTGCAGAACTTTCGTGTTTTAAAAATTCGTGTTGAAAGCTTTACTATAGCAATGTCTTTAAAGAAATAAACATATAATCGTACCTCTTTGCAAATTGTTTTTCCAGTGTGTCAAATGACGATCTGCACTAGCATTTTAAAAGAAAATATTTAAAAATCCAGAAAAAAGGTTTTTGTCCAGTGTTAGTATTTTGTATGCAAAAACAGCAAATTAATTTAATCCAAAAACGTCAACAATGATTACTGATCGCATACATTACCTGGATAGATAGTACAACTAAGAGAATTCGTTACTTGCAATATTTGATGAAATATTTTTATTTGTTGGATAAACTTTTTACCATTATTTATTACGTCAAAATAGACGTTAAAATATTCTGTTGCTAAAACTTCCTGTGCACATTTTCATGTCTAAGAATTACCAATCTCATAATCACACAAGCCAATGGTTCGTTAATTCATGTTAATTTATGCATAGGTAAGTTGTTTGACAGACCATCTTTTGGCAATCCGCTACTTTTAGCCCCGTCCGTTGATATCCCAATTTTCAGTGAATTAATCCATGAAAAAAATAAATCAAAAGATTTATGGGATTTTGTAGACAATTAAGTGATTTCGGAGGTTTGCTAAGAATTCTCGAACATTGCATGGCATGCAAAAGTTTTGACACATGTAGGCAAAAAACATGTCGGAAATTTGAGTCGCTGTTATTGCCTCAACATCTTTCGAAATGAATTTTTGCCACTGACAATGTGATATAAAATTTATTTTTTTATTATTCTAAACACCAATTTTTTTCAGTGCCCTTAAGGTATGGTCGAAGAGAACCTACTTTAACAGATAATATTTCCGACATATTGTGCGACAATCCTGATGGTGGGCAAATATTAAAGGAATGTAAATTTGGTGAGCGATATACGGAATACTGTTACTTAGACTACTTTTACACTACTCAAGATCAGTCTGAAAACGGCGTAAAAAAGTAACACAACCGGGTTGCGTTTACACTGCACCGAGCGTATGTAGAACGTTAATTGGGGGGGGGGATATTCAGTTGTGCCCTACTGATTTCTTTTGATCACGTAGGGCACAACGGAATATATGAATATGCACCCCCCCACACCAATTAACGTTCTAGTTACGCACGTGGTCGGACGAAAACGGAGCGCTGGCATTGTGGTGTAAACTAATAACGCTACACTTTAGATACCAGTTCTCTTTAATTTGTACCGTGTTGTGGCGCACAATTGAAATTTGTAAATGGCGATCATTTTATGTTTTGGAAAGCTTTTAATGACTGATCCCTTGTAATTATTAAAAGTCAATGTTTTTCATGACTTATGTCAAGAGATATAAACATGTAGTAATATGCAAATAAGAAATGGCGCCATTGTTCACAAACAAAGAGCGAATTTTGAGAGCAAGAAACATTATGTGTGAACACCCTGAAAACTGTAGCGGAATTTAAACGGATCACTGTAAACGCAGTAAAATTCTACCGTCACTTTTTCGCTCCGGCATAGTGTAAACGTAGTCTAAATGTTGTATGTATTTAGTCCGAAAGAAAAATTTTGTTACCCATTGATATTGTTACATGTGGTAGAGGAAGGATTATTTTTACTACTCAAGAAACGTTTCTGTAGCTGCCAGATCAAATTCGTTGCGATCTGAATCGGCGAACATACCAAAAATTTGGCTTTTGCTATACAAGGTGTATAAAAAAACTTATAGAAAACAGATAGAAAAACCTCGCTATATTATTGATTGCCTAAGATCTACAAAAATCATTGATGGAATAGGTAGTTTTACCTCCAATGGTTCATCAAGCAGTAAAATTTTTGCAAGTAATAACCATTTGTTGAATGTAGAGTGAGAATTGTGTTACTAAATAGCACTTTTGAAATAGCTTGCGCACAAAAATGACAAAGCAAAAAATCAATTGGAACATGTGGGGATAAAACATGGCGCATGTTGTTTAAGCTACCAAAGATTTGAGAAACCTGCCTAAAGCGTACGCTTGGCATCCAAATCACGAACTATTCCCCATATTTCAAAATTGCTCCTTGGTAACAAAGCTTTCACTCTAAATTGGTTATTATTTGCAAAAATTTTACTGTCAAATGTACCATTGGAGTTCGAAATAACTACTTCCACAAAAGTTTTTGCAAGCAAATCTTGCATGCGACTTTAACGACGTTTGCCAAACACTTCAGTTTAGTTTTGTTTATACACATTTTATACGTTTGTTAAAAAATTGCGGTCTAGCTCTATAAAATTTTTGCTTCTATTAAAATTTAAGTTTTATGACTGTACTCATTAAAGTTGATTTGTTTATGTTGGTACCTGAAGAAACAAGTATGTGCTGGCAGTGCTGCTACAAGTTATTTTGATGGTGTCCTAAATCTAAACGAATTCACGAAACTGCATTAAGTTATCGATTTGCTCTTTAGCATTTTAAAATAGAAAAATATGCATAGCAATGTTTTCTGACAGATCTAAGCTCTCTACTGCATGAGTATCGGTTCATAGCAGTAGAGGAGCACGGGACTAAACGGGTTTGAGAAGCTCGCCATATGATGTTAATTAAGCTATCATCATTTATGCCAGTCTTCACAAGGTATATCATGTGTATGCAAAGTTTTCTTTCATTCTGAATTCGGGAGCAGTTTATTTAACTTTGTAAACATAACGAGATACGGCTTACGGTTACAACTAAAAATATGAATAATCATGAGTACAGTCATAAAACAATGTTGTAGCACTAGCCCTGTGGTCAGTCTTTATATCTTATATCCTATATTTCGGAGATATGAGAACTCTGCAATTGGTCACAAGAGACAACATTTAAACAATTTTACTGTAGGCCTCAATTTAATACCACAGTTGGGATGGCCATATTGTCTAGTAATTAAACAATCAATTCATAACTTTGAACTTGCATTTTTAAATGGAGCTGAGTATTTCGAAATATAATTTTGGGTTACGCAAGGGCCGCTTGAGCCCTGAGGGCAACACAGGTCACAGGTTATTAAAGAAATGCGAAACGACACTTAATAATGCAATCCCACCCCCGTATATTTTGTTTATTACACTAGGAACCATTTGGAGAAGGACGTTTGAGCACAATTCGTTTTGTTTATTGCCTTTTAATCATTGCATTTTGTTTAGTTTGGAGTGAAATAAAAGGACAGGGCGCGCGCATACATTCCTAACATATATTCAAACCATACTTGCCATTATTTGGATTGTTTACAAACTGTATATGATTGTTTACAGCCACCCAAAAAAGTCAATCATTGTTTAACAAACAGTCTATGGATTATTTGAACCTCCTACGGATTGTTTTCAGCCATATATGAATGGCAAATAATACGACGATGATATATCATGTAACTAAATAATAAAAAACAACACTCATTATAAGTTAAACATTTTTTTACGTTTGGTGCCCCATATTATAGTGTTAAAAAATTTTCTTACATTTGGCACCCCATAAGATAAAACATTCTACTTACATGGGTATACTTGCGTCGCCCAAAATTAACTTCACAAATCCAATTAAATAAATTGAATTAAATTGTTTGATTGATGCATAAATGATAAAGTTTTGTGATATTTTCCAACAGCTCCAGTTTCACCACAACAATTAATTAAACGGCTTATTGAAGAAGAGAAAACTCTTCCATGAGTTGGTTGAGAAGTTCAGAAAGCGCCTGTTTCGAATGAGAATTTTACCTACGTCATGGGACACGTGTTGACATCTTGATGTGAACCAGTTTGATTCTGTTTGAACAACCAATCAAAGCAAGTTACTAGTCCAATATTAATCAATTTAGTGATTAGTTGTTGTAGGTCGTGCATATATATAGGTCTTTACGACACGGTTGGTTCGAGTCGTCGTAGAGAAACTTCGATGTGGAAGACGGAAAAGAATTGGTAGCAGAAACGAATCGAATTATTTTCTTAACAATGTGCAGTAGTCGCCAACACTTGATCATCTTCATTTGTGTTTGTACGTGGTTGTCGACTTGTGTTGTGAGAAGTTTCGGCGCCGTTGAGCAGTGCATTGATGGTGTTTATCACAAATTAAGACCTACACCAGAAACAGCAGAATATAAATTTTGTACACCTTGGAAGAATCTGACTTGCTGTACAACACAACTTGACAATGAGATAGTACAAGGCGACTCGCCAAAGAAGTATAACAGCACGTGGCACATGTGTGGAAACCTTTCACCCAATTGCTCAAAACATTGGAAGCGACAGGTAGGTGACGTTAATGAGTTACCAAATTATACTTGCTTTTCCTTAGCACTTGCCACACAAAATTTGTTTGACCTATGAGATGCATTGGGCAACCATGACTTATATCTACCAAAAGAGTAAACTTGTTTAAAAATATGATGAAGGATCGGAAATCTTACGTATCTTTGGCAGTGACACACGTTGCTTCATTGAGCAGTTTTAGCTGCATATTTGATCAAGTAACTTTTTTATCTAGGAGTGTTTTTACCAATGTTCACCTTATGTGTACAAGTGGAAAAACCCATTGTATAAAGGAGCTTTTATAGGTAAGGAACCAAATGTTTTATTTGGCAAGAGTTATTTTTGATAAGATTTGATAGTTTTGATAGTTTTAAGCATGAATTATGTTGACCATGTCTTGCTTACAAAGCAAATCAACTACGTAGTGAAATGCTCTTGGCCAGGGATGAAGTCTGTTTTGCCTTTTTAAGTAAATATGTAAGTTTATGCCTAGGTATATCTACGAAAGATTGGAATATGTAGATTATAGCTGCTCTTTTCAATTTCAAAATACTATAAATAGAGTGCAGTTGGTTTGATATTTCTAAAGAAAATTACTATAATAATATGGAATAAAATATTAGCAATTTAGATGATCTATTTGTGTTCTTTTATTGGAAAAGCAATGAATGATATTTTATAAAAAAATGACCAATAGTGTGATAAAAATTTTGCATATTATGACTAAGATATCATCTCATTGCCATGTTGATTGCTTAACATATTTGATTGAAAACTTGCAATGGTGCATGGAAGAGTCTGTGTTTATGATTTGATTGTTAAATTGTTTATTTTTGCTTATTTTATTTATCATGTGTCAAGAGTGCACTATAAATTCATATTTATATGTTTGCATTTTGTCTGTCTAAATTGTGGTGAACATCATTTTTGGAGATCTTTGTGGTCATTCCAGCCATTGTGTATTTTTGTGTTTAGTTATCATAATAGTTTGTGTTATCATGGCACTTCAATGAAATGAATTAAATAATCAGATTAATTGATTCATTTTATCAAACTCCAATCATGTAGCACTCGACATTTTGCTGACATAAAATTGCAAATCAAATAGTTTGTTTGATCTAACTATCAATTACATACTCATATTGTAATTGTAATTTATCACGCAACAATACTAATGGAATGGCAGATGGGCTATGAAATATTTTTGATTATTTACACATAGGTGTCCCTATTTGTGCCGAGGAGTGTGATGCTTGGTATGAGGATTGTAAACATGATCTCATCTGTGTACAGAATGTACTTAGTGAGTACAATAAAAGTGAATGTTCTCAAAAATGTGTCAAGTACTCAGAGATGTATGGTAATGGTGAAAGCCTGTGTACCAAAATGTGGGGAGATTCATACAAATATGTCAAAAATAATGGTGAAAATTGTATGAAATTTTGGTTTGATGCATATTCACCAAACCCCAATGCAAAGGTTCTTAAAGAAGGCAATGGTTCTGCTTTGAAAAGTACTCCTGTAAAATTGCTGAAGATGACAGCCATGTGTGTCATCTTTGCCGTTTTATTGTTATAAACTGAGTAACTTTTTTGTTTATGTTTAATTATGTGGCTAGTGTATCAAACCATTAGTATGATTTATTGTTGCCCATGGAATTTTTGTTAATGTACTTATAGAAATTAATGCATGCAGAAAATATGATATTAAGATGCCATGAATTCCTGTAAATACTCACATAAACAGATCGCGCCGTGTGCATGGGTCAAAATAATATTCAAAATTAGACTAAAAATTAACTATCTATTCTATGTTCTTTTACATTACATCTTCAGTATCCGTTTGAGTAAAAATTCATAAATTTAGAAGCTCTAAAATGCTAGTTCCTGGAGTGTGGAAGAATATTTGACCTAAAACTGACGGTCTGGAGATTTTATCTTATCTTAATTTATAGAAGAATATTAAGCCATATGTTGAGTATATTCACAAAAATATTTTATTAAATGGGCCAATCTCAATAAAATAATGAGCATAGCAATATGTATGTATGGTACACGATTGCCAATTTTTTTCCACGATTATTATAAAAGCAGCCACATATATTAGAAGCTTCATCTTATGATTGTGCGACAAAGTAAATGGTTTGAACCCGGGAGTATCGTAACATGTTTGTGGATGAAGTTCGTCCAGGTTAGTGGAGTCCTGAGGAGGACTGTTGGTATTGATGTAGACTGACGTTTTGACAACCTTAGCGGTAGCCATTTTCAGAGTCAGTCACTCTGAGTTACTTGAACATGTTATTTTGCGACAAGTTTACTTAAGGTCTTTATCGCTTTCATTCACTATCATGTCAAAGCGCTGTTGTATTGTACCGGACGCTCAAGTGAAAGCACAACTATAGCCATATTTGTCTTCCATTCGAATACAAATATGCAAATTGTTTATCATGTGCGTTAGGCCTTCCGTTTGCCAGTGAAAGCCCGAGCTTTTCCTTCATTGTTTCTTTTCACTAAAGAATATTTTACGAGCATTCTACTTACTGACTCTCATTGACAACTTTCTTTGGCTTTTTAATAACTTAGCTTTGTCTTTATACTGAGAAAGTTATGTTTTCATCCACCTCGTGCTTTTTGTCTTAGCTTTCTTTTTCTTTGATCTAGCGGAGTCTCTTTGCTGTTGACGAACTTTTTGAAGATGATCACGAATCGTAGCATCGTATTAAAATACTGAGAAAAAAAATCTAGCGCAGAAGTCAGCATTGTTATTGGTTGTAATTAACTCATTGACGATGACCTTTAAATGCCAGTCCTTCCTTCTTCATTTGCGTTTACAACGATTCCATCAAAATGACCGATCTTCCCTACAATTAGCAATTATATATTTTTATGAATTTACGACATTTAGCTGGTATAGGAACTAATTCGCTGCTGGTGATATTTTTACCAAGAATCTGAAAAGATATCTTCGGTATTATGAATCTGTGTCCTATTCCTAATTTGTATTCTTTTTATTATTCCTAAATTTTATGTTGTGCTATAAATAATAAAGGTTTTAATAATCAACGATACTTTATAAAAAACTTTATCAGACTACTTTAGTTAGTTGTAATAGCTGTATAAATTGAAAGTCAAATATAAGGTTGCCAATATCATAGTGAAGCCGTGGTGATGAATTTAGCTTTGCATTAAAAGTTGGGGGAATTGTTTCATGAAGACTCAAAAAGATTTATTTACTAAAAACGTTCCAACTCTTGGTGTTTGATGACGTTCAAAATTTTGTATTCAAAGCTCAATATTTCAAAATACAGTATTGAAGGTTAGTAAAAAATTAAATTTAAATTAAACTGAGAACTTGTTTTGAACAAGTAGCAGATCAGTATTAACACGTAACAGTCAGATAGGGGAGAGGCAATCAAAGGGAAGAAGTATCTAAGTCAAAAGAATGGTAAAGAAGTACTGATACGTAAAAAAGAGAAAAGCACAGAGAAATATCAGGTAATATTTGATGGGTAAATTTGACGCGCACAGACAGCTAATGAGCTAATTACGTCACTCGTTCCGTTTACCATAAACAATGAATAAGCCGTGTAAGACAAATCATGTTCTCACAAATGTTATAAATAAAATAACTAAGACAATCCATGCTTTTTTATGCTCAAAATTTGACTTCAATTCACCGTCTTAGTAATTATAAAATGATACACCATAAATGATACACCAGCCTGCTTTGCGCTGACTCTTTGCCTGCCTAATCTTTCATATGGCAAATCGAGCCTCGTAGAAACCGCTCGTTCGTTTGGCTTTTGGTTTTGTTACAACACATCTTTATGTGTTTGGTTTTGTCTCGTGTAACTGTTTCATGTACTTTTTGAGTTTGATAGGGTATATCCTAGTCCGAGTCTCATTCATGTTTGATAGGGTATATCTTGCTCCGAGTCTCTTTCATGTAATCAGTACGTCGGCCTTAAAGTCTGTGATCTTGATTAACCTGATTAGGAAGGCTTTCGCTTCACGCTATAAACTGTTTCACGTTTCGTGAGGCTTTGCCAACACCAATATTGTAGTTAAATCAAGGAAACGTAGATGTACAAAGATTATAAATTTACGAGAAGAAAATAGAATCGTATATTGAAATTGTAACCGTGTAGCAATTATTCTTTATCAGTATGCATATTTAAAATAATTTTTCGTGTCGCTCTATTTGTTTAAATGTTGCAATAAAGTTTTCATGAAGTAATCAGTTGTGCAATATTAGCACATGAACACAAAACGTGGACATACACTATGTGAAACGTGGCCCATGCAGTTGAAGAGCAAACATTGTATATTTTGAAACTGCATCACTGGCCATTATCTTTCTATTTCACAAAGAAATTAACATTGCCATGTTCAAGATTCTCTACTTTCTGAACGTTTCAAGAAGAAGCTTTTGAAGCAAACTATACATTATACATTTTGATCGAATAAATATCCTTTCACATTTCTTGGTCTGCACAATGACGTCGAGACTGTTAAAGATTTATGTTCAATTAGTTGACTTGTATTGTCAAGGCATTAAGTACAATTTGTGTAGCTAATTTAAACTCATATTCTTATCGTCGTTTCCAAAAGATCTGTGATGTGACTTACGTGGACTTGGAGAGTTGTTGACAATTGAAGAACGTATCTTGTATGATGTAAGGTTGAGATCAATTTCAACATCGATCGCGGCATTTCTGCGAGATGTTTGTAAGTCCTATAAACAAAATCTCACTGGCCTTATCTCACGGCTTACGATACACCATTTTTAAGACCATCAACACTTATACTGTCAAAAGTTTTAACAAATGTTAGAACTATTAATAATTACTATACTTTATAAATAGAAAGCGAACAGGAGTTTGTTCAAAAGTAAAAATCTAAAACTGAATTCCACAATCCAGGCCATTATATTGGCTATTAAATGCTTGGAAAATTACGCTTTAATGTAGATTATTTAGCAACGAATGGTATTCACATTATGTAAGCTCTATAGATTTTAAATAACCAATAGAAACCCGGCACTTGAATGCAAATTTTTTTTAACTGAAGCTCTCATTTGACCTTTGGATTTCTCTGTGCAGTTGGTGAAAGACTGAAATTCTTGCAATTTTTCTCAATTGAGTTAGCAATTGTTTCTAGATAACGTTTTTCAACATGTACGGGAATATATCAAATTCAAACATCATCGTCCTCATATGCTTTTGCACTTGGTGGTCGACTTGTATTGTGAAAAGTTTAGGTGCCGGCGAGCAGTGCATTGAAGGTGTTTATCACAAGTCAAGACCTACACCAGAAACAGCCGAATATGAATTTTGTAAACCTTGGAAGAATCTGACTTGTTGTACCACACAACTTGACAACGAAGTTGCAAAAAACGACGCACCATTAAAGTATAACGACACTTGGCACTTGTGTGGAAATCTTTCAGCAAATTGCTTGCAATTTTGGAAACAGCAGGTAACTAACGTCAGTTGAAAAATTATACAATCGAATTTTTGTTAATTTATATGCGTTTAAAAATGGAATTAGACAAACCCAGGTCAAAAAATCTTTTAAGTGATATCTATACTTATTCTTACTACAGTAACATAATCCCGTCTGTTTTAAAAGTCGTTTTCAAATTAGTAAAACTAGACAAAGACACGTTGACAACATTAACATAAGAGTGGGGAGATATAAAAATGCAAATATGACGTTTCTAAAAGAATTCGCGTTTTAAGTAGGTCATGCTAATTTTTCACAACTGCTTTAGTTAATTGTTTGAGGGGTCCAGTTCCACCCCATCACTCGCGTTCGATGGGTTTTGTAGTTACAAGATGATATGGAATATCGATCATCTATCAGCTACTTTGTTACGTCTTGAACTGAATACTTTATAGACATGTCATGAACCATGATCATTTTTATGAGAGTACAATGGCACCATAAACAAAGAGACGAAAAGTGAATGCAATAAATAATGCAAATTAATTTAATGGATTTGCATGTTGGATTTTTTTCTTTGGATATCTAATTTATTTGGTAACATATAAATCGTGAATTATCGATGCTAGCGGTAGCCAGTAAATATTGGGCAACAAAATGCTGCATTTCAATTAAAACAAAATGGCTGATAATGAAATGTTTTTAATGTTTTTTTTACAACTCCTTGACAAAAAAAAGCCCTTTAGAACGTACATCGACTCATTTATTGAATTTTCACATGATGTTCCATGTGATGAGAACATTAAAACACATAATTTCTTCAAAAACCTTTTAGTCGCAGATAATTCGATTGTGATTAAATATTCGTGTTATAATATTTATTTAGGAATGTTTTTACCAATGTTCTCCTTACGTGTACATGTGGAAAAACCCATTGTATAAAGGAGCTATTAAAGGTAAGGAAATTGTGCATATCTAACTTTAAGATTAAGAACAGTTGTATGAAGCTCCGTCCTGAACATCATTTATGTAGCATGTTACGACAATGTTCAAAAGCATAGGGTTTGTTGCAAAACAGAATTCATTTATATTTTTAACAAAAAATCACGGTTATAATAATGAATCAGCTGTACCAGATCCGTAATAATCACGAAAGCTTCTTTAAAGTAGCTATGTATAGATCTACGCAATGGCCCTTCATTTGCAAGTGCTATAAAAAGGGCCTGTAAAAAAGTGCTAAGTAGTTTCATGCTTTTATTTCTCTCGTTTTTCCCAGATGTTCCCATTTGTGCAGAAGATTGCGATGCTTGGTATAATGCTTGTAGAGATGATTTAATCTGTGTAGAGAATGTCCTGGAGGATTACAACAAAACAGTCAATTATCGTAAAGCATGTCCCAATACACCAGGTTGTATAAAGTACTCACAGATGTACGGCAGTGGTAAAAACCTGTGTACCAAAATGTGGGGCGATTCATATAAATATGTCCAAAAAAATGGTGACAATTGTATGAAGTTTTGGTTCGATCGAAATTCACCAAATCCTAATGCAAAGGTGGATAGCTCTTCTATGAAAAGTGCTCCTGAAAATTTCCTGATGCTGATAGTCGTAAGCATCATCTACAATGTCGTAAAGTTCTAATTTTTTAACTTTCATAAAGCCAGTAATGTAGATAGCATTGATTCAGTTCAAACTCCTTTTACACTTTCGAGACAATTTTGTATTAAATGGATGCTTGCTGTAGTTCTTTAAATGAAGTAAATATAATAACTTACCACGATTACAACTAAACTAAATATGATAAGACTGAAAAATTGATGCAGATGATCACAAGGAAAACGTAGTAGACATAATTCTAGCATGGTTCACACATCCAAATAAAAAATCAATGCTACTGTTTTATATTGTATTGTTTTTACTTCGCAGGATAATTTTCATTCAACTGTATAAGTAATTTTCTAAAGAGATGTAGAAATTGAGTACCACAATAAATATTTACTAGCAATCAATGTTTGAGAACTTAATTGACCTTCTCTGAAGGTCACACATGCCGGCTCTGGTTAGACAAAAGTCTACGAAGGGAACGGGTTTTTTTTAAAGGAATTTGAAAGAGATAGCTTGATTTTATATACTGATGGGATTGTGGTTGATGTCGAGGAATTCGGTAATCGTCAGAAAACGCAGAAGACTGATATAATGGTTATAAAACTTTATAACCATGCATACGAAACTGTAAGACCACGTATAGATCATAAACATACCAATAATCTCAAAAGAATAAAAAAAGAACAAGTATGCGTATCTCGCCTATGGCATGTAAAAGCATATTTTTATGAAAATTTGCTCAGCTTTTAGGTGAAGAATAGCGTGCCAATAAATAAGTTAAATAATCCTGGCAATATGAGGGGGACGGCTATAAATGATGTTGCATGAACGGCCGTATACCACAATGAACTTTCTACACCAAGCTGATTAGATTCCTTACACCAACGGCTATTGAAATGCATTTTTTGGAGCTTTTCTACGTCATACTACTGCCAAATACGAGGGATAATCGGGAAAAAATAAATTTATTTTCAAAAAGCAAGGAAGGAAAACCAAATGCCTTGTAAAATAATTAATACATGAAAAACTATTGTGTACCAAGTTCTTCAGCCAATTTATCAGCTTTAATGATAACATCATCAATATCACCAACCATGTAAAAGGCAGCTTCAGGAAGATGATCGTATTTCCCTAAGAAATAAAACCAGACGTGACAATTAACATGTTTGTGACAGGTCAACGGAAAATTTGTGACAGGTCAACATAGAAAATATACGAACAAGGCAGACTTACCATCCAAAATTTGTTTGAAGCTATCGATTGTTTTCTGAAACAAAAATCAACGTGCAAGTGCAGAATACGGTCAAGAAATGCGTGGTGATAGATATAACATTTGCAAGTTCAGTAGCCGATTCAATCACCCATACGTAACTAACTACGGTAGCTATATGATTCTTTATGCGATCAAATCTATCGTATGGCAATAATCGCAAACATAGACTCGTTTGTCTCATCTTAGCAGCAACTACCTAGTTATAACTCAAGCAAGCGGTACAATAAATTGAAAGCTAATAACACGTTTTTTACAAAAAAAACTACGTACGTACTCTTCTCACATATTCAGTAAGTATTTGCCGCCTTCCATGTGTAAACGACAGTTTTGACACACTTTTAAGCATGCGTATTTTAACTATAAACTGTGATAGTTACCTCAATGGGGACGAGCTTGCCAATATGACCAGTGAAAACCTCAGCAACTTGGAATGGTTGGGATAAAAATTTCTCAATCTTCCTCGCTCTTGAAACAGTGAGTTTGTCGTCTTCGGACAATTCGTCCATACCCAAAATGGCAATGATATCTTGCAGTGATTTATAATCCTAACAATTTCAAACGCAAATGCATTAATAAATACATCGATAAATTGGAAATAAGGCCGGTAAAACTCTTTGCAACCACAGAAATTTTGGATGAATTAGATGGTCACAAATTCCTTTACCTTTTCAAAAAAATCAAATGGCACTTATTAGCCAATAACAACAAGTGTTTTTCAAAGCATCTTACAACATGTATGTAACATGGTAATAAATGTTCGATGGTTTGAATAAAATCATCACCAGCATGCAAGATTCTTAAATAAGTAATGTTGTCTGTAGCAGACACTTAATGAAATGATATTTCTAGGGAGATCCCGCGGCATGCCTATAGGTATACTTTTAAAATTTGATCTTGAGAAATTCAATTTAAGGATTCCAACGTACACATAATTCTACATACAAAAGAAAGTTTGATGTGTCTGCTGGTAAGTGTACAGGACAGAAGATTATTAAATAGTAATTATTTAACATCACAGTTATGAAGGTGTGATCTGAGGGATTTAATTTTAAAAATTATTGAGGGGGTTCTCCCCTCGCTCCCGTAGGGTCCGCCACTGAATGTTGTACCATGTAATTTGGGCCAATAAACGGATTGAAAATAGAATCCCAGGATGAAAACCAATCTCGTCAATGACGAGAACATTACTACCTATCTGTGCACTCAGCAAAGACAACAGGTCGAGAAAGATGAGTGAAAATGGCATAAAATAATGTAGACTAATGCATTCATGTGCATACTACGCTATTTATACGCCATACTCACGACATCTTAGACGACACGTATTGACAAATGACAAACCTGCAATATCTTTTGTACACCACGAGCAACGTTATAATGCTCTTGTCCAACTACATTCGGATCCATGATACGTGAACTGGAATCTAGAGGATCAACAGCAGGATAAATACCAAGTTCAGAGATACCACGTGACAAAACAGTAGTAGCATCCAAGTGAGCAAATGTTGTAGCTGGTGCAGGATCAGTCAAATCATCAGCAGGTACAAAGATTGCCTTGAAAGGTTAGAAAGATACAATAAAGTTAACTGTAACAATGCCATGTCATAAGCATTGCAAATTTCAGTTGAACAAGTCATTAGCTAATGTCGAATGTGAAACCCGTGGCAAATAATAAATGTAAGGTAATATATGTAAATGACTAAAGCGAAGCACTAATGCTTACTGAGGATGTATCAAAGATCTTATGAGCTCAAATTGCAAGCCAACTACTGTATGTATGTATATACAATGATGATAGTTTTTACAAGTATAATCATGTTAATGTTTATATCGCAGCTTTCATTCTCCACAAGTAGAAAATAACGAGTATAGTTTAGAAAAGTTTGCATAGTTATTTGAATTTTTTCTAAATTGGTGAAAAGGAATGAACGAAAACAGCCTACGTAAATGTACCTGCACAGATGTGATAGATCCCTTTCTGGTCGTGGTAATTCTTTCTTGCATAGTACCCATGTCGGTAGCAAGTGTTGGCTGATAGCCTACAGCTGATGGAATACGACCCAGCAAAGCAGATACCTATAAATTGTTAATAAAATCTGGTATAAAATATATAATGTAGGAAATGAAAAATGCCTGCATCAGGAAATCGTCTAAATCTAACTTTTCTATTTTTTTTATCAAAGTGTACAGTTGTATACAGCTAAGGTAAAGAGCTTATACAAGCTTATATTTTCTTTAAAAACAAGCTTTAAATCCTGGTACCCATTAATCTTACAATGTATTTGGTAAATACAATCGATTGATGTAATGTATTTGGTGTTATTTACCTCAGAACCGGCTTGGGTGAAACGGAAAATGTTGTCAATGAAAAGCAAAACGTCCTGCCCTTCCTGATCACGGAAGTATTCGGCGACAGTCAAACCAGTCAACGCAACTCGGGCACGAGCTCCAGGGGGTTCATTCATTTGTCCATACACAAGCGCTACCTATATTTATTATGTTATTAACATTCACCATGTTCAATTGTAAAAATATTATTGATGAGCAGCAGAATACAGAATTGAAGTGTCTACATTTAAAGCTTATGATTTCTTCAACATAAATCATACAGGCCATGTGAAATGGTAAATTCGTAATCATTGTCTGTGTTGTTGTTGTTGTCAGTTTTTATATATGTATGTATGCAGGAGAATAGTGTGTAAAGATGAGAAAGGTGTCATAAACAATAATACAATATTTCAAATGAAAATGGCCATCTGGCCATCATAATACAATCTCCAATCTTTTGTAGAAGAAAATATCACAAAAATAATGAGCCACAACTGTTGCATATCTGTTCATTCCGTTGTAATTTATCAAAACAAAACGGTTTTGCGACTCGAAAAGTATAAAACATTTGTATATCTTTACCTTTGAGGATTTATCTTTAAGATTAATAACACCTGACTCAATCATTTCATGATACAAATCATTTCCCTCTCTAGTTCTCTCTCCAACACCAGCAAACACTGAGTAACCACCATGAGCTTTGGCAACATTGTTAATCAGTTCCATGATAAGAACAGTCTTTCCAACACCTGCTCCACCGAAGAGACCTTGCAAAAGATAAAAGGACCACAATGTAAGAAATCATACAGTTCATTTATGTTGAATGTACTTTTAACTAACCAATTTTTCCACCCTTAGCATATGGAGCCAAGAGATCAACAACTTTGATACCAGTAACCAAAATTTCTTGCTCTGTGCTCATTTCAACAAACTCTGGAGCTTCAGCGTGAATGGGAGCACGTCTTTAAAAAGTGAAATTAATTATTACAATATATGTGATGGTTATACTTGCAAACAGGTACAAACACAAGGAATAATTCATAGTAAAAAAAAATAAATAACAAAAGCTCACAAATCAGTAGGAATAGGTCCTCGTTCATCAATAGCTTCACCAATAACATTGATGATTCTGCCAAGAGTCTCAGGACCAACAGGAATCGTGATAGGACCACCAGTATCAACACATTCTTGACCTCTCACCAAGCCTTCAGTTCCATCCATAGCAATTGTGCGTACAGTGTTTTCACCTTAAAATAGAAGTATTAATTTAACATTGAACTTTTGAGAGTAAATATATAACACAAATATCCAATGTTTAAGATAAATAAACTTCTATTCTAATAAGAGCCTTGGTTCACCAGAATAATGAATAAACATACAAAATATGAACCAAAGCCTGATTGGATGCTGTGTTCAAAGAGTAAAAAGTACTTGATTATAGAATACGTAGTCAACACGTAATTCTAATAACATAGGAAAGAACAGTTAGGTTTCTGCAGCCTATAAAAACTTAATGAAAACACAGAAAATTTTCTCATAGTAAGATTAAAAGTGAGATATCTTTCGCAGGATTTGCCTATATTTTGTTTTGGAGCAGTTTCAAAAAACCTGGAGCAGTTTTGCAACCTCGAAAACAAAGACATTTTGTAAACATTTCACAATAAAGATAATCAGTAATTTTTATTTCAAATACTTAATATAAGCAAATTCATCATATTTTTAATGTGAAAATGAATAATAAACTTTCAATATTCATATTAGCAATTTCATGCAACAGGCAACTTCATTGTGCGAATTAGTTGAGAAAAAACAATGTGCAATTTTTTTTGGCAAAAGTGTTTCTTTAGAAGAATAATCAAATTTGGCTTCTTTTTCTCACGTTATCAAAATTCCGTTTGGTTTATTTTTCAAGTTTGGCTTATTTAAGTTTTTTGTCGTCTTTTAAGAATCAAAATGAAAATGTTTCCTGATTTTACGGAAAATACTCAAAATAGCTATGATGCCATAGACAGTACGTAACGGTTTACAAAACAACGCAAATACAAAAATTGACATTAATAATGTATTACACCCCTATTGTCATAAGAATATAAGCACCATATATGTTGACTGTTGACAGACTTCCCAGTCTCAAAGTGACAACGTCTTTGAATTTGATGACATTGAGTCAACATGGATTTAAATGACATGCAGCGCAATCATTGATAAAGCAAAGATCAGTAAAGATTAAGCTTGAAAACTTTTTTCAATTTATGTGGTAGTAATCAATAAAGAAGTTTTTTGCATATTGTTTGAAAAAGTGATGTGCTATTGTTTTCATTTTAGCTAAAACGATGTGCAAATTGCACATTGCACACCATTATCGCACACTGGGCAACTTCATAGAGTATAAAACAAATTCAAAAAAAACATGACATCTTGAGATTGCAAAATATGCCTCAAAACATGATGAGAAGTGAACTGTAAATTTTCGGCTTTATTTCGATTGTCTGAGGATGACTTTGAAATAAAGTTGAAAATTTACAGTTCACTTCTTGTCTTGTTTTGATTCATATTTTGCAATCTCAAAATGTCTTGTTTTTTCGGAATTTGTTTTATACTATATTTCTTTAAATTGTCGGCTGGTCATGGTTTTAGGCAACTTCATTATCAATACAATGTCACTTTATTATATTAAGCATCTTTTGGAAAATATTTATCGCAAAGTTCTACATAGCATAAAAATACAAATTACAGCATAATTGAGCTTGATGTATGAAAATTAGGCAAGAACAATAAATTAAGTATGGAAAATGTGTGGCAGGGAAAAACATGGAAAACACTGAGAGGTGTTTCAAACAACGTCAAATTATTATAACAATGTAACTTTTTTTAATTAATATATTTACATGAAAAAATAAGTACTCATTCATAAAGCTAATATTTGTAAGACTAGATCACAAAAAATTCAATCTGTGTCCTCTAAAGAACAGCTAAAAACTATTGATAAGAATACTCTTACGGAATTGTCACAGTAATTGCTCACAGAGTTAAATAAGAACTCACTTCAATTATGTACTTTAAAAATGAAAAGTCCCATATTCTAATATATACACTTCAATATTCATTAAAAAAAGCTACTTTCATTTGAATAATGTATCCACATCAGTCTGAATGGACTTGAAAGAAATAATGCATTACAAGTATGTTCAGTTTAACTTTTAATCGAGTGTTGTGTTAAAAATTAACCAATTTCATAAGCTATCAAAAATAATAAGCAATAAGAGAGCAGAATAAGGAGGTGCAAAGAATATTATGTTTTTTTGCAAACAAATTATAACAAAATGAAAAGGGCTAACAGCATTTATATCTTACCAAGATGTTGAGCCACTTCCAAAATAAGTCTTGAAGATCTGCCCTGGACTTCCAAAGCATTAAGAATTGGAGGGAGCTCATCATCAAATTGAACATCAACAACAGCACCGATCACAGCTGTTATACGTCCAGGAGTCACTGTTTTGGCTGCTGCTTTAGCTCCAGCATCTGTTTTATTTGTGGAAGCATATCGTTCTGAAAGAGCAAAAATTCATATTATGATGGCTAAGAATTTATATATTTCATACAAAATTTGGCTAATGACCACACTAAAATCAAATTGTGATTAGCTCAGTTCATTTAAATCATCAGTTGCAATTAATTATGTATCATAACATTTACCATAAAATTCAGGCTTGCAGGATTTAATGAAAAAGAGAGCATGACAAATTAGCTTTAGTACAAAAACCATTATCTATCAAATTTAACTTCAAATTACAATTACAAATCATCACAATTAAAAACAATTATAATTATAAAGTAATAAAAAACACTTTTCATACAAAATACTCAACAAAACACATAAAAAACAGGTATTAAAATGACAACAATATTAAAGACACCCATGTGTGAAATGAGTGTGGTCTTTGGAAAATTACGTATGAATAGTTTGTAGAATTCTTTCTTGTTTTATGCAAACTAGCAACAAAACAGGAAGATCAACCATTTACATCAATATAATGTGAATCCTAAGATTTACTCTGATGCTTCTCAACAATTTACAACTTGTTCTATATTTAGTAACAGTAGAAGTCGGTTTACAATGTTATTAACAACTGAAAGCAACACACTCGTTACATGAAAGTACTTAACTGTTGTAATCTACCTTGTCTAATGAACTAGCTTAGGCTAATAGCCTAATACATTTGATTTCTTTCAGATTTTTTTCAAAGTGTATTACAAGGCTGCAAACCTCATAGTCTGCAATATGAAAACAATAGCTAACTATATCATAGCACATGGCATATTAATTCTAGAACATTAAAAACTCGTGGAAAGCCATTGTATCATAGAATGAGAAAAGGCAAAACAGAGTTATTTAACTTTCTCCAATGTAGGTCTACATTTAAGATACCCGAAAGATTTAAAACAAAAGATGAAAACGCGCAACGAAATGCAAATTTCAAAATACATTCAACATAGACATATGTTTGTACAATATGTACAAGCTAAAGAAACTGCCGTAAAATACGATACAAAGTATGTATGACAGAGCAGTCATGCACCAAGTACCGGCTGTATAAAAGAATAAATACAGACAACTATCAAGTTGAATTTTACGGCAAATTTCTAGCGTAATGACTAAAAATTTCGATTCCTACCAAGAATAAAACTCGAAGGAGTTACTTGTCTCTGCAACTGGCTAATAGTTTTAGGATAAATAGTTCTTTTTGTAGCGGCATTCACCGCTCTCCTTAACGCGTTGGCCAACATGGCGGTTCAAACAAGGCAAGATTTAGCTTTGCAGGGGGTATATAACCATTGACACACGTGAATACACGAAGTATTCCGAAAGTTACCGATAACAATGTTTTGAATTTTGACACTTTTTCACTATTCTCAACTTCTTAAAATTCGAAAATTTGGTGGGAACCGAAGAATCAAAAAAATAGATAAGGAATCAATGACGAATGAAATTTCAGTTGCGTCTTATCGTACTTGTTCTTTTTGTCTTCTTTGTTTCCATTTGGTTTGCTCTGAAGCCAATTCAAAAATCTGTCGAACTCCATTGTTCTGACAATGAATCTTGTTTGGATGAAATAGGTAGCAGCTTGAAGGACAAGGGCGCTAAAAGCCATGCGAGCGAGCAAATTATTGGAATGTTGTTTAATCAAAATGACGAGAAATTGAGAGACGAAGGGTACAATCATTACGCTTTTAATGATCTTATCAGCACAAGAATCGGTTCGCATAGATCAATCCCAGATACAAGGCATGGAACGTAAGACCTTAGTTATTGAACTATCTTAGATATCTTAGATAGTGTAGGACCAGAGGGGAGAGTGTAAACATTTAAATATCAGAGTTTATGATTGAAAGTTTTCTGAAACTAACCCCACACACACACACATAAGATCTAACAGCCAAGGATGTTGTGCTATGTGGTATTCATATATAAGCCCTGTTTGGGTGAAAACTGTTTCTAAATTTAAGAACCCAATGGGTGACTCCATTTGTTGAATATGTAATTTTTATTTCATTTTGGTTGTCTATTACATCGTTAAAGCAAAATAATAATGATAATTTAACCAATGCTAAATGATTATGAGCAGTTAGTTTGATGATAATTAGTCATTTTGTCATGAAGTAATTGGCAAAATTTCATTCAAGTGCAAATTTCATTCAAGTGCAAATCTCTACTCATATGTTCCATTATACATAAAAAATTGACATTTGCAAACTGAATGATAAGTAAAGTGTACATCAAATAGAAACAGCCAAACTGGCATCTAAAGTTAAAAACAATTTGCATTATTATTGTTATGTGGTAATGAGTGTTCACACAGCTTTTTGTAAACTAAATGCTTATTAAGTTTGTAGTTAATTGTCCTATGACTTCATTTCTTTTGTTTTCAACCCTTTGAAAAATCTCACACAATGTTAATATTTTCAAACTTCATTGAACATCTCATTTATCTATATGTTTCAGTTGTAAAACATTGACATATCCAAGTAAACTGCCCACTGCTACTGTCATCATCTGTTTCCATAATGAGGCGTGGTCCACATTGTTGCGTACAATTTATAGTGTCTTAGAGAGAACGCCAGATGTCCTGCTCCGTGAAATTATCATTTTCGACGACTTAAGCAATAAAGGTAAGTATGATTCCAAACAGTGACAATTATTTTCTTTTTTCATGTCTCATTGTTTCATATCATGTTTGGATAAGTTTGTTTTGTGATTCCTCTTGTACCTGGGAATCCCAATGAAAATAAATTACCATGGACTACAATCCGTAAATTCTCAAATAAAAAATTTGGTAAAAATCAGTAGTTTGGAGATTGTTTCCTTTAATCTGCCCTATAGCCATAAATAAGTACTCAGCTAGACTATGCAGAGCCATCACCAACGTTTATCTTGACATCTGCTTCTAGGGCAATCGTTGGTGAATACAGTTTACACTACCCCCAACACACCCTCCAACAGAAACTCATGAGTTTCTTCATTACAAACGTAGGTTTTTAGGGAAAATGGGGAATTAGCCTATGTCATTTTGCCCATTTAACATATTGACTCAAACTTATTAAAACTTTATTTTTGTTGATTTTTTGAAAAAACGTGAAAATAGTCTTGATAGAATTAACCGCTTTATAATCTTTGCGTGGTGTATGACTCAACATTTTCGTATTTTTTCATTTCCAAATAAAATGCTAGCGAAGAGAACTGCGACAACTACGTATTTGTAGCTAGTAGCTAGATGGTAATATGTAATATTTTACTTATAGATTCAGACTTAATATTTACTTATATTACCAACGTTTACCACATCTGAAGGGACAAAACTGTGCAATTGTGTTTGCACTTGTGTTTTTCGTTTGAAAAACAGAAATCATGATTTTCTTTTTCAGACCATTTAAAAAAAAGATTAAGTGATCATTTGATGAACCTGCAAAAAGTTAAATTGATCCGCTCAACACGAAGAGAAGGTCTTATACGCGGTCGTGCTATTGCTGCATCAAAGGCAACGGGAGAAGTTTTGGTCTTTCTTGACAGTCATTGTGAAGTAAACGTTGCATGGTTGCCTCCGTTGCTCAGTGCTATCGCCAGCAATTCTCGTACCGTTGTTTGTCCTGTGATCGACTTGATAAATTCAGATACGTTTCAATACCATGCGTCACCTTTAGTCAAAGGTGGCTTTAATTGGGGATTACATTTTCAATGGGAGCCACTCGATATAACAAGCTTTACCAGTCAACTGAACTTTACAAGTCCTATACGGTAATGATTTTAGACATACAGTAGATATAAGACACGTTTTGGCTGCCGAATTCGGAGCAAATTGCCTGAACTTTACCAAGTTCACAAGTTCTATGTGTTATCAACTTCTGTGGTAGAAAGTAATTTCCGTTTTTTTCTGAAAAGGCTGTGCACTTAATTGCATGCTTTATTAATTTCATGTTGAAAATTTTCATCAACTAATTTTATCACATGTTTTTGTGACAGCTATCGTAGTATCCATTCTTTTTGTTCTGGAAAAATTGTGTATAAATTTTGATGAAATGTTAAAACAGCTTCATTTAAATGAGCGTAACGTTACTGTGATTACTTCTACATCGTTACAAGAACCTCACTAGAAGTAGGGTGTAAGAAACCCACTACTGAGGGGTTTAACCTACCTACCTACTTGGGTGTTGGAACCTACCTATTAGGGGTGTTGGAACCTACCTACTAGGGGTGTTGGAACCTACCTACTTGGGTGTTGGAACCTACCTACTAGGGGTGTTGGAACCTACCTACTAGGGGTGTTGAAACCTACCTACTGGGGTGTTGGAACCTACCTACTGGTGTGTTGGAACCTACCTACTGGGGTGTTGGAACCTACCTACTGGGGTGTTGGAACCTACCTACTGGGGTGTTGGAATCTACCTACTGGGGTGTTGGAACCTACCTACTGGGGTGTTGGACGTTAGAAGTTTCCCAGTGGGAGTATCTAAACCCTCCCAGTTGGGGGCTCTCTTTTGAACCTGCTTCAATACTGTGTCGGTTTTCTCTTTTAGATCGCCGACAATGGCCGGTGGACTGTTTGCTATTGATGTAAACTTTTTTAATTTTCTTGGAAAGTATGATGACGGCATGGAAATATGGGGTGGAGAGAATCTTGAAATTTCTTTTCGGGTTAGCAATACATATACACTATACACTAGGCAATAATGCTTGGCGACATACGTTGCTCAAGTTGAAAATTTTTTTTCCTCGAGAGAAATTGATTAAGTATCATCAATTTGTTTGACTTATAGGATAAATCTAAAATACATTTTCCGTAATTCTTTCTTCAGATATGGATGTGTGGTGGTGAACTAAAGATCTTGCCTTGTTCACGTGTTGGTCATGTGTTCCGCAATCGTCGACCATATAATAACGACGGTAAAGACGACACTATGTCGTACAATTCCATGCGCGTTGCCGAGGTTTGGATGGATGATTACAAGAAGCATTTTTACTATGCAAAAAAGCATTTAAAGGGTCGCAACTACGGGAACATCTCGGCAAGAAGAGAATTACGACGTGAGTTAAAGTGCAATTCGTTTAAATGGTACTTGTATAATGTCTACCTTGAGCTGGAAATACCTTCTGAACGAAGAGGAAGCAGTTTGATATTGCAAAGAGAAACTGCAAAGAAAACGAGCATATTAAAATACGGAAAGGTATTTTAATGTTACCTTCATCATGAAACGTATTTAGACGACAATAATGCGCTTTTAGTGGATTGCAGAACTGAATTTGTGTCACTTTAATCATCCAATGAAATACATTTGTTATCAAAGGCGCATATCTATTTTGAAAAGTGGAGAAGAAAGGATATCTCGGGATGTAGAAGTCGTTTTTCTCCTATTTTACCATTTGAAATCATTGATTTCTAAAAAGTGGGATGGGTATGTCCCCACAGCCCTCACCGTTCCCCCTGCCTCACGATTATCGCCTTTGATTTTGATTCAAGCAAACCATCGTCCATCGTTTATAAATAAGTAATAATCCATCGTCGATACAGTACGTATACCTCAAAATAAGCAAAATACATAAAGGCTGTATCACAAAAGTTAGAAAACTTGAAATCTTCGAAAAAATTGTCATTTTATCAAACATCAAAATTTCGCAAAGTATTTTGGCATCGAATGGTTTTCTAGGAGTATAAACAATCCGAAAAATTAATTTCTAAAAGAGAAAAAAAGAAAGAGAAAATTATTACAAAACCTGTGGACAACTCTTTGTCAACCATTCCTTTCAAAGCATTTATCTATCGGCGTGATTATTTTTCTTTAGTACCTTGTTCGTAATTTGTTATTAAACAGTTTGCTATTCTATTTTGTTCCATTTCAGTTACGCAATGGTCTTGGAAACTGTTTGGACTTTCCATTGAATATTTTAGGAAAAGATGTCAATCCTATTTTTCGCAAATGTACAAAAATAATGAGAAAGGTAATGAGATTGTACTGGATAACGAATTGATAAAGTTACTGATACGTATGCTAAAATTTTATAAGTGTTTTTCTTTCTTTATTAGGACACCGAGCACTGTAAATTTACTACTCTAAACTATTTCTCCAAAATTTTACGTTTCTGTTATTGTAAAATTATCGTTCTATATTAACGGACAGATTTTGATTTCTCTTTCTAGAGTTTTTGGTACTTGGACGACATTAAGCAGCTTCTGTTAAAATTGAAATATTGTTTGGATGTAAGGAAAAGGCGTTTTCCTCAACTCGTAAAATGCCATAGAGATGGAGGAAGTCAACAATGGTTGTATATGAAGGTAATTGATTAGAATTCCTCTGCATATTGGATTAACTAGTGACAACAATTGCCATAATATACTTTATTCTGTTTCTCCATGTGATAAATTTAACAAGTTTTTAAAGAATAGCTACGTGATTTCTCCACTTCAGAAAAATGGACTCCTCTACAACTTGGCTAGTGGTACGTGTCTATCTCAGTCAAAGAACAACTTCATTGTTATGACTTTTTGTAATGAGTCAGACATATCTCAAACATGGCATTTTGATCGTGAAGGAATTTGACCCTGTGTCACGTGTTTGTAGTTATTTCAAAGTATGTATCTCTCTCGATTTACCGGGCGTGCGTGTGAAAATGTTATTTTGTGCTATGAATAAGGCAAAGATCTAATAAAGTCTTTTTCGTGTGAAAACAAATGTAACTCTCTCTGAAATGCTATGTTCCAGTCCAGCTGTCGTGAATTAGTTTTCACTCGTCAATAAACAACTGAATTCTAATGGTTCAAACTCACTTTAAAAACTTGTTTTGTATGAATATGAAAATAAAGGTTAATTCGTGGTCATTATTTTTACCAGAAACTGGTACACTAGAGAAAAGAACTGAAAAAGACAAAACAAGACAGACGCCTATAAAGCGCACACTTGGGTTCCTCAAGAATATTGTTTGGTAGTTGGTAATTGTAGCGTATTATACAAAATTCAGAGCAATGCAATATCACATGCGGCATTACATTATTTACATGTAAATAAATAGTGTTTCATGTACTGACAAAGACGTGCAAAGCTGTTCATATGAGTTAACTATAGTAAATGCAAAGTTATGTAAAGCCATTTGCTTCTCATAACCAACTTCACTTTATAGTTATTGGTGAATTAAAACTTTTTGGCTAAATCAATCATAAAAGATTTTTAACCCTTTACTTGGCGAGTTTTTTGAAAATTTGTACACATTTCGTTTGGTAATTGTTACCTTATGGCAACACTGCCGAGTAAAGGAGTTAACATTAATTTAAGTTAGACTATGGAACACTTGAAACATAGGAAACACACAAAATCCGTCAAGAAAGCTTAATTCTATTATAGTGACGACTACTTTTGTGATGGAATTTATAATAAACATTTGAAGTTTTACCTTTATGTGGTGAGATACCATAGTAAGGCTTTGTTTCAAAGCTGTTCACTGCCAATGTCAATATTAAAACTAACACAGACAGAGAAAGTGAGAACGATGCCAAAGACGGAGATTGTAAGGACGATTCCAAAGACGAAGAAAGCGAGGACGATGCCAAAGACGAAGAAAGTGTGGATGATGCCAAAGACGGAGAAAGTGAGGACGATGCCAAAGACGGTGAAAGAGAGGACGATGCCAAAGACGGTGAAAGTGAGGACGATGCCAAAGACGGAGAAAGTGAGGACGATGCTAACGACGAAGAAAGTGAGGACGATGCCAACGACGGAGAAAGTGAGGACGATGCCAAAGACGGAGAAAGTGAGGACGATGCCAAAGACAGAGAAAGTGAGGACGATGCCAAAGACGAAGAAAGTGAAGACGATGCCAAAGACGAAGAAAGTGAAGACGATGCCAAAGACGAAGAAAGTGAAGACGATGCCAAAGACGAAGAAAGTGAGGATGATGGCAATGACGATAAGAGTCAAAATAAATTTGATGAAGTATCTGATGCTGATTATGAAGAAATTTAAAAATGAAGAAATGATGAGAAAAGGATGAGAAATTTAAAAATGAAGTGGAAACACTTGCTGATGTGACCAACGCATAAAGTCGAATGATGTGATCGTATTCTTGCAACAAATTGATGAATACGGTCAATAGCATTTTCTAAGCCCACATCGAATTTTCTAATTTTTTTACGAACGAAAAAAAAAACTCAAATGAAAATTTACGTTGTGTGCGTGATGTTGATCAAGGAGATTTGATGTCATTCAAACAAATAACTTGCACGGTGCAAAATTTGCATAAAATCACATTCTAGCAATTAGAAAAGTCAACAAAAATTGTCAAAAAAATTCCATAACAGACTTTCCTTCATATAGTATCTTTCAACATGAGCAAACGGGACAACAGTATGCCCAGTATATAAACAGGTTGTATCAAAAAAAGGTAGCCTCTGGAAAACGTCTTTGAAATAAGATGCGCGTGGGATAAGAAAAAAGGTTAGGTGATTCCAAGTATCAAGTTTTGTCATTTGAAATTATATATATGCATTTCGGAAATTTTTATTAAGTAGCTACGATATGAAAATAATTAGCAAGCCAATTTCCTAAGGTATAGATGTTGTATTAAAAGTGCGAAATGCGAAAAAATGCAAGTTATAAAGACTTCGTGTTGGCCAGCACTTTACGGTGGCTCACAAGGGCCACCACACAAAATAAAAATATTAATACACACACAAAATAAAAATACACACGCAAAATAAAAAACACACACTAAATAAAAATACACACACAAAATAAAAATACACACACAAAATAAAAATACACACACAAAATAAAAATACACACACAAAATAAAAATACACACACAAAATATGATTGCGGGCGCTTGCAGTGTCGGCTTACTCGGAATTGCTCGTAATTGATCGCATTTGTTTTCAAAGTTCTAATGGTTCCAACTTCCAGAGTATATAACAAAATTCACTGATTTCACTGTGATCAATTATTTCAAAGTTGCTTACGATATTGCTCCCCGTATTCTGGTTAAAATTAAGGTTAATGTGTTGTCCTTTGAAAGGACATTATTGCTCTAGCCTGTCCTGTATTTGTTATAAACAGCTTTGGGGTACTTGAAGTTGAAGTTAACGGACTTGCAGAGCTCGAAGGGCAACTGCTTGAAGAGACGCTACTCGTCATTGACGCTTCAGAACATTTTGGCAAAGAAGTTAATCTTCCCAAACGCACACCGCATTTGTGACAAAAAGAAGCTTCGTCAAGTGATTGTGCACCACAGTTGGCACAAAACATAATTATGCCAGGATTATGCAAGAGCTTGCTTTCGATTCCTTTCCAAATGTAATTTCAAATGTTTCGCAGTTGAAACAGTTAAATACGACGACAAGTCGACCACATCTTAAAATCACAATTAGTAAATTACACATATCTGATTACAAACTGATAATATGATAGTCAGACCATCCGACACTGCAAGCGCCCGCAATCATATTTTGTGTGTGTATTTTTATTTTGTGTGTGTATTTTTATTTTGTGTGTGTATAATGTATTTTGCGTGTGTATTTTTATTTTGTGTGTGTATTTTTATATTGTGTGTGTATAATGTATTTTGTGTGTGTATTTTTATTTTGTGTGTGTATTAATATTTTTATTTTGTGTGGTGGCCCTTGTGAGCCACCGTAGCACTTGCCTCTAATTACTTGAAATTTGGATAGTTTGAACCACAGAATAGGAAATGAACTGAAGGCCAACTTACTGTCAGAGCCTATGAAGCCAGTGTCCTCGCGCATGTCTCATTGCGCATGCTAGAAATTCGACGGCCGCCATTACTCTGGCAAGATCTGGCCAAGGAATTTATATATAATTGTATTGTGCAAAACATTTATTACACATTGTGGAGGTTAACTTTCGGAATCTGCGTTCTAATTATCAGAACATCAAAATACAAGGAAATACTGCCAATATGTCTATTGTGTAGTCAAACACTTTAAATCGCATAAAAATTGTGCCTTACCTATTAAAATTTCATTACTGTGCAAGATTTCCACGATTGATGAAAGACAACGTTTAAAAGCGTGATTTTCTCACATAAATATTCCATTGTACTATATAATTTATAGTAGCCAGCACTGCAGCCACAGTAATGCGGCAGAGTAAGCCGGCACAGCCAGCAGCCTCAGTAATGGCGGATCTGACGTAAACGCATAAAAAATCTGGGACGCATTGCACCCCTTAGTTGGCCTTCTGTTAAAGAATGTGTGTCAACCACGATGCATTTCGCGCTTTTGCTTATGTTTACATCGTTAATTTTTGAGCCATCGGTATACTGAATCTTAGTTCCCAATTTACGTCATCTAATTTTTAGCTGAAAAATTCAGCAAAAAAAACATTTAAAAACTTTGACTGTAATTACGAGTGTTGAGTTAGTACAAACTTCGAAACGGACACAGGTATAAGTAAATTTCATTTTGCAGAACATATTTTTATTAAAATGCATAGAAAATACAGTAACACTCAACGTTCTTATTTTTAATAACGATTTGCTAGTTTTGTAGTTGTAAATTATAGACGTAGGGCTATAGCTACGTTTTTCTTTTTATTCAAAATTTGAAGAAAATAAGCAGCAAATTCACTATCTGTCTGTTGTGCCATTCTATTTAACTCTTTTTGTCTTATTCACTCGTGGTATAATTCAATCGAATCCGGTGTTGTTCAACTTTCCATTTTGGCCTTCCACGCTTAAGAACGACGCCATTTCAAATAAAAACTTTTAAAATTACTTAAAAATTCTATTTTAAAGTTGTCAGTTGGTCAAAGTTCCATGGAGAACAAATTATAACACAAGCCACCATTTTCGCGTGCCAGAAAATGGCCGCCACGCCGTGATCAACGCATCTTGGTTGACACACATTCTTTAATTTTCTTACACAGAACAGGTGATTTAATTGTTTTTCCCGATGATTATCTTGTTTGCGCAAGGCCGTTAAAGTACTAAGAATAACCAAATGTTCTTGCTTTGCCCGCGCGCGTCTTTTTAGCAAACTTTTTCCATGAGGGTACCCTTCTTTATACATCCTGTATAGCTACAACATGCAGACACAGAGATACGGGAGGGGGGACGATTGCGACCTAAACTATCCCCTTCTTCCTCAAAACTGGGGAATTTAATAATTATTCATATATACTTCATGTAGGGTAATCCAAATACTTGTTTTTCTGTATCGGAATCCTCTACATTCTTCATTCTAACAGAAATTTTCAAAATTGTTTTTAAAAAAGTGGTTGGAGGCAGTTGAAAAATGAAGTTGAGGACACAAGAAAACTGACTGTTTTTCTTGTTCATCCCAACGCAAGGCAAAAGACTCAAATCATACAATTATTAATGAAAAATTATAGAATCTTTATGTTGAAAACAGCTAAAGTCAGAGAGCACAAAGTAAAAAATTGTGAGTTGTAAACTATTTAAAATGGTTTTGACACGAATTTTTATCACGAATTTTTTAACTCGTTACGGTAAGAACATTTCAGTCATTGCATCATCACATTTTAAAGATCATGAAGTTATTCACATTTTAACATTTTATTTAAAAATACAAAAGTCAAAAGTCTATGTACGTATGACACAAATTTTGGAATATTTTCTTAAATAAGATCTCCATAAACTACGATGGATTTGCTTTTTAACAATAATCTTTGCGTGCTTACTTCAGGAACTATTGGAGCCTTCGTAATACCATTTATACTCTGTCTTTTCCTAAATTGCATGACTGAATATCATGGTTTATTTACTTTTTACGTTTTAAGGCCTAGTTTAGACGTCGAACTTTACATAAACTTTACATGAAATGCATTAAAGACAAAGGAAAATGGATGAACTTCTTCATTATCTTTTGTTTTAAATGCATTTGGTTCGTGTAAAGTTCGACGTTTAAACTAGGCCTAAGTCTGCTCGATTTTTATCAAAAATTTGTGATTGATGTGAAAAATAATTACTTATCCATTATAAAACAATTGTTTTAATATTGACTACAATAATTGCAAGTAACAGAGTCCTTAAGTGTGACGTCACGTTGCCATGGCGCTCAAAAATGCAGTTCTAAACAATATATCTAATGCGAGCGCTTTGGACACGCTTCTTTTGTTTTGAATGTTTAAAGCTTTAATTATCCAGTGTAATCCCACAAAAGACAATAAAAAAGCAGGAAAGGTTAAAGGGACGTGGTAAAGGAGGTAAAGGGGTAAAGGACGTGGGTCAAACGGGCAAAATGGTTTACTGTTTTGCTCCTACATGTGGCCATTCGTCGCAGGGCAACACTTGCAAGTTCTTCGCTTTTCCAAGCGCTACAAAGCAGAACGACGAGTACAAGAGATGGATTAGACTCATAAGGTATGAACTGATATTCAAAAAGAATTCCTTAATCGGTGAGAATTTGATGAATTACATGATTTTAAGTGAGATTTACGGACTCTATTCAGGTGAAGAGTTGACATCAGGACATGAGGGAGAATCATCGAACACTGAATTATAGAAGCTTTCAGCTAGTTGTCTTTTTAACGGTTGCTTTGTATTTTCCGTAGCCAAAACCTTAAATCTTAGTGCTTTGGAAGGTATAATCCATCAATTTTGAGGATCAAATTTTTATCACTTTAATGAAAGTACGACAGAACTACACACAGCTTCACCTAGCCCAATTGTTTCATTGTAGTGTGGCTACAATTTCTAACATTGTTATAAAATTCACTCATGTTTTGCATGAAATTTTGTTTGATGACCTAATGACGTCTATTCCATCCATCCTGGGAAAAAGACAAGATCTCAGCACCCTTCTCTTTCAGGCAATTTGAATCCTGTCGGATTGTTATAGACTGCACATATAGTGAGGTTGCTGCACCGGGATTGATGAGTCAGCAAAATGCAACCTATTTATCATACAGAGGAATGAATTCCTTTAAGGTAATAGTTGGTGTTGCACCAAATGTCAGTCAGCTGTATCCAGGTTCTATTTCAGACAAGACCATTGTGCAACAGTCTGGACTCCTTAATCACTTGACAGCTGGAGATATGATTCTGGCAGACAAGGGTTTCCTTATCCAGGATGTTGTACCACATGGTGTCTATGTCAATATCCCACCTTTTCTGAATAATGGAACTTTCACAGAGAGTGAGGTCATAAAAACAAAAGCCATAGCTAAAGCACGGAGTCGTGTTGAAAAAGCCAATGCTAGGCTGAAAGACTTCAAAATTTTAGGCTGCATTCCTTCGTATTTGCGCTGCTATGCTGACATTTTGTTTCAGTTATCTGCAGCACTTGTAAATTTGCAATTTCCTCTCATCAAAGAGGGATGTGAAGATGTTTTGAGTAGTTTTATGCTTGAAGACTACATTGGACAGTTTTTTAATAATTATTATTGTTCAAATAGAAATAAATTAGTTGTATACTGAGGCTTACTTAGAAGAAAATACAACTAGAGGGGTGGGGAGAGCATTCTAATATAACAGTAAAGGGATGATTTTACCTCCTAGGGATTACAATATTTATCATCTGGTACAGCCTGGGTATACATAGGGTGTCAAATTAGATCACTGAGAGAATTCTTTTATCATGTTTAGGAGAACAGAAGTTGAAAGAAGTTTTAACAATGGATGTCTTTTTGGGGATAAAAATAAAAGCAAGTACTGCCCACAGTTACCCTTGAGGGGTCTTTCTGAACATTTCTGATGAGCATCCCATCACTTTTATATGGGAATTTCCCTTCCCCCCGGGAAAACAACATTAAATGATGTACCATTTTTCCATGTCTTTTAAATACCATGTTATCCTTGTGTTTATTAATAAAAATGCAAATATATGTATAGCCTGTTACCACAACTCCCTCACACCAAACTAGTTGTGGTAGGTCAATTTGAGGACTGAAAACCGACGAGTATCATTATTTTTAAAACAAATCGTTCGTTAAAAAGCCTTTTTTATTTCACTAATAGAGAAAATCACGCCCTCCTGTTCATTTGGGAAACAAAAACAGTCTAAAACATAATCTTGACATTTGGCATTCACCGTCACTTTATAAACCTTTTGTTTCATTCTTGCGTGTACTTCTCCTCGTAAAACACTCTGCTGGTAAGTTAATGCTTCAATGTGATCTGACTTAAAGTGGTTTTCCCCCTTTTTTATAAATTTCTTTTCTTCTGAGAAGAAAGAAAAAAGCGAAGCGATGGATAATGTCTCCATTTTGAATCGAATGGGCGCTTGTTTAGAACTGAGATTTTTAGCACCATGGAAATGTGACGTCACCACTTAAGGACTCTATGAACATGAATATAAAAGAACCCATAGACCCTAAATTCTCCAATTTATGAATTACTGACTCGTCTATAGTTCTAAAAGAACCCATACATTATTGTTGAATTTAAGTCAATTAGGTATTTAGGAGCCCTGTGATTTCAGAAAAAAGTATTTCGTGTCACATACACTGTAAAGAACGCACGTGCAAACGAATATATGTAAAGATCAGATATCTTATAAAACTAACTGTCGAGAAAACTACTATTTCCCAAGCTAATTATGGCATGTGATTTACTCTTATGCGCAGTAATCTTATTTCAATAATGAACCAAGTTAAATATCTTTACATAAAATTGAGTAATTCATATAATACAGAAGTTTTTAAATTCATCAGCTCTTTCAAATCTTGTGCAAACAAATAACACAGGCAGCTCAATTTTGTGGGTTTTCCAATTCGAACAATATTTCGCCGTCGTCAAACAGTTAAGATATTCAAAAATTAGTGAAAAACAAAATCAAAAGCAGATGTGAAGAGAACCTCCGCTTTAACGCACAAAAGATCATGTAAATTCAATCAAAGCATTTCAAACTCAGCAATTTTAAGTTGTTTTAAAGAAATTCCCATTAAAAAGAACGCAACATAATTTTAAGCAGGTTCGTGAACAAACAATATATAGTCTGTATAGAAACAAGATCGCCTGCAATTACAAGCAGTTTGATTGTTGGCTGCTGAGGTACAACAATTGCTATAATTTATCACAATTTTCACACAGTGTATTCTCTAGCAAATGAGCAACTAACGTCCATGCTTCACTGCTTTGATAAACGCAATAATATATATATCCATATAGTAAGTTCACACTTTCACTTGCTAAGCTGCGCATATCAGCATTTAAACATTTATAAATGATAACACACTTGTTTAAGTAAAAGTGGTCGAAGGCTACGAAATGACGTGAGTACGTCTACTGTTCATGATGAGGGAGAAGTGTTGAAAAACTTTCCAAATTGTCTTTCAATATTCATCGACTATACTGTGATAATACCTGTAAAAAAAGTTAAAATTTAGTTTACCGCTAACTTGGATGAAAATACTACAACAACAACTCAAAAGTACAAATTATATCGTACTTCAAATAGCATCAAATTATTAAGCCCATGTAAAAGCAATCGCAAGGTCTTCAACGAGAAATATCTGATCGAAGTGTTTTTGTGCAAATAATTCTTCGTAAAGACCGCAAAAGCGAGATTAAAACATTTATTATTTGGAAATTGCGAATTGGAACTTTCTTTCTTTTCACTTTCTGACTGTTTTGCAACTGTTTGTATTCGCTCTTTCGGCTTACGTTAACAAAAAAATAAATTCACAGAAATTAAGTAGTCTGGATAATAAACTCGGTTGTTTGGAGGGCTGAACCTTACTACAGGTATACCCAGTCGTATAGCAAGGAAGAAAATGAAATCTCCCAGGAGCCAAAACGTAAAATTTTTTACTGCTTCATTTAACGTTGAAAGAAGCCAAGTCATTTGTATAGTCTAAATTGAGCCTTTCAACCCTCGTTTCATAAAATTTTAATTCATTTGGGATAAAACTAATTTTAATTAATTTTTAATAAATATGTGAACTTTTCATATAAGCATTAGTTGTGTAGAAATAATTTAACAATACGTTTTTAAATCTTCAACAAAGAATTATTCGACAAGTTCAAAACCTTATTTCTTCAAACTAGTGGAAATCTCACAGTTTAATATCAGAAGCTAATTAAATGCACAATCATAAAGCTTGTGTGTAGATTCTCCAATGTTTAATAAATATTCACGTCTCAATTGTTTATACATTGAAAAAACACTGCCTGTGTCCTTTGTAGCTTCGTGAACTGACCTATGGCTTATATAATTATTGTCAAGAAATAATCAGGTGTTCTGGATTGATCCTTTGAACAACAAACAAACAAATGTTACCAAATTTACAATAAATCAATGATTTCTTAAAATTTTTATGATCTTGGTAAAATCCCTATGGAATTTTAAAATAGAACAACTAAAACTGCCTAAAAAACCTTGATGCACCTTAAATCATAACGAACATAAATTGTATTCACCCCCCGGGAAATTTACACTGTTTACGAATTGTCTGAATTTTATCACACTAATGCATGCATACGCACTAATAAACGTCCAGTGAACAGCTTCAAACAGTTAAAGAGCGTTTTCACTCATTCTCTATGGATCAAATGACAATGGAGGAAGCGGCCATATTAGCGTATCAATTAGAAGAACTTCATAAAATTCTTTTTAATTGGTACACTACAACATGGGACATGGCCCCAATGACGTCAGGTGAAAATGATCTATATATAATGAATGAATACCTGGAGGATGAAGAACGAGTACTCGAAGAATATCAGACAATGACATCACTCCAACAATATGATCGTCTTTATCTACAACAATAAGACGATGTACCTGAAAGAAAACATGAATATATTTTCAATTACAATAAAAAATTAATAAGAATTCATCAACGAAACACATGATAACAGGTTTATGTTATCACTCCTAAAATAACGCATGGTGAAACAACTCTGAAAAGTTTCTCAAGTCATTTTATTGAATGTTTACTTTTCTTATACACGGTATAGCCTGCCAGTCTAAATTAGCTTCCCAACCGGAAGAAATTGAGGTGTTAATTTGCTATCTTGCAATACATAAATTTAAACATACAAAATGACGATATTTTATATTGAAGAACAAAAAACTAGTGACTGTAAATGCTTTTAATGTCTCAAAAATCGATTCAACCTTTACAGAATCGTGAGGGACGAAACTTGAACGCTAAGTTCTAGTAAGTGTAAATTACCTTTCAAAAGAAATCAGCACGGCATAACTGAATATATGAATATACACCCCTCACCCCCCTATTAACGTTCTAGTTTCGCCTCTGAAATCCTAGCTCGGTGGCAGGAATGATGTAAAAAACTGGTAATAAATAGTTACAATAGTAGAGAATATTTTACACAATATGGAGGCCTTCACAGCTATGACATATACTAGTAGAATAAAAAACTACGTCACATAACATGTGTTGGACGATATAAAGTATACTTACTCCAACTTTTACGATTCTATCAACGACAGCGTGAAGTGTCTCATTTAAACGGCATCGATGAACACCTTCAAATCCCTAAGATGAAAACATTCCAGTTAAAGTTTAAATACACAGGTGTGAAAAATTGAATTTTAGTGGGGTATTCATCTAAACACTACAACAACGCTAACTGTAGCATGCGTGAGTTTCAATTAAAAGTTTTTGAATAACGAATTGCGCAGGTTTAAGTAAACATCAATATTTTAAAATGCCACATGTATTTTTGTCGGAGATGTTCAGCTTTGTGCTGGTCCAAGCGTCAAGTGTTTCAGTTATAACAATACAACAAAGAAATTAAAAATTTCAATATGAAAATGGATGAAAAGAAAGGAAAGTTTAAAACAACCATCATCATTTATGAAAGATAGCACTGACACAATGGCTGAACCCATATCAAGGTTATTCAAAAGAAGCTTAGGAAATCCTCCATTCCGAGCAGCAGAAAATGTACGAAATTTACATCGTGAAGAATTGAGAAATATTATTTCGGGATATTGGCGTAACCAGCTCAATATGTCAGGGACAATATTATTTAATGTAATAATCCTAGCACCAAATTACTTTTTGAAAAAACATCAAAACTCTTTTGCCTTGTCCTGTGTTTTCAATTTCTATCCACGTTCAACTTCTAATTCGAATATTATCTCCCCCCACCCTTTTACATTTACACTTTTAATATGGGCATACAAAAATGAATTTCATCAAATGTAACTCAAGTATCTTTTGCACGAACAGGTCAAACTCTTTACTAGTCTTTATGCCCTGCAGTCCATAATAATATAAACAATTATAGCTTCACAACAACAATTCTTCGGTCACAGGCTAATTTATTATTACAAAACTTCGAGATTTCTCCAAGAAAGTTAAAACTTCGAGAAGAGATAAAACGTCTAAGTTACCTCAGATCTGTGTTTCAATGCTTGAACAACCGGAACATCCAAATTATTGTAACTTTTTTCCGCTGCTAAATTCTATAAAATTTAAGATAACGTAAGACACGGAGTTATATCTAGTAATATTCACTTGGTCATTATGAGTCTGTGACCCATCTGTTTTTGGAGAGGGAAATATTGTTCTTTTTGGCACAAGGGTGAAGTAAAAATTAGAGTATCACGCTAATTCTAAAAAAAATGTCATGAAGCCTAACAAATAATCTGAAAACACGTGAACAAAAACAAGTCGAACAAAAAAACTTTCGCTTGCAGCGTAAATAACCTTATAAAGTTTAAAAGTATTCATCGTTTGAAACTACACGCAGTGTGTCTGAAAAAACGAAAGCGGCATAAATTAATTATAACTTCATTGATTGGTTATGCACAATATCACGAGCATTCAAAATCGTTTAATGAATGTGACAGTTTGGTGATCATAGGGTTTGAAAAGTACTTAAAACAAAACAAGTGTGATTTTTATTTCAATTTTACTACGCAAAACCTCTGTAAATGCAAGGCGACATTATAACTGAGTTATAAAAGCCACAAAAACGTAATCATATTTTCCATTAATTGCTACGACAAAGGACTGATGCACAAGCGTATGACCAGAGGCGTAACTAGAACGTTAATTGGGGGTGTGGGGGTGGTGCATATTCATTTATTCCAACTGAATATATGAATATACACCCCCACCCCAATTAACGTTCTAGTTACGCCTCTGCGTACGACTAAATCTAAAAAAGCAGCGCAAATAGCTATTGCAGATTAACTGTCGTATGCACATTTCATTTAAATGCATTCATAATTATTTTTACGGGTTCCGTTTTTCTTTGAGACACCCTCTAGAACTCCTTCGGTTTTTTTTTGAGATACCCTCTAGAGCTCCTTCGTTTTTTTTTTGAGATACCCTCTAGAACTCCTTCGTTTTTTTTTTGAGATACCCTCTACAACTCCTCCGTTTTTTTTTGAGATACACTGTAGAAGTCTACACAAACAGTAGCTTCTTAGCGCACAAAATGATATTTTTGACACATTTGAAATGGAAAAATCAGGTTAAGTCAATACTTACAATAACATCAAATCTTGCATAAATATCCACAACAACACCTTTTAGGAAATTATGACAACATCATTATTACCATAATTATTAATACATTACCATAATTATTAATAAATTAATAAATCACGATTAAAAACTAATATATTTCCTAGTTCTACCGTTAGCGATCTAATTAGAGTTAGGGATATACTTAGGATTAGTGTTAGCGATCTAATTAGAGTCAGTGTTAGGGATGTACTTAGGATTAGTGTTAGGAATCTAGTAAGAGTTACTGTTAGGGATATACTTAGGATTAGTGTTAGGGATCTAGTTAGAGTCAGTGTTGGGGGATATACTTTGGATTAGTGATAGGGATCTACTTAGAGTTAGTGTAATGGATATACTTAGGATTAGTTTTAGAGATTTATTTAGAGTTAGTGAAAGGTATAAATTTCGCGTTCTGGTAGAACAAGGAGTATGGAATGACTCAACAAAAATATTAAGGTCACAATTACATAGGACACATGTCATGATATTTTTTGTAAAATTGTATGAAAATTACCATTTTTATCCACGATAGGTAACGCCGAAACTTTGTATTCAACAAACATATTTAGTGCTGCGATCAGTGGGGTTTCAGGATTAATCTGCAAAATTTAGGAATTAAAAGAAATAGAACTAGAGTGGGAAATAAAGGCTGGAATAAAAGTTTGAATAAAATAAATGCAACAATTTATACACAGGGATTTCATTTAAAGGGCAAATTAAGTAATTTTAAGGGCAAATTAAGTTAAATGATATAGCTGTATGAACACTATCAAAATTTTGCTTTAAGTAAGAAAGATGCAAAAAAAAACAAAAAAAAGTAAATAAGATAAAAAAACATGCATCATACAATTATACAAACAATACCGTTGCAATCTTTCCGAAAGTTCCAACACCCAACTCCCCCAAAGTCTTGTACATAAAGTCAGGCATGATCATTTCACTTAACTAAAAACATAAAATTCACAAGCTAAGCAATTTCCACGTATAGCTGAAGAAAAATGTTTTAACTGCTAGAAAATGCTGTGAAAAAAAGCAGGTGTCGGACGAAAGAAAAATTTGTAAGTCTTATAACTTCTAAAACTATTTGATTGAATGAACCACGCCACTATAACATATAATAGCTAGAGATGAGACTTACTTAACAGAAAACAGCAACCATGGAAATAATCAAAACAAGGCAAAGACGCAATTTATTAAATAACACAAAAACTAAGAACCTCACACAAGAACGAGTGTTTACAACAACAAAAACAAGGCTTTAAGTAGGTTATTAGGTTAAGAGAAACTAACGTTATGAAAGGCTAGAGTTATGAGAAATAGATTTTTACGTAGAAAATTGTGAAATCTATAAAAGACTAACGTAATGAAACAACAAAGTTATAAAAAAAATTGAGGTTCAAAAAGACCAAGGTTATCGAAGATGAACATTGCTTTTTCAGAAGTACTGAACCGTATTTCGAGATATTATGTATAATATATAAAACACAACAACAGGGTGGTGGTGGTTAGTCTGACGAGATGCTTTTAATTTATTTTTATCATGATTTCGAAAGTTTCTGTTAAAAAGCAATCGCAGCAAGATATACTGCTTTAATTTTAAGCATATATTTGTCTTCTTTCCAATAGACATTATTATCATGAAAAAACTACACACATATTCAAGAAAAAAATATTTACATTCCTAGACGAAAATTACAGTTTCCTGTTAGAATGGACAAACTTTAACTTTAAGTTTATAAATACAGATGACATTAAAAGAATCAATACTCACGTGTTTATGAAGAAAATGAAGAATTCGTTTATGTGATATCACAAAAAGAAAATTGGACGAAGGTGGATCGATGACAGGCAAACGATGAATTTTATTCTTTATCAGCAGCTCACACGCATCATAGAGACTAAACATGTAAAAAAAAAACAGATGGCAATTTTGATTTCAGGTAACTAACACGTAACTAACAGTTATTTTCAAAAACCCCTAAATTCACGATCAAACATATTCTCATTATACGTAGTTAACACATGGCTGTCAATCTCACTTCTGGTATCTTTTGCATCAAAAGCTAAAATTTGCCGTATGTCGTTACGTTCTAACTTAAACACAGTTTTTAGCTGCCAATGTTTAATGCAAAAGGATTTTTTAATTAGTTCCGGCTGTTTCAGGACCTTACCAATGATTTATGATTTCAGAGCAAATACACGAGAATGGCGAAATATATACTTCCTGAAGATGTAATTAACAGTAATATATTTAAATATTATTGTGACATAGACTATGTCATTCTTCATTAAGCCCTTTATAACCGAGGGCGAGATCTTTACGGAGAAATAACGGACCGAGGTGCTTTTGTACAGACCGAGCCCACAGGGCGAGGTTTGTACAAAACGACAGAGGTCCGATATTTCTCTATAAAGACCGAGAAAGGGAGGTTATTAAATGGTTTATTATATGGCATTATTTGACCTGAAACGAAGCTTGCGTTCTTTCTCGTGTTGGCTGTTTTTTACCGGTTGGCTTTCACTTTTCTGGTTTTCGTCCATAAAAGATAAATCGTTTCAAATTGTATCGTCTGGATAGTTAAACTGTTTTCCAAGTGTTTTTCCTTCGAGTCACATTCGTAAATATTTTTTTTGTTTTGTTTATTTTCGTTTTGATGTTTGATTTGCGAAGTTGGTTTACATTTGACAGTAAAATTGCGCGTTTTGCACCGTGGTCGATTACGGGAAAATAATGGACCGGCAAAAATGTTTCTGAGCCAATCAAAGCGCGCCATTTTGCCGGAAGTGACGCTTGCCATATAATAATAGCTAATATTTCCGCCATCACTCTGCTCAAATTAAAATAGCGCCCGTGTTTTCTGTAGCAGCATCATTGAGCTGAATTATATGGAACGCTACCTGAGCGCGAAAATTGAAGCCTAAAATCAAATGTCATTACCAGTTTTTCCACGCAACGAAAAACACAACCACGAAACAAAAGCAAATGGTCGGAATACGAGCCTTTTATTTTGGAAAAAAAAACATACAACAAGAAATTTTACTTGGTTAAAATGAAACGTCAACTTGAATTTTTTCCGTTTAAATTACTTTAGCATTTTGAACTGGCATAAAAACTAATATATTTACGTTATATATTACGCACGTGCCCTCCCTCCCCCAACTTTCACTTGCTTCCTACGCCTCTGGTGGGAAAAACACATTTTTGATACAGACAAAACATTTATTTACAAACAGCATTAACAGTAAAATACTAGTGCAGCTCGTGATTGCAAATACAAGTCTAGTCTAGTTCGAAACGAAAGCTTCCCTCGAGACAGCTTTTATCTCCCAAACAATGACAACAATTTTGACGTTATAAAAACAGTTACAAATTAATCTGTTTGACTTCTCAAAATGAACAAAGCAAAGCAAAAATCACCGATTTCTCGTCACGACAAGCGGCGTGCTTCCGGCATTTATCACCGCGCGCGTGAGAATCTGGAAACTCTAAAAACGAGTGTCTGGGTGTAAAAACTCGCGTGTCTGGGTGTAAGATTGGCTTCATTAAAAAAGTACGCTTTTCTAGTACAGATATAGCGTTCCATGTATTTTAGTTCAATCAATATCCTGCATCCATATTAGCGATTTTTTTAGAAAGCCTATGAAAATAGCCGGCATAATATTTTTTCGAGAAAAATCGCCTAGTAAAATCGACATATTTCTACAACATTATTTCGAACCCTGATTATACTGACTACTTACATATGTAAGCAATTAAAGTTTTGTCGTTTTTGGAAATAAGCTTTTACTCCGAAGTAAATCACATTTGCCACTTCACAACAACAAAGTTATGGAAGGGACAAGTGAAGTTATGGTGTCTTCTAAATTTATACTGACAATTTCACAGCAGAAACAATTGGACTGTACCTTTGAAGCGGAGATATTTGAATCAAAATTGAAGGCAGCTGTTGTTCACACAGTTCTGAAAGCAAAAGTACAGGAAATGATACTAACATTTCTGGTGAGAATATTGTAACATGAGCGCCCACAGGGGAGAAAATTTCGTGTATGTCCTCCCATTTTGAAATTTTTCCACCTTGATTTGTACTACAAAAAATCATGAGCTATTGCCGTAGATGATCGTGACTAAAACACCACACGAGTACATACGAGTACATACGAGTACATACGAGTAACATACGAGTACATACGAGTGACATACGAGTACATACGACTAACATACAAGTACATACGAGTAACATACGAGTACATACGAGTGACATACGACTATTTTCTGGTCAACAAATGAGAAACAACACAATTTCTTCAATACATTGATATTTGCGTTTATTTTTCCTTGTATTTGTGTGGACTTTGGGGCAACCATTTGATGGATTTAAATGCTGAAAAGCTATTTTACTTTCATACAACATTCATTTGTATGTTTTAGTTGAATTTGTTATAGATATTTTGTCGATGCGATTTGCAAGTATTTGAGCGCTTTTTGACACACTTTCACCTAGAAAATACATATTTATGAAAGCGATTATACATTCATTTTGGTCATTCATTTTGAATCTGACTGTTACGTATAACTAAGGCTTAAATTGTTTATATCCGATGAAAAACGGTTCGTTGTATACTTTTTGTTTGAATTGCTTTATACTTTGCATTGTTTCGTATTCGCACCCAAAAAATTCGGACTATAATGTTATAATTTAACAGGAGTGAATTAATATTACAAGACTTTATTCATTGGAAATAAATATTTCAAGCATGACCAATGAAGAAGCAAAAGCCTTAAAAGGCTTCAAAAAACAATAATACAATATATAAAAATAATTTCAAATACCTCTCCACGTTTCAATTCGATGCTCTTCAAGTTCTTCAATTTGAACCTGGAAAAAGAACAGTCTTGCAATTAGTAGTAAGTGGACGGTCATTTAGATAACGTAAATCCAAGAGTCATTTAAGGCAGATTTATTACTGTCATTAGCAAAGCAAGACTCTGTCTTCATTTTCCTGTTATTCAGATTTTATGACAAATTTCGAATCCTTTTTTCCTACTCTTAGTTCATGGGATAGGCCGTTGAGCCAAAATGAAGGCTCAAATATTTGCAAGTTTTACAAACACTTGTCCAGGAGACATTGAAGTAAATTGTTAGTTGATATAACGTGACATTAAATTAACAATGTCTTTTGGTTTTATTGACGCAGATTCTTTTTACTCAATGATTCTTAAGTCATGCAATAAACAAAATCAACTGCGTTCCCTTCGTTTTTCTCGAAGTGCCTGCAGCAGGTATTCTCATCTGCGAGCAGAAAAAAACATCATGTTCCCCAAATAAATACAAAAAGGATAGCATGTAATCTTCCCTAATTCAAAACAAACTAAGTAAGGTAGCTCCATCTTTTGGAATAATGTTAAATAAGAAGCTAGCAATGGTGTTTTATAATATTCCACATAAACCTACCAAGGGCGATTTATAATGTTTAACATAAACTTACCAAGGGCGATTTATAATTGTTAACCAATATGTTGATAAAATCTGATATTGTCAACATTCCTAACAAAAATAAAAAGAATGAGTTAGAAGTGATTAAACACAAGGCGTTTGTCATTTGGCGTTTGTCAAAATAAATCAGACCAGCATTTCATAATCGAAATACCATTAAATAATATTTCACCAAATCAATAATATTTTAAGGAATTTTTAAACATTAAATAATCCAAGAATGAGTAGCTTTAAAAGCAACTGTGTGGCGATATCTTCCACTGATAAAACAACAAGAAATTCAACCAACCAACATAATCCTGTTTAGCGTTGTCCCACAATGGCGCTGACCTCACACCTACACAATAACAAAAATTTAATTTCAAAATTTCTCATGGCACATTTGGATAACGCCTCGTCTACACGAGCAATTTTTTATGAAAACTTTCGACGCTTGTGTAAACGACACAGCAAATATTTGCCAAGCGTGACTTGCCTTCGTGCAGCAAAATAAAATTTGAGAAAAAAGCGCGTAAAAAATTACGTAAAAAATAAAAGTTGTCACATTAAAATTATTACATTAAAATTGCTCGTTTAAACGAAGCTTAAGTTAGTAAATATCACAGCATGTCTTGAAGCCGCAAACAAACACATGGTTATTTATTTTGGAATCCTGATTGAATGAAGTCGAGGAGAACGGATACTAAATTCGAATATGTAGTTAATCATTTAATAAAAGCATGTCATGTTTATGGGTCAAACATGATTTTGCTCACTAATTTACACAACATAACACAAAAACTTCAATAAATCCAGAACTAGACATGAAAAAAATAATGCTAAAAAGTCCATTACAGTTTCAGGGTTTTTTTACTTAAAACATTAAACAATTTCGTGACAGTAAAATGTGACAAACATGCCTTTTCATATTAGTTGAAATGTATTTACCATTTGCTACCAAAGCGTAGAAAGCCTTCTTTACCTAAAATTGATAAAATGAAAACAACCATTGTTTCTTTAAACAAAAGATAAAAGTTCAGAATTATCTCACCAATAATCTTGTATCAAAAACAACTATTTTTGCACTTTTTGGCATAATATCGTAACAAGTATGGCATTTCAAGTAATTGGCGAACACGGCATCTTCAGTTTCGTCAGGCAAGACTAAAATGTTAGTAAAAAAAATCAAGCATTTCTAACGTCGAACGTATGAAAATAGAAAAAAGTTACTTTTATTTAGACTAATAAAATTACGGTTATAAAGCGTCAATTGAATTGTAGCTCAGGAATTTAATAGGCATCAACGCACTCCACTAAAAATGTTTTTTTAGCCATCAATTTGGAAAAACAGCAATTTTGAATGCAATAAAGTAATGCATATATGCAATATCAAAGCAGCAGTAAATTATCGAAAACAGATAGTATATTATTGGAATCTAAGAAACTATTAAAATCAAATGAGAAACAATTGAACTAATTTCTGAAATAAATAAAACGATTCAATAAACAAATAGAACAGTTGGGTTCTTTAAAGAAACAATTTTAATCATTTTGGAATTGTTTATCGAAAAAGAGTACTAGCATGTTTTCACAAAAATGTCCTTTTTATTCCAGGTTTTAATTAACTTATTACGTACGAAGCTATATAAGTAAAGGATTTAATTTTTAGAGCTTCGTGTGTCTAAAATGCGGCCGGTGCACAAACGCATCAAAATTGTTAGACACAAAAGTAAGGAATTGTTCATAAAATTTAGGTGAATTAAGTACATTGTTTTTTGACAATTTTGATTCAGTTTCGTCGCAGCGTTAAGATCGAAGAATTGCCTGAGAAATAGGACGGTAAATTATACATAAATCTTACAGTACTGTACCTAATTCCTCGACGAAAATATCATGATCATAAAGTGCCTATAAAACAGTTTGAATAAAAACATTAACCTCTTAACAATACAACGTTATATTGAGAGCAAGCTTGATCTTTCCTTGTCAAGTTTGTCTGACACCGATGTGTCAGGTAGGTAATAATCTTTAAAATATAGCGTACAAATGGACCAGCATAATGTATACTGTACTTATAATTTGATGGAAATAGCTATAGAGTAGCGATATACGCAATGCACATTTTTCAGTCATCTATTAATTAGGAATCAAAGCAATTTCCTTATTTCCCTGTATGCCACATAGCACTTTATTCTATTGTAATATTTGAAAACATTAATTCTCATAAAGTAGTTAATTTTTTACAGTTAAAATTTTAATATTAAGCGGTCATCCTTGGAGAGATTTCATGTGTTCGCTAAATAGAGGTGAGCTTTCAATAAAGATAAATTACTATTACGTATGATATGAAATTTTCGGAAAATTTCCAAATGACGGTTAACACAGGGTGACGATTTAATACGGTGCCACTTAATACAAGTGTGACTGCATCCAAAAACAATTACCTCATCATTACTTGCAAAACTTGATGGCTGACTGACAATTTTGTCAGGAATTACATTTTCGTGCCAATGTTCACTTCTGAGATCATCAACATGATTACTGGAATGGTTTATATCATCTTTAACATAATGATGGTTCTCGTCATGTGTAATGTTGTCATACGGTACAGACGATTGTCTCTTGCTAAAGTTATGAACTAAATTTTCTTCCGTGCGAGTATCCCATTCCAATACACGTTCATAGCTAGATGGTGCTGCCTCAGAAGGTAATCGGAGTTTCTTATTGTAATGTTTTGTGGTCATGTCATGATCACAGCAGCTTTCCTAAAATAATGATCACGTAGTCAAATGAGTCTAAGTAAGTGGGTGTACATAACCTGAATATAATATAGGTGCATGTAGTATGTGACGAGAGAAGTGAATAGATTGGTGCAGAAAATGAACAGAAAGATCAATAAAGAGGACATCATAAGATGATGGAGAAAGTAAATTACAAAATGATGGACAAAGAACATTTTAAAATATTTTAACTGGACAGCTTTTGTAGATACTATCTAAAACAAGATACACACAAAACAATTTTAAACAAATTTCATTCCCATAAAGAAAACAATGATTAAACCATATATTTTTGCATTCACGTTTTAACACTAGCTTAATAAGTAAACTTGTGAGTTGGTTGAATAATTAATTACAGGAGAATCAAGTGCAAACAAATGATGCAAAAATACACCTAATGTCACGAACATCAAAAGCAACATGAGTCAACATGTGAGTCAAGTGACTAAGATCAGTACAATGACACTTATACACAGTAGTGAAGATGGAACATCCAGTTCAGGTGGCCTCTACACTTAATAACTATAATTATTAATCTTCTTATAGCTATGGTAAAAATCATATCAAATGATTATCAAGTATCTTACCTGACCATTTCCATTATCTATTTCCATCTCATATATCACGTCTTTAACACAATCAATTCCATCTGTAATAAAAGAAATGAACTTCACATAAATTACAGCATTAGTATAGGTACACAGATATACAAAAAATTTGCCACCATGAATTGATAGTCCACGTTGTATAATCTTAGAATGGTCATACAAATAAACTAACTGTTAAAGTACAGCATGAAAAGGAAAGAGCTCTTTGTTTGTATTCAGTCTTTTGTATTTGAATATATGTATTTAAATATTTTAAAATATTTGAGTTACTATATTAACTTGATTTTATTCAGGACAGTTTTCATTTCATTTCTTAAAGCAATAACTATAAGAACAAAATAACAACCCCCAAATTTAAGTTGCAGTATTAGCCTGATAGTTTGGTTTGCATTTGGTTGTTGTCAATCACCTTATTTCTTAAAAGATTCAATAGCAACCAACAGTTATATTTGTGCTAAAAAAACATATGTCCCCATTTTACTATCTAAACCAGGGATTAAAATGTACAAAATGGGCTCCAACTGTGTGAGCATTGTCATATTCTTATGCATTATCTTTTCCTTTCTGTGATGAGCATTGATAAAACTTTATGATTTTAAGATTTTCTAAAGCTGACCAACAATTTATTTACAAAGAATGTTTTATGCAGTGCGGTGTTTGAAATTAAATGAAGATATGATCTTCGCACTTTGCTGGACAATTTATGCAATTGTCTCATGAACCTGAAAAATTCAGGTGACTCAACAGAATTCGAATCATAGGTAAAGAATATATAGAATGGATTTTGGTTATATTATTTACCATTTTGACAGGTGATTTATTGGGCATTTCCAATGATCTATTGTAAAATCTTTCTTGATTTCCACTAATAGAGAATACAGAGTTTGCTAAAAAAAACCCATCAACATATACACACTGTATAGACAGTATGCCATAAGCCTTAATTCTACTTGCTCACATAAAAACTGAAATATGCAACTTAATTTGCGATCACAATTTTTAGGTATACATTTTAATCTAATGTACATAAAATGCACATTTCTGTTCTGATTATATCATGGAAGAAGATCTCCTATGGGTATATGAAAGATATGCTCACAGCAGGAAATCAACAGATTCTCTATGAGGGAATGAATAAATTGATCCAATTTTCATGAGGCAAAACAAAACTGAGTCTGACTTTCCAAAACAACATTAACAAAATTAATACAGCCAATTATCAAACTATCGTCAAATTATAAACAGTGTGACCCAAAATATCATGTATGTGCAACAGTGCAAGTTACAGTCTTGCAGTTATGAGTTTTGACTCCTATTGTGTAATAAGCATTTTATGTGATCATATTCATGCATAGAGATGACAAAGATATATTGATTGATTAGTCTGTTGATTGGTTGGTCGAAGTATGAATATGCAAGGTTATAAATATTTTTTACACCAAATTAACATCAATTCACTTTATTCCCCCTCATCTTTTGCTAAAGATATCAAAAAGTTAGTAGCTAAATCTGCCAACTTTAAATTTGGAGACTTAAAATCGTCATAAAACGGACTTGCTCTAGATAGTGTACTTTGACCAACAAAGAAGTTTGACTGACCTATCTTATATAACTTTCTGTCGTTCAAATGCAGTTAAGGTTACAAATTTTTTTGTAATTATCAAACATTCCAACTCGATGATCAAATACCGGTAAATTATAAACACAGAATAAGAGTATTTTAATCAAAGCTTACAATCAATGTCTTCATAGTTGGTTCAACTTTCAATTCATGACAATTAACAACAACTAACCTTTTAAAAGTTCTTTATCTGCTGGCGCTGGAGTGTTGACTCACAAAGTTTATTGTTAGATTCTTTCTCATAAAAAGCTGTCGCTGGAGTGTTGACACACACAGTTTATTGTTAGACTCTTTCTCATAAAATGTTTTTGAAAACAAGCCAGCAGCATTCACGATACATTCAGTGAGGATGAGAAAAATAATCCCGACTTAACAGTGAAGTACTCAAATCAGTTGGTTGTAATAAAGCCGTCCGTCCATACCTTTCTTCGATATAACAAAACCGCCGAAGGATCACTTACGAAAACAAGCAAATCCCCTCCCCCCTGACACGTCAACAAACAATTTTAAATGTTTACTGACACCTTTTATCGGTACGTATTTTACAATTGAGTCACTTTTTTCATCTGAAGTTTTCAATTAATACATAGCACTGGTTAGGTTGTTGTTTGACCACGAGAAATCTTTCTGAGTAATTTGTACTTCATACAAACTTAATCTGTTTGAATAATGTGAGAACAGCTTTTAAGGAAACAGTGACTGCCGGGGGTTTGGTTACCATGGAACATACTGCGTTCACGTGCTTTAAACACACTTACGAAATTTTGGAACGTGCGTGTATGCACACGGGTTCCAAACTCCAAAGTGAAGTAATGAAGTAGAAGTTGCTTATGTTTTATTTATGTTCGTGCATAGTGAGCAATTTTGAGTCAAATTCTATGGAATGTAATAATCTAAGACGTCGCCACCAAAACCGCAATTAGCTTACTAAATGTTATGATTATTTTTTAAGTTGAGTTTTAAATGATTTGTGGTTACTCAATTTTCCAGTCGATTGACAACACACAATCCATGGTTTAATATGACATTTGTTTTACTTTCGTGAAAAGGAAAAATTGGAGACGTGAGTATTGCACGCATTTTTTTACATAAATTTGTGCAAATAGTTAAGTATACAAGGCAACAAGAAATAGCAATAGCAATAGTAATTCGCAATAAAAATAGAAACAGTGTGATAAAAATAAAACTGTTAAAAATTATTTTTATAATGATAATAAAAGTTTATGTGTAAAATAAAGAATTAAAGGTTCACCGCGAGGTTCACTGCTTTTGAAAGTTTTTGTACCTAAACCAAAGCGGAAGTCCAACATACTTCGCAATAAAGTTTTTGTACACATTCAGCAAGTGCCCTTAACTAAATTCTGACTGACCAACGATCAAACTTGCTGTTAGTGCAAAGTAAGTTATTCAATAGGAAATTGTAGCAAATGCAGATGATGAAAGTGAAATTTAGGTATTTAAAGTTGAAATCGTTGTGAACAAAGGCACTATAGCAAAGACAAGTGTGTGATGAAGTACCATCAGGAACATGTCAAGATAACTGATAATCAATCTAAAATATCTGATTGCACTGCTGCAGCAGATTTTTTTACTATACAGACTAGAGGAACGTTTTGAGATATATTATTGATGACATCATTAAGTTAAATGAAAGCCACTAAATGTGCTTTTGAAACTTTTTCTTTCACACTATACTTTTGGTGATATTATATTAACACCCTAAAATTAACAGTGACTCACTTCGCCATTTGCTTCAATAATATCTTACGGTAAAGACGAGAAGCTAGCACTATGACAGTTTGCAATAAATATAATTTTTTATGGCTGTTTTAATGTCTTATGCTGGGTTTTAATATTTATATTTCGATCAACAATAAAGACCTTTTATCCAGGGGTGGATCGGTACTTCAGTAGGAAGAACAACGAATGAGCAGTAACAAATATTAGCGTGCCTCTAGATTGTCTTCAAATGAAGTTTGCATTGCTACTTCAAGGAGTTCTCTGTTCTTATTTCACATACTAGTTCTACAGGACATAAACTAAATGTTTTAACAATTTCAAAATTCAAGAATCCTAGACTGACAAAGTGACAACTCTATAGACGGTGGATCAGACGGTAAAAATATGCTCTAAAAACGATTTTCGTTGTACACCTCTCACAAATAATAAACTAGCTAGCAACGTTTTTGTGTACACGAACTGCATGAGTTACGTTGGGGAACTGGATCTAAGGCAGAGGTTTTGATGTAAAAATATTTGTTAAGATGACTCAAAATGTAAGCTAAGCTTTCCTTTGCCTTTAATTGAGTGTAGTATTTTTATTTTAACCATATGTCAACACAACAAATTTTTAGGGGGGAAAAATTACGTTTACCTGTCACGTTTCTGTTAAAAACAAGAACGCCAAAGAGTAGTCTCACTCTATAGAATTTTTTTTGTGCAGCGCATATCTTATCACGCATGTGATTAGATAGTCACTGCTAGTCAGTTTTTTTTTGCCAATGGAGAGCAGAAATAGCTAGCCGCAGCTATTAATCTAATTAAATACACAGGACCAAGTTGCACAGTGGGGTGAGACTACCGTATGTTTCTATACTCCAAGCAAAAATTGTGCACAATATCAGAAAATGACCTTTAATCACGATGACGTCATCAAGAGTAACCAAAACCAAAAAATTATGCAAATTTAGAAAATTCTCAAAGCCATTAGATAGACTAGTTTGAGATGAGTAAAAAAGTATATTACAGCACCTACTTTCAGTTACTCGTTATGAAGCGTCAAAGAATGTTTTTACCATGAGACCTGCAAACTTGTCCATTTTTATTGCCTGTCAAGTAAGTCTTAAAACGAATCCTTAGTTACTCAGTGAAATAATTTTGGGCGAATCATGTCGGACTGAGTATTTAATGGCAATAAATATTAAGCATTTTGCATGTTATGCATTCAAATTTTGCACTCACTTTCTTATTATGATCTAATAATATGAGGTTATTATGAGATAATGAGGTTATTGTGAGATAATAGGTATGAGTTAATACGGGAAATAATTTTTACATTTAAATTGTGATTTTATCTACAGAGCACTATCGATCGAACTTTGATCTCTCTGACATAAATTATTAATTTCGATCTCTCCTTGTATGTCTATAGTAAAACATAACCTGAAAAACGCTAAATAAGTGAGATAAATCATTGAAAGTGTAAATTCACCTGTTTCCACCTTCAAAAACCCGTAGTTTTCAAGTATTTCACCATCGAAAATTCAATAATTCGATGCCTTTCGCAATCGATCCACGCCATTGTGATTAAGTAATTCCTGGGATACCTGATGTAGGATACCCATAGGACACAATTAGTGTAAAACTGCAGATTCTGCAGATTCTGCAGTTTTACACTAATTTCTGAATAAAGTTTCCTCACAATCTGCTGTTTTTAACTAGGAAGTTTTGGATGGCGTTTGAGAGTGTCTTGAGCAAGAATTTAAAAGTTTTTAAACTGAACTAAATAGAAAACATGCACTTAAACTCATTTGAGATATTTTAGACTATTTCTGCTTTAGGAAGAAAAACGTTTTAAGAAAATATGAAAGCAAACGTGTTCTACCATATTACGGGGTTAAAGCGGACTTTTGTGTCAGTTCTAAACTCTGTAATTCGGGAAATCTTCTAAAAATTAATTTTTTTGTGTTGATTTAAGGTAACAAAGATGCAAAACTTGGTAGACAAAAAAATATGGAATGTAACAAAAAAAAAAGAATTGTTCTCATTCCACATTAAATGCTTCGAAAAACCTAAAAAATATAGCCAACGATAGTATGTCCTCTTTCATAAACATAAAACACATGAGCACACAAAAAATCTTAAATTAATACTAACGTAATATTAATTTACTAAATATACTATATAACAAAACTTTACACACTTCGAGGTATATGACACAACTCTTAGCCACAACTCTTAGCCAAGTAGGATGTGGCATGCTGTGAAAATTGTTTTCGGGGGGCAATCACTTTCCACTAAAAATTCCCCCTCTTACAAATATAACACTTTAGAAATGAAGGCCAAACGCTAGAGCCAAGCATGGTAGGTTCGTGTCGTAGTAGGGAGTCTGGGGGCATGCTCAACTGGAAAATTTTTAAATTAAGAAGCACGTGATGAAAACACACAAAAATTTCATTTCGTTGACTTTGGCAGGTGAAATCATACATGTCACTTCAAATAGGTTTTATCAAAATTCGATGCCCCATAAACTCTTCTTCCCCCCCCTCCCCCCAAAATAAGAAGGGGCGAAATGACCATCTTCCTCTCTTGCTAGGATGACACCTGGAGTAGATGTAAACTGTCAAATATACAATATTGAACTTAGTTTTCATGATCAGTGGTGGTTTCTGTCCATTCGAGCTCTACGTAACATTTAACTTCAGAAATTATTACTTTCGTCATTTCCAACGTGCTGATTAATTTCACTAAGTTTATCATTATCATCATCATCATCAAGCTTTTGCAACTCTCCCGCCGTCATCATCTTTAAACATTGCATTCTGACAACTACAACAAGAACACAAATAGGAGCATTTCAGGTCAGCCTTTTAGCAAGAGCAACTCGTGGTCGAGCATTCAGTCTTACACTTACACTCTACAACCTGATTCAAACAAACGTTGATGACTCAAGATATGCCCTTTATGGGCAAATATTTGGATGATGTATTGCCTCCTACATGCAATAGCCAAGTCCAAAATATACATACAGCATACTTTCGATATGGATGAATAGATCTTCTCTCACCGATTGGTCATGGCTGTAAGTTTGATGATAGAGGTCTGCTATAAATTAGATGGCTTTCCTACCTGCTCCATGTTTGAATTTTGTATCTTAAGTGTAAGTGTAAGACTGGATGCACGAACATGCAAAAAGGCTCATTTCAAAAGCAGCTATTTGCGTTCCTCTTGTATTTGACTGAATGCAGTGTTTGGAGATAATTATGACGATGAGAGCTGTCATGAACGCATGATGATGATGATAATGAACAACGTGGATCTGATCTGCATCTTGGAAATGACGACGATGATGATTTATAGTGCTAGATGTCACATACGGCTCGAATAGATCGACTCCAATGTTGATCAAAAAAGCCAGGATCAATATTTTGTATTTGACTGTTAAGATGTGCACTATGTTTAAACATTAAGTGTTTCTCTCATGTTTTATGTTTATAAAAGAAATAATGGCAGAACCTACTATAATTAGCCATTGGTACAATTTTACGTAGCGTATAATGAAGAAGGAAAACAAGTCTTGCGAAAGACATCATATCATTGAATTTTTGAAGATGAAATACTCGAAAACTGCGAGTTTTTGAAAGTAAAAACAAGTGAATTTACACCTTCTACGATATATCCAACATATCTATCGTGTTATAAAGTTGTGCCCAATGGTGGGTAATGAAAATCGTTTTCTAAGCGACTTTTGTGCAACAGAATACGGCCTATAGGGGGCAATATTCATATCATATGTGCATGCATAATCCATTGACAAGAATGGATTTCAAAAGAACTTAACACTGCATATTATGAATTGAGGAATATCCCCATCAATTATCGATCTTCCTACGCCCTTGCTAAGAAAACGACTGTAGACAAAGGAAAAACATGTGACTTGTTTGTCAACATATTTGGGAGTCGAAACAGGTATTTTTGCTTTTACCACTTTCGTACAGAGGTTTGATATTTCTCAGTAAAGACCGAGAAAGCGAGGTTACTAAAAGGTTTATTATATGGCATTATTTGACCTAAAACGAAGCTTGCGTTCTTTCTCGTCCTTGCTGTTTTTTACCGGTTGGCTTTTACTTTTCTAGTTTTCGTCCATAAAAAATAAATCGTTTCAAATTGTATCGTCGGGATAGTCAGTTCCTATGAATAACATTCGTAAATGTTTTTTTGTTTCGTTATTTTGCCTTTTGCTGTTTGCATTACGAAGTTTGTTTACATTTGACTGTAAAATTCCAAGTTTTAGACCGTAGTCGATTACGGGAAAACAATAGACCGGCAAAAATGTTTCTGAGTCAATCAAAGCGCGCCATTTTGCCGGAAGTGACGCTTGCCATATAATAAATCAACTTATTTATATACTGTATAACTTGTTTATTTCTTAAATTACAATTTACTACACTATTTTTCAATCACGCCAGTAAATATATTGTGAGTTGACTTCAGCATGGATCATAAGATGTATTAATTTTGTTAAACAATTTTTAATACATTACACACAAATGCACATGGGAATGGGGGGGTTCATGCCCCTGGGCGCCAGAAACGCTTGGCTCACTTTTTTCAACGCTATTAAAATGTTAACGTAGCGATAACGTAATCGCAAACACAGTACGATTTTAGTTTTATGAAATGTAGCATGATTAAATTAACATTATTTTCTATAGAAACAAAGATATTGTTACCATTTTCTTAATAAACTCTTCCTAAAACAATATGTTCCGAAATCATCAAACAATTATTACAGTAATTCTAAGGATTGTATACGTGTGATAAAAATCAATGCCCAACATAAAGTTCTGATTAGAGCCATAGAAATAGACCAAGAAAAAAACAAATTGTGAAATTTAAATTTATTGTGACGTTTCGTCTTTACTCAAGACATCTTCAGACAAATAATAAATAGGACGTTAAGACAAGGTATTATATTTACAAAAAGGTGTTAAATTACTACTAAAGGAAGCGGTGTCGAATGGATACATGATAAGGAAGTTTGGAAGTGAAATGAAGAGAAATTAAAAGAGGTTAAGTGGAATGGAGTTTCCTTGCACATTAAGTGAAGGCTTGTGTTTATTGATTAGAAGGCTTTCATGGATGGAGAGTTCATAAGTATCGTTGGAAGAGGAGATTATTTTAAAGTCGTCTAAGTTGGGGGTGTGTCCAGTTGCGTTAATGTGAGAAAGAATGCTTGATGATGCAGGGTGGGAAACTTGGTTGCCTGTAAGGGGGGATATTCCCAAGTGCTCCGAAAATCTGGTGTGTAGATGACGTGTGGCTTGACCCACATACGAAGCGTTGCAGCTTCGACACTTGAATAAATAGACTACACCAGATCTCAGAGGCTTGGGAATTTTGTCCTTAAAGGGGAAGAAAGAAGAGATACGTTGAGAAGGGCGGAAAACAAATTTAATGGATATATGTGGGAAGGCTGCAGCACAAAGGTTATTGATTTGTGTGCGAATTTGAAGGGAGTGTATGCCGGTGAAAGGAAGACAGAAATAGATGGGCATTTTGTGAGCAGTCAAGACAGGTGGTTTAGGGGCAAAGGTGTTGTTAAGGAAGCGACGTGTGATTTGGTCAATTATACGTGAAGGAAAACCGTTTTTGGTGAGTGACTTTCTGGTAAATTCGAGTTGTGTATGAAAATTTTCGTAAGTAGAGCAAAGATTGAAGATGCGGTGAAGTAAGCAGGAGACTAATGAAAGTTTGTAAGTAAAAGGGATGAAGCTGTGGAAGTTGGTGAAGAGGCCAGTGAAAGTAGGTTTGCGGTAGACGGAAGTGGTGAATTTTCCATTAGTACGAGAGATATCAATGTCAAGAAATGAGAGCTTTCTGTTTTGTTCGACTTCAGATGTGAATGTGATGTTAGGGTGTTGTCGGTTCAGGTAGTCAAGAAAGAGAGGACGTGATCGGAGGAATGAAAAGTAAAAACAGTCGTCAACGTAGCGTCGGTAAAGTAGTGGTTTGAATGAAGAAGGACAATTATTGAGCCAGGATTTTTCGTGAAAGGACATGAATATATCAGCAAAGAGAGGGCCCAATGGACTGCCCATAGCCACACCATCAATTTGCTGATACATTTTCCCGTTAAAGATAAAGTGACAGTTCTTAACAGCTAGAGAGTAGTTTTCAAATTCTGTTGCAGTGAGTCCGTTGAAGTACTGGTGGTTGTTAAAAATGCTTTTGGATATTATGTGGATGGTTTCGTCAACAGGTATGTTAGTAAATAGGGATACGACATCAAAACTAGCAAGGACAACATTACTGGAGTTGATATCGCAGTTTAGGATTTCTTCAACAAACGAGAAAGAGTCTTTGATGATGAGGTTGCTTATAGTGAAGGGTTTTAGGAGTGGGATGAAAAACTTTGCTAGATTATACGAATAGTGATTAATGGAGGAAAGAATGGGTCTGAGAGGGATGTTACATTTATGTATTTTAGGAAGGCCATATAATATACCTATTCGTGAACCAGTAGGGTAAAGTTCTTTGTACGTTTCTTGGCCGATAGATTTGGCATCTTTCAACTTTTCTCTTCCAACTTAGACGACTTTAAAATAATCTCCTCTTCCAACGATACTTATGAACTCTCCATCCATGAAAGCCTTCTAATCAATAAACACAAGCCTTCACTTAATGTGCAAGGAAACTCCATTCCACTTAACCTCTTTTAATTTCTCTTCATTTCACTTCCAAACTTCCTTATCATGTATCCATTCGACACCGCTTCCTTTAGTAGTAATTTAACACCTTTTTGTAAATATAATACCTTGTCTTAACGTCCTATTTATTATTTGTCTGAAGATGTCTTGAGTAAAGACGAAACGTCACAATAAATTTAAATTTCACAATTTGTTTTTTTTTTGGTCTATTTCTATGGCTCTAATCAGAACTTTATGTTGGGCATTGATTTTTATCACACGTATTCGATTTCCGCTCGGCAAGTCTCTCGCTACAATTCTAAGGATTGTATTCCACAACATTTAGTTTTAAACTCAACAGTTAAAGTTATAAAACACTTCCTACACTTTATATATAACAAAAAATACAGTGTGTAGTTGTGTGTTTGAATGAATAAGTTTGAAAAATACTTTTGAATTTGGGATTGCAAGCTTTCCTAAAAAAGAGCAAGTACATAAACAAATCTATAACTCAGAAAACCTGATTACTGTACCTACAAAGATAATTGAACAATTTATATCGGTGGAAAATGAGCGTTTGGAAGACATACATCCACACTACATTTTCTCGACGTAGTTCGAAGGCAGCATTCCAAATGCACCTGTTCGCTCATTACGTCCCTCCATCCATCCTGCATCTATGTCAACACCGTCAACAATAATATCTCCTTCGCGGATTGTTATCTCGTCATCATCAGCAGCCGTATAGTCGTACATCGCCCGATAACGCGGCTGTAATCAAACGAAAACTATAAGCTATTTTAGGAGAAAAAGAGTTAAACGGGATGAGGTGTAAGTTAGGGGTTTTAGCAACTTGAAATAACAAGGGAAATTATTAAAAAAAATTGGGTGACCGTTTTGAACAAATGTCAGTATCTATATAATATGTATTTATGGGTAACTACTAAATCAGTTTATGGCTTGCTTTCTCTCAAAACAATCGAGTGAAACGACATATGTTAAGTGGACTAATCTGATACTTTCGACTGATGCATAATTTCAGGAATTCCTTGATGTTTGATGGATTAAGCTCTACTACCTTTAAAAAATCTTAATGATTCAAACTAGCAAAGACTCAAAAAAATATTCTTTCTATGCATGAAAATGTTCAAAACGTGATGTCATAATGTATATTTTTTCCCATACAACTATAGCGACGTCTAACTCTACATGGCTTATCCATATTTTCCCCTTATTTTCATCCCTTCAATTTTGTATATAAATACACTCTCGTCAATTTACATTAGCCACGTGATAATGTATTCTTATGTACGTACCCCAAGAGATGAAGGTGGAGGGACGGGTGGGTTAGGTTGTGCAGGAGCTGGAACGTTATGGACTGGAGCAGGAACGTGATGAGATGGAGGCTGTGGATTGAAATTTTCCCTCACGGGCGCATTTTCTGGATAAGCACGTGTTTCATCAACTAATAACACAGTTAGCGACATTAAACCAACTAAAAGCCGTGTAGTAAGTATACAGGGTGTTCACCGAAAATAACACAATAGACATCATCTCATTGTTTATAAATAGTAATTATCCTCAACAAAGACGACTATAACAAAAAATGCGACGATATCTTATGGGACAACACAAAATTTGAACCACTGAAAGACAATCCAATCAAATCCACGCTTAAAGGTGAAAACCAAGTAAAAGCACGGATAAAGAAACTAAGAACTAACAATTGCATAAATGATAAAACCTACAATGAACTATATTCCACTGGCACGCGTATCGCTATACTATATGGACTTCCGAAAATCTACAAGGCTTCAAACCCTTTAAGACCCATCCTTCTTATTGATCAACCACTATTTATACAACATAGCAAAGTTTTTCATCCCACTTCTCACCCTTATCTTCGTCAGCCCCTTCATCATCAAGGATTCTTTTTCCTTTATCAAGAACTTATGCAGCATAAATTCCAATAACGCAGTAATGGTTAGTTTTGATGTTACCTTCTTGCTCAGTAACATTCCAGTAGACGAAACCATTACAATAATCTCCAATGACATTTTTTATGATAGTTCTAACTTCCACGGGGTGTTGACAGTTCACAATTCACTTAGCACCTGTGAAGAACTGCCAGTTCATGGTTGCACGTATCAAAAAAATCGATGGTGTAGCCATGGAAAGCCTTTTGGGCCCCCTCTTCACCAATATCTTCATGTCTTTCCACGCGAATTATTGGTTAAAGAAATGTCCTTCACATTTCAAGCCACTCTACAGCAAACTTTCCTTTAATCTCTCTACGTCGAAATGACGTTCTAATGGAGCATTCTCTACTTCTGTTTATCGAAAACCTACTTTCACTGGTCTTTTCACAAACTTCCATAGTTTCATATCTCTAACATACAAACGCTACATAGTTTCTTGCCTCATTCACCGAACTTTCCATCTTTGCTCCACCTACGAGAACTTTCATCGTCAACTTGAAGTCGTCTGAAAACTGTTTGTCTCAAATAATTTCCCTTCTCAATTCTTTAATAAACTTGTCCGACGTTTCCTCGACAACCCTTTTCGAACCTAAACCTTTTAAGCACACCGAACAAAAGAAAATCATGTATTTTGTCCTTTCGTTCAATGGCTCACACTCCCTTCAGATTTGCCTACAAATCTATGCAATGTCACTTATCCTGACGACACTATTTGTCTTGTTTTTTGCTTTTCGAAACGCCTTTTATCCTTCTTTTCTTGTTTGACAGGAAATTAAACCTTATTCCAATGACTCCAATCGAATCCAATGTGCTCACCCATCTAAAAACCACTAATTACTTCGCCGACTTTGATGACTTCGACATTCTGTCATCCTCTCCTCATGCATACGAACTATCCATCCACGAAAGCCTCCTCATCTCTAAGCTTAACCCATTTCTTAATGTCCAAGGCAGTTCTATCCCATTAAAACTTATCTAATTCCATTCAACCTAACTCTATCGCTTAACACACAAATGACAAGTACTCACGTCATCGCCATATCTTGTAACCCAACATTCCGCTAGTATCTTATAATTATTTTATATTATTTCGGATGCAAGAGGAAACTGAATATTTTGAATCGGAAAAGATTTGTGGGATTCTTATATCCGAAAACTTTTTATCCCCCTAAAATCTGCGTGTAAACGGAAAGCCGGTGTGACAGTGATATGAATACCCCCGTGTTTTGGGTATCCTCGTACTTAAATCACTAGTGTTTTGGGCACCCCCACCAAATATGGCGGCCGTGTTTTAAGTATCCCTAACCGACCACCAAACGTTCACAAATCACTAGTGATACAGGTTTCCCTATTTTTGTTCCATTACTACGCTGATTTCAGGGGTTTCTCTACAATGGATTTTCACTGACTTAGCAGGAACAACAATAATGTTGTATTTTCGGAGGCGTAAAAAAGTCTGAGTAATACTGACTAATATTATAAGTAAAATTAATTTTAGATATGCTTCTATACGCTATTTTCAGTTAACCATTATAAATAATCAAGTTGCAATGTTTACCCTGTGGATCGGCTTCCAAACTTTTAATATAAGCTATGTTTGGATGAATTAACACAAGAGAGTTAAAACTTAATACAGTTAAATTACAATTCTATTGAATAATATACGATCACTTCATTAAATTACTTCGCTATATTGCACGTACACAATCGAAATTGCATTAACAAAATCATTTCAATGAAAGTTTCTTTGAAGCAATTCATATGTAATTTCAAAAAAGATGGCATACGAAATACTAGTTACGCCAAAAAAATTAGCAAGTAACAGTTGCTTGTCGAATTACATTTTGATAATTCTATCAGACTATCACCTTCATACATTTCCGCTTAAGCAATATCGATTTTCGGTTAAAGCTGCTGCGCAAGCTCTAATATTCTTGGGGATACCGAAAACCCTAGCAATTTAAGTACTGGGATACCCAAAACACGGGGATACTCATATCACTGTGACAATGGGCGAATCCGAATACAAAAAATTCAAGATGACGGATAACACAGGAGTGAATGAAATTGATACGATCGACATTATCGTGATTTTGTAAAACCTTATTCAAACAAATGCAATTTATATGATGCTTGCGTGCCAAACATACAGAAGAAAGCGTAGAATACCTCAAAATATGATCATAGGGGGCAGATTACCTGCCAAATTACGCCGTAACTGGCATCTCTCAGGTTTCGACAATCGGAACTCTCAAGTCTCGAGTGTAAACGACCGAATCCGAAATAATACGCTGAAGGCTCAAAAACAGCAAATCCGGATACTTTAGTGAATCCGAAACAATACTGTTTAGTGTAAACGGGGTCTAAGACTTTAAATTGGTATTGGTAAGACACGGTGTGTCTTTGTCGTATATTCGTGGAGTGGCACTTTGTTATTAACCAATGCTATCTCAGGGTTACGGCTTAAAAGCGATCAGATAGCTGTATAGTAACGTCAAGTTTGAAACTATAACAAACGTTTATTTTATGAACGCCTCACGATCAATTGTAAATGGCTGTATACATCGTTTTTAAATTAAGTAATCTTTAAAAGATTTATATGGACTAACCAAACTTGCGGGTTAGCAGTGCTACTCCCCCCATTCTCCAAGGAATGGCTTTAAATCTTCATAGGGCTTCTACAAAAAAAGACATTTAGCAAACCTTGAGTATGTCTTGTATATGCTGCATTACTTTGCTGTAACATTGCTCGTTTTGCTCTTTGCGTCGAGGGATCATCAGGGACAGCTGTAAATTGACCTTTTTCTTCTTCAAACTTTTTGTGATATTCAACCTAAGACATTGCATGGAAAAAATGCAATACGTAATTGGATGGTGAAAAAGCCACACATAATCACAGTAAAACTAAAATTAAACTTTTATTAGAGTATTATTATCATAGAACATTTGTGCTGACCACAGTTAACAGAAACAATTAACTAATATATCATTTTCTTCAAAATTCAAATGCTCTAAAACAGAAACTGATGATGATCTTGGGCTCAATTCTACTTCGAAGCGATTACTTTATTTTATTTAATCAAAACAAAACTAAACTAAATGTAACAATTAAACACTAAGGCCAATGGAAGTAGGATGTATCTTGAAAATATCTTGAAATCACGAACCATATCAACCTTAGTCCTAATTTTATTCGCAGTGTTATATTTTAAAACAGGTTACAATGATTCCGCATGTCAAACGCACTTATATACGCGTCTGATACGCGCATCAGACGCAAAAAGTGTTACGTTGTAAGTGAGAGGTACTGTATTTAACACTATTGCGGTATCATCAGATTATTTAGCAACTTATTTTACAAATTGACGAGAGGCTAAATTAGCTAATTTAAAATTTGCTGGACTGCCAGTTTTAAAATCTGAAAACCAAACACGTGTCCGCTAGTCCGCGTCCTCCAGCCCGCGTTCAAAAGTTGCCATGGCCAACTGCCAACAAAAACAAACGCGAGTTGCTTTCGCATTCATGATTCAACATCGCAGACTAAATTCCATAAATGTAATCCTTGGTCAGCATAAAGTATTGCTTGTCATGAAGAAAATAAAATGAAAGAGTCCAAAACATCATACATCATATTAGTCGTACCTGACTTTGATTCTTTGTGTTCTTTGACAGACGTACGTTTTCGGGTGTATCAGCTATTTGAGTGAACTTCGTTGTTGGGTAATGGCTGAATTAAAATAAAATTATCATTAATTAGGATAAATGTAGGGTATATCTAAAAGTTAGAAAAATCCTGAACAATGTTCAAAAATATTGAACAATGAGCAAGCTGTTTTTGTAAATTTTAAAATGATCAAGCATAAAATTCAGTCATACGCAACAATTCTTATAATGAACAAAACAACGATAACTTTCATTGTGATTGATCTCGCTACCTGAATTCACTTAAAATATCTCGTTTCGATTATTTGTAAATTGATTTTTTCCCAATATCTCGCTAATAAAAGTTGTCAGTAACGATAACAGTTTATTTTCAATCTTTCACTATATTGATAAATCGATGACTACATTGAAACTGATACTTTACTACTAGAGTGGCAAATTTTCTTGATGGAGACTACAACTGCAGCAAGTAAACAATCTGTGACACAATTATGAAATATACGTACGTGTTGCAGTACGGATATTTATTGTATCCTTTATAATTCTTCATTGTCAACTTCATGTTGCAAACTTGGCAAGTAAAGCATTTCTTATGCCATGTCTATGGAAGTAAGAGAATGCATTAAATATTGACATTACCCGTAGCCACCGTAAAGAGCATCTCTTTACGTATATGCGAATTACCTTGTCTAAACAATTCAGTTTCTCAACAGGATAGACAATCTTGTCGCAACGACAACACCTTGGATTCATCGTGTTTGTTTAACTTTGCCAAAATTTACAGCTATAACTCTCTATATTTCTCCTTATAGATGTGAACTGCGAACTAAATCATATGCCTTCAATTCGTGTGCCACACGCATGAGCAAGAAATGTATTAATTATACTTGTTGTTCCCATCATTTTATTGAAAGGAACCTCCCCTATGCCACCCACACAGAGTATGACCATAAACGACGTGATAACGAATGACCTGTTCTGTAAAATAAATTCTAGCAGCTGCTTGCAATTGTAATTTGTTTAGTTGTTTAAGTAATGACATACTATTGTTTTAACTACAAAAAGTTCAAACATGGTTTGGTTGTAGATGATAGATAACGCCTCCTGTCCTTTTCCTAAAAATATTGTAAACATGTCTATTACAAAACTACGAGGCGTTTATTAGAGAAAGGAGTTTACACTATATAGCGGATTGCATTTTAGGTTTTTTTTATTTTACACCGATGGAATTTCACTCCTAATAAAAAAATAAGGTTACACCATTTCCATGTGTTAGGATACCCGGCATCGCAAGAGTTTTTGTCACCTCAGGCTGGTTCTGAGTTCTTAGACTCAGCACTTTTTGTGTTACTATGGGAGCAGAGCCAGTATGTTAGGAACGTACCGAATTAATTTTTAAATCACTTCCAAGGCAGAGTGTTTTTTGATTACTGTGAATCAAGCACTGTAAAGAACAACCGAAATCGGTAAGAAAATCACCACGCTTAAGACCCTGCGAATTGTCGCGCGATCGATTCTCTGAGATCACTTTCTTTTCAATTGAAAGCTCTGAACCGGAACAGTTTCACACTGCTGCACATAATTCACTGTTTTTACTGTTCATGACTTAAATGAAGTTCGACTGAGTCTTGTTAGGAATGAGCAAAGTTGTTAAATATTAAGCCCTTTATAACCGAGTGCGAGGTCTTTACGGAGAATTATCGAACCGAAATTATTTTGTACAGACCGAGCCCGTAGGGCGAGGTTTGTACAAAAAGACAGAGGTCCGATATTTCTCAGTAAAGACCGAGAAAGCGAGGTTATTAAATGGTTTATTATATGGAATTATTTGACCTGAAACGAAGCTATCTTTTTCGTCCTTGCTGTTTTTCACCGGTTGGTTTTCACTTCATAAAGTTTTCGTTCATAAAAAATAAATCGTTTCAAATTGTATCGTCTGAATAGTTAAACTGTTTTCCAAGTGTTTTTCCTCGAATCACATTCGTAAATGTTTTTTTTTGTTTTGTTTATTTTGCGTTTTGCTGTTTGCATTACGAAGTTTGTTTACATTTGGCTGTAAAATTACGCATTTCGGACCGTGGTCAATTACGGGAAAATAACGGCAAAAATGTTTCTGAGCCAATCAAAGCGCGCCATTTAGCCGGAAGTAACGCTTGCCATTTAATGATATTTTTTAATTAATTTTATTAAGTCTTCTGTTAACACATGCACTTTACATAAAGGTATAGCTCCAACTAATAGTTCACCAAAGTTTGAGACTGAAAGGATAAATATTTTTGAAGATATGGAGGTTTAAAGTTGATGCTTTCCTGATAACGTATGAAAAATGCCCGACGAGCTAACGACAGCTACCGATGTCGTTGTGACGTAATAGTTGACATCAGCTAAACGCGGTCAATTGCGCGCTTCGTTCAAAATATACTTTGCCTGCATTAACAACGACAATTTAGCATTGAAAATATGGTTTATTGTGCCGCATTTAATTATAAAACGGTTCTTCTAAGAACCATCAAACGCAACAAAGGTTTCTTTTCCGTTTCCCGAAAACAAGCGCATGCGAGATATTTGGATTGAAAAATCCGACGCAAAATTTGAAGCCAACAAAGCTCAAAATTGTGCTCGCAACATTTCGAGTTCGTGCTTCGTGCAAAATTTTGAAGCGATGCAATCAGTAGGATGGACAGCAGGACGGCTTCGCCTTAAGAAGGATGCTGTATCCACGATTTTTAATACTCTGTGGAACCCACAAGTGTAGCCATCTAAAGGAAGCAACCAACAAATGTTAGAACTGCATTTGAGAAGAGACGAAGGCAAGAGGTGATTATTATAGTTATATTTAGCAATATTTGTTTACATTTATAAAACTAAGCTATAGAGCATTACCAAATTGAGGACAATTTTATAATTTTAGATTATTGACGACGTTCTTGCAGAACATGACGACTTTCTTGTAGGCGACGACCACGATGTGTCGACATCGGATCGAAATGTTTGTGCGTTTTACCTCAAATGAAGTTTGTCTAAGATAAAGATGTCAAAATATATGCAGCGAAACAAAACATATACAGTGGTAACTAATTCAGACTAATGCCGTTTGATCTTTTCTTTATTATTTTAACTCATAAAAATTCCTTAACGTACCTTAGAAGCGCAATGTGAAATGCCAAGCAGCCATAACAATCCGTCCGCAAAACACGTAAGGTCAAGAACCACTCAAACAAAGTGCCAAATATGATAAGTAGAGCTATAGACTTTCCATTTCGGCCGTTTTGATTTTGAAAATCCAGCAATACGATAATTTTATTTAAAGGTTGAGTTAATTTCAACAAAAATCACAGCACACAGACGACGTCATGTGAAATTGAACATTTTGAGGACAGCGCTGGGTCTGATACAGAAAGCACGTCGACGATGAGCAATAGCTACAATGGATCAGACTCTCACTCGTTTTCTTCACTCTCAGGCATAGGTCCAATGCCATAGCTGTTTTACGACAGCTTCGTTTCTAGTGGCAAACTCTTCCTGTGTGATACAAATATGATCGCCATGTATCAAAGGATCAGTATTGTTTACCTCTTGGCAACATATACTTTCCCGTCCTGTACTCATGACAACACAAAGCCACATTCGCACCTAAAATAAAACATTGTTTTACTGGGAAAAACAATGAAGCATCAATAAAATGCAACTAACCGTTCAACATTTCCAATTCTGTGAATGTATTTATCTTCGCTTTCTTGTCATTACGTTGGCCAATAGCTCAAACATGGGTTGTACCTTATTGTTATTGATGACAATATCATAATCGGCATCTTAAGAATCCATTAATTTTGATAAATAAAAACAGTAATAGCAAACTTGCAAGCACTGAAGTCGTAGAACGATATAAGAACGAAGCTTGTTTATGTCAACTATTACGTCACTCTTTCCCAGTTCCCAGACTTAAAAATCTCGGCGTTTTAGCAATGGTCATCGAATATCGTGTTTTACCGATTATAACCCTAAATATCTTTTGAAATATTTTGCGGACGACTTTGAAACTTGGTACGTCTTATTTTCACGCTATAGGCATTACAATAAAATAAAGTTGTCTTCTAGCTTGCATGTGTCCTTTAAGCCTGTGACACACGACGTGGTCTCTGAGACTTTTGTTTCCGAGACCTGGTCTCCGACACAAAGTTTCGCAATGTGTCATCTAGGTTTCGGACACTTTTTGTTTCGGAGATTTTTTGAAATTAGGTCTCCGAAATAGAAACGTGTTCTAATTCCAGAGACAAGTCTCCGAGACAAAAAACTTTCGGCCAATTAAATATCACAATTAAAGTCACGTGGTATGAGACAGAAAAACAAGATGGCGGTCGAATGGACAAGGGATAAAGTTGAACGTTTGGCAGAGTTGTGGGAGGCTAAACCAGTATTGTATAATACAACGCTCCCTGACTATCATGATAGAGTGGCTAGGAGGAATGCAATTGCGGAGATAGCGAATGCTTTAGAAATGAGTGGTGAGTAAGCATTTTTTACTGAATTCAGATTGATAAGTATACCGAATCCCCATTACGTTGTAATACTTATGAAGTAAATATTTATGTGCATTTAAATGACGATAATAAAGAATAGGGCTGATTTCTATTGTTATAAACGATTTTCCAACTATTGCAGAATGACAATTTATTTCAACATGTTTCAGGCTTTCAGCAGTCAGCCACTGTTTTATTACATTCAGTTTTTCAGCCTGTTTGAACGGGAAAATATGTCTCATGTTGTTTCCGCTTTATAGCAATGGATGTTTCTTGCAAAATCAAAAACCTTAGAAGTCAGTTCTGCAAAGAAATTGCCAAAGGCACCAAACCCAAAAGTGGTTCTGCCACAGATGATGTCACACCAAAGTCCAAATGGCAATATTTCACACTGCTTTTGTTTTTAAAAGATCATGTGGAATGTAGATCATCTCGCTCCAATCTTGATAAAGTATGTTGTCTTGTTTGAGAACTTAGTTTGAGCTAATGCAACATGTATGTTTAGGGTTTACTTTGAAGTAATTTATTTTTCTCTTTTATATAGGAGAGATCAAGTAAAAATAGCAACACTAGCAACTCTACTTTTCTTGAAGAAGAGCAAGAACAAAAAGATGATAACAATGAACTAGATCAAAATGTTTCAACCACATCTTCCACAAAGCGCCCAATTAATGTCTCAGACAAGGAATCAAGAGCTACAAAAGCACAAAAAAGAGATATTGAAGAAAGAGGAATTTTGAAAAAAGCTGGAGATCTCCTAGAAATTATTGCATCAGGGAAAAAATCAAGCTTGAGTTCAGTCCATGTTTCTTCTGCTGATGAAAGTACTGATGATTTGTTTGGAAGGTATATTGCATCTGAAATTAAATGTATTGAAAATGATTCAGCAAAAAGGTTGGCTAAAGTACGAATACAGAATATTTTGTTTGAAGCACAGTCAACTTCAGTTTGTACAACTTTCTCCACTACAAGTCCAGTACCCTATTCCAATTCTCACTACAGTCACAGCCCATGCTCATCTGTACAATCAGGCACTAGTGACAGTCCTAGTCCTACATCTTATCAGCCTTTGACTAATCAATTGGTATTTGATCAGATGGCTGAAAAGACCTACCAAACTCTTTAGAACAAGAACAAGAACAAAAATAAATATAAATAGTTGTTTGCTTTTTATTTTATACAAAAACTAGTTGATAACAAAAGTTGGTGACACAGAAGGTAAAAAAACATGTTTTTTAGTAAATTTACATGGGTGTTGTGCTTGACAATCTTTCATTTTTTGTCTATAATATCATGCAATACTTTGTACCATTTTGGTCTAAATAATCAAATATTACTAACCCAAGATCAAGCTTTGTTTATATTTTGCTCATGTTTGTTTATATTTTGCTCGTGTTTGCTTATATTTTGCTCATTTGCCAAGGAACTGATCCTGCATCGAAACTAAAGTAGTTGCAGATGTGTTCTCGAACAGATTGGGCTGTAGATGTTGATCTGTTACTTCCTTGCTGTCCCAAAGAAGTCATCCCACTTGCAATAGGTTGACTTCTCCATTCACCTTCAATCACATCATGGGTAAAATGATCCTCTCTATCCATCATAAACTGTGGAGTGTAAATGTTCCATCCTTCATTTCTGGCTCGCAAAAAGTTGTGCAAGGAGCAACAAGCTAAAACTATCTTTTCAACTGAATCAGGTTGTAGGGCTATTGGTGTCATGAATACCCTAAATCTATTTGCTAATATGCCAAAAGCATTTTCTACTATTCTGCGAGCTCGGCTTAACCTGTAATTGAATATGCGTTGTTTCATTGTCATGCTGCGTTGACCATATGGTTTCATCAGTTAAGGTTTGAGTGGAAAAGCATCATCTGCCACAATTACATATGGGATTTGAGTTACATCACCTGGCAAGGATGTCGGACTTGGCAGGTTTAGGCTGTTTGTTTCCAGTGCATTGCTTAGTGATGATTCTCTGAACACTCCACCATCAGATACTCTACCATTTTTACCAATGTCAATATACAGAAATTTGTAGTCAGCATCAACCAATTCTAGAAGTACAATACTAAAGTTGTTTTTATAGTTAAAATAAAAGGAACCACTATTGTTGGGTGCCTTCAATAATATGTGCTTCCCATCCAAAGCACCCACGCAGTTAGGGAAGTTCCATCTCTCTGAAAAGGCTTGTTCTACTTTCCTCCAATCCTCTTCAGTTGTTGGAACCTACATGTAAAACAATTAGAATACTGCTTTACTGCAACCAACAAGTATTTGCATTGCCAATTAAATTAGCGAGGATAATGTTAATATATGTATTTTTTGGAGGAAACAATTACCTTAATGTAATCCTTGAGGACTTCTGATAAAGCATCACATGTTTCTGGGATTATTTGCTCCATAGTTTGTCTAGCTATCCTGTACAAGAATTGTAAGCTGCTGTACGATTCACCTAGAGAAACACAATGAATGTCTCGCTTCTATTCAAACAACGTCATTACATGTTTAGCCTAAAGTCCACACATGTCCCCACGCTCACTTTTCATCGATACTGATACATAAGTTAGCAATTACAAACCTGTTGCTAAGAAACGTAGGGTTACTGCCAAACGTTCACCTGCTGGAATAGAACGTCTCATGTTTGTATCTTTTTTTGTTATTAATGGCGTAATCAAGCTTTCTAGGACACCAAACGATTCCGGATCCATTCGTAGAAATTTTTTGTATCCATTCGAATCTGACAAGCGCAATTCTTTCACTAAATGCTGGTATGCCTCATCTTGCATACCCAAATGCTGGTATGCCCCTCTTATCCAAACAGTTCTTTTTTTCTGTCTTCTGCGTCGTTGTTTAATTGCTATGTATAAAACAATGGCAGCACAAGTAGCAGCGGTCAGGTCGTCTCCCGCCATATTTCAAAAACAAACAAAATGACTCCGCAAAGTTTCAGAAACATTTAGTTCGTTTGTCATGTTAAGTTTCTGAAAGTTTTGTATTGGAGACCATGTCTCGGAAACAAAAGTCTCGGAGGCCACGTCGTGTGTCACAGGCTTTACTTAAATGTATTTTATTTTACGTTCACTCAATTTTAACCACCATTCACGCAATGACATAAGTGTGTTTATTTCAATCTACGGTCTCAACTTAGCGGTATGCCATGGAACTTAGGTGGAAGGTGTCTGAAGGGCAGAGCTTGATACACTCGTAGATGACGACCTTAACAAATGTTTGGATAGATTTTTTCAATGTAGCTCGTGCCAGCCGCAGCTTGACTTTAGTGCGTTAATGCTTCGTATTTCTCAAATTTCTAACCACCATTACTTACATCGGGCACCTATTCAGTTAAAATAAGATTCATATTTTAAGACCTATAACATTAGTATTTTAATCACTCTTTGACCTTACCAAACCTAAATTGATTATTTATGAGAATCATTATATTTTTATTCAAGTGTTGCTTGAAGTGTTGAATGTTAATGAAAAAAGGAAATGGAGTACGAAGCACGAGTAACTTGGAAAAAGAGAATTTTGTAAAAATATGGTTTCACTATTTAACGGTTTAAATACTTTAAACTACTAAGTTTTTGAGACTAACACATAGAAATTAAATGTTACCACGATCTTCTTCATGTTAGAAATATGAAAAGGATTCTAGCGAGATATGAAAGTGAATCAGAATACCATATCACTCCCAAAAGAAAGGTTGATGAAAACAAATTGACTGGATCTCGAACCTCTATGACGAAACTTCGTTTTTATATGCAATGAATCTACAGGTTATGGGAAAAGCTTGCATTCGGTGAGCAGTAGCTACATCTAAATAAAAGTCTTTAAAGGATGCATTTGATATTTCTTGACAAAAAGGAATCAGCCATAAGAGAAAGAAAACTAGTAAATATCGCAGACTTAGAGGCTTTATGTACAAACATTTTACATGAAAATGGAATGCCTAGCACATTATGCACATTATTATAAAGCATCTGTTATTGAAAGAAATCTCAGATGTAGAAATGTCTAAACATGACTAATGGATGGAGTGGTATTTTTTATTTCCTGCAATTTGATTGGCTGTAGTATTGAACAATGATCCAAAAGCGTTATGTTTTGCAATAAATTTGCTAGCAAAGTGAACTTTCAATTTCTAAAATTAATGTATAAGCAATGTAAATTTTTCAAGAAGAAAGCATGTTATTCAGATGGTTTTTATCATAGCGAGAGGGAATTTTAGCAACTATCCAGACAATATGAACTTTAGAAAACAACCCAATTTCACTCTCAACCATCTACATCGACCATTTTACAATTTGAATTGCTTTACTAAATAATAAAATAGAGACTTTGTCGTGGTGACAAATCTGAAAATCTTTCTAAAGATCGCAAAACCATGGTAAATGGTAAAAGTAATAAGTTAATAGTTTTTAAAAGAACTGTTTTAAGTAAAGAGCACTAACCCAATAGTTCTAAAGGAAATGTTATGAAATTAAACAACACGATGCATTTCGGCAGACTACTCCTCAGGTGTCAACGTCTGTTAAATGAAAATTTACAATCTACCGATATTTAGAATGCCAAGAAAGAGTGTACGTCATCTCCAAAAGGGGAGATGACGCTCAAAACAGGGATAAATTGAAAACATAATCCTTTTGTCGGGAGAGGACGGGCTGGTTAACTTAATTAAAACAGCCTCCATGACGCGTAACTGAAAGAATGAACGGAATTTCTTAATGATTCTAAAATTGTCGTCTGAATAAGAATCAGCACAATGGAAGTTACTCAAAAGATGTTTACCTATCGCGGAGTCACTCTCAATGAACTCCTCTGATGACAGTCTAAGCGTTTGCTTTATTAAACACTTTACTAAAGAAATCTTTTCTCTGTGTGAAGGAAGAGTCAAAGCGTGTGTACAAACCCGTAAAAGTTGCCATGCGATGAATGCTTGTAAGGAATTGATCATTGCGTTTATGTACAAGAACATCTAAAAATGCTAACTGACAATTTGATTCGTGTTCAGACGTATAATTTAAAGAAGGGTGAAGAGGACAGAGTTTATGTAAAAATAATTGGCGATTTTAGTCGTTACGAAATAAGGAAAAGGTGTCGTCAATGTAACGTTTATACCAAAGCACATCTGGAGGTTCAGAAGAGGCAAACATCTTACACTCATTATAGCCTACGAAAATATTAGCAAGTACTGGTCCAAGAGGAGCATAATATCTAACGTACTTACTTTCGACTTTACATCTACATACTAGTGTTCCTCGACGTGAAATCATTGTTCACCGGCATTCCCTTAATTGATCTGGCAGAATGGGATTGCATGACTTCTATAAGAACTCTCATTACAAACACCACGGACCTACTCCCGCTCAGAGGCGGAACTTGCCCAGTGAGAAGGGCATTTAACGTTGACACGTACTACTTTTTACTGTTTTAATGCCTTACCATGCTAATGACTCATAAAAAAACATTAATACAGTTCTTCGTCGTTAAAATTTTTGAAACAAGATTTAATCTCGCGTCTGTTTCTTACTTGCCATAGAGTACTGAAAACTTCATCTTAAAATCACCAACTTCCCTGGAAGTACGAGGAAAAGGGTTCTTGTTCCCAAATTGAGTTGTCTTTATTTTTTGTTCTTTTTGTTCTTTTTGATAATAGCAAGTGAAAACTTTACTGGAAAATTTAAGTCGTTGCACTAACAGTAGCATAATTTTTGTAGCGAATGCAAGTTCACTGTATTTTATATATTGACTTAAAGTTGAATAAAATTGCTGCGTTAGCAGAGAACGATAAACTCATTGAGGGCACTTAAAAACCTTTTCAAAAAAAGGACACTCTTTTGCATGATTTTTAAAGTGGCAGGATTGGCTCACAGTTGTCAATTTAAATTAAGCGTTCTTTTCTAACTTTGTGCATATACCATACACAGGATATGATCGAAATTCATCGTCGCATTTTATCATAGGTCATAGTAGGGCCATCGTAGTTCAACGTAGTTCATTGTACCAGTGATCAAGTACTAAATAACGATGTCATTTATATACAAAGCGTATGAAAGGAACTAATTTTTTTGACAAAAATATATCAATGTTTATGTAGAAGCATTTGTTCACCTTACATTATGTAAGTAAGTACAATAGTACATTTGTCTAATAATAAAACTGAGGCACTTACAAAAATTTGAGATTAAAGATTTTAACAAAACTTTAGAGCTATTTCAACTAGATTTTAACAGCACATTTAACAAAACTTTAAAACTATTTCAACTAGATTTTAACAAGCTCTAAAATTATATCATGGCAAATCCATGAATGTAGCCCTAAGTATATAAACTTGTCTGTTAATTAAAGTACGGCAATCACAAAAATGTAAATTTTCTAGATTTTAACAAAACTTTAAAACTATTTCAACTAGATTTTAACAAACTCTAAAATTATATCATGGAAATCCATGAATTTAGCGCTAAGTAAATAAACTTGTCTGTTAATTAAAGTACGGCAATCACAAAAATGAAAATCTTCTAGATTTTAACAAAACTTTAAAACTATTTCATGGCAAAAAACTGAGTTTACTTAACTAATTTCCATAAACTTCATCATCTATTCTCAATCTTTCATTATCCATGTGCATGGCAGGCGTAAAAATTCTATTCGAGTTGTTGGTCATCTCTTCCAACCAATGGCGTCTCCCCAACAACAACAGCAGTTTTATCTGAATTTTCCGATTCTTGTTTAACAATCTTTGTCTCATTGGCAACTGTTGCTGCAGAGTTGGTCGATTCTATTGCAACAAACGCTGTCTCGCCTAGTTTAGTGGCTTCGTCAATCTCTGAGATAATTTGTTTCTCATCTACTCGCGTGGGGATATGCCTTTCGTAAGAAGTGTCGTCAGCGTTCTCGGCAGGTGTCTCCGTTTTAGGTTCGAGAGGATCCGATGGAAGTTTGTGAGCAATGTTGGAAGAAACTTGATCTTCGTCGCCTTGTTGACTAGCATTCAATGAAGACTGATCAATTTCTGAATCATCTTTAATCGAAAGGGATCCCTGAAACAAAAAGTAAACTCTCCATAGTTCAATAGTTCAATGTCCATGAAGCATTTTATAGAGTAGCACCGGAGCGTGGGGGACTGGGTCTTTAATAATACTAAAGTTGGAACATGTTACTTTGGTGAATTATTATAAGAGAAAAATTTGATGTTTGACACAACACACGTACCTTAAACTCATCAGACCAGGGGGGTGGAGCCTGTCCAGGGCATCTTTTCAAGGCAAACTTGTAAACGATAAAGCCACTCAAACCAGTCGCTTCCCAAAATTTCTCGACGGTGTATAAACCTTCATCAAATTACAAGGAATATGAAAAAACATACCTTAGAGAGATAAAGAGGAATATTTCTTGCTGATTCTGATGGTTTCAAAGTAACAGCTAGTGCTGAGTTAAAAAAAATCAAAAAAGACATAGAGCTATTATTTTGGGATACGTATAACAACGTTTTAAGATCAAAAGAACAGTGTGCAAAGATGTGCAAAGCACAAATCGAACATTATCCACAACCAACTTAAAAATGGTCTCTTTTAAAATATGTAATCTCACTTTTAGGCCCCATCCACAAGTATACGGATATTTTTGAAAACGGAAGTTTTTCCTCCGTTTTGACCTTATGTCCACACGTAAACGACGTTTTCGGTGACCATAAACGGAGGTTTCCGAAAACGATGACGTCAATAATTGAGTCCAGTCTCATGATTGAGTTGTCCGAGTACTTTTTAAAATGGCGGGTCACAAATGCATTGCTATTTTATTGGAATAATTTCAAATTTGATAGCATGCATTCACTTGAATGTTGCAGTGATAAATATTAAAGAAAGCGGGTGAATATTATGAAGATGCTTTCCCTGTCACAAAATGCCACAAAATATAACATTCGATTTTGCCTTTTTCTTTGGTGGAGCCTTCATTTGACTTTATACCATTCTAATTTTTCTATAAACTCACAAAATCAACAGAGCGCCCCACGATGCAAAAGAGACGTTAATAAATCCAAAATACAAATAATAAATAAATATTGCAATTTGATGCTGCAAAAGCTTGAAGAATCTCTTATTACAAGTAAATACGCATGCTCAGTGCTTACAAGTATTGAGTTTCCTCCGTTTTTGCGTATACGTATGGACAGGCGAAAACGATTCAAATACGCTACGTGTAGACGCAAATCTTTTCAGAAACGGAGGAAAAAATCTCCGTATTTTTATAAATCCGCATACGTGTGGACATGGCTTAGTTTGGTTGTGGACAATTTTCGATTCGTGCTTTGCATAACTTGCGAATTGTTCTCCTCAGTTTAAAACGTTTTTTACGTATCCGTAAATGAGAGAGGAGGGGATTCATTTTATTATCCGCGAAAAACAATGGATTTTAAAGGAAACTAATACCGCACATCATACATACTTGAATATAAACCCCCAATTATCGTTTTGGCTACATCCCTGCATGTAATATATGTAAACTGGAACGGAGAACTTCAATAACAGCGCTATAGGCCGTTTTCATGCATTGATATCTGAGTTTTCAGTAATTTACCAGAGCTAGCATGGCAAATCGTGAATTGTACTTGTATTGTAATTCTTGTCAATGTTTGCCCATATTTTAAAATCATACCAAAAACTGAGAAAAACTAGCTAATTTCAAGTTCGACTTAAAAATGGCAGCGAGGTTGGCGTTCGAGTTGATACTACAGATCAACGAATCATATCGTAATGATCCACATCCACTTTGCGTCAAATGCCGTTTACCGTTGTTAGGAGTTACGAACATGTTATGTCCCATGGATAAAACGACCCATTTTCCCAAAATATGTGGGTTCCCTTGATGGTTGAGTAAAACCAGGGAGAAAAAAATCATTGGTTCAGCTTCCCCAGTTTTGGTTCTTTAGGACACATAAGAGCTCAAATGGGTTGTAATGTAATGCTTGTAGCTTCTTGATCATCAATAATCTTTAATAAACATACAGCGCATGCGTAGTGGCATGGTTTTCAAAGGAGTGATAAAAAATGGCAAAGGCCCATACCATCATAACGATACCCTTCTTCTGGTGCAAAATCACTCTTTAGTTTATAACCGCGAATAACTCGTACTGGTTTTCCGTTTTCAATATTCTTAGTAAGAGCAAGGTTACCTACGAATAAAATTTTTTTACGAAAAACAATACTTTATTAGAAATCCGTAAAACAAAATCAAATTTATTTTCATAAAATATCATCCAAGAAATATTGCACCCTTAGTGATAAAACTACTTTTCAAAATTTTAGAGGCGCTACGTAAGATATATGAGAAAAATTAACATGCAAATTTACAATGAAATGAATTGGAATCATTACAAACCTCTGGTTAAAGTTTGGTTTTTTGATTGAGGAGCAGTTCTTAAGTTCTAAAGTTTTTTAAAAACATCCATTAACACAAATACAGAATAGTTTTAGAAAAATCACAATAAACAACAATTTTCAATTAAGATGATTAATACCTCATGTGATATTCCACACACCTCACTTAACTGACGTTACTATAGTTAATCGCATAACTCACGTAACTGATGTTACTATAGTTAATCGCATAAATCACGTAACTGATGTTACTATAGTTAATCACATAACTCATGTAACTGAAGTTACTATAGTTAATCACATAACTCATGTAACTGACGTTACTATAATTAATCACATAACTCACGTAACTGATGTTACTATAGTTGATCACATAACTCATGTAACTGAAGTTACTATAGTTAATCACATAGCTCATGCAAATGACGTTACTATAGTTAATCACACACCTCACGTAACTGATGTTACTATAGTTAATCACATAACTCACGTAACTGATGTTACTATAGTTAATCACATAACTCATGTAACTGAAGTTACTATAGTTAATCACATAACTCATGTAACTGACGTTACTATAATTAATCACATAACTCACGTAACTGATGTTACTATAGTTGATCACATAACTCATGTAACTGACGTTACTATAGTTAATCACATAACTCATGTAACTGACGTTACTATAATTAATCACATAACTCACGTAACTGATGTTACTATAGTTAATCACATAACTCATGTAACTGACGTTACTATAATTAATCACATAACTCACGTAACTGATGTTACTATAGTTGATCACGTAACTCACGTAACTGATGTTACTATAGTTAATCACATAACTCATGTAAATGACGTTACTATAGTTAATCACATAACTCATGTAACTGACGTTACGGATGTAGCCCATGTAACTGATGTTACGGATCAAGCACACATAACACATGTAACTAATGTTACAGATGTAGCACAAATAACTCATGTAACTGATGTAGCACAAATAACTCATGTAACTGATGTAGCACATAATTTATGTAACCAATAAAACTTACATGATTACACTACTCATGTAAACAATGCAACGAACATAACTAATATACTGATGTACCTTATAATATCATAAGTACCTTTGGGTTTGCTTTTGTTCCTTTAAGATCTCGTCCTCCTTAAATTTACGAAAAATTTACATTCTCGTGTTCAAAGACAGCATAAAAACACGCACATAACTAAGCTAAATATCATAAATATTCCAAAACAAAGTCGAAGAAAAAATGCTTATCATCAAAACTGCTGTCACTTAATATTTAAATTTACAACTAATAACCTCGGAAACAAAGAGAAATAAATCGGATAAAAATGCAGATTCCAATTTACAAGTCACAAAATGAGGAAGACAACACGTGATGACGTCAATATACATCCATTGTTGCCAGAAAACTAAACACAGACATTTTATGTGAACGAAAACAAACACAAGAAAAAAACATTCCTTTTAAGTCAAGGAAGCAACAGGTATTATACTGCCAGGTTAGCAAGTTAAATTTTCAATCTTTCAAACAAACACGCGGGTGTGTCTAAGAAGACTTAGGACGAAATGCTTCATTGGATCTGAAATAGACAAACCTACCAAGTCAAATAGCATGGCAGAAGCCAAAATCTCCCAACCAAACATAACATGCAACGTTCTAATGCTCTACTATCTCGGAATATACAAGAGCAAACGATTCTTAAATGTAATTACGTAGCTTACTATAGCAATACTTTGTTAAATTTCGAGAGATTGTTGCATCGTTTGGCTTCTAACATTTGTAATAAATTTGTTCAAAAATGGATAACGCCATAAAAAATGGATAACGCGATAAAAAATTAAAGTAATGAAAATGAAAGACCTAAAAAAGTATCTTCAAGATCGCCGAGTTTCAAATATTAGTTATCTACAGCCAGGACTTGCGGCCATAGCTTGTTTCTTTCCACATTCAAATGTTACCAAATTTACAATAAAGAGAATGATTCCTCGAAACATAGCAAAATACCAAAAGAACTTTCGTATACGACAAGCCGACAACTATATCTGACTAACCACATTAACTACGACAAAAAATTGCCTACACCCCCCTCGGAAAAATTAAACTAAGTATGTTTGTCATTTAGCAACTAATCAAAATGTTGCAAGGAAATCTTACGAAAGTTCTAAAAAAATGGAAAACAATGGAAAATTCCAAGGAAACTAGGCCTTCTTGTTGTAACTACCCAAATCCTTTTACCTTTAACGGTAAAAGTGAAACACTTTCTCTCAACCCTTTAACCGTCGTCAGTAAAAATGAATGAAACACACTACCAAATCCACTTACCTCCCCAAACTCTTTAACCCTCGTCAGTAAAAATGAATGAAACACTCTACCAAATCCTTTTACCTCCCCAAACTCTTTAACCCTCGTCAGTAAAAATGAATGAAACACTCTACCAAATCCTTTTACCTCCCCAAACTCTTTAACCCTCGTCAGTAAAAATGAATGAAACACTCTACCAAATCCTTTTACCTCCCCAAACTCTTTAACCCTCGTCAGTAAAAATGAATGAAACACTCTACCAAATCCTTTTACCTCCCCAAACTCTTTAACCCTCGTCAGTAAAAATGAATGAAACACTCTACCAAATCCTTTTACCTTCCCCAGTAAAAGTGAAACACTCGCCAAAATCCAAATCGTCTTCATATCCTCCAGACAGAGCAATAGAGTAGCAACCATCGTAACCACGATGGATTCCACCTACGGTAGGTCTACAAGGAAAGGAAGAACATGTAGACGATACGTATTTATATAATAACCAGAAGAATTTGAGCAATTTCATTGGTCAACAGCTATGATCTATAAGAGGACATACGCACGGAATTGACGTCACAGAAAATTTCATGTTTATAAAAACAAACAAATGGCGGATATATTTGAAAATTTATCGCAATACCTCCCTGAATGGGAAAATAAAGATATTCACAAAGACCTAGTTGAGGCAGTTAACGTATTTGAGCAAAAAGAAAAGAAAAAAACCCGATTTTCAAACATTAATTTGTACTTCGTTTTCGATAACAAAATTTTAACAAAATTGATCAGCTATTGTTTGTTTATTTTGTTAGCCAATCACATTTTATCACATGATTAAGCTAGCCAATAGCATTTCTTATTCCTATAGATCATGTAAGCATGATATTTGCAAAATCAAGACTTCAATGTTCCAAGTGATGGGGGACAAAGAAAACAAACTGTTTGACCGTTTAATTTGGGAATTTTTTTGATTTTATTATATAAAAAATCTTATATAACTCGCCCCGGCAGCTCGTGGTCACTTTTTTAGTTTTTATCACAAGTGACGTCATACCCGTATATCTATAACTGTATAGATAACGTTAAATGTTATCTATTTGTTAAATATGAAACAAAACATAACACGCGCCAACGTCACGTATATCAACGATAATTTTGAAAGTGAATTTTAATTTGACATGAAGCAATTTTCATAATTTGGTACACCGATTTGTTGTTTAATAACACGACACGTATAACGAGACACAACGATGCAAAAAGATATATAAGGCAATATGATGATTAATATTATATGTTAAAATGATATTATATAATAAAATGTAAAAATGATTTGTTTCACTTTATGTAAAGTTTACCTATGGACACCATCATGAGAACAATCAATTCGCATTTGCCAAACAGTTCCGACTGAGATTCCTAATAGCAAAGGGAGTTTTAGTTTAATTGCGCCACAAAAGCGGGGAATCGTAAAAGGAAAAATGAATTTATGGAAATGGAAATATTAGAAATGACAAATTTAAAATGTGAAAATCAATCAAGATGAACACTTAGCAAGATTTTGCACAAATGTTGAAAAATGGTTTCGACTGTTTTACTACGTCAAAGGTGTGAATGAAATACAGAGATGGCTAGATCTTACGAAAAAAAGTTCTGGTTAAATGGCTAAATTAAGTTTACGTACAAGCTCTTAAAAAGCCTTTAGTCTTATTCTGACACGAGAAAAACATTTTATATAAAATACGGCTTCGAGAAAACCGAAGTTCTTCAATTACAACACATTATTATTGTAGATTTTCTCGGTTCATCCTTTTTTTCTTTCAATGCTATATTTTTTTTTGGAAGAAAAGCTACTTTAACATGGGGTCATATCATCATTTTAACAGCTGAACACTTTTTATGTACACACGTAAAACAATCTTTGCAAGTAAATGTTTGCTAGTTTGTATATGTAATAGAATTCAAACCAGGTATGCTTCCATAAATTTTATCAGTAAATTTCGGCCTTCGCTTGCGATAATCTGGATCATCGTCATCATCATCAATTTCATAGAGGTCTTTTCCATCATCCAAAGTACCATTCTGAAATATCAACTCAGTGATAAACAGCGCTAGCGTAGCCAGCTCGCAGGCTTGTTTGTTCTACGTAAATATTTCGGTGTTCACACACAGTAAAAACGATGTATTTTAAATGAAATATACAACGCTATTGATTTTGAATTTACGTATCACGACCAAAGTAGCAGGCTGAGAACATCTCTGAGCATAATTAACAAAAATCAACTAAACACAATATTGACGTGGTGTTTTGAAAAACCAAAAACGGGAACCATAAAAAAAAACCCAAAGAATTTGTCAAGCTTTTTGAATTCGTCAGAGTTTAAGTACCATTGAGCTTATATCATCAAAAACGTCAATCGATTGGTGATTTGAGAATGAAAGAAAGATATTTTTTAGTAAAGACAAATTGCAGTGTGTGACGTAAAAGGTCGTGTGTCGGATTTCTGCACTCGTTTAGAAAGTTGACAATACATAAAAGTGAACTAGAAGAAATGATATAAGCGGGGCAAAGAATTTCCACGTTTGAAAAACAGGCTCAAGTGGAATATAGATTCCTCCGTCCAGGAGAACTAAATTTTGAGTATGAGCAATATCGTCGGAAATATTGATATGTAAGATTGTCAGCAATCGAAACGTGAGTTTTGCCACTTTCGATAGTGGCAATTTGACAGTGGATGAAACTTTATCACTAATTTCATAATATGGAGTATGTTCCTGCTCAGGCACATCAAATAAAGTGACAAAATATATAGATCAGTAAAAAATAAATTCCATATTTATGAAAGGAAACATGTTTCTGCAAACTCATATCACCTTCTATGAAAGTAAATAAGATATACATATAAAAAATATATCATTTTTCTAAAAGGTCTCATATACAGTTGACTGACCCTGAAAGATACCAGATAATTTACAAAAATGGAAAAGCGATCTAACCTCAATATCAGACAATCGAGATTTTTTTGACCTTGTCAAATATCCATGGAACCTTTTTTCATTTGTGACATGCAGCGTTTTATCAGAGTTGCTCCTCCGCTTCATTTCACAAGACTTTCTTTTCCTTTTAACACCTTGAACATTTTTGGTAGCATGTGGTTTCCTTGAAGGAAGACAACCCTAGAAAGAAATCGCATATGAACCCAAAAATGAAAATGAATTAAAATTTTGAGTAAAATTGTATTAAACAGTCTATAACTGACAATGGCATATTTTGGCATCAGAGTATGGCATTAATATCAATTTATGGCATTAATATATCATATAATATTCATCAATCCAAGAATCAAGATTACATATCTTGCCTCAACCTACCCAAAATCATAAAATTTTTCAACTTCTCAACATAATACAATGTACTAAAGGCAGACTTGGTGAAAATGTATAAATAATTGAAAACCTAGATAAAATGCAAAGAATTTTTCATTATCATAATAGCCGTCTTATTCAGCAAGCTGTAGTGCATCCAACACCACAGTATTACCAAGTTTGTGAGTTAGTCATATTGAATAATACATTGTTTATATATTTAATATTATTAACATTAATTACAACCAGATCTTCCCAATTGAAATTTGCTTGCTTAGTGAATGGATACAAATATGACATTTAAAAGCCTTAAAATAAAACAGCAATTGTTCCAAAAATGTAATCAGGAATGCGATTATGCAATGTGGACATGGACTTTGGGCATGGCTAATGACAGAGTGAAAACCTTAAAAAGTTAACTGTGTCGTGATTTATTGAAATATTGAGGGCAATCACTATTTAATTGCCCAAGTATAATTTCTTTATGTGTTACACACACATCAACCCCCCCTCCCTCCTTGCAGACAGGTGTTCAGAAATCATAATAATAACATGTAATTTTAACATCATGGACATGGTTTCTCATTTTTGATCATTGGTTAGTTTTCCTACATTTATACTTGGTATATATAATAAATATAAGTTATAGATACTGTGTATGCTTTCATTAATAAAATCAGAATCAAATAAAATTGGTTGCAGAGTTTATATGTGCAAGTAAAAACTAAAATATTGCTATAGTCAGAGGCTTGATCCATTATCAAGCAAAGTACAATACAAAAAATTATTCTTGAAATATATTGTGAATTATGTACTTAAAAGGGTGTGTGCACACTTTCTAGGTGACAATTTCCCCATATTCTGGGGGGGTGGTGGAAAAGTGCCACCTGAAGTTTATTTGAAATATGAAAAAAAGTTGGTCCTTCTAAAATTTTAAACCTTTGTATTAATAAAGACATTAGAAAAGTCGGTACTAAAATCTAGAGACCCAACAGTTTTTTAGGGTGGGTGGGGTGGTGTACACACGACTCTGGACTCTAGTCCTTGGATGAAAGATGTCAGAAAAAACGTCTTATTTACAATGACTTTTAGAAACATATGTTGCTAAGTTTTTTGTACAACATGAAAATAAATATTGGTACATTTATCACCACTAAGAAAAAGAAAATATCTACACTTGCAGCTGCAAGACATGCATCAAATTAAATTGACATTTATACATACGAGATCATCGAGTCCAGGAATATTTAGACTCTCCAAAATCTTTCTGTTACATTCAATATTTCTCAGCCGTTGCTTTTCATACTCACTCAAGCTCATTTTGCAAAAAAATTTTCATCGATAGCTACCATACTTAACTATAAAATGAAATTCATGGGACGGGCTCTAGTCAAGAATTGCAATCCATCCATATCCTCCACACCCACGTGTTGTGTTGGCTATTTTCCATCCATGAATTCTTATCAACACTACTTTATCATTACGCAAAAACTAACAAGTAACAAACGTAAATCAAACCGCATGGTTTCCGTTAAAAATTGCAAAAAAAGAATTTATTATAAATAGAGCAATTGAATGAATGATTATCACTAAATTCTGTGCAATTGAATTGTATTATTTAAATATTTGGGGGCTGTTCGTGGAACAGTCCATGTGTCGATGTGAGGCGACTCTCTCCGTTAAACGACGACGACGATTCACTTTTACAGTTTAAAAGATGTTTACAGGTGACACCCATCAACCATTAACAGCATGCTGCCTGCTCGGCATGTTGTGACTGTGTTCAATCATGGTTGTGAGGAATTTATACAAGTTGGCTAGCGATGTGGCTTGTTTCCTAACCCTATCTTTTTCTCCCTGACCATCTACGTAACCAACTAAGTATTCTTTCAGTCAACAAGTGGGGGTCGTTTGACGCTTAGCTTCCCACCCAAAAAGAGTCAAAGTGTTCCGCATCAAGGTCAGCTTAACACGTTTGGTTCACCGAGGCCCTATGTCCTTTGTGAAAAGGTGAGTACTTCGTGTACGTTCCTCGGTGAGCAGCGACATTCGTGTTTTTCTGCACAACTAGAACAAAATGAACTATACCCGTTTTTTATTGACATTCTGAATCTCCCTGGATTGTCATTATTGGGTTGTTCGACATTTTTATTTATTATGAACTATAATTACATACAACACACACACAGTAATTTATCTAGTGTAAATCAATACGATTCCAACATCACACAACTCAACTCAGTTGGTACTCTAATCAGCTCCTTTAATTCTTGCCTCCTACTAATTTCCTGCCTCCCTCCAATTTCCTGCCCTACCTCTCAGCCAATTTAGCTGTAAGCATTGGAAATTTTCAAGAGTTTCTATCCATTTCTACCCCCACTGAATTTTTTCTTCTTAATATGCTACCTGTTAACCCCAGTTTTAAGGTACCCAAAACATAAACTTTAATATATATATTTCCAAAATAGAATTTTGTTGGATCCAATTGTTTCGGAACCTTGCGACTTTTGGTTGCATGTTCAGATGTTCCAATAATTTTGTTGATATTTATTTTTGTTTAGATATTTTTAGTCATGTGAACAGCCATTTGTGTTCTCCAGGACATTTATGGATATATTTTTTGTAGTTTTGTTATTGTTTCTAAGTCTTTCAAAAAATGAAAACAGAGCAAGTTCTATATCCATCCGATTTTTTAGATTGACGGATCCTACTGTCGGATGCTTACTTTATGTGTGTTCACACGATCCGTTTTTTAAAATCCAACAAATCAGATAGTGTGTGAACAGGCCTTAAAAATGACTTGTGTTAGCACAATATTATAGGATATATTGTGAATCTGTATGTAACATTTTTTTCTCGGTGTTTGCCAATTGTACGAAAAATAAATTGTATCAGTCTGATTGTGTTCAATATATAATGTAAAATTTTATGATAATCTAATAAACTGTTTTTACTATGACCACAGAGTTACCTATTTGTCTTATGATATTTTTCTTGAGGTTAGAAATATTTGTGCTCTGCTGTTATCTTATGGGCCTTTGTAGTGATCTCACTCATAAATGGCATCTGTAAGTTCTTTATCCAACTGGTCGAAAATCTTCATGATGGTAGCTCGAAACCATGAGCAATAACCAGCACAAAGCCTGAGGTGGGCTGCATTTGCCTTTACTACGAAGTAACAACATGACGGTGAAACTTGATAATTCATTTACCCAACATGAGCAAAGCTTGCAGAATGAAAGCCTTGAAGGTAAAGGGTAAAGACATTCAACAAAAGCAAAATTAATTTGATGAAATTCTTTATTGACTAAAACAAAATATGTCCATAGAATGTTATACCACAAAACTAGTCAAATGATAATCAGTGAGTCTATTGAAACCATTCAAACAGACTTTTTGCAAGTATAATTCGGACCAAATTCCTAAAGTTGAATGGTAGACGAATGCTACTAGGTAAGCGGTCACATTTTTCGACCAATTTAGTAAGAGATCATTGTTCAATCAATCATTGAGCATATTTTTTAGAAGCGACAGTCAAAAATTACTATTGTGGATAATAGAAATGTTATTAACGGTAAAGACAAACAACAAAAGCAAAACGAACTGTGCAAGGTTGTTTGTGGACCACACAAAATATCCCTACAACGACATTTTCACAAAGATCAGACTAAATTCCTTTTGGATGGTAGAGGAATGTTAAAAGAGCAAGCAGCACTCAGTGGCAGTACTGCAGCAATTTAAAAAACAATTTATCAACTATATCATCTTCGATGTCATTAATCATTATAATGATAATTATCAAAGTGATTAGTGTCCGAAGAGCAAATGTTTCTTTTCAAAGTACAAGGCTTTAGGGTTATAAACATTAAAATAACCAAATACATCGACTACGACCATAACACGAACAAAACACCGGCTCTCGTCTGATCACCTAAGTTAAGCTTCATCGGGCGAATATAGTATTTGGATGGATGAACGCCTGGGAATACTTCGTGTTGTAGTCTTTTCCCATTCTTTATAGCTAAATTATCTAAACAATTTACTGTTTCGGTTTTTTTCTGTGAAAAACCGTTTACGTACTTGCTAAAAGACTGTTAGTTTAGGGTTAAATTTTTCGTTGTCCGTTTACATAATGTAAACCTTAAAACTTACTTGAAATCAGTGGAATAGACACTAAAAGACAGGTCACAGGATATTGGTATAAATTCCGTATATTGGTATTATGGCATTACAACAAGCCAAAGAAATCTTTCCAATGTAATACCAGAGGCCGGTTGCACGGAGCCTGGATAGCGTTATCCACTGGATAGCAAATTTTTCTGAACGTTCATAAAATCTTTTATAGGAGAAAAGTATACGATTTCAACAGTGCAATCACTGAAATAAAATATTGTTTCAAAGATTACAAAATTTCTTTGTCATAAGAAAAATATAAACACCAGGGCCGGTCGCACGAAGCCTGGATAGCGTTATCCAATGAATAGCAATATTTTCAAACTTGTAAAAAAGGTGTTTATATTTTTCATACGACAAAGAAATTTCGCAACCTTCGAAACAATATTTTATTTCAGCGATTGCTCAGTTCAAATCTTATATTTTTTGCTTGTTATAAAAGTTAAAAAAATTGCTATACAATGGATAACGCTATCCAGGCCCCAGGCTTCGTGCAACTGCCCGCAGTATTATAAAATCATAACAACAATTGCTACCATTTGCGTTGAAGCGCTGAGTGCGAGAAATTTTTCACGATATTTCCGTGTCTGAAACGTGACATTTCCTTGTCGTTTACAGCATGCTTTAGTCGTGGAATTTGCACCTTTTAGGAAAATATGTTAACGTTCGACAAGTCCATTAAACAAATTTTCCTTGGAAAAATAACATCTTTGCATGTTTGTGTAACACGTTTATCTTCTACTGTTACACTTTTCGGAAACAATGTCCATCGGTCGAGAAAATTTACGATGGAGAAAACGTCATTCGTTCCAAAATATAGCTGGACTTGTTTAAATTTGTATACAAATGATCGCTGAGATAGTTTTGAAGTTATGGACGGAGTTGACACCAAAAAACGGGCGACTGCAATACAGAGACGATGAAAATACCTTTGTAACCATGAGGGACGAATCTGACCTACAAGACGGTATGCGCTGTTTAACCGGAGTACGGAATTCTCATGAGATTTTTAGAATGTGTGTACGAATTCACGATGAGATAACACCATGGGGGAAGCAACACAGAAGTTCATCAGTACTGTCAACAGAAAAGATTGAAAAGTCTTTCTCTTTTCTGCTGCGTCCATACTTTCTTCACTGAGGTCGAACCAGTTTGAACACAATTAAACAGCGCGGGAGACTGCAGTGTATGTGTCTAAAGGAACGAGCTGCGGGATTCTGTCGGTTCCGCGAAGAAACATTTATCGATTATCCTTGATTTCATGTCGCAAGACAGCGCGACACATGACTTAGGCTTTTATACGTCGAATTTTACATTAATAGAATGCATTTAAAACAAAAGATAATGAGGCATTTTATCTAATTTTCTTTTGTCTTGTAAAATGCGACGTATAAAACAGGCCTTAAATGAGCGACCTTCGCGATTTATCAGCATTATAGCTGCAATAACTAATCAAACTCCATACAAATTTTATGCGGATGGACATTGTTATCAAAAAAGATGTATAAGTAGAAAATAAACGTGTCACAAAAACATGCAAAGATGTTGTTTTTCCAAGGAAAACTTGTTGAATGGGCTTGTCAAACGTTAACATATTTTCTTAAAATGAGCGAATTCTACGCCTAAAACATGCAGTAAACGACAAGAAAACGTCAGGTTTCAGACACGTAAACATAATGAAAAAATCTCGCACTCAACGCTTGTACGCAAATTGTAGTCATTTCAAAATCATGGATATCGTTCTCTTATTGGTGTGACATTTGACATTGACAATTGACATTGATTAAATTGACATTTATACATACGAGATCATTCAATATATCTCAGTTGTTGCTTCTCATACTCACTCTCAAGCACATTTTGCTAAATATTTTCAGCGATAGCTATCATAATAATAAAAATTGTTTGACACTATTGAATGAAATGTATGGGACAGGTCCAAGTCAAGTTAAAAATCTACACGTTGGGCATGTCAAAAAGTTAACACATCCATCAATGTTCACAACTCATTAGTAAAAACGTAATTTGCACTAATTGAATGTAATAATCTAAATTCATATCAATTCACATTATTACTGAAAAAACATTATGTAGTTCGATTCGTTGCTCGAGTCTTTGGTCGAAGGACAAAATTTGGCACATCCTCCCAACTCTTTAACTACTTGCTAAACCTTTAAAATAATACAGATCAATTATGTGAGCAATTTATTTCTTCCTTTAGTATTGAATCTATTGATTGCATTCACGGAAGAAAAAATTTCTCTCATCAATTGATTTTGTTTGAAGACAAAAGCTTATCAACATTAACTACAGCTTTCAAGTACTCCACGAAGGGATCCCACTGCTTTATAACTTAAGACAGGCATGAATGTAAAGATATCATATTTTATCATAATATCTTACTTGCATTTATTCAAATTTCGTTGGCTTGCTAATCAAATCTTTCAAATATACAGTAAAACTGTTATTGTAAGATTAAAGCCACTAAAATCGTCGCATCATAGCCTAAGAAATTAGAAAGATCTCCATTGCAAAAGTGTACTGAATTATATTATGAACCGATTGCGCTTTGATTTTTTAAATCACAGTCTCAAAGAAGACAAATATTACCACGTTCAAACGTATTCAAAGACTCTAAAGTTCTTATTTGGCAGTCTTTCGTCCGCATATGTGTAACGCGTCTCATAATTCTATAAGTCATTTCAATGAAAGGTTTTGAGCAGCAAGCAAACGAATTTGAATAAATGCAAGTAAGATATTACGATAAAATATGAATGAATTCGTCAAAAGCATTGAATATCTGCAATTTTAATATAAATCATTTTATAAGTGACGTCATCTGTTGGTGTTAAATATGTACTGAAATGCACCACCGGCACCACCGGCACCACCGGCACTACCGGCACCACCGAGCGCAGAACCTCGGCCGTTTTACCTATACTACTTAAAATAGTTCTCGTCTGATCACCGAAGTTAAGTGCGGGCCACACTATCGTCGAAATGCAACGAATTTCGTGACGAGTCGCTCGTCAACGAGAAAATATGACGATATGGACGAATTCGTCGCCGTTGAGCATGCACACCGAAATCGTCAACGAGTGACGAGTAATTGTTGCATATCTACTCTGATTGGACAAAAAAATCACATGACTAATGTTTGCTTTCACTGTGCTGTGGCAAAATGGCGGATTGGTAAGAAATATTAATTGAGCTAGTGAGAGAGAGGCGATGTTTGTGGGACAAATTTCATCCTGACTATAAAGATACAGGCAATATAAAGAAAAATAATTGGAAGGATGTCGCTCGGGAACTGAAAGTTGCGACCAATTGAGCTTGACAAAGCTCTTGCAACAACGTGTCATACAAGCCCTTCTCTTCTTGCCTTTTATTTATGGGATGTACCCAGAACCTTTTTGTATGTACGTCGTTTTGCAGAAATTAGAAGCAGTAGAATTTTTCTCTTCAATAATAGAAGTTTCTTTTTGCGCTGATAATCGTCCATGCTTGTACGGAAAATCGTTACAATGTGGCACATGTACTCGTCACGACGGCTCGTTGACGAGCGACTCGTCACGAAATTCGTTGCATTTCGACGATAGTGTGGCCCGCGCTTTAAGCCTTGTCTGGCTTAGTTAGTATTCTGACACAGACTGCTTAAATGGTTGTTGTAGACTTTTCCTTATGTTAAAATAATCTAACGATTTATTATTAAACGTTTTTCCGACAAAAGTAAATATATACACGGTCCGAGACATCAATACAAAAATAAACACGGTACGATACATCAATAAAAACATTAACACGGAACGATGCATCCAAAAAAAACTTCCGATGATTTATTTCAGCGAACAGAAAACCATGATAACATTCGGATTCATGATAACATTGATAACATGATAACAGTTCTCAGTAAAAATTTTAACTGATATACTTATAATTTCGTGTGAAGTCAAATTTATTGCAGCTATACGATGTAAGCACGTGAGCTAAGTCGCGTGCTATGTAATATACGCGTGAACGTTCTACAAATGGGATTGGGAAAAGTGACACTCAATATCTTTTGTGAAATAAGAGAAAAGTCGGTCCATTAACTAAAGAGGTCAAAAATATCGGTTTCGTTAAGATTGTGGTTTTTTCCCATGAAATATAGGCTCAAAAATGTTGGTCCCAAGTCCTAGAACTTGGAACACGTCCCAATTTTTTTTGTTTATGCGCCCCTGATTCAAAAGGGTTAAGTACGTGGTCATTTGACAGCAGAGTGAGCTCAACTCGAAATCTCAGACAATATAAACTTTCATGTTTATTATATATAGTGAACTACGCTTTTGATCTATTTCATTTTTGTGGGGGCTACCCATTGAGTTCTATAATAACTGGAGGGGCTAACTTTAGGCCGTGGATGGCAAAAAAATGGCGGCCAACGGACGTATTTCCGCTGAAATGATCGCTTTGCAGAAAAATAATATTCTCGACCTCCCCCGGATTGATGTTATTGATTTTCCCGCCTTCAGTTGAAAATTCAAATGCAATTGCAAGCTGTATGATAAATAAACAATATTTTTCAAGGCCAAAACAATATTTTTTTCAAAAATGCCTAATCGATGTTCAATTGTAGAATGTCGTAATATTGACAACGCGAAGCACATCGCTTTTCACAGGTGAGTTATTCGCTTATTTTGTTTGTTCCTGAAAGATTGAATCGGCATTTATACAATTGAAAGCCCCAAAATCTGTTAGGCCTTATGAAAAAACATTGTCTTAAATACTGCATACACTGATGTTTTCCTGTGTGTTTTTTAAAAAATTCAACAAATTTGTTTATTTATTTGTTGAATCAACGCATGAAACAATAAATTTACTAATCTATTTCAAATAGTTTTCCTGACGAAGAAAAAAACCCAGCACTTTTTTTGAAATGGGTAAATAGTATAAAGAAATGGTCGCCTCTCACAGTTCTAACTAAGTGGAGCAGAGTTTGCTCAGATCATTTTTCCGATAGCATGAAGAGAATATCAGGTAACAAAGTGTGTCTAGAAGATAGTGCCGTGCCCACATTATTTCAACAGGTGAAGGATGTTGAATGTACGAAGAGCACTGAAAAGGTGAGTGGTCATTTCTCTACTCATGATCACTCGTATTGTCTTAAGTCTCCCAGGAGACTGAAAAGACAATTGGAAGATGTTATAGACCGGGCAGAGTATTATAGAAAGAGGTTAAAAGTGTCTAATATGGAAAAAGTAGACTGAAAAGAAGGTAAATGATTTATTGTCAATCATTGATTGCCTTAAAGACGATAAAATGATCAGCTCTGATCAAGCTGAACTTCTTAATGCTTCACTAACTGGGGTTCCTGAAGATATTTTGAGTCGTTTAGTGGCAAACACTCAGGGTAAAAAAGGTGCTCAATACCCCCCAGAATTGCAAGCTTTTGCACTAACTTTGAAATTTTACTTGCCTAAGGCTTATGATTATGTTCGTGAGAAGTTTAATTTAGCCTTACCTCACCCAAGAGTAATTCGATCTTGGTATAATTCCGTGGATGGTGACCCTGGTTTCACCAAGGATGCCTTGAATGCTTTGAAAGTGAAGGTTCAAGAATCAAAGAAAGATGGCAAGGAAGTCATATGTGCATTGATGCTGGATGAAATGTCAATCCAAACACGTAGAATGGGATGGTCAAAAAGTTTGTGGTTATGTTGACCTTGGTACTGGGATTGACGATGATTCACTCCCTGAAGCAACAGAAGTTTTGGTATACATGGCTGTTGCTCTAGATTCATCTTGGAAAGTACCAGTTGGTTACTTCTTGGTAGATGGCCTCACTGCAGAAGTAAAAGCAAATTTAACCAAGGAGTGTTTGATGCAGTTGCATGATGTTGGTGTTAAAGTTGGAAGTTTAACGTGTGATGGTCCATCCACACATCTTGCAATGATGAAGTTGCTTGAGTGAAACTTTCACTTAATGATTTCCAAGCATATTTTTACATCCATCTGATTTAATGTTGAAAATTTATGCATTTTTAGATCCTTGTCATATGATCAAGCTTGTCAGAGGAGCAATTTCTGAATTGAGAACTCTGAAGGATGAAAAAGATGGTTTGGTAAGATGGCAATACTTAGTTGAGCTAGAAAAACTGCAAGCATCAGAAGGCTTGCGACTTGCCAACAAACTAAAGAAAGCTCACATAAACTGGAAGCCACAGAAAATGAAGGTAAATTTAGCAGTGCAAGCACTCAGCTCGAGTGAATAATTTAATAATTTCTGATCTGAAAAGCTTCATAAGAAGCTTTCAGCATGGAAGTAAACAAAAAGTGATTCATTTACATGGTTTAAATCTCTTCTTGCAAAATATCTATTTACACTTTATCGTTTTTTTGCATACAAAAACACCAGATGCTAGATTATACAGATGAGGAAAAAGCAATGGACACTGGTATCAAATGTGTATAAAATTTGTTTTTGTTTTGAAAACTGAAAATCACTCAAATAGTTCAATTGCATTCAAAACAGGTCAGGGAACTGAAGAGAAAGATAACGAAAATGCAAGTGTGTATTTAGCCAAAAATGGTTATACTGTTTAATGATTGTTTTTTGCATTATTACACAATACATCAATGCATCAAAATGTGCTAAAAATCTACTACTATTTGAGGTGGCTCCAATTCTGAAAACCAAAAAAATAAAGAAGGTAAACAGTGCTTTGTATACAATACTGTTCTCGTTCATATATGATATATGCCCATCAGCTCTCTCATGATACTTTTGTCTTTTCACCTGAGTCTTTTCACCTGAATCTTTTCACCTGAGTCTTTTCACCTGAGTCTTTCACCATGAGTCTTTTAACCTGAAATTTAATCATACACATAACAAATCAAACAGCACCTAACAAATGATTTGTTTATGTAGAAAGCAATGCCAAAGCAAAAAATTCATTTAAAGGTGTGGTATAGTGTATACATGTACTAATTGCCTTTGATGCCAGGCTGATAATTGCCATTGTTTTTTTTTTAATGAAGGAAGATGCTATAATTGTGGCCACAAAGGCCACAAAATGAATGAATGCGAGAAAAGTAATGACAAAAAATGAAATAACATTTCTTTCATGACCATTGTAATTGACAATTATATACTTTTTTTTTGTATAGAGTTTAATCGTATGAGAAGAAGTAAGTTTGATTGACCTATTGATAAAACATCAGCTTGATTAGATGGTTGAAAACTTCAAGTTGCATGCATTATTGTTAACAGAAATAAGCTAATGACACAAATAAATAAAAAGTGTCATGAACTACAACTTCCTTATAAATATTTAACAGGAAGACGTTGCTACATATGCAAAAGATTGGGCCATGTTGCCAAGAACTGTAAAGAAGCAAACCTACCAGTCAAAAACGTGCTGAACAATTGCAGCAACTGTACAATAAACCTTACGAGAAAATAAATTTTAAATATTTGTTATAAATCGAAAATTTACAGTTCACTTCGCGTTTTGTTTTCATTCACATTTTTTCATCTCAAGATATCTTGTTTCTTCAGAATTTGTTTTTTACTATCTTTTTTAAATTGTCGGCTGGACATGGCTTTAAGACTTTCTCCTTACCTTGAAAAGAGACCACGTCGTCCACATCGTGCACATGTACATTAGACACGATGTTTAAAAACGTTCAAAGAGTTCTTTCGTACATAGTTTATAGTTAATAGCTTTCCTCGCAGGAGCCGATGACTGGAAAGCAAGCACAGTTGACTCGCTGTTACGAATTGTAGGTTTTTATCGTGATTTTCATCAAAAAATTGCTAGCCGAATCCCAAATACACACATACATTTTCCTCACTCTTGCCTCAGGAGGGAGTGGGAAATTGTGAAATTTTCGGAAAAGCGGTCAATTTCGGTAAATCTCAGCGGCAACGGACGAAATCCGCCATGTTTTTTACAACATGCGATATCTAAGGCCGCGCTTGAGATAGCCGCTCCAGTTATTATAGAACTCAATGGGGCTACCCCAATGATCTAGTACCCATTGGGTATAAGTCATTGGGCTACCCACATGTACGCTAGCGTACCTATTTTTTCATTTACTTGCTCAATACGGAGACTGGGCTCTAGCTCGTTCACAGTGCATACTGGGAATGCGAATGTCACCCTATGTTCTTTTCAATATAAACTTTACAACACACACATGTGCAGAGTCGACTTTACAAATTTTCGAAGCGGTTTTCCTTAAGAATCGGTTTTCAAGATGGGTCGAATGCACAGTAATGGGTAGGGTTAAATTTTTTATCTTCAATACTGTTTTTTTATTGTCCATTTAGCTAATAAATAGACGAAGTGAACAATTAGTATTTGAATTTTATTAATATTATATTTCTGGAGAATTTTGTCAGTAGTCTTCTAGTTTGCTTGTATTTTATAATTAATAAAGCCCTAAATATTGTATGAGCTATGTTATATTATTTTGTCAGACTGTGTGCGAGTGCAAGTCATTTATTTGGTGAAAATAACTTTAAAAAATAGGCATTGAATTGTGTGAATATGATTAAAATATGAACCTCCCAGAACAAGATTTCAACATGTTTTACAGTTAAACACACATCACAATTTTAATGAAATGAGAATGCAACTGGCTGACAGCCATATAGTTTTGTGGAGATCATATATGAGCAAGGGCAATTCCATTTTTACATGCACTTGATGCTTATTTTGAAAATTGTTTTTTTAAGTAGAAACTAAAAATACAATCTTTCAAAATTTAAATAGTAATGTTTTTGAAAATGCAAGTTTTGTATAATCTTGCAGGAGGAATAGGAATAATAGTAAATTCTTATTGTATTGAAACTAGCAATATAATATTATATTTGAATTTTATGTGTTATAATGAAGATTGTTATTGTGTATAAAATGCTATTTTAAATCTTTTAATTATGTTTAGTCACTAATTTGCAGTTTTCATCAAAAAAAACATGGAACCGAAGCAAAATAAATTTTTTGTTAATATTACAAACATCAATTGATATTTGACAAATGTGTAATATCTGTTAAGGCAATTATGTAATGTCTGTTACCATGAAAACTGAATATTGATGTGAATGTTGCTCCAAACTATCAATCCTGAACATTCCAAATGTTCTAGATTTAATAATATATGATATAAAGTCATTTAGAGGATAGCTTAGTTATGGGTAAACAATTTCATTTTACTGCATGTCCAATCTGGTGTATTGTCTGTTACATTCATAAATTTGCTAATTATTGAAAACTAATTAAACTCTCCTGAAAATGGATTTGCCATGCGGAAAACAAATTCTAAGTATAAATTTAATTGCCCAACATAAAACTTTTAATATGGCCATGGATATACAATTTATTATTTATAAAATTATATATCCATGGTCATATTAGAAGTTTTATGTTGGGCAATTATATTTATACTTAAACTTTTCTGAGTTTAAATGCACTTACATGGCTGCATTTTGGGAGCATTAGACAGTGAGTCATACTTATCAATTTTCAAACTAATTTAAATAAAAATTGCTCAATCAATGAAACATTAAACAAAAAGAATGATAGCACAGTGCTATAACCAACAACTACAAACAATAACGACCTTATCTAACAACATTTGAGAAATTAACCTTCCACTCCTCTTCCTTGTAAACCAGACAAGTCTACTCAAAAGCAGAGAGCCTTATACGCTACAAGTCCCGGGCTTGTGACCGGTATAGCAGAGTTAAAAGGTGAAAGGTTTATTTAACAATGAAACATTCATATTGATGGTTGGCAAACATCAAAATGTTTGTTTCATGGAATTGCCTTTAACCAAAATGTAAGTACCAATCCAATTGAAAAGCTCATATAACCAGTGGTTAGTATCAAGGTCGAGCATTTCAAAGTATTTTCAGAAAGAAATTTTCTTATAATTTTTCATTGACAAATGAAACTTGACTCAACAATAATGTTGGGTTGGTGTTAGGTTAGAGTTTTGGAAAAATTTATTTAACTTATGGAAAGGTAAATGATGAATAGCCAGCTGCCTTCTCTTTAGTTACTTTTTATGATTTATCTATTGCTAAACCAAGATTGTTTTGTAACTCTCTTTTTACATGATGGTATGAACAAGCAAATAGAATTGAATTTATTCACTTGGGAACCAGTGTTACCTCATTAAAGTAACATATGTGCTTGTTGATTGTCAATAACATCTTGCTGTCTTTTTTGCAGGAAAGGTATTTCATCATCAGCTCTTCCATATCGAAGAACAGTACCAACTGTAAGATGCAGTCAGTTTTTTGTATATACTTTCATGTGTTTGAACATATTTGAAAGTTTGTTTAACATTATTAAGGCAAGGAATTAAGTTTAAATTGATATAAATGTGAGAGCTAACTGCAGGCAATCAGTAATTATCAGCTTATAAGCCAACACTAAAAATTGGTTTCATTTTATTTTTAATTATGACTTTTTTGCAGTGGTTGAAACTCAGCTCAGAGGATGTTAAAGAGCAAATCTATAAACTAGCAAAGAAAGGCTTGACACCATCACAAATTGGTAGGCATTGTAAATGAAATGTTTGCAAGCTCTAATTAAAATTTAATCATGAGATTTTTTATGTTTTTAGGTGTCATCCTTCGTGACTCCCATGGAGTTGCCCAGGTTCGTTACATCACTGGAAACAAAATTCTCCGTATTTTAAAGAAGAAAGGTTACAATTTATGATTTTTGTCATCTGTAAAATTAGAATTTCAATTGTAAACTAACGTGTAGCTTTAGGCATGCTCTGAATGATCCATGCCCATGTTTAAATAAGACAATCCAAACACAAAAGGTTTAAATGTGCTGTTGCAAGAATTTTAAATATGTCTGAGAATAAAAACATTATTCTTGATGAAATTGATGTGAAGTGCACTTACAGGTTTGTTTGCTCAGGAAAATTAGGCAACCCATGCAATTTGGGTGCTATTTAGCTTCATATTTCTTTTTTATTTAAGTAAATCTTACAAAATTACCCTATGGTTACTTTTTATAGTTACTTTGTTCACAATTACTTTACTAATTAACAGTTACTTCAAGTGTTTCAATAGCCTGATCCAAACATTAGTTGCAAAGTTTACATAAGACAAAGACAAAGTAAGCGCATAGAATTTAGGCGTCTCCTCGCTGCTCCGCCAGTAAATTCGTCCATGGCGTGATGTCACACAAGTGATGGGAGGCTTAATCATAAATTCAAGATATGTACGTAACTGGCTGTGAAATACCTTAGAAACAACTAAAAAACAATAACATAATTTAGCTGTTAAGTGACCAGACGCATCATGCCAGAAATTTCCATAATATAAATAGTATTTTTTGACTTATGAAACTGTATCCACTAATAGGCGGACGCGGTCACCTTTTCCAAGATTCCAAACTAATAATTTTTTATTCGGAACTTTGTGCTGTCCGTGTTTGAGCTGTCCATAAGAACAAACAAAAATTTCTGTCTATTTTTCGGCAACTTTAGCTCTGGCATTATTAAATTTAGTTTTCAAGATTAAGATTTGTAACAATTAAAAGTATTTAAAGTTTTTGATAGGTTATTTGGTATGTGTATTGAAATATATTGCTGTTTATTACTAATTTAGCTATATTCAGTAAATGTTATATTAATCGTGGTGATTTTTTACAAGAGCTGTATTGCATCGTTCAATACAGGTTTGACTGTAGTTATGACTGTCAAAAACGGAAAATCACTTTTTATAATCTTTATTAAAACTGCTTTTTAATGTACTTAGTCATTACGTCTCTATGGGTTATTAATGTTATCCTTTGGCGTTAAAGGTATGGCGCCCACTTTACCCGAAGATTTATATCATTTGATCAAAAAGGCAGTATCAGTGAGAAAGCATTTGGAACGAAATCGCAAGGTTTGTAGTTTGTATTTAATTACATCTATTTACTGTCTGTTTTACTTAAATACAGTTGGTTTGATAAAATAAAGTGTATAATCTTCATCTACGTAGGACAAAGATGCTAAATTCCGGCTCATCCTCATCGAAAGTAGAATTCATCGGCTGGCGCGATATTACAAGACGAAGCGAGTTCTTGCACCAAATTGGAAATAGTAAGTTATTGTATGCATCAACATGTGTAAAAAAATAATTAACGATTTTGCAACTGCCAGTTGGCTTAATTTCATATTTCGTTGAAGAAAATGTAAAGAAGTTTTGATTGAAAACTGTGGTTTAAAAATTTCTTTGAATTTAAATCACATCTTAAGCTAAACCTTCCTCCATTAACTCTCCTGCTTTGATTATCCACATTTATTTTCATAACGTTTAACAAGAACAGTTCTCCAGATGCAGCATTTTTGTCCAACGTTTCGGAATTATTTTGATGTATAAATAGAGTAGTAAGCAGTTTTTGTTTACTTCAGAATAAATTTAAAGACAAATCTGTATAATGTTCAAACAACTGATTTTTTAAAAAATGCAATCATGTTATTTTTGTTAATATTACTTAAGAACTTCGTAAGTTACAAAGAGCATTGAGTGTTTGAAAAAACATTTATTTTGCGAGTAGGCTTTGTATTCTCTGCTTGTGTACATATGTTACAATGTATGGTTAGGCCAGGATAAAGAGAGTTTTTGCATCGAGTAAGTTAAAATACCGGGGTTCGTACACTGCTAAGTACTGTTTATCATTTATGCCTCTTACACAAATCTGATAACTTTTTCAACTAATCCTTAACTATTTTTTTCTAGCGAATCCTCGACAGCTTCAGCCTTAGTTGCATAAGTAAAATGAAGAGTTGATTAAAATATACTTGGTTCAAACCTAAATTTTGTCGTAAATTTCGCCGTAATTTATAAATTAAATGTCTCACTGCTTTTGTTTTACGTACCAGATCAGTCCTTTTAAACAAGTTTTTGTCACTCATGTGTTCATGTTCAAGTTAAGTTGTTAAATGTTTTAACCCTCATCTAGTGCTGAGCAAATTATGGTTTTTCAGCTCTGGTTCCGGCCTCTTGTCAATTCTGAACTCCGGGTTATAACTCCGGCTCCGGCTATTTTATAGTCTGAAATTTTGTGTGATTATATGATCGGTGTTTAGACCGGGCTGAAATTTACGAAGCTCGTCCGAGGCATGATCGCCAGTTGTCGTAAATAGTTGTCGTCATCATAAGCAATAGGTGCGCAATTACGCATGCGTGAATAGTTTCAGCCTTGCCCGGCCTAGAATTGTTCTCATGTAATCGCGTACGCTATTTTAATAGGATAATATTACAGACCCGAACTGAAATTGCTCCATTCTGTTGAGTATATGCGTTTAGTCGATCCAATGTTCTTGTTAAATTTCAGAGAACGATGAACTATCATTTATGTCTCATTAAAAAAAGCGTTGTGAGCACTTGATGTATGTCGCGAATATTAAGAAATGCTTTTCGTCATTCTTAGTAAAATTATTTTCCAAGCTTTTTGAAGAAGGAAACTCTTATTTTGACGTCAATTTTTGTATTTAACAATTTTCTTTTGGTTTTTATTCCATAGAAACAACAGCTTAGAAGTTTATGCATGAACAATTAGGTGTTGTAATCGTTAATTGAAAATAATCACATCTACACAAATTTATTCCAAATTACAATTGAATATATCACTAATAATACGATAGGACCAAAATAAAATTATTGTAATTAAATGTAAATTTTTCGCTCCATTACCAAAATTGAGAAAATGAAATGTGCAAGTGTAAAACTTTCATTCACGCCATTCCCTCGAAGGCCCCCTTCATGTTTTCCCAAGTTGATATTCCCTGAAAATCAAATCAAAACGGCGTTCATTTTTCAATCCACCAGACAAAAAAACAGACTTTGGTATCCCTAAACATAGCTTTTATATCTTGCATAATTACCAGTTTGCACAACTTTAACTGTGTTTTTATGTGTTCGATCAAAATATTCTTCACGTCACTGTCACGCTGTTTCTGAAATTGTTCATAATCTTTGTCCGCCATTTTAGTGAATGAACTAAAAACAGAAAAGATCGAAAGTTACATCAGTACGATCACTTCTATAACCACAAAATTATCATCAACCCTATACGCAAAGCTCGTCGTAAGTTAATCATCGAGGTGAATTGCCAATCAAACGCCTTTTCAGGAGACAAATGGCAATATTCGGTTTCCCTAATAACATGTTTCTTTTGTCAACTGCACTCGAATCCACTTGACAAAATGAAGTTATTTTCAGAAAACTGAGAAACCTCAACTCTTGTTGCGCATCAGTGACAGCATTTTCTGATTCTTCAATTTGAGTTTCTAAAGTTTGAAGTTTGGCTTCCCGCGCCTCGGGATTGTCGCCACCAAATATTTTTGAAGAAAGTCCTTTCCACAAACCACTTTTCTTTCCTTCTTCGCCATCCTCTGTCTGAGATAAGTAAGTACTTCAATTAAGTGATTTAGATATCGTGAATTCAACATCGTAAACACACAATACAATAGCAGATCAAAGTTTTAATCAATATACATAGAGCTTTTGATTTAAACAAGAGAGGGTAAGTTTTTTAAATTGTTTTGCCGCTAACTGAAGGGTCAAAAATAATTTCCGATTACGATAATACTGTTGTGTGCAACTTGTTCTAAAATAAGGGACCAATTTAATGGAGCTGTTTGATTAACTGGCAAACATTTCCGGGAAAAGCGTACAATCCCAGAAGCGCGCCTTTGACACAAGCCTGAATGTAATAGCTGCAGTGCCGTTAGCCCCCAGTAAATATATATTTGTTGCTAGGTATCAAGTAGGTGCTTATTTCATAGGTGGCTGTATAAAAGTGGACTTTTAATTTCATTTGAATTTGTTACCATAAATACACTTAAAGATAGACGATGCTGATAGGAAATGAAAGATCTTCGCCGAATGTCGATAAAATTGCATGGTTTTACGATGATAAAAAATGCAGTTGTGTGAAAATAAGAGATCGCCAAATGTAAATACCCATAATATACGAAAATTTACCAATTATAAATCGGGATCTCGAAGGGTTTGTTGCATAGAAAACGCTCTTCGAAATACTTTCGAAAACGTTGAAATAAGAAAATTCATTGTGTCTACAGAGTGAAAATAATAAGGATTCCATTTAAAACTTTCATCTTTTATGCATGTGTAAAAAGTACTTAACATCAAAACACCAAATTATGGACGGCTACTTAAATTGACGATGGAAATAAACCTCCATCAGGTGACGAAAGTTTTTGAATGCTTGGGAAAAAGTCTACTGTCTACGTAGATAATTTACCACTTTCAATAATTCATCCTTCTGCGCTGTTTTAGACGCGACGGTTTCTTCAGCTTTCTCGAGATCGTAATGACGTATCTGATGCTTTCTTGTCAGTACCCTAAACATAAATGGAAACAATATGTACACATGAACAAACACAATTCTTCTATTGGCGTTTCAATCATTCATTGTTCATGGATAGAGTAAAAACGACGATTTTCATGAAACAATATTCACTATAAAATATGTAAATTAATGACAGGATATTAGTGCGACATGCATGTGATGTTGAGATACTTTTTGGAATTTAAAGAAAGCATTTATTGGTAAAAACATACCTGATTGAGTCCGCATAAAGGTGATACTCCTTCAATTTATCTACATAACGACATTCTTCTTCTTCTTGAAGATCATCAATGGCGGATGCAAAACTAGAGAAAAATTGTTGAGTTAGCTATACGTTGAATAAAGAACCGCTAAAACCACTCCTTTTAGTTTTTTTGCACCAGATAAGATTTAGTTACACTCCTCACAAACTTAGCACGAAGCATTTCAGGAAAATCGGTAGACTTCTCCGTCACAATATTTAAAATAAAGACAGAAAAGAATGACGTCACCCCCAAGCGTGGAGATGACGTTTGAGACAGTGATAAAGTTGCATCGTCTCTGTCAAGGAGATATAACTACTGTATAATATTCGATACAATAATTCTTACTTGTCCATGTAGTGACCGGCCTTTTGCAAAGCATTGCCCATTTCATCTTCAATACTGCTCCACTCACTTTAAATACGGAAATAAAAAAATTGTTTACAGAAGCAACATTAACAACATCTTAAGCTCATCTATAGAGAATATAAAATTTACATTTTGTGTCCAAAGTAACATTAATAAAGCCTTGTTTGATACCACATACCTGAATATTTTCCCATAATTTGCATGTTCTCTATGGATATTTAACTGCTTCTCGGAAATTTTCTGGAGAAAACAATGGTTACTACATACATTGAGTCTCACAAATATTGACTTTGATTTCGCAAGGCAAATATGTTTCACCATGCTTTTACTCTTAGACAACAGCAGTCATGAAAAATTAAAATACACGTTTTGTGGCAGTTTCTACCTCCAAGCGTGAAAGCAACAAAACCTATCAAAACCACGAGTTAGGAGAGAATTGTTCTCGGAAGACCCTCTCAAGAATCACAATGGTTTTGCAAATACTTGTTGCTCTAGCACACGAAAACAAAACGCGGTTTTCCGACAATCCCACGACTGTAAACAGTTGTGACACGGAAACCGTAGCCATCTAATTGAGAGGTAAACCAGATAAAACGCATGCACAAAGACGATTCAAAACTTGCATGATAATTTTATTTAAGTTAAGGAAGTTGACTATCTGTTTGTGATAGTAAAAATTAGTCATATTTAACGATATGGGAGTTGTTACCGCTCACTACCAATGTTTTAAAGAATATCCCTTAAAAGTTATGATTTTAATTTAAAAATCCTTCATTTGCCTACGTAAAGTCCGTATACGTGGGTGTCGCACTCCCGATATCCCCACCCTTTCAACAAACTCGGGCGAAAAAAGTAAGAATAAAATCGGCCTCAAAAACAATTTGAAAATGACAAAAATGTGAAACATTAATATCTTGAAAACTTGCAATTATCACGTGCTTTAGATTTGCTGACAACTGTTTACAAAGACAAAACAATAGTTTTTTACGCATGTACGATTTCCTACAGACCATATATAAAATGGAAATTGAAAGTTTACTACAAACCTGCTGAACTTTAAGCAATGAAGCAATATTTCCCTGAAGAGTTTGCGAGTAATTTTTCATATCTTCATATTTTCTTAAAGAAATATTAAAAGAAATATAAAAAATTTATTGACAATACTATATTGAAATGAACAGCGAAAAGATTTGGCTGCAAATCTACAAACACAAAGAATCATAATGATAGCTAACATCACTCTTAAAAACAAAATAACAAAATTACATGGCTGCAAACAACTCTAATTTATATAACATGAAGTAACGACCAATGACAAACTAAAGACGCCCCAATTTTTAGTGTTTCAGGCAATCTCTTACTGAAGTAATATTTACGTATCTTTAAGGTAAATGCGCAAAAACAGAACTCATAACCACATCACAAACACAATTTTAAAACCTCTACGCCGCTAGAAGACTAAATGGCTAAGCCAAAAGAGTGTTTTCATCGGTCGCCATATTGGTAGAAAATCCCACATAGTAAAAAGAATTTATGTTATTTTCATGTTGAGCATCGGCACATACATGCAAATACTGTATAAAGACTGCAAGGACAAAAGTAATTTTCAATAAAGTAACGATTAATACCACAACACCACAAAGTTTACAAGGATTCTCGAGAAATGTAAACATTCATTAATCAACTAGACAAAAGAAGACATGTATGGAAAAGATTTATATGACGAATTTGTAGCATGTATTAGTATGAACTAAAATACGATTTTTCTGTTTAAATATTTGTTCATATTTAGAGCATTACACAATATTCATTGAGCTTCCTATAATTAACTGCACTTCCTCACGCTAACTTCCCTGAACCTCTTTAAGCAATCCTAACTTACATTAATCAAATATTCGACAGATAACATTGACCCTAGTCTGAATAACTCTTGATATCATACTCAACCTCATCCAATAATTGATGATTATCACTATTTATAAGAATAGTATTGACGGTACTAATATAATTTTTATAAACACATTAGATATTGGTATAATGCACGTGTTTGCTAATTTTGCTATCGTTTAGGAATCATGATCCGCTAAGGAACTGTCGCAATTTCTCAAACTTGATTATTCAAATAAAAGTGAATGAGAGATTTGCATTTTGGGACAATTAATGAATTATTTTCATAGATTAGTCGGTTGAACATACGTAAAAGATGCTGGAGGAAATAATTGGGTTTGCCTTATCGATTTGTTCACTCTTCGTTTCGGATACACCGAGAGTGACTTCCAATACGGAAACTCAACATGAAAGTTGTAGTTTTGAGTTTAGAGATGTGGACGATGATGCACAAAATACTTTTACTAACAAAGAGTACGACGACAATAATTACGATGAAATGATAAATGAAAATTTTGGAAGTGGGGCAAATCAGTGCGTAACTAATTTTGATTATTGTGAAACCCGTAAAAAAGCTTGGAAGTCATTTTGGAAATGTTTGTGGATAAACTTTAGCATCATTGTAGCCATAATCATCCCTATTGCGTTTGCTATAACGCTTGTTTACGTGGCAATGAATACGACCAACAGTTGTCGAGAATGGCAGAAAGAGAACAACACGCTACCGTTGTATGTAAAGCGTGCTCACGTCTTTGGCGGTTGCGTCGATTCGATGTTGGTATATGCATGGTTTCCATTCACGATGATTTTATTATTCGGATGGAATGAATTTAAAGCAAAGTTTTTATCCACAGTTTATATAGGAGTAATCTTCGGCGAATTGGTTGTTATATATCACTTGATTTCGTTCCAGCTCAATGTTTACGATGTTCATAGCTATTACAGGTATCCTTCAGCTATTTTATTCAGCCTCTCGTTAGTATGCTCCTCAGTTGTCGTCGTTTACAACATTCGAGTAAACGAACCTTATATTCCATATTCCAACTGTCACATCATAACACTTGTTCTTATGGAATTTACCTCTTGTCTTTCACTTTCGTATTTATACGAGTATACTATCATTCCTGAGTTTAATAATGTTCGTCTGAACTTGTACAAATTCTTGCTCGCTACCACAGCACCACTGCTAGCGCTTATTCCCACAGTGCTTTGCAGGCATATGGCGTTGAGAAAAAGTTCCGAGGTCGTTCATCCTGGTCGTAGTTTTGTTTTGGTGTACGTAATCCGAGGTGGAGTTATATTTCTCTATAGGACAATGCAGACAAATGTGAAAAGCATTTGGCTTTTCATCGGTCTTTCATTGTTTTCAGCGGTTTTGAACTTTTTAAAAAGGGCAACCCAAAAACTACGCTTCAACTTATGGAAACAAATGGTTTTAGCTTTAAACAAATTCTGTTGTTTTCAAAGATTACAAGTTTTACCATGGAACACTGCTCATGCCAGACGATTAAAGGCTGATTTAGAAATTCAAGATATACTTTTCGAATACAACACCCTCATTCTGAGTCAAGCCTACTTCATTTCCTATCAGCTTCAAAGTTTTAACATTGCCACTGAGCCAATGTTACATAAATTCCTAATAAGGATTGCGATCGGTGTTACCATCGATTTCATCTTTAACTGTCTGTCCAACTATGTTCAAATATTTTACTACAACATTCCTATAGGCCGCGTGTGGAAAAAATACTGGAAACGACATTTGTTGGCCAATCTAGTTGTTGTGTTGACTATTATCGCTAATTTTAGCAAAGCTTTCGAATCTGTGTTTCGATCGTACTTTGAAGATTCTGGAGAGAGTTCCATATACGTTATTAAGAACTGTTCGCTGTTTTAGTTTAGAAATTCATATAAATATATCTTTACGATTAACAAGGATTGTTTTCCTAAGTACTAGCAACTACGACTACGACGCCTTGAAGTAGCTTACAGATCAAATCACCCGGACGTGGAAATTTCACAACCTGTCGATGACAAGGGATTACTTAATTAGTTATGTATGCTATTAATTGGTAAAAGCGTAGTCAATGGGAGTTTTACGGCGTACAATGATTGCCTAAAGTGCCGTGAGAATATTTTTACAACTTGCAAGTGGTACGTATAAATAAAAATTCCAACCGTTTGAATGGTTTACAGTTAAAGTAACATTTTGACAAGTCAACTACGACTCGTGTCATTCCCTTAAACGGTCAAACTTCGTGCTCGCAGTTGTACTCTTGCTAAAGCTATCTTGCGTTGTTCGCGATGTGGAAGAATGTGGTTAAAAAATAAATTTTCGTTTGTGACATGTTGACGCTATACTACAATAGTACATATTTATAATATAGTATTAGTAAATGAGAGTGGAAATTTATGGAATACTAATTATGTGAAAGTCTGGACATATAATAAAGATGTTTTGTGGTTGTGAATGTTTGACCATCCATAACCTTGTGGGTGATTAGAAATAATTGTTTTGGACAGCTAGAGATCACTATGTAATCAAGCGGGAAAAACAAGAGCTATCGTAAGAATGATTTTAAAAGAAAATAACGCAACGTACGCGTGTCATCTTAAAAATGAGCTTGAAGTATAGAGAGAGCATCCTGACTGCATCGTAATGGTCGTGCAGTTTGAACACAAATATAAGTATTTATATAATAATAATCGTCAATACAGTACTGTTGATTATTGTCACATAATATTGCCAACCTAAATTACATAGATTTAACAAACCTTAAAATGCACACAAGCACATTTGTGTTGATAATATAATATGCACTAAGTTATTATAACAACTTTCAGCAGGATGCGCTTATACTGAATATGACAATAATCACAGCAAACAGTACTTTTTGTAGGCTTAGAGCCAACTCATAGTAAAGTTTGATGGAAACAGGAAGTCACGTTCATACGTTCTTGTGGTTTGATAAAGTCCGTGCAACATGCATTGCCTTGCTCGTTTTGTAAAATTTCGTAAAATTGAATTGTATATGGTCAATTAAACCAACAAATATTTTAAAATTATTGGATGAGGTTTAGCATGATTGATGATATCAAAATTATTCAGACGGAGGTCAATGTTATCTGCCGAAGGAAAGAGGATCAAATTAATCGAGATCTGAATAATTCTTGATATCATGCGAAATTCAATAATTGTTTTATTATACACCTGAACTAACTGAAATATTATCAAAACATAACAGTGTAGAGCATTTTTTAAAGCTTCTTTAATTTGTCCTTGTCAGACGCTTTTATCCTTGTCAGACGCTCTTCTGCCTTAATTAAATATGGTTGTAAATAAGTTTAAAGCCAACTTCGACGCTTTTTTATTATTTTCTGCAAACATCGCCATTATTTGATTTAAAAAACTCGGCTTTTAATAGTGTCATAAATTGTAGAAAGTATTATTTGTACATATAATGTACATGTAAGATGCCTTTCTTACTGATATCGAGAATTATTTGTAAATATGACGTCATAATTGCAGATATCGAGAATTATTTGCAGGTACGCAGTTGACGAATCATAACCGAAATTGTTACCACAGTGAATAATAAATACATTTATTTACCATATTTGAAAAAACAAAAACAGCCGGTTGTTCCAAAGCTAGCATAAAAGTTCTGTCCAACATTGATATTTGAAATTAAATGTAGATATGATCTTCGCACTTTGCTGGACAATTTAAGCAATCGTCTCAGGACCTGAAAAAATCAGGTGACTCAACGGGATTCGAACCCATGACCTCTGCGGTGCCGGTGCAGTGCTCTGACCAACTGAGCTATGAAGTCACACAGTGGTGAGCAGGTCAATATTGTTGGGCTCATGTTTTCTCGTGAAAGGAATGTCATATGAATGATTTATGCAGTGCGGTGTTTGAAATTAAATGTAGATATGATCTTCGCACTTTGATGGACAATTTAAGCAATCGTCTCAGGACCTGAAAAAATCAGGTGACTCAACCCCCTGACCAAACTGCTCTGATGAATGAAGTCACAGTGGTGAGCAGGTCAATATTGTTGGGCTCATGTTTTCTCGTGAAAGGAATGTCATATGAATGTTTTATGCAGTGCGGTGTTTGAAATTAAATGTAGATATGATCTTCGCACTTTGCTGGACAATTTAAGCAATCGTCCCACTGTGTGACTTCATAGCTCAGTTGGTCAGAGCACTGCACCGGCATCGCAGAGGTCATGGGTTCGAATCCCGTTGAGTCACCTGATTTTTTCAGGTCCTGAGACGATTGCTTAAATTGTCCAGCAAAGTGCGAAGATCATATCTACATTTAATTTCAAACACCGCACTGCATAAAACATTCATATGACATTCCTTTCACGAGAAAACATGAGCCCAACAATATTGACCTGCTCACCACTGTGTGACTTCATAGCTCAGCTGGTCAGAGCACTGCACCGGCACCGCAGAGGTCATGGGTTCGAATCCCGTTGAGTCACCTGATTTTTTCAGGTCCTGAGACGATTGCTTAAATTGTCCAGCAAAGTGCGAAGATCATATCTACATTTAATTTTAAACACCGCACTGCATAAAACATTCATATTGATATTTGAGGTAATTATCATCGTTTTTTTCACATTTATTGCTTTCCTTATTGCAATGAGTGAAAAAAGAACTATTTGCAAAACAGAACTTAGTTAACGGTCTGGATAAGCAACAAACCCAAATGAGTAACATTTACACTATAAGATTTTTTACCAAGACTCGTAAATGACATACTTCCCCCAATTGAACAATCAGAAAGCTTGAGATAATATAGGCAACAATTGTGCTTCACATATTCAAGCGTTGTGAGTTATAGTGTGTGTAAAATAAAATAATGAACTCAAGTAAAACAACATACTTGTCCGGCTTTTTCACGCTGTACGATGCACTTATGCTTTTGAACTTCGATTCAGCCTAAAAAAAAAATGTTTCAATAACTGTTCTCTCGCTTCACATTCTATCTTCCATGGGTGAAGATCATTTCTTTGAATTAGCTAAATTCAGTTGTAAGAGTTCTGTGTGAATTTTTTCATCTAAGTTAGCATTTTGATAGAAATTTTACTTATTATTTTAAAACTTGAAAAATGTACATAATGCACTACAAATAATGGGTTCCTCGGTGAACGTAGCCAACAAATATATCTCTCTTTAAAATATTTCTGTATCGATTTAGTGTACGAAATATATTGGATGATCATGGCGAGACTAATGTCCAGACTACATAAGATAAACTATGTAATTACAAATATACCTTGTTTTGAAATCCACTCTCAACAACTGACTCTTTCCAACCTTCTTCCTACGTAAATACAAACTTGATAGTTAGGCTGGACACGAATGTTTTAGTATCAAATAATTTCTAAGAAACTGAAAGTAGACAATCCAGTCAACCTAACCATTTGATTTTCCGAAAAATTACAGTAATGTACCTGCGAAAGAAATGACTTAAAATACTCGTCCAAGCCAAGTTGCGAATGCTTTGCGATTCGATGTAAGAAAAACTGCAACAAACACAGAGTGAAAGTAAAGTTAATGTCACAATTTATGGTGGATATTTCAAAATGCTTTCAACGCAATACAAGCAACTTTCCAAAAATGCTTATTATACAGTTCAGTTGGAGTTTCATTTAATGCATAATATGAAGATACGCAGTTAAATTTTATTACGTACAACAATAATGCAAAAGGTTTGTTGAAAAAAATCAAAACTAACAGTAGTTCTTAATCAAATAAAAGAATAGTTGTGCAAAATGTGAAAGTTGTCTATAGAATGCGATATGCTTGTAATGACATTAACGTCATTTAGGAATTACATAAGCTATTTGCACATCGAGTTCACTCAAAGAACTTCTCGGTTTTTATAAGCATGTGCTAACACAATAAAAAATATTTTATTTCTTAAATGAAAAATTGACAAAAACATGTACTTGTTAAAGAACAAGTAAACTATTTTTTTATGCTGTATCGGCCCATAATAGACAGTCACGAACATGTTACATTACATTAACATAAAGTATTTTAAAAACAAAATGTTACCGTCTACAAGGTAGCAGAAAATACTAACGAATATATTATTATTTACATATCAACCTATATGCATGTACTTACACAGTCAGGCTAGAAAGATTGAACTCAAAAAACGCCAGGCTCTTAATTTGTCGAGCTTGAACACTAACCTCCAAGCCATGACGTCTTCTTTCTATGAACTCCATGTTATAATTTTCAGCATTCAATCGAAATGCAGCAAGATTTGTCTAAATTAAAAAGTTACAAACGAAAACGTTTTAAGTTTGTGAGTTATTCTCTACAGTGGTAATGTAAAATCAGTTTTCTTTAACTGAAAAGCTGAAAATTTGCAATATCCCGATATCCACAAAATACCAGATTTTTATTTTAGATACTAAACATCACTGTCTGGCATAGTAAAAAATCGAATTATTTTCGAGATTCATAGATCGGATTTTGGCGAATTGCTTCTCAAAATAATAATTTTCCGTTATTCTTCGCATGAAATCACCATCGTAACACAATGAAATTTGCCTTTCCAAGCGAAGTTTTTCCAAGTTACACGAGATAATAATATGCATTTATAAGGTGTTTGCTAGAAAAACGTGTTTGTAAGAAAACACGTGCATTGAATGTAAAGGAGTGCGAGCAATATAACAGGCACAGCGCCAAAACTTCATTTTTTCACAAAATAAAGTTTTTGCTAACATTTAAGTATTTTAGCCTAACTTGAGGGAAAGTAAGACGTAGTAAATATTGTAAATATAAGTCATAGCCCTCCCCCCTCCAGGTTCAATGTTGTGCTGTCGTCGCAGTATAACGTCAGAGCAATGTTTGATTCTGATTATGAAGAGGCTGATTCTGACGTGTTTTATCCATTATAAATTATCAAGAATATACATATTTCTTCTTTTTCTCCCAGTTTCAAAAATCAATAGTTGCTACATATTTTCAGTGTACAGTGTATTTAAAAACCATACCTACATGTTGGCTAATGATTTTCATTACCTTGAAATTGTCTGTATGAAATATACACTACAATAACAAATATTGGAAAACTAGATTTTCACACCCTAGTGTCCATTTCGATACTGGTTGAAATTTTAAATTTTAACCTCTGTTTAACAGAGAAACTTTTCATCAAATATACATTTGATACACAGCAAATATCTCTCAAAAATCACTTACAGATTTTCTAAAAAATTTCTTCAATATAATTTGTAAAAGAAATATGACAAGTTAAGTACACAAAAATATTTTTGGATGTATCATACTTGATGCTAATGAGGTGGCCAAACTAATTCTATCCAAGAAATTTTCATTAAATATAAGGTTACCTTTTTCTCTGGTAATGGAGGAATGATCACCTGGGAATAAAATATTGGGAGAAATGAGCATAATTGTAATTTTGGAAGTGACATATCAACAGACAATGCGATTTTAATGCATTGAAAAAATTCATAAAAAAGCCACATTATGAACAATTTGATTAAATTATGTATTATAATATGTAAAACTGATAAGACTTGTATTGTGTGTAGCCTATGCAGAAAATGAAAGAGGTCTATTGTGTTCAGTACCAGATTACTCAGTCGGCTATAGGCCAAAGCCTATAGGCTGGGGCTTTGAAACAGCACATTGTAACTAGACATAATTAATTTTTACTTTTATTCCAACTTTAGCTAAATTTTCTTAATTTAAACCATTTGGACTGCTCAAAACCATAAGATCTACATTTTAAATTCACAAAGCTACAACCTTGTTTAGTAGCGGGTTTTTCCAGTTTGAACTTTATGTAACATTATGTGTTACAAACACAAGCCAGGAAATGCAAAAGCTAAGGAGCTTCAGAAATGCAAATGCTTTCAAAAGATTGAACCTATCGAGGGGGGAAGAGGGTAGGGGGAATAGATATCACTTGAAGGAAGGCACACAACTTTGTCTTAACCAACAGGTCTTGCAATTAGTATTCTACTACTGATTATGATAGGACTCCAAAAATAAAACTGTTTACTTAAATTTACATGTCTACGAAACTTTTTTTTGTATTATATGTAACAATATATTATTTAACTTACACTGGGATAAGTGGTTTGTAGATAATTTCTTAACAAATCGAATTCACTGTATCTGCGCCATAAGCAGGAAGATTGCTGTGCATCATCATTATGTGAATTAAAACACCTACAAATGAAACAATAGAACTATTTGTTGAATTGATAAAATTCGCAGAAATGAAAATGTAAAACAACTTATGGAAAACATTGTTTTGATGGAAATCATACATTGGACACTGATTATGACATCTAAGCCTACACAAGATCAAAGCCGTCGCAAAGTTTTTCTCACTAAAGTAATGATGTCATCATGTCAACAGCAGAACGTGGAGATGTTAGCACTTCTGAATTCATGGACTTTTCATCCAAAATAATAAATATAGTGCTTTTAAAAAAACATTGACCTTAGTTAAAGCCGTTTTGACAAAAAAATAAGATTAATAATCTTACATTTCTAATGCTGTAAAATTGAGAAATATTGCAAACATTTCTAAAAGTGGCGAATTTACAAATGTAATGAACAGTTCATGATGGTTACCTGGTTTCTATCAAATACACAATATACGGTTCTTTTAACTTTTCTCCCGATCGTTTTTCAATATCTTTCACCAAAATTTCCTTTGTATTTAGCAGACAGCCTTCAAAATATTTATCGCAATCCCCAAATCCTTCCGAAACGTCCGCCATTTTATATCGCAAATTGCATGAATTTATTAATGTTGCATTGTGGGTATTTCCAATATAAAGTTGAGGTGAGGTGAAGGTGAAGCAATGAGATTATTTCTGCAGGGAGATGGGGGTGCTTATTTTTCACACCAGTCTACGAAAAATATTTATCTTTTGACTGATAACGGAAATGTTTGTACGTAATAAAAAAAGTTCTATAAAAATTTCATGAACAACTGTCTTTAGATAGCAATCGAATGGCTATGAATAAATGACCAAACGCTTAATCAATAAGTTACTCCAATAAAGTAAAGATTTGTCTCGTATTTTTTCTTCTAGAATAGCACGATATTGGTCCAAGTCTGGCTAAAACTAATGAATAGCACGCAAAGAAAACATATTTTTCATTTTTTTGCAATAAACACCAATTTCTTGTTGATTTTCACCACGATAAAAGCAACAATTTAATCAATTGTCACCCTGGGAGAGAATCTCGAAACACTAAACACACGTGTCTGGCATAAGTTCCATATGTTTTATTTAGTTCGATGTTTGGTATTTCCAATCCATTACATGAACACTTTTATCTTTGTGATTTGTTTGTTAAATAGATCAGTGTTACTACAGAGCTTAGGAGCACGGTGATATAACGACTTTATCCATGTAGTTTTTACTTTTACGTATGTTGGAAGGGTTTGAAACTTGAGAATGGTGTGTATTGTCCACTAGGTGTGTCTTTAAAATAATGGTCAGTGTTATTGTTGTAAATTTTATATCCAAAAATATGAAATATCCAAAAAATGAATAACTCTATCAGGAAATGTGTCAACGTTAAATCTTAGGATTTTATCAAACTAATTGAATTTAGTGCTGTGGGAATATTTATGAAAACCAAAGTATCATCCAAAAATCTTTTGTATTATTTCATTGTGCCGCCTTCTAAATGATTTGAAATAATATTTTTCTCAAATTCTGTAAAAATTATATTTGCTATTACTCGTGCAAGGGACGAGCCAATGAAAAACGATCTATTTGCTATTAAATTTGATTGTCAACTGAGAAAGTTGTTTTGTTACAGCAATCTAAAATGAGTTTCTTAAGAGTTCTTTGTCTTAAGTTAGTGTCCAGAGTTTTCTTTTTAAATGTACATGAGCTGATTTAAGTTGCATGAAGGAGTATTCCTGTAATCTGTTCAGATATTTCGCTTTGCATGTTCACATAGCCTACCTAAACTCCACAAAACCAGTGGTGGCACCAGAGGGGGGCTACAGTCCTCCCGTCGTAGAAAATACGACGATTTGTCGAGGAAGGAATACCGATAAAATGTAGTTTCATTGTAGATTATTGCATTTCGTTTGTAGTAATCTCCTCACTCAGCATTGGCACTAATCTTCATGCACGCCAGCTGTCTGACATCAAATTAAAATGAATAAAAAATCTTTGCGAAATTTTGTGCATTTCGTTCGAGAACAAATATGCATATGCAACATGAGATAAATTTGCATATGCAATCGCCAGGACTCTCGTCCTCTTTTAGTCTTCTGTCGGTTGTTTTTTGCAGTTCGACTTTCGAATTCTAAAGGAAATTTCTTGTAAAAAATCTAAAAAACATTGCTGTTTGAATTTCAAATCAGCAAAGAGCATGAGATTTTAACAGTTTTAGATGTATTGGGCTATTGTCTGTGATAAATCACCATCAAGCGTCTAGACAGCTAAAGATGTTAGGAATTTATCGTGATGAAAGAGCAAACTGGATTTGCTTACAGTAGTCAACAAGTTCAACGCTAGGTTTCTCAAGTGTAGAATTGTTCTCTTAACGTCAAACTATCAAATCGTATGAAATTATGTCGTACTCTTTCATGTTTGATATTGAGAGTCATGTTTATAAATCTTTTCCTAGTACGCCACTGATTCATTATATACATGCAGTCAAAAAGAAATGCTCACCAGAAAAAAATTTTAACAAGCTAACATTTATAGAGAGTGCCAAAACACTTGATTTTAGTTAAACAAGAAAAAAACTAATATATTTATTTAACTAATGAATCCTCGTCTTACTTTGATTACAGCTTTGTATAGGTTAAAGAAGATGTTCAATATGTTGATGAAGCTTTGACAAAGATCATTATTATTTAAATATTACTGTCCAACATTACTAGAAAATCCAGGGAATTCTTTTTACTTACTGTATACCTTTGTTGTATATTCAGTTGTGTTAGACTATATCTTTTGAAATTAAATTTTTTAAAAAAAGTTGGGCTCAACAGAATATATGAGCAAACACCCCCTCCCCCAAATTAGCGTTCTAGTTGCGGCTCTAACAACTAGTCCATTACATAATGTTAATTTTTCATGTAGATGTAAATTCTTATTTCAAAAACTATGTATCAATAAGTTTGTTAAAGCGAGGATTGATAATAATTTTTTCAAATTTTGCCTGAAAAAAAATATTTGCATGGAAAGTGCATTGTGACATAAGCAAGCATAAATCAGCCCTCCTATCGGGGATCTTAGCCTCTCCGTCGTGAATTCCTGGCGCCACCCCTGAACAAAACATAACTCAATCTGCCGCCATTTAGACTTATCATAGGCAAAACTAACACGACACTCTATAACATTGGAAAGTTTCTGTCATCTCTTCTTAATTCACTAGCCTTAAACAAAGTCACACTGTCTGACTCATTTAAGGCAGTGAATAGCATTTGCAGCATTCCGGCCACATCAATTATTCGATGAAAGTTACCAATTCGTCTTTTTTGATGTTGAGTCACTCTTTATATTGAAATCCCATTAAAAAGAACTGTCGACATTATCCTAAAACGTATATCTGCAGAGGAAACTATCGACATTAACTTAAGGCAAAGAACTCTTAAGAAAGTCATTTTAGATTGCTATAACAAAACATTTTTCTCATTTGATAACCAAATTTATGTGCAAACGAATCATGTTTTATTGGGCTCAGTGGCGGATCTAAGGTTAGTCAAAATAAATTACTGCAGCACATTTTGGCATATATTTACATTTCTAAGCCCCTCAGAAGCATATCCATTGGTGAAATTATATTTCCATAATTTCGTAAAAGCACTATTGCCAATACACATTTAATATAAACGACAACTTTTTTTAAAATAGACATGTTTCGACATCTCATGATGCCATCTTCAGTATGAATGAAATAATAGGTAATACAGGGTTTATATAAAAGTAATATGATACATAAATTAGAACAATAAAAAGGAAATAAGATAATATAATGAGGAGCGTGAAATGTGAAATTATATTCTTTAGAACAGGGGTCTCCAAACTACGGCCCGCGGGCCAGATGCGGCCCGTTGGGACTCTCAATCCGGCCAGCAGATACACTTAAGAAAGCCAATTTCACCACTCACATTGAGAAACTGAACAGACTAATTGTGATTTTGTTATGATATTACTCTTGGTTGAAATTGAACCTTTAAATTTTGAATAAATATTTTCTTAACTAATGAAGCTTTTGTAATGTGCTTCGTTTTGCGCATTTAATATACGTGACAAGTTGTTTTAAAATAGACATGTTTCGACATCTCATGATGCCATCTTCAGTATAAGTGAAATAATAATTGATACAAGGTTTATATAAAAGTAATATGTTATATAAATTACAACAATAAAAAGGAAATAAGATAAAATTAATGGGGAGCGTCCGAGCGTATTATAAAGTAAATATTGTATTGAATTTAAAAACTTGAACATTGAGGTCAGGTTTAGTTTTGTTAATGTGGAGTGCTTCTTTGATTTTAAGGGAGAATGAGGTGTCGGCAGTGTCGATGATTTTGAAGCAAGAGGGTGAATATTTGGTTTTACATGAGTGAGATTTAAGAAGGTGTCGGTAGATATGAGAGTTTTTGTCTGTTGTGGTATGTTCCCTGATTCTGGTGGATAAATGGCGCAAAGTTTCGCCAATGTATCTTATTTCCTTTTTCTTGTTGTTATTTATGTATCATATTACTTTTATATAAACCTTGTATCATTTATTATTTCACTTATACTGAAGATGGCATCATGAGATGTCGAAACATGTCTATTTTAAAAAGTACTTCGTTTTATTAAAATATTCGCTCTTTGACCAGCGGTATACGGTTCGTCGGCCCTCAACATGCTGGATGAAAGTTCATGTGGCCCTCTGGCTGTAAAGTTTGGAGACCCCTGCTTTAAAATATCAAAACCAATAGTGTTTTCCTGAAAGTACTTCGAATTTAAAATTAAAGAGCTATAATTTGTTTTGACTAACGCTGGATCCGCTAGTGATTGGGCTCGTCCCTTGCACAAGTACTAGCCAATATTATTCTTACAGAATTCGAGAAAAATATTATTACCAGTCTTTTAGAAGACGGCAAAAGACGCACAACATGATACTACAAAATATATAGCGATATCTCGATGATACTTTCGTTTTAATAAAAATATTATTCTCACAGCAAAAATTCCATAAGTTTGATAAAAGCCTAAGATTTACCGGTGACACATTTCCTGATGGCGTTATTAATTTTTTTGGATGTTAAAATTGAAAACAAAAATACTGACATTTACAACAAAGACACATATACCGGACAATACACACCATTCTCAAGCTATACAGTATATAAGACTGACCTATATACAAATTAAAATAAACAAAAAACAATAGCTAAAATTTGAATACGCCTCCCATATTTAGGTACGAAAAGTGATTTTCTCATCAAAACTTGCAAGTCAAAAATTCTGTGCTTACTAAAAATTCTTGTTGAATTTGTAATAAATTATAATAAGACAAAGAAAACAACTTTTTTCACATCAAATAAAGACAAAGTTCCTATGCTTTCGAAAAGTAACGTTATATATCAAATTACTTGTCCCGGATGCAATAAATCTCATATTGGCAAAACATTTAGTGATGCTTAGTGTTAGACAACGACCTCAAAAAACATGCTGTAAATTGTAAAACACAAAACCAGAGTTATAGTACAACACTTCTTGAAATTTGAAAACGCACAATACTTTTCCAACATAAACTATATGTATGACCGACTGATAAACACAAACCATTACACACATACACAACCTCACGCATTGAAGGCCCTCATTAATAACAACTGCAAGATCCTTTATTCTGACGACTCCATTAACAATAAATCAACTGTTACTACTTCTCAAAGTTTCTCAAACCTGAACTGAACTCTTCACCATGTCTCAACCACATTTCCATCGCGCAATCCACGCAGTGAGTGGACACGAGACACGTCATTTGCGCGTGATTCTTTGATTTGGAAACGCTACAGCAGGGGCCGCAAGGTTGTAAAAGTAGCAATTTGAGTGTACTGCTAAGGATATTTTTGCTTGCGCAATTTTACAATAAAAATTTACAGTGTGGTGAATGTCTATGGTTAACATTAGGTACTGATGGCCAACGGTGAGTGTTAGCCTAATATGTATGTCTATTATATGTTTGTAAATGATGATCGTCCAGGTTAATAAAGTCCTGAGAAGGACTGTTTTTGTTGTATGTCTATTTTATGTTATTATCTAAGCGGAAGTATACGGCTGTTTATGAATTTGCTTCTAGACAGTATATTTTCTATGCAATCCATCTAAAGCTGATAATTATGTCGTGAAGCTTCAAAACAAATCTTTTGACTTGAGTTCGAAAGGCCTCGTTTATTTTACTTGATTACATGCCATTGAACGCACAATAAAAGTTAACGAATTTTTCCTGCCCATTCGAGGAAGTATGATATGCGCGTATCCAATTAAATCAAAATAACTTATAACATTTTTATCAGTGTATGAGACATGTATTACCTAAATATGCTTGTGCACAACATGAAATTTGTATATGATTTTACCGCACAAAATCAGGTACACACTCAGCGATTTTGAAATGATTTGAAGTAGGCGAATGAAAGAAACAAATTAAGCGGCTTAGATTCTTCCTGTTTGTAATTTTCTGTTAATGAGAAGAAGCGAAGCCAACCGTAGCACTCAACGTGGTGGTAAATTCCGCAGATCGCCAATTATCGAGATCACAGATCCTGTTGATTTAGTAAATGCTTTCAATACCTACTTCTTTACCACGTTTGGCTGAAAACCTGACCAATTATATACCCTACTCAAAAACGTCTCATTTCTTATATAAACCCAACCACTACCTCAATTTCTTTTGATAATAATTTCTTGGACAATAAGATTATAAATTCCTACAAAACCAGATTCAGGTCTTACTATACTATGGCGCCCTCACTTCTTTGCTAGAAACAACCGAAGCAACCAATAATTGGCACGTTAATAATGTAGTGCAGTGCAGTTAGCCCCCAGTAAATATATATTTGTTGCTAGGTATCAAGTGGGTGCTTATTTCAAAGGTGGCTGTATAAAAGTGGACTTTTCATTTCATTTGAATTTGTTACCATAAATACACTTAAAGATAGACGATGCTGATAGGAAATGAAAGATCTTCGCCGAATGTCGATAAAATTGCATGGCTTTACGATGATAAAAAATGCAGTTGTGTGAAAATAAGAGATCGCTAAAAGTTAACACCCATAATATAAGAAAATTTACCAATTATAAATCGGAATCTCGAAGGGTTTGTTGCATAGAAAACGCTCTTAGAAATACTTTCGAAAACGTTGAAATAAGAAAATTCATTGTGTCTACAGACTGAAAGTAATAAGGATTCCATTTAAAACTTTCATCTTTTATGCATGTGTAAAAATTACTTAATATCAAAACACCAAATTATGGACGGCTACTTAAATTGGCGATGGAAATAAACCTCCATCAGGTGACGAAAGTTTTTGAATGCTTGGGAAAAAAGTCTACTGTCTACGTAGATAATTTACCACTTTCAATAATTCATCCTTCTGCGCTGTTTTAGACGCGACGGTTTCTTCAGCTTTCTCGAGATCGTAATGACGTATCTGATGCTTTCTTGTCAGTACTCTAAACGTAAATGGAAACAATATGTACACATGAACAAACAAATTCTTCTATTGGCGTTTAAATCATTCATTGTTCATGGATAGAGTAAAAACGACGATTTTCACGAAACAATCTTCACTATATAATAGCATAAATTATGTAAATTAAAAGCAGGTTATGAGTGCGACATGCATGTGATGTTGAGATACTTTTTGGAATTTAAAGAAAGCACTTATTGGTAAAAACATACCTGATTTAGTCCGCATAAAGGTGATACTCCTTCAATTTATCTACATGATGACATTCTTCTTCTTCTTGAAGATCATCAATGGCGGATGCAAAACTAGAGAAAAATTGTTGAGTTAGCTATACGTTGAATAAAGAACCGCTAAAACCACTCCTTTTAGTTTTTTTGCACCAGATAAGATTTAGTTACATTCCTCACAAACTTAGCACGAAGCATTTCAGGAAAATCGGTAGACTTCTCCATCACAATATTTAAAATAAAGACAGAAAAGAATGACGTCATCCCCAAGCGTGGAGATGACGTTTGAGACAGTGATAAAGTTGCATCGTCTCTGTCAAGGAGATATAACTACTGTATAATATTCGATACAATAATTCTTACTTGACCATGTAGTGACCGGCCTTTTGCAAAGCATTGCCCATTTCATCTTCAATACTGCTCCACTCACTTTAAAACGGAAATAAAAAAATTGTTTACAGAAGCAACATTAACAACATCTTAAGCTCATCTATAGAGAACATAAAATTTACATGAGACTTCAAAGAAAATATTTCTGCTGACTGACTGACCCAGTTCAAAATTTGACATGGAAACAGACTTTGGTGTAATAACATTTGGTACATTTTGTGTCCAAAGCCTAGATTGATAATAAAGCCTTGGTTGATACCACATACCTGAATATTTTCCCATAATTTGCATGTTCTCTATGGATATTTAACTGCTTCTCGGAAATTTTCTGGGAAAAGAATGGTTAGTACATACATTGAGTCTCATAAATATTGACTTTGATTTCGCAAGGCAAATATGTTTCACAATGCTTTTACTCTTAGACAACAGCAGTCATGAAAAATTAAAATTTTAAATTACACGTTTTGTGGCAGTTTCTATCTCCAAGCGTGAAAGCAACAAAACCTATCAAAACCACGAGTTAGGAGAGAATTTTTCTCTGAAGACCCTCTCAAGAATCACAATGGTTTTGCAAATACTCGTTGCTCTAGCAGACGAAAAAAAAACGTGGTTTTCCGACAATCCCACGACTGTAAACAGTTGTGACACGGAAACCGTAGCCATCTAATTGAGAGGTAAACCAGATAAAACGCATGCACAAAGACGATTCAAAACTTGCATGATAATTTTATTTAATTTAAGGAAGTTGACTATCTGTTTGTGATAGTAAAAATTAGTCATATTTAACGACATAGGAGTTGTTACCGCTCACTACAAATATTTTTAAGAATATCCCTTCAAAGTCACGATTTTAATCCAAAAATCCTTCATTTGCCTACGTAAAGTCCGTATACGTGGGTGTCGCACTCCCGATATCCCCACCCTTTCAACAAGCTTGGAGATAGCTTGTTGAATATATTCTTACGGCCATGCACCCAAGCATTCCACTGTCGGTACGCCGTGTAGCGTAATGTTCTGAAAGATACAAAATTTTGTCTAAGATACTTATTGGCATTATACACTTGTCGACATACACTAATTATACTTCTAAGGTAATATTTACTCGTTTTCTTCACTCTCAAGCATAGGTCCAATGTCATGTGTGTACACGACCATAGCTGTTTTTACGACAGCTTCGTTTGTGTACACACTGTGGCAAATTCTTCCACTTGTGTGTTGCAAATATGATCGCCATGTATTAGAGGATCAGTATTGTTTACCTCTTGGCAACGTATACTTTCCCGTCCTGTACTGATGACCACACAAAAGCCACGCTCGCACCTAAAAGATAAAAACATTCTTTTTACTTTGGGAAAAACAATGAAGCATCAATAAAATGCAACTAACCATTCAACATTTCAAATTCTCTGAATGTATTCATCTTTGCGTTCCGATGACGGAGAGTTGTCATCATTTTGACCACCTAGCGCGTTGGCCAAAGGCTCAAACATGTAAGGTTGTACCTCATTGTTATTGATGACAATATCATAATCGTCTTCTTCTTCAAAAGAATCCATTAATTTTGTTGAATAAAAAACATTAGTAGTAATTTCGTATGGTCACACCTCCATGTGTGTCTCATCAAGCCAGCTTGCGAAGTCATCATCTGCTTTATGCACTGTTGCGTAGCCGCCTTCAATGCGTGTGAACGGACATTGCAGGATGATATGGTCCATATTCTGGTTGGTGGCGTTTCATGATGGGCAAGTTGGCGAGTCTTTGTAGCCCCATCGGTATAGGTTGTTTGCTGTTCTGCCCTGTTTCGATCTTATTCGGTTACAAGTGCTCCATTGTTTACGAGTTAGCTTCTTGAAACCAGGGAGAGGGACATTTGTGGGATCTTTAATTAGATCAGCACCCCTTGGTTTATTTTCGGACAATTGTTCCTTCCATGTATTGTTGAGGTCAAACGATTCAATCTTGGAGTTATGAAAAGGTTTTCGTGATTTAAGTCTCGAAGTAGTTGGGGCAGACTGGATAATAGTTTTTAGTGGAGTGTCAATTAGTGTATTTTCAATGCGATGATGTTGTTTCTGTGTTGCTTCCTGTCTGCGTATGTTAGGTGGAGCTATAGCACTCATTACAGGTAGCCAAGGGGCGTTGGGGTTGATTTTAATGTTCCGGAAATTGTTCGCATTGTGTCATTTAGCAATACATCTAACTTATTGACGTGTTTAGAGCGAGACCAAACTGGAGCACAATATTCTGCAACACTGTATGATAGGGCAAGAGATGATGTCCTAAGTACCGTTGGAGTGGCGCCCCACGATGTTCCTGCCAGTTTTTTAATTATGCCATTTCGTTTTCGCAGTTTTGTGGCAGTGTTTTCAATGTGCTGTTTGTATGTTAGCGAGCGATCTAAAGTCACACCCAGGTATTTTGGAGATGAGTCATATGGTAATTTGGAGTTGCCTACACGTATTGCAAGTTGTAGATTTGCCTTGTGATTGTTCAAGTGGAAGAGGGTGCTTACAGTTTTTGTTGTGTTCATCTTTAGGTACCACTTGTTGAAAAAGATTTGTAGTTTTGTTGTATCATGGCTGAGGGTTTCTTTAATTTGTTTAATATCGCTAGATTGGTGTGATAGAACGAAGTCATTAGCGTAGCCAAGCTTGAGAGAGGTGGTCTGTGGTGAGTCACTGATATAGATGTTGAACAAAGTTGGTGCTAGAACTGAACCTTGGGAACACCGATTTTTATAGTTCTCTTTTTGCTTATTTTGTCACTCAAACATACATGATAAATTCTTTATCCAAACATTTTATTCAAAGCTTTAGTGTTTTCTTACAAGGGATACATTTGGCTAACTTATACATCAAACCATTGTGCCATACCGTGTCGTAAGCCGCAGATAGATCAATAAATACAGCTCCAGTCTTCTGTTTTCTTTCATATCCCATTTCGATGTATGTCGTTAGGGCCAGAACTTGTTCAGTGGCATCTCTACCGGGTCGAAAGCCTGCTTGTTCTATTGGGATATAGGGGTCGAGTTGGGGTGCTATTCTGGTCTGTAGTATTCTCTCTAGAAGTTTAAAAAAACAACACAACAGAGAAATTGGGCGATAACTCGATGGATTGTTTGAGAGTTTTCCAGGTTTGAGGATGGCAAGTATTTTAGCTTCTCTCCAAGTCTGTGGGTATTCTGATTTGTCAATAACATCCGAGAGAGATAATCCAAGCCAGTTGATCGCCTTGGGGCCTAAATGTTTGATTAATTCTGGATAGATACCGTCTATTCCGGCTGCCTTGCCAGCTTTCATTTGTTTAATTGCAGTGTCAACTTCTTGCTTACTAACTGGCATTGATGAAAAGCTGTCATCTGGGCTTGATTTTCATAAGCGTTGGTATTCATGTCTGATTTCTTTTCGAATTTATGGATTGGTTTATGGGTGCTACGTTGTTTTATTTGTTTTGCGATATCTTCAACGTTAATTGGTGCCTCTTGTGTTGTTTGCGGGCGTTTATCTGGGTCAAGTTTTTTCAAGAGGTTCCATGCCTTTATGCTTGAGTGGCAAAAGTCCGTGTTTTCTACTGTTTCCTGCCATTTCTTGCAACGTCCTTTTTGTAGAGATTTTAGGAGTTCCTCAGCTATGCTTTGGTCCTGAGTTTCTTCATATCTTTTAAGAAGAGTTTGACTATCTTCTGTCCAGCAAGGGATGTAAGTAGATTGCTGGCCTCTTGGAATAAATTTTCTGGCACTACGTAGAATGAGTTTGGTGAAGCGGGGGATGTTTTCCTGTACGGGTTGTATTCTTGGGCATGTTCACTCTATGGGCTTATTGAAATCACTCCAATTTGCTTTTTGGAAATTCCATCTAGGTTTAGGGAGAGATGGTGTGATGGGAATATTTAGACCTATTGTGATAAGAAGAGGTCTGTGTTGGCTTTTGGGGAATGAACCGAGGACTTGACGAGAGGAATAGAGTGGTATGTCATCGTTATCCTTGGATACGAATATTAGGTCAGTAGAGTATTCTCTTTGCCATCTTGCAGAGAAGAAAGTGCCCTTTTCTCGCGGATCAAACAATAGATGCATATTATTTTGTAATGTCCATGTGCTGATGTCTTCACCAGCTGTATTGTTCGTTCTGTAACCCCAGTCTAAATGATGCCTGTTGAAATCACCTGTGACAACTGTAGGGTGACTGATGTGTGGTAGAGGTGGTGATGGCCAGTTCTCATTCGGTGGTTTATAGATGTTAATTAGAGTAGTTAATTCCGCCATAGTGCACAATAGTACGATGGACATTATTTTCAGTTAGAGTAGATTGTATCACTGAGGTTGATTGGGGATGTTTTGAAAAAACCATTGTGCCATATTTTTCATGGAAGATGGCGTCAACAAGCGAGTAATTTGTGATGGTGTATCTCGATGATGGACTATTCTTTACAACATGGGTCTCTTGTAGAAAGAGAATATCAACTTTGTTATCATAAAGAAGTTTTGATAAGTATTCACATTTGGCCATAGACAATCCTTCGACATTTAAGGAGAGTAAGTTCAATGTTGGGCAAATGTTGAGATGGGAGCCAGCTTGGCTCAATGAGCGGACCTTTTTATCCTGGGCGGCGTCCGAGCCAGTATGGTTTTCTGTATTTGGACTATTCATGAGTTTGGAGGTGTGGTTCCGAGAGTTCGACATGGAAGTTCGGAGACCGGGTTTGGATCATTCTTAGTTTTCCTTCAGTGAAGTACTTAAGCCCCTGCACGACGGCAACGTGATGATCCAGGCGCAGGGGAATAAAAAACAGTAATAGCAAACTACCGAAAGCCGTGCAAGTCGTAGAACGATATAAGAACGATGCTTGTTTATGTCAACTAATACGTCACTCTTTAAAGTAAATGGTTAGAACCCGGGAGTATCGTTACACGTTTGTAAATGTAGATCGTCCAGGTTGGTATAGTCCTGAGAAGGACTTCATTTTCACTCTGAAGATGACTACCGCTAAGGTTTTCAAAACGTCAGTCAACAACAAAAACAGTCCTTCTCAGGTATGGAGGGTGATCTCCGACAAAATTAATAGCTACATTTTCCAATTACTAATGCGCATTTTGTCCTTTGCAATGCGCATTTTGTCTTGATCATATTCCATTCTGGAATTTCATAATCGGATTTTGTCCTGTACAATTTCCGTTAAAACGCATTTTGTTGTTGAACATTCCATTATGATGACGTCACATTATTCGTGACTCGCAAAACATCAAATTTTACTCGATCACATTATAATTTATTTATAATTTATTTTCTTCATGCGGTAATAATGAAACAAAATAAACTAATTGCTTTACCTACAAGTCTACAATCCTAAAACATGGCAGATAGGTTATACTTTGTAAGACTCCTTCGCAACTCTATTTTGGGTTGTATTGCTGACCTCGAAGGAAGTCCAGATCGGGATTTTTGCGTTTTTCGTATTGATTCTCTTTACCACATTACGTTGCGATTTGCTGAAGTATTTGAGCGTGAAGAGGCTGTTCTGCAGTTAATCTCACACGCAAAAGAACTTTTAAATGTCAATGTTCATCATGATATTAATCCATCTTCTTCATTGAACTGCCCTCAAGTTTTCAGTGGCACACCAGGGCGACCAATGTATGAAGTAAACGAAGATATTCTGCGTTATTTTTTGGATAAGCGTTTTACAGTGAAAGATACGTAAATCTTCTGGGAGTCAGCAAAAGAACCATTGAAAGGAGGATGAATGAGTTTGGTTTATCAGTTTCTAATTGTTATTCTGACGTTAACGATTCAGATCTCGAGTTGGTCATAAGAAACTTAACGAACGAGTTTCCCAATCTTGGCTACAAACGTATGTCAGGATTGCTGTTAGCAAGAGGTTTGCGAATTCAGCAGGACAGGATTCGTGAAATGATGCGAAGAGTTGATCCACAGGGTACATTGTTTCGTGCTTTGTCTCTTAGAGCAGTGCACAGACGTAAATATCATGTTACTAGCCCCTTATCATTTTGGCATGTTGATGGCAATCACAAATTGATTAGGTGGGCTACTAAAAAATACCTATTTTTGAGCGTTAATAAATCTCAGTTTTGCATACAAATGTGCTAGTAGTTTCATATTTTTAGGTGGAGATTTGTGACTCATGCAGGAATAGATGGCAATTCACGTTTGCTGGTATTTATTCGCTGTAGCACAAACAATCAAGCTGATACTGTTCTAAGTCTATTTCTATCTGGTGTATCTCAATATGACTGCCATCCAGAGTAAAAACTGATAAAGGAGGTGAAAATGTTGGTATTGCTCAATTTATGTTAAACCACCATTTGCAAGGACCCGGTCGTGGCAGTCATATTACCGGAAGAAGAGTGCACAACCAACGGATTGAGCGCTTTTGGCAAGATCTTTTTGTTGGTTGTACAAGTCTTTTTTATCATTTATTCTATCATATGGAAAGTAATGGAATATTGGATCCATCAAATGAAGAACATGTGTTTTCATTGCATTATGTGTTTTGTCCAATTATTAACAGAAATTTGGAAATTTTCCAGGAAGGTTACAATAGATTTCCCATAAGAACAGAAAGAAATCTATCACCTGAACAGCTATGGATCCAAGGATCTTGCTTAGCCAATAATGCAAACGACCATATATAGCAGGTATTTTTATGCAATAACTCATGACTTTACTTTTAGACTATGCTTTACATTATAATCATCAGAGTGGATCCAAAGCTAATTGATGTATGATGAAGTTAAAATCTAATTTAATGTTCCAATTCACTAAGGTAAACCAAGAATTTCCACCCACCTTTACACAATATTACGCATGTCATGAAACTGATCAGCAACAAGTGATTGTTCCAGAAACCAACATTCCATTGATTGAAACAGATCTTGATAAGCTGCAAAGAACCATTAATCCTTTAAGGCCTTCTAATCATAATGGTGCTGACATATACATTGAGGTGCTACAGTTTGTAAATACCAGACTGCACCAGGAAGACGAGTGACATTGTGAACTCACAAAACAAGAAAAGCTACTTGACCTATTGTTCGTTGGTGTCAATTCAGATAATACAAAAGAAGATATGTATGGCAAGGAAGGCTATAAATTTTTCATTATGTTGATTATTCAAACATTTTAGCAGAAAATGTTTTTTAGCACATAAATGCTGATGCACTGACAGAACAAAATTTAAGGAAACATTAACATATTCACTTTAAATCTTTAACTATAAAAATGATATCCAAAACAAAGAATAAAAATATTTCAATTTTGTGCATCATCCATATTAGCTGTAACAATCTATGTTATTGCTGAAAGAGATGTATAAACTGTTCCAAGATCAAATATTGGTAAATCCTCTTGAACCAAATTGCAAAGCTCTATCTAGTTTAGCTTTCAGTTCATCGAAGTTTTCATAACATGGAAGAACTAACAAATGAAAACAAGTTCTACTTTCTGGCAGCAGATTGCGATCTTTTGTTCTGTCAACTTTGAGATGCAGGATTGCACCATTTGCAGGAAGTAAATCACACCCAGTCCAAAAAGACAACAGATCTTTAAGATTTGCCCCTAGGAATGGACAAGTATTAAAGTATTAATATAACTAGTACCTCAAACAGTCAAACATTTAAGTTTTTTTTGGAGAAAGCAAAGGTCCAATTTAAAAGCAAGAAAATATTACTGACATTGATATTGCTCAAACAGAAAAAGTTACTGCTGCTCCAACATATAATATATAATCAGTTGTGGTGCAAATATTAAAAAGCAAACCATATTCACACAAAAAACACATGCATAGACTGACTACAACCAATTACAACCTTCTCTGCATCTTTCTACCAAAACATTTACCACTAGTTGTCCCATCAATTAGATCAATGTATTGTTTCAAAAACAACATCAGTTGATTACAATGAACGCCTTCTTCTTCAATTTCAATAATTCTTTTTAAGTCATCTTTATTAATAAGAGAAGCAGTTGATTGTGGAAAAAGTTGTGGTTGAACAACATCTTTGTGTTTCTTCAGGAAATCAACCAGTCCAAACTCATTCATTCCATCAGCTAGATCTTGCAACTCTGATTTTCTACGGGTAATGACAGCATGTAACATGATTTGCTGGGCAATAACATGACGATTTGCACCAGAGAATGATGTATCTAAAATTGAAGCTTCATCTCTGTACTGAGTTAAAACATCTTTCAATGCAGTTCCAGTAGCTTCATCTTTGCCAAGGCAGTTCAACTATGTCATAAAACACATTAGCTCAAACAAATTACTGAAAAGCAATGCTCAGGTGAAATAAAACTTTTCAAACCTCATTCAATGCAATCCTCAGGTCAATGTCAGGTATATCCACAACTTCTATAAAAGGAATCTCATTGTTGTCACATACCAAATAATCAACAGCTACTTTAGAAATTCAAAATAGTGGTGATCCAGCATGTAGGAAAGAATGTGCAATCATTCTTCCAATGCACTTATAGAAGCCTGTACTTCTCAATAGTGAGTTGGCTACAGGAACTTTATGGTCATTTTCTCCTTCAAAAACAAGAGTTTTGGGCCTTTCTTCACCATCCAATGGAAAACCATCAACAATCATTTTCATTACTAGGCTGAAAAATTCTCCCATAGGACCACTGCCAACTGAAGTTTCGTTTTCAAACTTTACACTGAACCGAGCACACAACTTACTACTGTGATTTTTGTAAATTCCCAAAATGTCATTGGCAAAGTCACTTGCCACGCGGTTGACATAAACTCGATAAACTGGACTGTCACTGACAATTGTAGCATCTCGATACTCTTCAATGACTGTCTTTTTTTGTTCTTAAATAGAAAACCAGTCAAATGTTTATTGTAGCAATACAACCCAGCAAGTATTTGCTAGACTAAGCTTACCAATATCGCAACTTCTACACCTAAATACAAGATGCAAAAATCACAATAAGCATGTTTAACTTTATTCATATTGAGACCAAATTGACCATTATCGCGGTGCTTTGACCGTTATACGCGGTGCTTTGACCATTATACGCGGTGCTTTGACCATTATATTCGGTGAGCCGCTATTGCTGGTCAGCGCTGACGCACCAGTTTATAAATTCTTCATTTTATTTTTTTCATAATTTCAAAATGGAGTCCAAAATGTCATTTATTTTACAAAAGTTGCGACTGGATCACTTTGTGGAGCGATTTACTTCAGAGAAAATAACGCCGGACTTAGTTTGTAAGCTTTCTCTCAATGATTTCAAAGAGTTAGGGGTCCAAAACCATTCCGACATTATGTCAATACGAGTAGAGTGTATGAAATGTGGATTGAGCGAACCACCAACTAGAACACGGAATGAATACGGAGCACTACAGTTTAATATATCTAAGCTTCTCCTTGAAAGCTATTTGGAACAAGATTTCACGATAGCAGAAATTGCAAAACTACTTTCAGTTTCTGAGAGCACATTATACCGGAGAATGAGAAAATTTGGCCTCTGTAAGAATGAATTCTCTGTTATTACGGACGAGGATTTGGATGAACAAATTGCTAAGATCGGCCAAGAGTTTCCCCACTGCGGCGAGAGCATGGTAAAGCAGATCCTTATTGGAAAGGGTATTAAAGTACAGCGGTGGCGTTTACGTGATAGCATACATAGGATTGACGAGCAGGGCGTTGCTCGAAGAAAAAGGAGAAGGCTGCAAAGAAGGGTTTATCACGTCCAAGGGCCAAACCACCTATGGCACATAGACACAAACCACAAGCTTATTCGTTGGAATATGATAATTATTGGAGGGATTGATGGTTTTAGTCGCTTACCTGTCATGCTGAAATGTTCAGACAACAATAAAGCAAATACTGTCTTGATCTGCTTTTGTCATGCTGTACAGGAATATGGCTTGCCCAGCAGAATTAGGATAGACAAGGGTCTTGAAAATGCTGGGATTGCACAATACATGATTGAGAAGAGAGGGACTGGTCGGGCAAGTGTTATTGCAGGGAAGAGCACACACAACCAGCAAATTGAAAGATTATGGAGGGATGTCTATGATGGTGTCTTGAAGAAGACTCAAAAATTCTTTTAGTTTAAAGCCAAGCTAAAAATTTTAACAAAAGTAAAACTTGCCAAAATAGAAAAAATTTGTGTTCTTGAAAAAAAAACAAGATAACTGCATGTCTTTGCTTATTTTATCTACAGAAGATGAAATAATCTCTGAAATAATTGTGCTCATATAATTAGTATTGCAAACATTCTTACTTGAAAGATGCCAACTTTCTTCAACCCTCCTCGTAGCTCTGTGATGCATGGTTCTGATGTTTGCTCAGAAGAGAATATTGTGCCACATAAATCCCCAATGAAAGTTGGTATTTTACCATTCTGAATAATACTCAATCCTTAAATGAACAAAAGTAATGGACAGGTCATTTTTAAGAATGTTTTGCAATAAAAATTTTCCTACTAATTCTTTAGATAATTATTTTCTTGTGAAAGTAATGAAACGTGCATCACCTAGTAATATGCCAACTCCAACATATTGCTCACTCAGCAAATTGCGTAGTCCATTATCAAAGAATTTCTCAATTTCTTTTAACACCAGTCGAAAAAATTCTTTCCTTGGTCCACCCTGGTCTACAGCAACCTAATTGAAATATACATTATTGTACTGTATCTCACAAATAATCAATGTCTCAAATGCAAACAAGACATACTTCCCCATAAAATTCAACTTGCAATGTTTTTCGATAATCTGTTAAGCACAATATTTCATCCAAGGCTGTCTTCAAAACATTGCCACGGTCAATCATTATAAAGTTGGTATCTCCTTCATTCACTTCATCTAAAGCTTGAACTTCTAAATCTCTGCCAGTTACCATCTTCTTTTGAAAACAGCGCAATATTTCAACAGCACTCAATACATTATATTGTTCACAATAGGCTACTGTATCATTGACAATGTCGTCGACAATCTTATCCATGTGAGAGATCTCCGATTCTTTTACTGTGGGGTCTATGACCTCACTAGACATTTGTAAGGTGGTTGGTACACTTGCTATTGTCTCTGTTTTGGTATATGACAAAGATGCTTCAGATGATGCAGGAAGTGACATTAAGGAGTTGCTAGAGGATGGTGCTTGACCAGATATAACAAATTCTCGACTTTCCTCATGAGCAAACTGACCAGGTTCAGCGTCTTGGCCATCTTCATCACTAGTGTCCAGTCCTTCCATACATGACCATAAATGGTTCCGAAGCCGACGAACAAGAATCTCCTGGTTGCACATTTTGCATTGCTCCTTCACTTCAGACTGGCTTTGCTGGACCAATGGCTCTTTGGACAAAGACATTTGAATTGGTCGTAAATATATCTTACCTTGACCGCCCCCCAAATTTGCACGAAGGTCCTTTGCACTCCATGCGCAATCAAGCACGGTCAAATCACGACAGTTAGGGGCACAGCGCATCATTTCAAAGCCACCACATGTCTTAAGTTGAGGAAAACCTAAATGACTTCCATTGTCGTCCAGGGAATTTGATGTTATTTTACTGACAACATTTTCTTCATCATCTTCCAAATCGAGTTTTATCTTTTTTACACCTAACCCAGCCTTAAAAAGGATCTCCTTGTCCAGCGACGATGGTGCTTTGCGAGCGAGATGCTCAGCCAAGCAAACAAAAGTCGGTGTCCATGGATGGCTCTTCGATAATGAACGCTTACGAATATTCCCAGTCGCGTTTCTAGATGCAGCACGTGTGCTATTGCGACTATTAGACCTTCGTGGGTTAAAGAGTGATAGTCGCTCTTGAAGGATGTCGTTTGTTCGGCTTGACCATTAACCATTAACGCATTTGACCATTCTTGACCATTAACCATTAACCATTAACTGTGGAAGATTCGGTTTCATCTAATTTCTTTTTACACGCATCACGAATGCGAATTCGCTCTCCAATTGTGGTAACTCCGAGACGAGACAATTCTGAATCGGACGCAGCCAGAACAGCTGGTGGTTCCATTCTTTGTTCGTGGAAACGACTTACTAAATTTCTCATTTGCAATGACTGCAATATTTCCTCCATTTTTCGCTTAAATAATTATTTTCCAGTGATGTTTAGTAACGTGTTTAGGATACGACTTTATCAGAATATCAGTCTTTATATCAAAATTGCAATTTGTGAACTGAAACGCTGACCAACAATAGCGGCTCACCGAATATAATGGCCAAAGCACCGCGTATAATGGTCAAAGCACCGCGTATAATGGTCAAAGCACTGCGTTAATGGTCAAAGCACCGCGTATAATGGTCAAAGCACCGCGTATAACGGTCAAAGCACCGCGTATAATGATTAAAGCACCGCGTATAATGGTCAAAGCACCGCGTATAATGGTCAAAGCACCGCGTATAATGGTCAAAGCACCGCGTATAATGGTCAAAGCACCGCGTATAATGGTCAAAGCACCGCGTATAACGGTCAAAGCACCGCGTATAATGATTAAAGCACCGCGTATAATGGTCAAAGCACCGCGTATAATGGTCATAGCACCCATTGAAATAAATTTGCACGACCTAAGACAGCTATGGCTTTCCATAAACCTGGACGATCTACATTTACAAACATGAACGTCACTCTTTCCCAGTTCCCAAACTTAAACAATCACACGGTGTTTTAGCAATGGTCATAGAATATCGTGTTTTTACCGATTATTACCCTAAATATCTTTTAAAATATTTTGCGGACGACTTTGAAACTTGGTGCGTCTTATTTTCACGCTATAGGCATTGCAATAAAATCAAGTTGTCTTCTAGCTTGCAAGTGTCCTTTAAGCAATCCTTACATTAATCAAATATTCGACAGATAACATTGACCCTAGTCTGAATAACTCTTGATATTATACTCAACCTCATCCAATAATTGTTGATTATCTTTTTTTATAAGAATAATATTGACGGTACTAATATAATTTTTATAAACACATTAGATATTGGTATAATGCATGTGTTTGCTAATTTTGCTATCGTTTAGGAATCATGATCCGCTAAGGAACGTTCACAATTTCTTCAACTTGATTATTCAAATAAAAGTGAATGAGTGATTTGCATTTTGGGACAATTAATTAATTATTTTCATAGATTAGTCGGTTGAACATACGTAAAAGATGCTGGAGGAAATAATTGGGTTTGCCTTGTCGATTTGTTCACTATTCGCTTCGGATACACCGAGAGTGACTTCCAATACGGAAACTTTACATGAAAGTTGTAGTTTTGAGTTTAGAGATGTGGACGATGATGCACAAAATAATTTTATTAACAAAGAGTACGACGACAATAATTACGATGAAATGATAAATGAAAATTTTGGAAGTGAGGCAAATCAGTGCGTAACTAATTTTGATTATTGTGAAACCCGTAAAAAAGCTTGGAAGTCATTTTGGAAATGTTTGTGGATAAACTTTAGCATCATTGTAGCCATAATCATTCCTATTGCGTTTGCTATAACGCTTGTTTACGTGGCAATGAATACGACCAACAGTTGTCGACAATGGCAGAAAGAGAACAACACGCTACCGTTGTATGTAAAGCGTGCTCACGTCTTTGGTGGTTGCGTCGATTCGATGTTGGTATATGCATGGTTTCCATTCACGATGATTTTATTATTCGGATGGAATGAATTTAAAGCAAAGTTTTTATCCACAGTTTATCTAGGAGTAATCTTTGGTGAATTGGTTGCTATATATCACTTGATTTCGTTCCAGCTCAATGTTTACGATGTTCATAGCTATTACAGGTATCCTTCAGCTATTTTATTCAGCCTCTCGTTAGTATGCTCCTCAGTTGTCGTCGTTTACAACATTCGAGTAAACGAACCTTATATTCCATATTCCAATTGTCACATCATAGCACTTGTTCTTATGGAATTTACCTCTTGTCTTTCACTTTCGTATTTATACGAGTATACTATCATTCCCGAGTTTAATAATGTTCGTCTGAACTTGTACAAATTCTTGCTCGCTACCACAGCACCACTGCTAGCGCTTATTCCCACAGTGCTTTGCAGGCATATGGCGTTGAGAAAAAGTTCCGAGGTCGTTCATCCTGGTCGTAGTTTTGTTTTGGTGTACGTAATCCGAGGTGGAGTTATATTTCTCTATAGGACAATGCAGACAAATGTGAAAAGCATTTGGCTTTTCATCGGTCTTTCATTGTTTTCAGCGGTTTTGAACTTTTTAAAAAGGGCAACCCAAAAACTACGCTTCAACTTATGGAAACAAATGGTTTTAGCTTTAAACAAATTCTGTTGTTTTCAAAGATTACAAGTTTTACCATGGAACACTGCTCATGCCAGACGATTAAAGGCTGATTTAGAAATTCAAGATATACTTTTCGAATACAACACCCTCATTTTGAGTCAAGCCTACTTCATTTCCTATCAGCTTCAAAGTTTTAACATTGCCACTGAGCCAATGTTACATAAGTTCCTGAAAAGGATTGCGATCGGTGTTACCATCGATTTCATCTTTAACTGTCTGTCCAACTATGTTCAAATGTTTTACTACAACATTCCTATAGGCCGCGTGTGGAAAAAATACTGGAAACGACATTTGTTGGCCAATCTAGTTGTTGTGTTGACTATTATCGCTAATTTTAGCAAAGCTTTGGAATCTGTGTTTCGATCGTACTTTGAAGATTCTGGAGAGAGTTCCATGTACGTTATTAAGAACTGTTCGTTGTTTTAGTTTAGAAATTCATACAAATATATCTTTACGATTAACGAGGATTGTTTTCGTAAGTACTAACAACTATGACTACGACGCCTTGAAGTAGATTACAGATCAAATCACCCGGACGTGGAAATTTCACAACCTGTCGATGACAAGGGATTACTTAATTAGTTATCTATGGTATTAATTGGTAAAAGCGTAGTCAATGGGAGTTTTAAGGCGTACAATTGTTTTTCATGATTGCCTAAAGTACCGTGAGAATAATATTTTTACAACGTGCAAGTGGTACGTATAAATAAAAATTTCAACCGTTTGAATGGTTTACAGTTAAAGTAACATTTTGACAAGTCAACTACGACTCGCGTCGTTCCCTAATGCCTGGTTTCCATATGATCGTTTCTGTCGCTAGAGTCGTTTCTGTCTTTTAAAAAAAGTCCCCTGCGGTGATCAAACGACAGAGGCGATTATTGCGATGAACTGGTTTCCATTAATCGTATGCATCGTATCTAATTTGAACTAGTCACCATACACTTACTGTATGATGTGTTCAAAATGGCGGCAGTCAATCGAAGAGGAAGACTTGTAGCGTGTTATTTTCTTTTGCGTGTGCTGAGAAGAAGAGAGCGAAAGAAAAAAAGAAAACATCGTTTTTGGGTTTTAATATTTCGAAAATTTGTTATATAAACAATCATACTTCTGTACTTCTTCCATAAATGAAGACGTAGAATTAAAGTTGATAGCCGCCATCTTTGAATACGGAATCTCGCTCATGGAATTACGGATGTATCATGGGATATATCAAGTCGCTTCTGGCGTAACGATCGTTTTGCACCGGTTTCCATTAAAAAAATGCAAGCGCGTAAAAGGTGTTTCCGGTCGTTTCTGTCGCAAGGATAGAACTCTAGTCTATCTCAAACGATCGATACGCAAGGATCGTTTCTAACGTAAGGATCGCTTTTGTCGTTTGAGTTGAGCGTTTCCATATGATCGTCTCTGTCGCTTCTACAAATTGTAAGCGACAAAGACGATCCTTACGACAGAAACGATCATATGGAAACCGGGCTTAAGGATCACTTTTGTCGTTTGAGTTGAGCGTTTCCATATGATCGTCTCTGTCGCTTCTACAAATTGCAAGCGACAAAGACGATCCTTACGACAGAAACGATCATATGGAAACCGGGCTTTACACGGTCAAACTTCGTACTCGCAGTTGTACTCTTGCTAAAGCTATCTTGCGTTGTTCGCGATGTGGAAGAATGTGGTTGAAAAATAAATTTTCGTTTGTGACATGTTGACGCTATACTACAATAGTACATATTTATAATATAGTATTAGTAAATGAGAGTGGAAATTTATGGAATACTAATTATGTGAAAGTCTGGACATATAATAAAGATGTTTTGTGGTTGTGAATGTTTGACCATCCATAACCTTGTGGGTTATTAGAAATAATTGTTTTGGACAGCTCGAGATCACTAGGTAATCAAGCGGAAAAATCAAAAACCCAGGGTAACAATGATTTTAAAAGAAAATAACGTAACGTACGTGTGTCATCTTAAAAATGAGCTTGAAGTATAGAGAGAGCATCCTGACTGCATCGTAATGGTCGTGCAGTTTGAACACAAATATAAGTATTTATATAATAATAATCGTCAATACAGTACTGTTGATTATTGTTATTATCACATAATATTGCAAACCTAAATTACATAGATTTAACAAACCTTAAAATGCACAAAAGCACATTTGTGTTGATAATATAATATGGACTAAGTTATTATAACAACTTTCAGCAAGATGCGCTTATACTGAATATGACAATAATCACAGCAAACAGTACTTTTTGTAGGCTTAGAGCCAACTCATAGTAAAGTTTGATGGAAACAGAAGACAGCTTCATACGTTCTTGTGATTTGATAAAGTCCGTGCAACATGCATTGCCTTGCTCGTTTTGTAAAATTTTGTAAAATTGAATTGTATATAGTCAATTAAACCAACAAATATTTTAAAATTATTGGATGAGGTTTAGCATGATTGATGATATCAAGAATTATTCAGACCGAGGTCAATGTTATCTGCCGAAGGAAAGAGGATCACATTAATCGAGATCTGAATAATTCTTGATAACATGGGAAAGTCGAATTCAATAATTGTTTTATTATACATCTGAACTAACTGAAATATTATTAAAACATAACAATGTAGAACATTCTTTAAAGCTTCTTTAATTTGTCCCTGTCAGACGCTTTTTTCTAGTTCTTCTGCTTTAATTAAATATGATTGTAAATATGTTTAAAGCCAACATATTGCTATTGAAAAAACATTTGTTTTGCAAGTGGGCTTTGTATTCTCTGCTTGTGTACATATGTTACAATGTATTAATTGGTTTCTGTTTCGTACTAAATGTATGGTTAGGCCAGGATAAGGAGAGTTTTTGCATCGAGTAAGTTAAAATACCGGGGTTCGTACACTGCTAACTACTGTTTATCATTTATGCCTCATACACAAATCTGATAACTTTTTCAACTAATCCTTAACTATTTTTTTTCTAGCGAATCGTCGACAGCTTCAGCCTTAGTTGCATAAGTAAAATAAAGAGTTGATTAAAATATACTTGGTTCAAACCTAAATTTTGTCGTAAATTTCGCCGTAGTTTATAAATTAAATGTCTCACTACTTTGGTTTTACGTACCAGATCAGTCCTTTTAAACAAGTTTTTGTCACTCATGTGTTCATGTTCAAGTTAAGTTGAATGTTTTAACCCTCATCTAGTGCTGAGCAAATTATGGTTTTTCAGCTCTGGTTCCGGCCTCTTGTCAATTCTGAACTCCGGGTTATAACTCCGGCTCCGGCTATTTTACAGTCTGAAATTTTATGTCATTATATGATCGGTGTTTAGACCTTGCTGAAATTTACGAAGCTCGTCCGAGGCGTGATCGCCAGTTGTCGTTAGTTTGTTGTCGTCATCATAAGCAATAGGTACGCAATTACGCATGCGTGAATATTTTCAGCCTTGCCCGGCCTAGAATTGTTCTCATATAATCGCGTACGCTATTTTAATAGGATATTATTACAGACCCGAGCTGAAATTGCTCCATTCTGTTGAGTATATGCGTTTAGTCGATCCAACGTTCTTGTTAAATTTCAGAGAACGATGAACTATCATTTATGTCTCATTAAAAAAAGCGTTGTGAGCACTTGATGTATGTCGCGAATATTAAGAAATGCTTTTCGTCATTCTTAGTAAAATTATTTTCCAAGCTTTTTGAAGAAGGAAACTCTTATTTTGACGTCAATTTTTGTATTTAACAATTTTCTTTTGGTTTTTATTACAAAGAAACAACAGCATAGAAAATTATACATGCACAATTAGGTAATGTAATCGTTAATTGAAAATAATCACATCTACACAAATTTATTCCAAATTACAATTGAATATATCACTAATAACACGATTGGACCAAAATAAAATTATTGTGGCTAAATGGAAATTTTTCGCACCATTACCAAAATCGAGAAAATTGAATGTGCAAGTGTAAAACTTTGAATGTGCAAGTGTAAGACTCATGTTTTCCCAAGTTGATATTCCCTGAAAATAAAATCAAAACGGCGTTCATTTTTCAATCCACCAGACAAAAAACAGACTTTGGGATCCCTAAACATAGCTTTTATATCTTGCATAATTACCAGTTTGCACAACTTTAACTGTGTTTTTATGTGTTAGATCAAAATATTCTTCACGTCACTGTCACGCTGTTTCTGAAATTGTTCATAATCTTTGTCCGCCATTTTAGTGAATGAACTAAAAATAAAAAAGATCGAAAGTTACATCAGTACGATCACTTCTATAACCACAAAATTATCATCAATTCTATACATAAAGCTCGTCGTAAGTTAATCATCGAGGTGAATTGCCAATCAAACGCCTTTTCAGGAGACAAATAGCAATATTCGGTTTCGCTAATAACATGTTTCTTTTGTCAATTGCATTCGAATCCACTTGACAAAATGAAGTTATTTTCATAAAACTGAGAAACCTCATCTCTTGTTGCGCATCAGTGACAGCATTTTCTGATTCTTCAATTTGAAATTCTAAAGTTTGAAGTTTGGCTTCCCGCGCCTCGGGATTGTCGCCACCAAATATTTTTGAAGAAAGTCCTTTCCACAAACCACTTTTCTTTCCTTCTTCGCCATCCTCTGTCTGAGATAAGTAAGTACTTCAATTAAGTGATTTAGATATCTTGAATTCAACATCGTAAACACACAATACAATAGCAGATCAAAGTTTTAATCAATATACATAGAGCTTTTGATTTAAACAAGAGAGGGTAGGTTTTTTGAATTGTTTTGCGGCTAACTGAACGGTCAAAAATAATTTCCGATTACGATAATACTGTTGTGTGCAACTTGTTCTAAAATAAGGGACCATTTTAATGGAGCTGTTTGATTAACTGGCAAACATTTCCGGGAAAAGCGAACAATCCCAGAAGCGCGCCTTTGACACAAGCCTGAATGTGATAGCTGCAGTGCCGTTAGCCCCCAGTAAATATATATTTGTTGCTAGGTATCAAGTGGGTGCTTATTTCATAGGTGGCTGTATAAAAGTGGACTTTTAATTTCATTTGAATTTGTTACCATAAATACACTTAAAGATAGACGATGCTGATAGGAAATGAAAGATCTTCGCCGAATGTCGATAAAATTGCATGGTTTTACGATGATAAAAAATGCAGTTGTGTGAAAATAAGAGATCGCCAAATGTTAATACCCATAATATACGAAAATTTACCAATTATAAATCGGGATCTCGAAGGGTTTGTTGCATAGACAACGCTCTTCGAAATACTTTCGAAAACGTTGAAATAAGATAATTCATTGTGTCTACAGACTGAAAGTAATAAGGATTCCATTTAAAACTTTCATCTTTTGCATGTGTAAAAAGTACTTAACATCAAAACACCAAATTATGGACGGCTACTTAAATTGACGATGGATATAAACCTCCATCAGGTGACGAAAGTTTTTGAATGCTTGGGAAAAAGTCTACTGTCTACGTAGATAATTTACCACTTTCAATAATTCATCCTTCTGCGCTGTTTTAGACGCGACGGTTTCTTCAGCTTTTTCAAGATCGTAATGACGTATCTGATGCTTTCTTGTCAGTACCCTAAACATAAATGGAAACAATATGTACACAAGAACAAACACAATTTTTCTAATGGCGTTTCAATCATTCATTGTTCATGGATAGAGTAAAAACGACGATTTTTATGAAACAATCTTCACTATCTAATAGCATAAAATATGCAAATTAATGGCAGGATATGAGTGGGACATGCATTTGATGTTGAGATATGACAAACTAAAGACGCCCCATTTTTTAGTGTTTCAGGCAATCTCTTACTGAAGTAATGTTTACATATATTTAAGGTAAATGCGCAAAAACAGACCTTATAACCACATCACGAATACAATTTTAAAACCTCTACGCCGGTAGAAGACTGAAGGGCTAAGCCAATAGAGTGCTTTCATCGGTCGTCATATTGGTAGAAAATCCCACATAGTAAAAAGAATTTATGTTATTTTCATGTTGAGCATCGGCACATACATGCAAACACTGTATGAAAATAAACCATAACGGTGTCAATGAATTAAAGCGTTATATATATGAGAAATGTCCTAGAATATTTCAAAGATAACTGTTATGTCCAGGGGCGAAACTAGAACGTTAATTGGGGGGGTAAATATTCATGTATTCAGCTCTGCCCTGCTGACTTCTTTTGAAATTAACATCGCAAACAAAAGAAATCAGCAGGGCAGAGCTGAATATATGAATATATACCCCCCCAATTAACGTTCTAGTTTCGCCTCTGGTTATGTCTAACTTGGGAGAAATTTTCCACTGCATATCAAAATTTTAGCAATGTCTTCTAGGTTTTCATAAAAAGCGTCATACTAACATATAAATATTTACAACAACTACCTTGAAATTTTTCAATGACTTCATTATCCACTCCATTCTTTTTCAATAACGTGGACAATTCAGAGGTGGTTAAATCTTTAAATGAAGGCATTGCAAGAAGTTCGGTGCAAATGTTACGACTAGACTACAAAAACGATCAGCAAGTAAGTGAAATGACCATTGAGTTCTATAATAACTGGAGCGGCTAACTTTACTGGGGCGAGGACGCCAAAACAATGGCGGCCAAATGACGTATTTCCGCTGAAATGATCGCTTTGCAGAAAAATAATTTTCCCGACCTCCCACTGATGTCTATAGTAAATTATAAAGAAAAAATTTCTTTAAGAAAAATTTGAGCTTATTTACCTATTAGAGTACAGAATGGAGATTTATCATATGCATTATTGCTGCTTTTTTAAATAATAGACCATAAAAAAAAAGATAAAATAGACCATTGCGGCGATTGCGCGTGCGCGGCTGGCTTGCACAGTGATTCACGTGCAAGGCATGTGTTGAGCTTTTCCATATGAAGTGACTTAGTGAGTTTTAGAAAAATGGCTTGTACTTGCGCAACAAGATAACTTTTTTAGAGATGTTATGGTAGTGGTTGTAGGTTTTCAGTAAATTAGACCTATAGACAGAAATTCATACTTTGTTTATAAAAGCATTTATCTGCCATGTCAAATTTTTTTCAAGTGTTTTTAATTGTCATTTTAAATCTTTGTTTTTCCGAAGGAACCAAAACAAAGGGTCTTGGGAATCACCCATGTTCAGAAAAGAATTGGTGTTGGAAGAAGAACAGTCCCAAAACAAGATGAAGTCATCGAAATTCCTCTTCTTAAGAGCCTTGAGCAAATGCTGCAAGATCCAGCCATATTAGATCAGGTTACTTAAACATAAATAAACTAGTGACATACACAGCATGCTATTCTAGATATAGCAGCTGACTGGCTTTTCTGCCCAAATTTATGTTTGTTCACAATATTTTTCACCATTTGGGCACTCCAATGCTTCAATTTTTAACAAACTTATTTCAAGAATATAAATGATATATATATATATACCCTGTGTCCCAAGTGCAGGGTCACCATTTTACTGTGGTGATATATATATATATATATATATATATATATATATATATATATATATATATATATATATATATACACTTATTTAGGTCTTGCATTCACACCAAAGACAAGATGGGCTGTTATCAGATTATTGTGATGGCAATGAATTTAAAAGCCATCCTTTGTTTTCCATCGATCCTACTGCTCTTCAAATTATATTATATTATGATGAAGTAGAAATTGTCAATCCCCTGGGAAGCAAGACAGGAAAACATAAACTAGGTGCAGTACTTATAGGTCTACATCAGCCACATTTATTAATCTTTGCAGATTATATCAGATTTATTGTCTGACCTAATCCTTTCCTCCCTAATTAATTTACTATAATTTTGACTTTTGTCCAAAGTGTTGCAGCAAAGTGTTGCCACAAAGTGTTGCACAAATGAGTTCATGTTCACAAAACACAAATTGCAAATCAACTTTAAAAATATTCTAAACTAATTTGCTTGTTTTCTATATTTGACATAGGACTTGTTTACTACACATTGGGTAACATTTTACCACGATATCGGTCGCAGCTGAAAGCAATACAACTGATTTCAATTGCAAGGAGACCTATATTTACTGATTTAAAAGATGCAGTGTGTATGTTCATAATAAATATCATCACATTGTGAAATATTGCCTATCAAAAATTTTTTGAGAACTAAAATATCATATCTTTGTCATAATATGTGATTTAGTTTGTTCAAAAGCAATTAAAACTGCTAAAATGCAAAAAATACATTCGTACTAGACAATACCTGACATAATTTGTTTTCTGCCGTTCACTCCTACGACAATTGAATCACTTTAAAAACCATTACAAACAAAGCAAATGGTCGTCTTCAAAAACTCTATACTTTGAATGATAATAGAATATTATTTTTCCTGCAATATCATAGTCATCTACGGCCGTTATCATAGTGAAAACAGCAATCGAAACGCGCGTGCATCATGAAATAGTTGGCCGCCATATTTGTATTGTGTCACCCGATTCGATGCAGTCATCAAGTTGCTCTCGAACCAATTTGGCACCAGTTGTAGAGCAAAAACAACCCTCATGGAGCCAAAACGGCCCCTCTTGTCTGTTTTAGCTCTCATTGTTAGCCAATATGGCTAGCAATTTCAAAATCCAAAACGACCTCATGGGGCCAAATTGGCCCGTATATTTCTATTTTGGCACCAATTGTAGAGCAAAAACAACCGTCATGGAGCCAAAACGGCTCTATTGTCTGTTTTAGCCCTTATTGTTAGCCAATACGGCTAGCAATTTCAAAAGCCAAAACGACCTCATGGGGCTAAAATGGCCCTTTTCTTTTTACTGTGTAGTAAAAAGAATTTATGTTATTTTCATGTTGAGAATCGGCACATACATGCAAACACTGTATAAAGACTGCGAGAACAAAAGTAATTTTCAATAAAGTAATTACTAATACCACCACACCACAAAGTTTACAAGAATACACAAGCAATGTAATTATTCATTAATCAACTAGACAAAAGAGGATATGTATGGAAAAGATTTATATGACGAATTTGTAGCATGTATTAGTATGAACTAAAATACGATTTTTCTGTTTAAATATTTGTTCATGTTAGGACATTACACAATATTCATTGAGTTTCCTATATTAAACTGCACTTCCTTACACTATCTTCCCTGAACCTCCTTAAACAATCCTTACCTACACTAATCAAATATTCGACAGATAGCATTGACCCTAGTCTGAATAACTCTTGATATCATACTCAACATCATCCAATAATTGTTGATTATCACTATTTATAAGAATAATATTGACGGTACTAATATAATTTTTAATAACACATTAGATATTGGTATAATGCATGTGTTTGCTAATTTTGCTATCGTTTATGAACAGGGTCGGATCCAGCTTCGTATATGAACTTAGGCACAATGTCGCACCGTTTGCGCGACTTTTCTAGGGGGGTCCAGGAGCATGTTCCCTCGGTAAAATTTTATAATTGGATTGCGAAAAACGCTATTTCCTGCATTTTTGCAGTTGGTTTTCTAAAATATTTATTACTGGAATGAGCTAACATTCTTGCTCATAAATCATCGATTTTTGACCGTTTCGCTCAATATCAGAGCTCATCAGCATGCCTAGGAAACTCGCAGAAAAATATGCTTTGAGGGCTTCCGACATGGACGGCCTGGTTCATTTCAAACTTAGCCTAAAAAAATTCTTTACGCTTCATCAACTTTTATATGGAATTTCATTTTATAATGGTCTAGTCCTACCTATATGCTGATTATTATGCAAACGATTTTATGTCAATTTATCAAATGAAGTTGTCAACAAAAAAAGCAAAAAAATGTTTGTAGATGTCGATCGTCCAGGTAAGTAAACTCCTGAGAACGATTGTTTGTGTTTATATTGACTGAGGTTAGCGGCAGTCATCTTTACAGTCAAGAGTTAAAAAAGGCATCAAAAACTTTCACTCCGAACTAGAAAGCTGGTTTAATTCTTCTTTTGTCTTTGTCTTTTGCAAAAAGATCTATAATCTTTTCTATATCTGGATTAATGTCCTGATGAATATGCAATAAAGCAAGCCCATTTAACCTGTCAGCAGCCATATTACTTCTTGTATAGTTCTTTAATCTTCGCAAAGCATAGAACGACCTCTCGCACTCACAAGAAGTGACTGGAATAGTACCTAAGATCTTTAACAATACTTTTATGTTCTCAAAGCCTGGAAAATTTACCTACTTTAAAGTAGAACAGACATTTTCAGGAAGACACGTTGTAGAAGACGATTCCCAGTATTTTTGCAAGAGATCAAGTTCACAGCCTAAAGCCATTGGATTTGGAAGATCATCCTAGAACAAAGAAGAAAATGAATAAAATTTTTCCATCCAAGAAACACCACAAGAAAGACACAAAAGTAACTTGGATGGAATTAAAAACAAGCCATAATATATGCTAGTTGCAGATGAATCAAACCTTTTTTCTAACTCAGAACACAAGTGATCATCTAAAGGAATGGTAATTGTTTTATTGAAGTAATCAGACACAGATTCTGACGGAACATTACTTCTAATTGTCTGACGACCACAAGTTCTAGGTTTTTCTCTTCAACACCCACCTTTTCTGCCATCATCAATGCAATACTGTACCAGTTAGCATGATAAACATCGACTTCATTTCTTACAGTTCTCGACAATTTTTATAATGCCTCAATCAAGTTCAAACCGTCAGCAATATCATTAGTAGAACACTGAAGTTACTGAGTAACTGGAAGAGTAAGATCAAAAATACATCTAGTTATTACGAGTGCTGCAATAAAATCAAAAGATGTCAACAGATGTAGCAGAGGGGAAGCTTTACTAGAGGTCTCACGATTACACTTGCCTTCAACGTTAAAACTCATTTCTTCCAAGGAAAAAACAATGGCAACATACAGTTCTTCAAAAGTATCTAACCTAGTAATACGATTAACCCATCTTGTCTTACAAGCACTTTTCAACCTCTTTTTTGCAGAATCTGGACAGTGCACTCCAATGCATTTCTCTAAAATTAGTTGTCTGCCCTGGAAAGAGTTGAAAAAGTTAGCAACTTCCTTCACATGTTTCAAAACATTTCTTACATACTGAAAAGCACAAGTCCCACAAATACTAAGATTTAATCTGTGACTGAAACAATATGTGTAAATGGCTTTCTCATTCAAATTCTTAATCGTTGCAGCAAGACCATTAATGCATCCAGCAACAGCACCATCATACCCCTGCCCACGACAGTCCTAAATGTCCAAATTCAACTCTTCGTTTAAACATTTCAAAATCACAGATGCAAGGTCCTTCCCAGATATATGTTGAACTCCTCGTAAACAAAACGCAAAACCAAAGACATCTGTTCTTTATTAGAAATATCACATGTTTCGTGAGCAATCAATGCATAAAACGTGCTCTTCTTTACTTCAACTAGAAGCTGCTCAGTGATGAATTGACCACAACACCTAATTAACTCATTCTGAGTAGTTTTAGAAATGTAGGAGGCATTTTTATCATGATGCTTAAGATGCGTTTCCAAAATGGTGTCCCCTGCACGAACACGGAAGTTTAATAATTCAATAAAATTACCTACATGCTTTTCAGAATATTCACCAACTTCAGGATGTTACTGAAAATCATCCCGATGACCTCTAAGTGGGAACTGAATGCGACCTGCAAGAATGATGGTATCAACTACTAAAATTAATTTTTTCCTATTCTCTGAAATCTTTTTCTTTAAGTTACTGTCAATCATGACGTTTATTGGCTGGCTTTTATCGGAACTCTGATCCAAGATGTCCTTAAGAAGAGCAGAAGTGTGAACATCAAGACCTGATGATGTACTTATAAGCCTTTTTATTGCACTTTTCGCATCAGGCCAATGTACTATTGGCTCAGAAAAAATATTTTAATTCGACTGTTTTTGGAGGGAAACCTATCACCAAACAAAACACATGGTAAGCAAAAAGCACCATTAAGACTTGGAGAATACGAAAATCAAAGATAATCCTTCAGCCAATCATGTCGAAAGGACCTACATGCAAAATTCATAGCATTCATCAGGTACGAATACATTCTTCACAAGATTTTCAATTTCATGAATTTCCATACCTCTCACCTTTTCTCTATAAAAACCAACATCATATGGATATCTAGTCAAACCAGCATTTGCAGCTTTATTATCTGGTAATTGCAATGTAGAAAATGAAATAGAAGAAGAAGCATCACAAGGAACCAAAGAACTACTGTGAGATATATTACATGGATGAGCCTTAGATGTCATAGTTGTCTCAGTAGGACCAGAAGGTGTAAACCTCAACTTTGTTTGTATACTGGGTTTTTTAGCTTGTGACAAGTGACTACTTCCCTTTTTTTTAGTTTCCTTCCCACCAAGTATCAAAGATGCATAATGATTGTGTTTGAATGCATTTTCTTGAGGAGCTAAGCCTTCAAAGCAAAACAAAACTCGCAAATAATTACTAGTGGAAGCACAAGCCCTAGATAGAATTAGAGGTTCAATTCTTTGTTTAAATAATAAATTCCACCTATAAGCACTAGAGTATATGTCAGGATAATAAGAAAAAATGCCACAGGATGTAACTGAAGAGAGTGCCACAAACAAACAAACACAGTCCATGCCATATCTTTTTCATTTAACACAGCTTCTGCCCTGACCAGTTCAGCAACAGAGCAACCACTTCCAGCCCTATCAATAGCTTCAAAAGAGACTGACATGGCCACCATGCTTGAGATAGAATCAAAGTGTTTGTTATGCTGAGTTTCAAAAAGATTTGAAAAACATGGATGTTTTGCATAATAATCAGCATATAAAAATAATTCTATAGTGGTCATCAGCCTCAAAATAGTCACCACAGAGTTGTCACCAACAAGTAGAATTGACAATGAACTATAGAAGTAGTTGCCATTTGTAGCAGATCTGAAATAATGTTATGTAAATTTCAAATATCATGCTTCAGTTCATTTTTGTATATCTTATCTTAAGTATACTACTGAACACATCAAGAAATAAATCAATAGAAACGTTTTAAATATGATCGAAATTCGAAAATTTGTTTTGTTTGGCATCACATAAATAAACCACAAATGACAAATCCATCGGGCATCACATAAAGTCAATTTGTATTTGCTTATATATTCTTGTGTAAGCATGCATGCATAGCATGTCATAAGTTTTCTAACCTTAAGGCAACCAAATTTGTGTTCTTTGTCTTGGCACTCTGCGGTATGTAAAATTCGGCATTGATATTTCGGAAAATATCAACACTGAGATGATCCAACAAATTATCGTTGGTAACAATGCTTTTGACTTTCAGGCAATCCAACATCTCTCCGTAGAGTTGAGCCATAAAAGTCTCATCTTTCCTCGTGAAAGCATCTTTGACTCAATCAGTGAAAGATGCCATGCTTCTCATTAATATTGTTGGTTTTGAAGCTCAAAGGTAAAACCTCGGCTATCAACAATCTTAAAGTGCTTATCTCACAATTTTTTTTTCGAATTTTCTGATTGAGGTAAAAAAATCATTGTAAAAGTTACTTTACAATTTTCTGATTGATGGCTTCGTTTATGAGATAAATGCGTTTCTTTTCTCAAAATCAGCAATAATGAAGAAAATTGCTGCGCGTTCAATTTGCTTGATGAGAGCCTGAATCGAGAAGTATGTGACGTAACATAAGGACAGGAGTATTTCTGAAGTGTGTCTTTTGCTATAATTTCTACTTTATTTACTACGGCTCTGCATCAAAATGCCTGATAGATGTGCAGTTTTCGGCTGTTCAAACCGAGCAAATTCTGCGGAAAGAATTTCTCTTCACCGCATACCATTTTACGGTGATGAGCGTCCTGAAGCGAAGCGAAGACGTAAAATCTGGGTGAATGTTGTTGCAAGAAAACGCGCTCGATGGACACCGACTAAGTATTCGGCTGTTTATTATTGTGATGGCAAAGTAATTTGGGCAAAGTTCAAATCTTTCCTGAGTCACATAGTAGACAAGCACACCAATTTGGATAATCCACTGTTTTCAAGTTGTTTTCATGGCCCTGATATTAAACCAAGGGAATATTTGTTAGAAGGTTTGTGAAGGCATTATTTAAAGATAACTTCCCTAACAGTTTATCATCATTCTTAATTGTAATGTTTAAGGTTCAGTTGCTCATGAAAAGCTTAGTGCTAAATTGTTAAATCCACAGCTGATGAAGTCAATTCACCAGGCTTCACCAGTTGCTCAAACAAGTTGTTTGGAAGGATTCCATTCTGTCCTGAATCATTTTGCTCCAAAAATGATTCATTATTCCTATGTTGGAATGTATTGCAGGTGGGCGAAAATTTCCAATATGACAATGTTAGTTGTTTTGCAACTTCCTCAAGTCTTTATTGTTTAAGACACATTTTGGCATCCATCCACTTCAACAACAACTTAAGGCGTGATGTAAAGATGAAGAATGATGGCACTTTCCAAATAAATGTAGTGTATCCAAAGTTTAAAAATGGTGAAGGAACTGTGAGGGATGTCAGAGTTAAGTCCAAATTTGGTAAGTTGTTGCTAAATGTGTTGCTTTGCATCATTTCATAGTATTGAATATGACAATAATTTCTTTTTAGAGTATGTGGATGAATTATTTGAGAGTGTGATGCTGTCAATAAAAGACAAAGACGCATTATCAAATTCACAAAATCTTTTGAAAGAAATGTCCCCACCATCAATGAATGTCATGCTGCAAAAGCAACCCAGAGCTGAGGTGTTACTAAAACAGGTCCGTTGAAAATGCATTGTGGTCAATGATGTCCCTCCCTCAATTCCAGGTAATTAATAATGATTATATAAGATGTGGTAGCTAAACATGGTTTGAAAATCATTTTAAATAATGAAAATGTTTTGTTTCATGCCAGCAGCTACCAGTGTGCCATTCAGCTGTCAGTCAAAGTGGCAGTTTCAAAAGAAAAAGTCAGCCAAAATGTTTGACATGCAAGAAGCCAATGAAAGGTCACAAACATGTGGCAGAGTGCCCAAAAAATAGGAAAACTTAATTTTCACATCACTCATTTATTTCATTTTCTTCGTACCCTCTAAATTCCAACTTTTTATCATTAAATTTTGATCTTATTGCATGGTATGCACATGCTGGTAATGGTCTTCTTTCTTCTCCTAAGCATCCATAAATCATAGATGTGAATTCTCTGTATGCAACACATTGTAAAAACCTGAATATAAAGCCAAATCATTACTAATGTGTCATAACACTAAAATATACTTAAATACTGGGAAATAACATAATATGCTATCATACATGTTTTCAGATCCTGTTTCTCTGTATCGTCTTTGTTCTCTGGTTTTGTATTTCCTAGCAGCCATTTTTAGCGACCACTTTTCCAAACAAACTGGTCTGAAACCTGGGTGTAGAGTGACACAACATGGAATAGTTGACAGATCTGCCAGAACCGACTGGTGTGTTAAGCTTTCAGCTACAGACTTAAGTTCTTGGCAGCACCAGGCCTCTAGAGGATTCTGAAGAAGTGTAACTTGACAAAAACCACACTTGCACCTGATCAATAAAGAAAATCACATTAAAAATTGTAATCGAGCATCTTTTAACAATTTTTACCCAAAAGTAAATAAAAAGCGATGGTAATCTTGAATAGAAAATTGCACGTTTATGTCTATATTTCATAACTTGAAACCTGAATTGAAATACATTTCATAAGTTGAATTGAAATTAGAAATTTTATTACTCACCAAGAACTCAACTCAACTGTGTGATCAAGTCTTTTTTGTAGCATTTCAAGTTGCTTTTTATGTTCATTTGACTTTTCCACGTAGTCTTCATACCATGCTTGTTCGGCCATTGGTTCATCAGCGTATAGATAGGACTCGGACTCGCCGTGATTTTCATCTATTATATTATATTCCTGGTCATTAATGTTCCTTGTTTCATCTTCGATGACATAACCGGGAATATAATCATACTCCGAATCACATTGCGAACTATGAGAGCTTTCCGAATCAGAATTCAACTCCGCCATCTAATCGTTGATAACAAGCGCTTGACTTGTTCCTTAAGTTACGTCACAGAGACTTGATCCTACGGTGGCTCACAAGGGCCACCACACAAAATAAAAATATTAATACACACACAAAATAAAAATACACACACAAAATACATTATACACACACAATATAAAAATACACACACAAAATAAAAATACACACACAAAATAAAAATACACACGCAAAATACATTATACACACACAAAATAAAAATACACACAAAATAAAATACACACACAAAATATGATTGCGGGCGCTTGCAGTGTCGGATGGTCTGACTATCATATTATCAGTTTGTAATCAGATATGTGTAATTTACTAATTGTGATTTTAAGATGTGGTCGACTTGTCGTCGTATTTAACTGTTTCAACTGCGAAACATTTGAAATTACATTTGGAAAGGAATCGAAAGCAAGCTCTTGCATAATCCTGGCATAATTATGTTTTGTGCCAACTGTGGTGCACAATCACTTGACGAAGCTTCTTTTTGTCACAAATGCGGTGTGCGTTTGGGAAGATTAACTTCTTTGCCAAAATGTTCTGAAGCGTCAATGACGAGTAGCGTCTCTTCAAGCAGTTGCCCTTCGAGCTCTGCAAGTCCGTTAACTTCAACTTCAAGTACCCCAAAGCTGTTTATAACAAATACAGGACAGGCTAGAGCAATAATGTCCTTTCAAAGACAACACATTAACCTTAATTTTAACCAGAATACGGGGAGCAATATCGTAAGCAACTTTGAAATAATTGATCACAGTGAAATCAGTGAATTTTGTTATATACTCTGGAAGTTGGAACCATTAGAACTTTGAAAACAAATGCGATCAATTACGAGCAATTCCGAGTAAGCCGACACTGCAAGCGCCCGCAATCATATTTTGTGTGTGTATTTTTATTTTGTGTGTGTATTTTTATTTTGTGTGTGTGTATTTTGTGTGTATATATTTGTGTGTATTTTATTTTGTGTGTGTATTTTTATTTTGTGTGTGTATTTTTATTTTGTGTGTGTATTTTTATTTAGTGTGTGTTTTTTTATTTTGCGTGTGTATTTTTATTTTGTGTGTGTATTAATATTTTTATTTTGTGTGGTGGCCCTTGTGAGCCACCGTATGATCCAGGCCCTATGCCAATTATCAACTTTTACTGTCAAATTTCATATTTGATCAATAATAATTCGAAAACAATGCAGCGCATGAAAAAATTGTAATATAAGTTTTAGATTACTTTTGAAGAAGCAATAAGAAAATTCGAAAAAAAAATGAGATAAGCACTTTAATCTGCGCTGAATTTCAGCAAAAACGGCGGCTCGTTAGTCAGCACAACGGCAATAAACCAATCAAGAGACAGATTTTAGTCTCCAAATTCAGCACAATTAGGCCCGGTTCAAACGTCGCATTTTACATGCGCCGAATCAAATCTGAGTTTTAGTCGACTAAAATAGTTTTATGCGTAGTTTGATTCAGACGTCGAATTTAATAGTCGCATTTATTATAGTTATGCTTCCACTTTTTCATGTTTATTCATTTTCTTGTACTAATTTCCTAAAATGGCGGACAGGAAAATGTTGAGTTTGTGCATTTCAAATATGATTCGTGTTAATAGGAGAAGGCGAATATTGATGCATGTTGCAGCAAATAAAGTATTAGAAAGGAGACGGCGGCTTCTGCAAATTTTCCATATTTTGCTACTGTTAATTGGTCAAAAATATGCCTTCATACGTAGCCCTCTTTATCGATCTTGTCGAAGACATGATAGAAATTCCGGCTGGTGGAAGAAAGTTTGGAGTGTTTATTCTGATTTTCGTTTCAAAAAAACATTTCGTGTATCTCGAGGAACCTTTCTTTTTATTTTAAGTCGTATTCGACCTATACTTCAAAAGCAAACTGTCACAGAGGAACCCATTTCTCCGGAGGAGAGACTTGGTATATGCCTTTACAGATTGGGACGAGGAGATTACTTTTACACCATCGCTGAGATGTCAGGAAGAGGAGTATCAACGGTGAGCACCATTGTGCAGCAGGTATGTCAACTTCTCGTTGAATACTTATGGCATGAAACAGTTTCAAAACATGCCGAAATGTCAGACTGATTTCGAGAAAAAATCGTGGACATGGAAGAATTATGGCAATTTCCTGTAGCTGGGCTGCTTTGGATGGTTGTCATGTTCCTATGAAATGCCCCCGGTGGTCTTCAAGCGTGCAAAGAATATCATAACTACAAGAATTTTTATTCCATTGTTTTAATGGCCTTGGTTGATTCTAACTACCAATTTGTGTGGGTAGCTGCGGTTTTCCTGGGAATTCCCATGATGCTATCATCTTCCAGTCTACAAACTTGTGGAATTCAATTCAAGAAGGCATGATACCAAGCATGCACAAACATGTTGACAAAGTTGAAATACCACCATTAATATTGGCTGACTCAGCCTTTCCACTTCGTAACTGGTTAATGAAACCGTACTCAAATGCTGTACTTAGTCCCATACAAAAATACTTCTACAGACTAAGTAGAGCACTAATGGTAACTGAATGTGCTTTTGGGCAACTGAAAGGGATGGCGAGTGCTCTTAAGGAAAAATGAAGGCAACATGGACCATGTTCGCATTTCGGTTCTTGCATGCATGGTTCTTCACAATATTTGTATCATGCGAGGAGATACAATTTCTAAAAAGCTGGACCTGACATTTAACCCTGACAACAACGAGAGAAGAGACAGAGAAGAAGTACGAAAACTGTTGCAAATGAGAAAATGTCAAAACCCCAGATGTTTCAAAAGAAAAAAAATTAGAAATGCACTATCTGGTAAATTGTGGACAGAAAAGGAAACTGGGAAAGTTTGTTGACTTAATACTGAAGCAGTATGTTTCATGAGTGGAAAACTTTCACAAATTGGTTAACTTTATTACCTTATTAAAGTGTTTTGTATGCTTGTATGTTATATATTATTTGATGTTAATGTTAGTTAATGAGATGACACAATTAGTGTCCTGTTGGATATTAATAAACACGAAGACAACTTGATGTGTAGTAGTGATTTGAGCTATTGTATCTTTTCACAACCTACATATTTTGTTTTACAAGCATTTTATGTATTATCCAAGACTAATGCATTTATGACAATAAAAGATACAATGCTTTTATAAACCTGTTTCACTATTAATAATTTTTAAATACCAATACCATACAAACTGCAATTGACAAACAAAAAACTAAAATATCTTTGACACTAGAATAGAAATGGCATTGATATAATGCAACATAACTGAATGAAAACTCAACAAAATTAACTGTATAATAGTTCAAAGTATTTGGTGTTCCTTATGAAGCTCTTCAACTAAAATGCCATTGCCATATACAAAAAGTATACAACAAACTACAAATAATCTGAACTGATGAAAGTCTCAATGCTAATCAACTTTGTCTAAACCATTTTTTAAGCAATGAGTAATAGTTATATAATTATAATTTCTCATATATCTTTCTATCATAATAACCTTGAGCTGATGTACATGGTGTGAAACTTGATTGTGTGAAAGATGCAACTGGTTGCAGAGGAAATCCTTGTTGACTAAATGTGTTTGAATCATATGTGCCATGGTACTGGCTGTAGTTTGCAACCATTTGTCCATTGTCAAAACTGTGTATATTACCAGAGAGAGGATTTGATTTGCTTGACTGCTGTTGGCAATTATCACCACATGTGTTCAACAGCTGAATCAGTTTCAATTCATGTTCCCGTGATTTGTCCATCTCTTCTCGCAAGAAGTTAAGCATTTCTTTTGATGAATCATTGCGTATGGTTTCTTTAATGAGTCCTACTACTTCCACCACAGCATCCTCAAGCTTCTGCTTTGTATTGCATCTTTTCGTTTTTTTAATAGGAACAAAAAGCCTACCATCATCTTTTTCTTCCAAAGATCTTAACGTTTCATCATCATCTAAAGCTTCAGAATTAGATGGACTTGGCGATGCTCCAAAAGTATCTGGCTCTATGGCCAGACCTGGATTACAAGAATCTCTGGTCTTTACTACAGGATACAATGCTTTAAACCAGTCCCCAAGACCACGACTCTCTTGAAAACGTTTGATTCCAGATGCATTTTTAATTGTAAGCGCAGCATGCTTACAGTCACTAACACATTTCTTGAATTTTGTACGTAACTGCTTTAAACTGAACTTAAACTCGCTACCTCTTGCTAAAGCTCTCTTTTTCAGTTCTCTTAAAATTTCCCCATAAATCTCACTATTTCGTTGGCACTTTGTATTTGTGAATATAAGTTTTCTTTTGTAATAATCACTGTTCACAACGATGTCAATTAAATCATTTACATCATCAGGGTTCCAAGTAGACTTACGGCCAGATCTCTTTTTTCTCTTTTCATCAATTTCTTTCAAATCACTATCGTCATTTGACTGATCAAGTATATCATGTTCAAACTCATCATATTCCACACTAAAAAGAAACAAAGTTAAATTAAATTTAACATGATTTACTCATTCAATTTTTTGTAATTAATCAAAATTTCAAACTATCGACCATGCAAAGAACAGATAATAAATAAAATGCTCAATGATACTATAAAATACCATAGCATATTTACATACCATAAATGGATTTCATACTTCATAACTTACATACATACCTTTCAGTTGGACCCATAACTTCGCCTTCGGTGCTCTCACAAGAGGACAGTCCAAACGAACGTATGCTCGCCCGAAAGATGAACTCCTACCACTTTCTTGATCGACTTCCTCACTAATCTTTTCATGAAAACATGCATCGCAACGAGAAACCGCTCGTCCTGCTTTCCAACCAACACTCTTCGTCGTCTTCAAAATAGAGCACCTTGCACATATAAATTTTTGCACTTTAAACAAGTGTATTTTGTTAAACTTGTGCAAGAAATACAAGGGCCATTAGCATCACTCGCTGCCGCCATTTTTATAACTTTGCGCATGGCATTTAGCATGGAAATAATTGATTTTGCTTAGAAATATTTTAAAATAAATTATGCATTAAATTCGGCTCATGTAAAATGCGACGTTTGAATCAACGTCGAATTTTCGTCGCATATTCGACTAACTCAGTCGAATATGCGACTAAAGTCGCATTAAATTAAAATCCGTCGAATTTAATTGATTCAAACGTCGCATTTTACATGCACATAATTCTTGCATTTGATTCGGCGCATGTAAAATGCGACGTTTGAACCGGGCCTTAAAGGCCTGCTGACTCTGTGCGGGTTAGCTATGGGTATTTCTCCCGCAAGTGAATTATAAGTATTTTTAGCCACTTGATCCCTTAAACCATGCTTAATCCAGTTCTTGGAAACAATAACATTGTTCAGTGAGTGCACGTTGTTGCACAAATTTCTCATATTCTTTCCCCAACCCTGACAATAGTTTATTTTTCTAATGCTTCCGTTGTGAGGCACAAAAAATTTATATGATTTTAGAATAAAGAATTCATGATCATCCACACATCGAAACAAACTACACCCTACCTAGACGAGATTCGAACCTGCAAACGACGCATAGAAAAATGCTCTTGGTCCTTTCGACCCATATGTTCCGTTCCACCCCCTGCAAATTGTTTTTAATTTGAATTAACGCCGTTTAAAATTTGATTAATTTTTTTTCGCTGCTGTGCAGCATTTAACTTCGTCACGTGCTGAATGTGACGTAGTTCCAATCCGCCCCTGTTTATGAATCATGATCCGCTAAGGAACTTCTAAGAATCGTGTCGCAATTTCTCAAACTTGATTATTCAAATAAAAGTGAATGAGAGATCTGCATTTTGGGACAATTAATGAATTATTTTCATAGATTAGTCGGTTGAACATACTTAAAAGATGCTGGAGGAAATAATTGGGTTTGCCTTGTCGATTTGTTCACTCTTCGTTTCGGATATACCGAGAGTGACTTCCAATACGGAAACTTTACAAGACAGTTGTAGTTTTGAGTTTAGAGATGTGGACGATGATGCACAAAATACTTTTATTAACAAAGAGTACGACGACAATAATTACGATGAAATGATAAATGAAAATTTTGGAAGTGAGGCAAATCAGTGCGTAACTAATTTTGATTATTGTGAAACCCGTAAAAAAGCTTGGAAGTCATTTTGGAAATGTTTGTGGATAAACTTTAGCATCATTGTAGCCATAATCATCCCTATTGCGTTTGCTATAACGCTTGTTTACGTGGCAATGAATACGACCAACAGTTGTCGACAATGGCAGAAAAAGAACAACACGCTACCGTTGTATGTAAAGCGTGCTCACGTCTTTGGTGGTTGCGTCAATTCGATATTGGTATATGCATGGTTTCCATTCACGATGATTTTATTATTCGGTTGGAATGAATTTAAAGCAAAGTTTTTATCCATAGTTTATCTAGGAGTAATCTTCTGCGAATTGGTTGTTATATATCACTTGATTTCGTTCCAGCTCAATGTTTACGATGTTCATAGCTACTACAGATATCCTACAGCTATTTTATTCAGCCTCTCGTTAGTATGCTCCTCAGTTGTCGTCGTTTACAACATTCGAGTAAACGAACCTTATATTCCATATTCCAACTGTCACATCATAACACTTGTTCTTATGGAATTTACATCTTGTCTTTCAGTTTCGTATTTATACAAGTATACTATCATTCCTGAGTTTAATAATGTTCGCCTGAACTTGTACAAATTCTTGCTTGCTACCACAGCACCACTGCTAGCGCTTATTCCCACAGTGCTTTGCAGGCATATGGCGTTGAGAAAAAGTTCCGAGGTCGTTCATCCTGGTCGTAGTTTTGTTTTGGTGTACGTAATCCGAGGTGGAGTTATATTTCTTTATAGGACAATGCAGACAAACGTGAAAAGCATTTGGCTTTTCATCGGTCTTTCATTGTTTTCAGCGGTTTTGAACTTTTTAAAAAGGGCAACCCAAAAACTACGCTTCAACTTATGGAAACAAATGGTTTTAGCTTTAAACAAATTCTGTTGTTTTCAAAGATTACAGGTTTTACCATGGAACACAGCTCATGCCAGACGATTAAAGGCTGATTTAGAAATTCAAGATATACTTTTCGAATACAACACCCTCATTTTGAGTCAAGCCTACTTCATTTCCTATCAGCTTCAAAGTTTTAACATTGCCACGGAGCCAATGTTACATAAGTTCCTGAAAAGGATTGCGATCGGTGTTACCATCGATTTCATCTTTAACTGTCTGTCCAACTATGTTCAAATGTTTTACTACAACATTCCTATAGGCCGCGTGTGGAAAAAATACTGGAAACGACATTTGTTGGCCAATCTAGTTGTTGTGTTTACTATTATCGCTAATTTTAGCAAAGCTTTCGAATCTGTGTTTCGATCGTACTTTGAAGATACTGGAGAGAGTTCCATATACGTTATTAAGAACTGTTCGTTGTTTTAGTTTAGAAATTCATACAAATATATCTTTACGATTAACGAGGATTGTTTTCGTAAGTACTAACAACTATGACTACGACGCCTTGAAGTAGATTACAGATCAAATCACCCGGACGAGGAAATTTCCCAACCTGTCGATGACAAGGGATTACTTAATTAGTTATCTATGGTTTTAATTGGTAAAAGCGTAGTCAATGGGAGTTTTAAGGCGTACAATTGTTTTTCATGATTGCCTAAAGTGCCGTGAGAATAATATTTTTACAACGTGCAAGTGGTACGTATAAATAAAAATTTCAACCGTTTGAATGGTTTACAGTTACAGTAACATTTTGACAAGTCGACTACGACTCGTGTCATTCCCTGAAACGGTCAAACTTCGTACTCGCAGTTGTACTCTTGCTAAAGCTATCTTGCGTTGTTCGCGATGTCGAAGAATGTGGTTGAAAAATAAATTTTCGTTTGTGACATGTTGACGCTATACTACAATAGTACATATTTATAATATAGTATTAATAAATGAGAGTGGAAATTTATGGAATACTAATTATGTGAAAGTCTAGACATATCAAAGGTGTTTTGTGGTTGTGAATGTTTGACCATCCATAACCTTGTGGGTGATTAGAAATAATTGTTTTGGACAGCTCGAGATCACTAGGTTATCAAGTGGAAAAAATAAAAACCCAGGGTAACAATGATTTGAGAAGTAAATAACGATACGTACGCGTGTGTCACCATAAAATGAGCTTGAAGTATAGAGAGCGCATGACTGGATCCTCTGGATGCTATGTACGTAATGGTCGTGCAGTTTGAACACAAATATAAGTATTTATATAATAATAATCGTCAATACAGTACTGTTGATTATTGTTATTATCACATAATATTGCCAACCTAAATTACATAGATTTAACAAACCTTAAAATTATAAATTGCACTAAGTTATTATAACAACTTTCAGCAGGATGCGCTTAAACTGAATATGACAATAATCACAGCAAACAGTACTTTTTGTAGGCTTAGAGCCAACTCACAGTAAAGTTTGATGGAAACAGGAAGTCAGCTTCATACGTTCTTGTGGTTTGATAAAGTCCGTGCAACATGCATTGCCTTGCTCGTTTTGTAAAATTTCGTAAAATTGAATTGTATATAGTCAATTAAACCAACAAATATTTTAAAATTATTGGATGAGGTTTAGCATGATTGATGATATCAAGAATTATTCAGACCGAGGTCAATGTTATCTGCAGAAGTAAAGAGGACACATTAATCGAGATCTGAATAATTCTTGATATCATGGGAAAGTCGAATTCAATAATTGTTTTATTATATATCTGAACTAACTGAAATATTATTAAAACACAACAATGTAGAGCATTTTTTAAAGCTTCTTTACTTTGTCCTTGTCAGATGCTTTTTTCTAGTCCTTCTGCTTTAATTAAATATGGTCGTAAATATGTTTAAAGCCAACATATTGCTATTGAAAAAACATTTGTTTTGCAAGTGGGCTTTGTATTCTCTGCTTGTGTACATATGTTACAATGTATTTAATTGGTTTCTGTTTCGTACTAAATGTATGGTTAGGCCAGGATAAGGAGAGTTTTTGCATCGAGTAAGTTAAAATACCGGGGTTCGTACACTGCTAACTACTGTTTATCATTTATGCCTCATACACAAATCTGATAACTTTTTCAACTAATCCTTAACTATTTTTTTTCTAGCGAATCGTCGACAGCTTCGGCCTTAGTTGCATAAGTAAAATGAAGAGTTGATTAAAATATACTTGGTTCAAACCTAAATTTTGTCGTAAATTTTGCCCTAATATAAAAATTTAATGTCTAACTGCTTTGGTTTTACGGACCACTCCAGTCCTTATAAACAAGTTTTTGCGACTTATGTGTTCATGTTCAAGTTAAGTTGTTGAATGTTTTAACCCCCATCTTGTGCTATGGTTTTTCAGCTCTGGTTCCGGCCTCTTGTCAATTCTGAACTCCGGGTTATAACTCCGGCTCCGGTTATTTTATAGTCTGAAATTTTGTGTGATTATATGATCAATTTCAACCCGGTGTTTAGACCTTGCTGAAATTTACGAAGCTCGTCCGAGGCGTTGTGAGCACTTGATGTATGTCGCAAATATTTAGAAATGCTTTTCATAATTCTTAGTAAAATTATTTTCCAAGCTTTTTGAAGAAGGAAACGCTTATTTTGACGTCAATTTTTGTATTTAACAATTTTCTTTTGGTTTTTATTACAAAGAAACAACAGCATAGAAAATTATACATGCATAATTAGGTAATGTAATCGTTAATTGAAAATAATCACATCTACAAAAATTTATTCCAAATTACAATTGAATATATCACTAATAATACGATTGGACCAAAATAGAATTATTGTAATTAAATGGAAATTTTTCGCTCCATTACCAAAATCGAGAAAATGAAATGTGCAAGTGTAAAACTTTCATTCACGCCATTCCCTCGAAGGCCCCCTTCATGTTTTCCCAAGTTGATATTCCCTGAAAATAAAATCAAAACGGCGTTCATTTTTCAATCCACCAGACAAAAAACAGACTATGGGATCCCTAAACATAGCTTTTATATCTAGCATAATTACCAGTTTGCACAACTTTAACTGTGTTTTTATGTGTTCGATCAAAATATTCTTCACGTCACTGTCACGCTGTTTCTGAAATTGTTCATAATCTTTGTCCGCCATTTTAGTGAATGAACTAAAAACAACAAAAAAGATCGAATGTTACATCAGTACGATCACTTCTATAACCACAGAATTATCATCAACCCTATACGTAAAGCTCGTCCTAAGTTAACCATCGAGGTGAATTGTCAATCAAACGCCTTTTCAGGAGACAAATAGCAATATTCGGTTTCGCTAATAACATGTTTCTTTTGTCAACTGCACTCGAATCCACTTGACAAAATGAAGTTATTTTCAGAAAACTGAGAAACCTCAACTCTTGTTGCATATTAGTGACAGCATTTTCTGATTCTTCAATTTGAGTTTCTAAAGTTTGAAGTTTGGCTTCCCGCGCCTTGGGATTGTCGCCACCAAATATTTTTGAAGAAAGTCCTTTCCACAAACCACTTTTCTTTCCTTCTTCGCCATCCTCTGTCTGAGATAAGTAAGTACTTCAATTAAGTGATTTAGATATCGTGAATTCAACATCGTAAACACACAATACAATATCAGATCAAAGTTTTAACAATATACATAGAGCTTTTGATTTAAACAAGAGAGGGTAAGTTTTTTGAATTGTTTTGCAGCTAACTGAACGGTCAAAAATAATTTCCGATTACGATAATACTGTTGTGTGCAACTTGTTCTAAAATAAGTGACCAATTTAATGGTGCTGTTTGATTAATTGGCAAACATTTCCGGGAAAAGCGAACAATCCCAGGAGCGCGCCTTTGACACAAGCCTGAATGTGATAGCTGCAGTGCCGTTAGCCCCCAGTAAATATATATTTGTTGCTAGGTATCAAGTGGGTGCTTATTTCAAAGGTGACTGTACAAAAGTGGACTTTTCATTTCATTTGAATTTGTTGCCATAAATACACTTAAAGATAGACGATGCTGATAGGAAATGAAAGATCTTCGCCGAATGTCGATAAAATTGCATGGTTTTACGATGATATAAAATGCATTTGTGTGAAAATAAGAGATCGCCAAATGTTAATACCCATAATATACGAAAATTCTTCACTAACCAATAGCATAAAATATGTAAATTAATGACAGGATTTTAGTGCGACATGCATGTGATGTTGAGATACTTTTTGGAATTTAAAGAAAGCCCTTATTGGTAAAAACATACCTGATTGAATCCGCATAAGGGTGATACTCCTTCAATTTATCTACATAACGACATTCTTCTTCTTCTTGAAGATCATCAATGGCGGATGCAAAACTAGAGAAAAATTGTTGAGTTAGCTATACGTTGAATAAAGAACCGCTAAAACCACTCCTTTTATTTTTTTTACACCAGATAAGATTTAGTTACACTCCTCACAAACTTAGCACGAAGCATTTCAGGAAAATCGGTAGACTTCTCCGTCACAATATTTAAAATAAAGACAGAAAAGAATGACGTCACCCCCAAGCGTGGAGATGACGTTTGAGACAGTGATAAAGTTGCATCGTCTCTGTCAAGGAGATATAACTACTGTATAATATTCGATACAATAATTCTTACTTGTCCATGTAGTGACCGGCCTTTTACAAAGCATTGCCCATTTCATCTTCAATACTGCTCCACTCACTTTAAATACGGAAATAAAAAAATTGTTGACAGAAGCAAGATTAACAACATCTTAAGCTCATCTATAGAGAATATAAAGTTTACATAAGACTTCGAAGATAATATTTCTGCTGACTGACTGACCCAGTTCAAAATTTGACATGGAAACAGACTTTGGTGTAATAACATTTGGTACATTTTGTGTCCAAAGTGACTTTCATAAAGCCTTGATTGATACCACATACCTGAATATTTTCCCATAATTTGCATGCTCTCTATGGATATTTAACTGCTTCTCGGAAATTTTCTGGAGAAAACAATGGTTACTACATACATTGATTCTCATAAATATTGACTTTGATTTCGCAAGGCAAATATGTTTTACAATGCTTTTACTCTTAGACAACAGCAGTCATGAAAAATTAAAATTTTAAATTACACGTTTTGTGGCAGTTTCTACCTCCAAGCGTGAAAGCAACAAAAACTATCAAAACGACGAGTTAGGAGAGAATTGTTCTCGGAAGACCCTCTCAAGAATCACAATGGTTTTGCAAATACTCGTTGCTCTAGCACACGAAAACAAAACGTGGTTTTCCGACAATCCCACGACTGTAAACAGTTGTGACACGGAAACCGTAGCCATCTAATTGAGAGGTAAACCAGATAAAACGCATGCACAAAGACGATTCAAAACTTGCATGATACTTTTATTTAAGTTAAGGAAGTTGACTATATGTTTGTGATAGTAAAAATTAGTCATATTTAACGACATAGGAGTTGTTACCGCTCACTACCAATGTTTTAAAGAATATCCCTTAAAAGTCACGATTTTAATCCAAAAATCCTTCATTTGCCGATGTAAAGTCTGTATACGTGGGTGTCGCACTCCCGATATCCCCACCCTTTCAACAAACTTGGGCGAATAAAGTAAGAATAAAATCGGCCTCAAACAATTTGAAAATGACAAAAATGTGAAACATTAATATCTTGAAAACTTGCAATTATCACGTGCTTTAGATTTGCTGACAACTGTTTACAAAGACAAAACAATAGTTTTTTACGCATGTACGATTTCCTAGAGACCATATATAAAATGGAAATTGAACGTTTACGACAAACCTGTTGAACTTTAGAGTTTGCGAGTAATTTTTCATATCTTCATATTTTCTTAAAGAAATATTAAAAAATTTATTGACAATGCTATATTGAAATGAACAGCAAAAAGATTTGGCTGCAAATTTACAAACACAAAGAATCCTAATGATAGCTAACATCACTCAATTCTACATCTTAAAAACAAAATAACAAAATTACATGGCTGCAAACAACTCTAATTTATATAACATGAAGTAACGACCAATGACAAACTAAAGACGCTCCATTTTTAAGTGTTTCAGGCAATCTCTTACTGAAATATTTACGTATCTTTAAGGTAAATGCGCAAAAACAGAACTCATAACCACATCACGAATACAATTTTTAAACCTCTACGTCGGTAGAAGACTGAAGGGCTAAGCCAATAGAGTGTTTTCATCGGTCGCCATATTGGTAGAAAATCCCACATAGTAAAAAGAATTTATGTTATTTTCATGTTGAGCATCGGCACATACATGCAAACACTGTATGAAAATAAACCATAAATAAACCATAGATAAACCATAGAACAAAAGTAATTTTCAATAAAGTAACGATTAATACCACCACACCACAAAGTTTACAAGAATACACAAGCAATGTAAACATTCATTAATCAACTAGACAAAAGAAGATATGTATGGAAAAGATTTATATGACGAATTTGTAGCATGTATTAGTATGAACTAAAATACGATTTTTCTGTTTAAATATTTGTTCATATTTAGGACATTACACAATATTCATTGAGCTTCCTATATTAAACTGCACTTCCTCACGCTAACTTCCCTGAACCTCTTTAAGCAATCCTTACTACATTAATCAAATATTCGACAGATAACATTGACCCTAGTCTGAATAACTCTTGATATTATACTCAACCTCATCCAATAATTGTTGATTATCTTTTTTATAAGAATAATATTGACAGTACTAATACAATTTTTAACAACACATTAGATATTGGTATAATGCATGTGTTTGCTAATTTTGCTATCGTTTATGAATCATGATCCGCTAAGAACTGTCGCAATTTCTCAAACTTGATTATTCAAATAAAAGTGAATGAGAGATCTGCATTTTGGGACAATTAATGAATTATTTTCATAGATTAATCGGTTATACATACTTAAAAGATGCTGGAGGAAATAATTGGGTTTGCCTTGTCGATTTGTTCACTATTCGCTTCTGATACACCGAGAGTGACTTGCGATCGGTAATACCATCGATTTCATCTTTAACTTTTTGTCCAACTATGTTCAAATATTTTACTACAACATTCCTATAGGCCGCGTGTGGAAAAATACTGGAAACGACATTTGTTGGCCAATCTAGTTGCTGTGTTGACTATTATCGCTAATTTTTGCAAAGCTTTCGAATCTGTGTTTCGATCGTACTTTGAAGATTCTGGAGAGAGTTCCATGTACGTTATTAAGAACTGTTCGTTGTTTTAGTTTAGAAATTCATACAAATATATCTTTATGATTAACGAGGATTGTTTTCGTAAGTACTAACAACTATGACTACGACGCCTTGAAGTAGATTACAGATCAAATCACCCGGACGTGGAAATTTCAAGAACAAGAACAAAAGTAATTTTCATACAGTGTTATTATTTAATTAGTTATCTATGGTTTTAATTGGTAAAAGCGTAGTCAATGGGAGTTTTACGGCGTACAATTGTTTTTCATGATTGCCTAAAGTGCCGTGAGAATAATACTTTTACAGCGTGCAAGTGGTACGTATAAATAAAAATTTCAACCGTTTGAATGGTTTACAGTTACAGTAACATTTTGACAAGTCAACTACGACTCGTGTCATTCCCTGAAACGGTCAAACTTCGTACTCGCAGTTGTACTCTTGCTAAAGCTATCTTGCGTTGTTCGCGATGTGGAAGAATGTGGTTGAAAAATAAATTTTCGTTTGTGACATGTTGACGCTATACTACAATAGTACATATTTATAATATAGTATTAATAAATGAGAGTGGAAATTTATGGAATACTAATTATGTGAAAGTCTGGACATATAATAAAGGTGTTTTGTGGTTGTGAATGTTTGACCATCCATAACCTTGTGGGTGATTAGAAATAATTGTTTTGGACAGCTGGAGATCACTAGGTAATCGAGCGAGAAAAACAAGAAGTAGAGTAAGAATGATTTTAAAAGAAAATAACGCAACGTACGCGTGTCATCTTAAAAATGAGCTTGAAGTATAGAGAGAGCATCCTGACTGCATCGTAATGGTCGTGCAGTTTGAACACAAATATAAGTATTTATATAATTATAATCGTCAATACAGTACTGTTGATTATTGTTATTATCACATAATATTGCCAACCTAAATTACATAGATTTAACAAACCTTAAAATGCACACAAGCACATTTGTGTTGATAATATAAATTGCACCAAGTTATTATAACAACTTTCAGCAGGATGCGCTTATACTGCGCGATATGACAATAATCACAGCAAACAGTACTTTTTGTAGGCTTAGAGCCAACTCACAGTAAAGTTTGATGGAAACAGGAAGACAGCTTCATACGTTCTTGTGGTTTGATAAAGTCCGTGCAACATGCATTGCCTTGTTCGTTTTGTAAAATTTCGTAAAATTGAATTGTATATAGTCAATTAAACCAACAAATATTTTAAAATTATTGGATGAGGTTTAGCATGATTGATGATATCAAGAATTATTCAGACCGAGGTCAATGTTATCTGCCGAAAGAAAGAGGATCACATTAATCGAGATCTGAATAATTCTTAATATCATGGGAAAGTCGAATTCAATAATTGTTTTATTATACATCTGAACTAACTGAAATATTATTAAAACATAACAATGTAGAGCATTTTTTAAAGCTTCTTTAATTAATCCTTGTCAGACGCTTTTTTCTATTTCTTCTGCTTTAATTAAATATGGTTGTAAATATGTTTAAAGAGAACTTCGACGCTTTTTTATTATTTTTTGCAAACATCGCCATTGTTTGATTTTAAAAAAGTCGGCATAAATTGTAGAAAGTATTATTTGTACATATAAGATGCCTTTCTTACTGATATCGAGAATTATTTGCAGTTACGCAGTTGACCAATCATAACCGAAAATGTTTACACAGTGAAACAGTGAATAATAAATACATTTATTTACCATATTTGAAAAAACAAACACAGCCGGTTGTTCCAAAGCTAGCATAAAAGTTCTGTCCAACATTGATATTTGAGGTAATTATCATCGTTTTTTTCACATCTATTGCTTTCCTTATTGCAATGAGTGAAAAAAGAACTATTTTCAAAACAGAACTTAGTTAACGGTCTGGATAAGCACCAAACCCAAATGAGTAACATTTACACTATAAGATTTTTTACCAAGACTCGTAAATGACATACTTCCCCCAATTGAACAATCAGAAAGCTTGAGATAATATAGGCAACAATTGTGCTTCACACATTCAAGCGTTGTGAGTTACAGTGTGTGTAAAATAAAATAATGAATTCAAGTAAAACAACATACTTGTCCGGCTTTTTCACGCTGTACGATGCACTTATGCTTTTGAACTTCGATTCAGCCTAAACAAAAAATGTTTCAATAACTGTTCTCTCGCTTCACATTCTATCTTCCATGGGTGAAGATCATTTCTTTGAATTAAATTCAGTTGTAAGAGTTCTGTGTGAATTTTTTCATTAAGTTAGCATTTTGATATAAATTTTACTTGTAAAATTTGAAAAATGTACATAATGCACTACAATTAATGGGTTCCTTGGTGAATGTAGCCAACAAATATATCTCTCTTTAAAATATTTCTTTATCGATTTATTGTACGAAATATATTGGATGATCATGGCGGGACTAATATCCAGACCACATAAGATAAGCTATGTAATTACAAATATACCTTGCTTTGAAATCCACTCTCAACAACTGACTCTTTCCAACCTTCTTCCTACGTAAATACAAACTTGATAGTTAGGCTGGACACGAATCTTTTTGTACCAAATAATTTCTAAGAAACTGAAAGTAGACAATCCAGTCAACCTAACCATTTGATTTTCCGAAAATTACAGTAATGTACCTGCGCAAGAAATGACTTAAAATACTCGTCCAAGCCAAGTTGCGAATGCTTTGCAATTCGATGTAAGAAAAACTACAACAAACACAGAGTGAAAGTAAAGTTAATGTCACAATGTATGGAAGAAATTTCAAAATGCTTTCAACGCAATACAAGCATCTTTCCAAAAATGCTTATTATACAGTTCAGTTGGAGTTTCATTTAATGCATAATATGAAAATATGTATTTAAATTTTATTACGAAAAAAAAATAATTCAAAAGGTTTGTTGAAAAAAATCAAAACTAACAGTAGTTCTTAAACAAATAAAAGAATAGTTGTGCAAAATGTGAAAGTTGTCTATAGAATGCGATATGCTTGTAATGACATTAACGTCATTTAGGAATTACATAAGCTATTTGCACATCGAGTTCACTCAAACAACTTCGCGGTTTTTATAAGCATGTGCTAACACAATAAAAAATATTTTATTTCTTAAATGAAAAATTGACAAAAACATGTACTTGAGAAAGAACAAGTAAACTATTTTTTTATGCTGTATCGGCCCATAATAGACAGTCACGAACATGTTACATTACATTAACACAAAGTATTTTAAAACAAAATGTTACTGTCTACAAGGTAGCAGAAAATACTAATGAATATATTATTATTTACATATCAACCTATATGTATGTACTTACACAGTCAGGCTAGAAAGATTTAACTCAAAAAACGCCAGGCTCTTAATTTGTCGAGCTTGAACACTAACCTCCAAGCCATGACGTCTTCTTTCTATGAACTCCATGTTATAATTTTCAGCATTCAATCGAAATGCAGCAAGATTTGTCTAAATTAAAAAGTTACAAACGAAAACTTTTTAAGTTTGTGAGTTATTCTCTACAGTGGTAATGTAAAATTAGTTTTCTTTAACTGAAAAGCTGAAAATTTGCAATATCCCGATATCCACAAAATACCAGATTTTAATTTTAGATACTAAACATCACTGTCTGGCATAGTAAAAAATCGAATTATTTTCGAGATTCATAGATCGGATTTTGGCGAATTCCTTCTCAAAATAATAATTTTCCTTTATTCTTCGCATGAAATGACCATCGTGACACAATGAAATTTGAATTTCCAAGCGAAGTTTTTCCAAGTTACACGAGATAATAATATGCATTTATAAGGTGTTTGCTAGAAAAACGTGTTTGTAAGAAAACACGTGCATTGAATGTAAAGGAGTGCGAGCTATATAACAAACACTGCGCCAAAAACTTCATTTTTTCAGAAAAAAAGTTTTTGCTAACATTTAAGTATTTTAGCCTAACTTGAGGGAAAGTAAGACGTAGTAAATATTGTAAATATAAGTCGTAGTCCTCCCCCCTCCAGGTTCAATGTTGTGGTGTCGTCCCTGTATAAAGTCGGAGCAATGTTTGATTCTGATTATGAAGAGGCTGATTCTGATTCTGACATTATAAATTATCAAGAATATACATATTTCTTCTTTTTCTCCCAGTTTCAAAAATCAATAGTTGCTACATATTTTCAGTGTACAGTGTATTTAAAAACCATACCTACATGTTGGCTAATGATTTTCATTACCTTGAAATTGTCTGTATGAAATATACACTACGATAACAAATATTGAAAAACTAGATTTTCACACCCTAGTGTCTATTTGGATACTGGTTGAAATTTTAAATTTTAACCTCTGTTTAACAGAGAAACTTTTCATCAAATATACATTTGATACACAGCAAATATCTCTCAAAAATCAATTACAGATTTTGTAAAAAATTTCTTCAATATAACTTGTAAAAGAAATATGACAAGTTAAGTACACAAAAATATTTTTGGATGTATCATACTTGATGCTAATGAGGTGGCCAAACTAATTCTATCCAAGAAATTTTAATTAAATATAAGGTTACCTTTTTCTCTGGTAATGGAGGAATGATCACCTGGGAATAAAATATGGGAGAAATGAGCATAATTGTAATTTTGGAAGTGACATATCAACAGACGATGGGATTTTAATGCATTGAAAAAATTCATAAAAAAGTCATGTGACATTCCACATTATCATCAAAAGCCACATTATGAACAATTTGATTAAATTATGTATTATAATATGTAAGACTGATAAGACTTGTATTGTGTGTAGCCTATGCAGAAAATGAAAGAGGTCTATTGTGTTCAGTACTAGATTACTCAGTCGGCTATAGGTCAAAGCCTATAGGCTGGGGCTTTAAAAAGGCACATTGTAACTAGACATAATTAATTTTTACTTTTATTCCAACTTTAGCTAAATTTTCTCAATTTAAACCATTTGGACTGCTCAAAACCATAAGATCTACATTTTAAATTCACAAAGCTACAACCTTGTGAAGTAGTGGGTTTTTCCAGTTTGAACTTTATGTAACAATATGTGTTACAAACACAAGCCAGGAAATGCAAAAGCTAAGGAGCTTCAGAAATGCAAATGTTTTTAAAAGATTGAACCTATCGAGGGGGGAAGGGGGCAGGGGGAATAGATATCACTTGAAGGAAGGCACACAACTTTGTCTTAACCAACAGGCCTTGCAATTAGTAATCTACCACTGATTATGATAGGACTCCAAAAATAAAAATGTTTACTTAAATTTACAGGTCTACGAAATTTTTTTTTTGTATTATATGTAACAATATATTATTTAACTTACACTGGGATAAGTGGTTTGTAGATAATTTCTTAACAAATCGAATTCACTATATCTGCGCCATAAGCAGGAAGATTGCTGTGCATCATCATTTTGTGAATTAAAACACCTACAAATGAAACAATAGAACTATTTGTTGAATTGATAAAATTCGCAAAAATGAAAATGTAAAACAAGTTATGGAAAATATTGTTTTGATGGAAATCATACATTGGACACTGATTATGACATCTAAGCCTACACAAGATCAAAGCCGTCGCAAAGTTTTCTCACTAAAGTAATGATGTCATCATGTCAACAGCAGAATGTGGAGATGTTAGCACTTCTGAATTCATGGACTTTTCATCCAAAATAATAAATATAGTGCTTTTAAAAAAATATTGACCTTAGTTAAAGCCGTTTTTGACAAAAAAATAAGATTAATAATCTTACATTTCTAATTCTGTAAAATTGAGAAATATTGCAAACATTTCTAAAAGTGGCGAATTTACAAATGTAATGAACAATTCATGATGGTTACCTGGTTTCAATTAAATACACAATATACGGTTCTTTTAACTTTTCTCCCGATCGTTTTTCAATATCTTTCACCAAAATTTCTTTTGTATTTAGCAGACAGCCTTCAAAATATTTATCGCAATCCCCAAATCCTTCCGAAACGTCCGCCATTTTATATCTCAAATTGCATGAATTTATTAATGTTGCATTGTGGGTGTTTCTATACAATAAAAAATGAGGTAGGATGAAGGTGAAGGTGAAGCAATGAGATTATTCTACAGGGTGAAGGGGGTGCTTATTTTTCACACCAGTCTATAAAAAAATATTTAACTTTTGACTGATAACGGAAATGTTTGTACGTAATAAAAAAAGTTCTATAAAAATTTCATGAACAACTGTCTTTAGATAGCAATCGAATGGCTATGAATAAATGACCAAACGCTTAATCAATAAGTTACTCCAATAAAGTAAAGATTTGTCTCGTATTTTTTCTTCTAGAATAGCACGATATTGGTCCAAGTCTGGCTAAAACTAGTGAATAACACGCAAAGAAAACATATTTTTCATTTTTTTTGCAATAAACACCAATTTCTTGTTGATTTTCTCTACGATAAATTCTCAACAGTTCAATCAATTGTCACCCTGGGAGAGAATCTCGAAACACTAAACGCACGTGTCTGGCATAAGTTCCATATGTTTTATTTAGTACGATGTTTGGTATTTCCATTCCATTACATGAACACTTTTATCTTTGGGATTTGTTTGTTAAATAGATCAGTGTTACTACAGAGCTTTGGAGTTTTTTCTTTTACGTACGTTGGAAGGGTTTGAAACTTGAGAATGGTGTGTATTGTCCACTAGGTGTGTCTTTAAAATAAAGGTCAGTGTTATTGTTTTCAATTTTATATCCAAAAATATGAAATATCCAAAAAATGAATAACTCTATCAGGAAATGTGTCAACGTTAAATCTTAGGATTTTATCAAACTAATTGAATTTAGTGCTGTGGGAATATTTATGAAAACCAAAGTATCATCCAAAAATCTTTTGTATTATTTCATTGTGCCGCCTTCTAAATGATTTGAAATAATATTTTTCTCAAATTCTGTAAAAATTATATTAGCTAGTACTCCTGCAAGGGACGAGCCAATGAAAAACGATCTGTTTGCTACTAAATTTGATTGTCAACTAAGAAAGTTGTTTTGTTACAGCAATCTAAAATGAGTTTCTTAAGAGTTCTTTGTCTTAAGTTAGTGTCCAGAGTTTTCTTTGTAAATGTACATGAGCTGATTTAAGTCGCATGAAGGAGTATTCCTGTAATCTGCTCAGATATTTCGCTTTGCATGTTCACATAGCCTACCTAAACTCCACAAAACCAGTGGTGGCGCCAGAGGGGGGCTACAGTCCTCCCGTCGGAGAAAATTTGACGATTTGTCGAGGAAGGAATACCGATAAAATGTAATTTCATTGTAGATTATTGCATTTCATTTGTAGTAATGTCCTCACTCAGCATTGGCACTAATCTTCATGCACGCCAGCTGTCTGACATCAAATTAAAATGAATAAAAAATCTTTGCGAAATTTTGTGCATTTCGTTCGAGAACAAATATGCATATGCAACATGAGATAAATTTGCATATGCAATCGCCAGGACTCTCGTCCTCTTTTAGTCTTCTGTCGGTTGTTTTTTGCAGTTCGACTTTCGAATTCTAAAGGAAATTTCTTGTAAAAAATCTAAAAAACATTGCTGTTTGAATTTCAAATCAGCAAAGAGCATGAGATTTTAACAGTTTTAGATGTATTGGGCTATTGTCTGTGATAAATCACCATCAAGCGTCTAGACAGCTAAAGATGTTAGGAATTTATCGTGATGAAAGAGCAAACTGGATTTGCTTACAGTAGTCAACAAGTTCAACGCTAGGTTTCTCAAGTGTAGAATTGTTCTCTTAACGTCAAACTATCAAATTGTATGAAATTATGTCGTACTCTTTCATGTTTGATATTGACAGTCATGTTTATAAATCCTTTCCTAGTACACCACTGATTCATTATATACATGCAGTCAAAAAGAAATGCTCACCAGAAAAAAATTTTAACAGGCTAACATTTATAGAGTGCCAAAACACGAGATTTAAGTTAAACAAGAAAAAAACAATAATATATTTATTTAACTAATGGATCCTCGTCTTACTTTGATTACAGCTTTGTATAGGTTAAAGAAGATGTTCAATATGTTGATGAAGCATATGTTGAAGAATATGTTGATCATTATTATTTAAATATTACTGTCCAACATTACTAGAAAATCCAGGGAATTCTTTTTACTTACTGCATACATTTGTTGTATATTCAGTTGTGTTAGACTATATCTTTTGAAATTAATTTTTTTTTCAAAAAAAAAAGTTGGGCTCAACAGAATATATGAGCAAACACCCCCTCCCCCAAATTAGCGTTCTAGTGGCGGCTCTAACAACTAGTCCATTACATAATGTTAATTTTTCATGTAGATTTAAATTCTTATTTCAAAAACTATGTATCAATGAGTTTGTTAAGGAGAGGATTGATAACAATTTTTTCAAATTTTGCCTGAAAAAAAAATATTTGGATGGAAATTGCATTGTGACATAAGCAAGCATAAATCAGCCCTCCTATCGGGGATCTTAGCCTCTCCGACGTGAATTCTTGGCGCCACCTTTTCACAAAACATAACCCGATCTGCCGTCATTTAGACTTATCATAGTCACAACTAACACTACACTCTATAACGTTGGAAAGTTTCCGTCATCTCTTCTTAATTCACTAGCCTTAAACAAAGTCACACTGTCTGACTCATTGAAGGCAGTGAATAGCATTTGCAGCATTCCGGCCACATCAATTATTCAATGAAAGTTACCAATTCGTCTTTTTTGATGTTGAGTCACTCTTTATACTGACATCCCATTAAAAAGAACTGTCGACATTATCCTAAAACGTATAACTGCAGAGAAAACTATCGACACTAACTTAAGGCAAAGAAACTCTTAAGAAAGTCATTTTAGATTGCTATAACAAAACATTTTTCTCATTTGATAACCAAATTTATGTGCAAACGAATCATGTTTTATTGGGCTCAGTGGCGGATCTAAGGTTAGTCAAAATAAATTACTGCAGCACATTCTGGCATATATTTACATTTCTAAGTCCCTCAGAAGCATATCCATTGGTGAAATTATATTCTTTAGAAATTCAAAACCAATAGTGTCTTTCTGAAAGTACTTCGAATTTAAAATTAAAGAGTTATAATTTATTTTGACTAACGCTGGATCCGCTTTTGATTGGGCTCATCCCTTGCACAAGTACTAGCCAATATTATTCTTGCAGAATTCGAGAAAAATATTATTACCAATCTTTTAAAAGACGGCACAAGACGCACAACATGATACTACAAAATATATGGCGATGACTTGATGATACTTTCGTTTTGATAAAAATATTATTCTCACAGCAAAAATTCAATAAGTTTGATAAAAACCTAAGACTTACCGGTGACACATTTCCTGATGGCGTTATTAACTTTTTGGATGTTAAAATTGAAAACAAAAATACCGACATTTACAACAAAAACACACATACCGGACAATACACACCATTCTCAAGCTATACAGTATATAAGACCGACCTATATACAAATTAAAATAAACAAAACAATAGCTAAAATTGGAATACGCCTCCCATATATAGGTACGAAAAGTGATTTTCTCATCAAAACGTGCAGGTCGAAAATTCTGCGCTTACTGCAAGATCCTTTATTCTGACGACTCCATTAACAATAAATCAACTTTTACTACTTCTCAAAGTTTCTCAAACCTGAACTGAACTCTTCACCATGTCTCTTCCACATTTCCATCGCGCAATCCACGCAGTGAGTGGACACAAGACACGTCATTTGCGCGTGTTTCTTTGATTTGGAAACGCTGCAGCAGGGGCCGTAAGGTTGTAAAAAGTAGCAATTTGAGTGTACTGCTAAGGATATTTTGCTTGCGTAATTTTACAATAAAAATTTACAGTGTGGTGAATGTCTATGGTTAACATTAGGTACTGATGGCCAACGGTGAGTGTTAGCCTAATATGTATGTCTATTTTATGTTATTATCTAAGCGGAAGTATGCGGCTGTTTATGAATTTGCTTCTAGACAGTATATTTTCTATGCAATCCATCTAAAGCTGATAATTATGTCGTGAAGCTTCAAAACAAATCTTTTGACTTGAGTTCGAAAGGCCTCGTTTATTTTACTTGATTACATGCTATTGAACGCACAATAAAAGTTAACGAATTTTCCTGCCCATTCGAGAAAGTATGATATGTGCGTATCCAATTAAATCAAAATAACTTATAACATTTTTATCATTGTATGAGACATGTATTACCTAAATATGCTTGTGCACAACATGAAATTTGTATATGATTTTACCGCACAAAATCAGGTACACACTCAGCGATTTTGAAATGATTTGAAGTAGGCAAATGAAAGAAACAAATTAAGCGGCTTAGATTCTTCCTGTTTGTAATTTTCTGTTAATGAGAAGAAGCGAAGCCAGCCGTAGCACTCAACGTGGTGGTGAATTCCGCAGATCGCCAGTGATCAAGATCACAGATCCTGTTGATTTAGTAAATGCTTTCAATACCTACTTCTTTACCACGTCTGGCTGACAACCTTACCAACTATATTCTCAAAAACGTCTCATTTCTTATATAAACCCAACCACTACCTCAATTTCTTTTGATAATAATTTCTTGGACAATAAGATTATAAATTCCTACAAAACCAGATTCAGGTCTTACTATACTATGGCGCCCTCACTTCTTTGCTAGAAACAACCGAAGCAACCAATAATTGGCACGTTAATAATGACAAGGGCCTTATTAACGGTCTAGAGCAGCCCGTATTATCAGTTGTTTCAGTTTCGTCACTTCTTACTTCTTCTTACTTCGTTTCAAATCTTGTGGGTTGTGCAGATATTGCTTGTGAACTGTTTCACAATAATTTTCAAAGTAAAGAAGAAGAACTTTACCGTGACTACCTTTTCTCCCATTTTCAACAGTAGCTTTAAACTTAATTTTAATTACCTTAAGTTTAGTTGTAACAGTAGCCTTCGTCAGTTAGTTTGAACGACGAGGAAAGTTTTTTCCCAATTTGTGCAGCGTTGTCTTCTGATGGATACTTCGCATAAAGTAAATCCAATATATCAAGCATATAATTATTTGTCTGGCAAGTCTCCCAATTTAGATTTTTTGCTATTCTTGACGTTTTATAGTCAATTTAGCTCAATTACATCGATTCTCTAGACAAAGCTTTCGTTACATCTAGAAAAGTTCTCTTAAGCATTCATTACGATAGAGAAAAATTAGCCAATTTCTAGTCATTATTTTGAGAGAGTTTACCAAATTAACCACTATTTGAAGACACTCAAAACACACACAAAATACTTATTCTCGCCAAATTCGGTAATGATGTACCAGTGTACCATGCAATGCTGGCCTGATTTTGAGTTTTGTTTACGCTGATTGACATGTAGGTATTCGAAAATTTTCTGATACGTGTTAACCTTAGAAAGCGATTCAACTCTGTATTTGTTGAAATTAGAATCGCAAACAAAAGAAATCAGTAGGGCAGAGCTGAATATATGAATATTTACCCCCCTCCCCAATTAGCGTTCTAGTTTCGCCCCTGTCCACAGGGTGTTTTTAAAAAATGAAAACCTTTAGAAACTAGATTGTGAAAATTTAATACACGATCACCATGCTTATCACAGAATACTATAGTAACAAATATACGTAATATAAATATTGAAATATTTTATGCACCAGTGCATGTCTTAGCAGATAGGTATTGCAATTATCACAGTACGCCAATTTCTGAAAGTCTTCTTTTTTGGATTCCTGTGTAATTATTATATGGCAAACGTCACTTCCGGAAAATGGCTTTGATTGGCTGAGAAACATTTTTGCCGATCGATTATTTTCCCGTAATCGACCACGGTCCAAAACGCGTGATTTTACTGTCAAATGTAAACAAACTTCGTTATGCATACAGCAAAACGCAAAATAAACGAAACAAAAAACCATTTACGAATTTGATTCTAAAGAAAAACACTTGGAAAACAGTTTAACTATCCAGACGATACAATTTGAAACGATTTATTTTTATGGACGAAAATCAGAAAAGTAAAAGCCAACCCGTACAAAACAGCAAGGACGAGAAAGAAAGCAAATTCGTTTCAGGTCAAATAATGCCATATAATAATCCTTTTAATAAACTCGCTTTCTCGTTCTTTACTGAGAAATATCAGACCAAAGTAAATGGTTTGAACCCGGGAGTATCGTTACATGTTTGTAACTGTAGATCGTCCAGGTTGGTATGGTCCTGAGAAGGACTGTTTTTGTTGTTGTTGACTGACGTTTCGACAACAAAACAGTCCTTCTCAGGACTATACCAACCTGGACCATCTACATTTACAAACATGTAAATATCAGACCTCTGTCTTTTTGTACAAACCTCGTCCTACGAGCTCGGTCTTTACAAGAAGACCTCGGTCCGTTATTTCTCCGTAAAGACTAAGCAATTAAAACTAAGCGAATCTTTAGAACTTCAACTGCCATTATAATTTTGACGTGTTAGTTAAATTTTTGCTTGCCATCTCTAAAATATGGCCTGCTGTTGGCCATTGGCATTTGGCAACCCTTCTCCTACCCTTGTCCATTGGTATTCCAATTTTCAGTGGATTAATTTATGAAAAAAGATAAATCAAAAGATTTATGGGATTTTGTAGACAATTAAGTGATTTCGGAGGTTTGCTAAGAATTCTCGAACATTGCATGGCATGCAAAAGTTTTGACACATGTAGGCAAAAAACATGTCGGAAATTTGAGTCGCTGTTATTGCCTCAACATCTTTCGAAATGAATTTTTGGCACTAACAATGTGATATAAAATTTCTTTTTATATTATTCTAAACACCAATTTTTTCAGTGCCCTTAAGGTTTGGTCAAAGAGAACCTACTTTAACAGATAATATTTCCGGCATATTGTGCGACTATCCTGATGGTGGGCAAATATTAAAGGTATGTAAATTTTGTGAGCGATATACGGAATACTAAGGTAAATGGTTTGAACCCCCGGGAGTATCGTTACATGTTTGTAATTGTCGATCGTCCAGGTTGGTATAGTCCTGAGAAGGACTGTTTTTGTTGACGTTGACTGACCGACTACTAGAACAATCATCTTACAACCCTACATCACACAAAGCCACCACAATCAGAACATTAACAAGACGTGCACAAATCATATGTGATTCACCGGACGCTCTACACAACGAAAACAACTATCTCAAACGTGTTTTTGACAAAAACAACTATAACTCTGACTTTATCAAATGCAACACTTACAAACCCAACGAACCCAACGAAACGAACAACTCAGTGACAACAGCAACGATACCGTACATCAAAGGTACGTCTGAGACTATCTCGCGTATCTTACGACCATACAACATTCGTGTTGCACATAAACCAATCACAACGTTACGACAAATACTAACGAACATAAAGGACAAAGAACAACCCAACGAACGACAAGGTGCAGTTTACAAAATAAACTGCTCCTACTGCCACGCCTCCTATATCGGGGAAACTGGCAGGAAATTAAACATAAGACTTACTGAACACAAACGAGCTACTAAGAAACAAGACAAAACTAATCACATTCCCGAAAATCACCGAATCACAAAGCACAACATTGACTGGGACTCGGCATAATGCATTACTTACAGTACTGAATATAGACAACGGCTTACATTAGAAAGTTGGTATACCAACTTGGAACAAACCCCCCTGAACAGATCACAGCAACTACCGGCACCTTACAAATGACTTATTCACAATACAAACAAACGATCAACTAAAAACATTACACTTCACACTAATTCACAATGACAAAACACAATTGACACCCACACATAACAACTAAAAACATCACACCGAAATCACACATCACAACTAAAAATATTTCGCTTCACACTAATTCACAATGACAATACACATTTCCTGTACACACAATACAATGACGTAAGAACCAGATAGCAAATACGGCTAACCTGACGTTTACTCCTCATTTGAATCTGAAGATGACTACCGCTAAGGTTGTCGAAACGACAACAACAACAAAAACAGTCCTTCTCAGGACTATACCAACCTGGACGATCGACATTTACAAACATGTATACGGAATACTGTTATTTAGCGAAACATCACAGACAAGTATTCATGCTGTTTGTGCGATATTGTAATGAATATGGTTTCGATGAAGGAGAAGTTCCTTAGCCAGGGACCGACTGCAATCTTGTGTTTAAGTTCATTGTTTATGTTCAAATCAATTTAGCGGTTGTAAGTCTTATTTCTTTACCCTCGTGGATATACCATGCAGTGCCTCTGCGACAATTTAAACAGCTCACCACCCCCACCCCCCACCAGTCTGCGTTACTTCGGTGAGGCAAGTGATGCAAAACAATGAACTGACCCCTTCGCATTCAAGTCACGAGAGAAGATTCCTACAGTGACGATGAAATTTTTTTGCTTGCTGTGCCTCAAAAAGCTGAAAAGAACGTTTATTGTCTCTGTTAAGCTTAAGTGATACTGATCATTAACAGTTGCTTTGAAATAAGATGGATTTTCACTCTTATACATCTCCAGACACCCTTCATTTTAAAACGTTCACATTTTAACATTTTCAGACTATGAAGCTTTTGTTCTGATATCATACATTCATGTCATATACTAAAGATGCTTTTTAGAAGAGTGCAGCGAAACTATGGTCTCTTTAGAATTCTCCTTTTTCTGTCATGTAGGAACTAATTCAGAATGCAGATGATGCTGGCGCAAAAGAGGTAAAGTTTCTTTACGATGGTCGATCTTTTGGAACAGACTACCTTGCATCAAAAGAACTTGAAAAATATCAAGGACCAGCACTTTATGCATTTAATGATGCAATATTCCAACCTGATGATTGGGATGGAATACAGAATTTAATGAAAAGTAATAAGAAGAATGATATGCTTAAAGCAGGAAGATTTGGCATTGGATTTAATTCAGTTTATCACATAACAGGTTTGTGTAACATTTTTGAGGATGATGTTTGGAATTTACAAACGACGTTATAATATGTTGTGAATGAAACTGAAGTTTTCATGTTATTCAAATTTTTCATAAAATTTTTCGTATTCTGTGGTAACATATGTCTCGGTCATGGTTCGAGCTTCGAACTAGCTTCAATTACAACAGAAATTTTGGAGAGAACAGCTTTGGAATGCTACACTTGGAATGGACTAGCTTTACAATTTTGATTTTCCGCGTACATAAGGCTATTTTTGGTGTACCTTTAGCGCCTTCATAGTAAAATTATGTTTGGCTTGTGCGTACTCCTCCTGCTGCAAGATTTTATCACCGCCCCTCTTCAAAATACAGTACAGTACCGCTCGCGTATTTGTTAACATAATTTTGCGTATGATACGCGTGTCATACGCGTATCGTTCTCGTATCATACGCGTATCGTTCTCGTATCATACGCGTATCATTCTCGTATCATACGCGTATCGCTCTCGTATCGCTCTCGTATCATACGCGTATCGTTCTCGTATCATACGCGTATCGTTCTCGTATTATACGCGTATGTTTTTCCTATGATACGCGTATCATACGCGTAGCGTATGTTAAAGTGGTTCTATGACGAAACCTTAACGTTAAAAAATCATCGATTTTAGCATTCAATAGTTTAAACACATATCAATTATTGCTTTCGTAAAATGTAAGCAAAAATAATAATACAACGAGGGAGTTATGAACATTTGAAATGTCTAATTTTCATGTCCGCCATTAAAATCGGCCATTTTGAATATTTGCAATCAGCAAAGTCTGTGACGTCATAGTCTTAACACGGCAAGAAGCGCACATTGGAAAGTATACAAAGTAATACATAAATAGAGCAAAAAAATGTCAAATTCATCGAGATCTAGCTCGCTCTCTGAGTCTTCGATCGAGACAAACGCATCGATTTCTTCATCGGAATTTGTGACGGCGAATTCGAACGAATCTAATTCGGAAATTTTGCCATTTGTCGATAATATTGAACCGCTTGCTTCGCCCGATGAAATTGCTGAGTACGAAGCTACAGTCGCAGAAGAACGGCGGGTTGAAGACATGCTGCAAGATCGTTTTGATGCCCGTGTTGATGTTA